CCAATACCATTCTCCATCTACCACCCCGGCTCGCCTATCCCTCCAATGGCTTGTGCGTGGTGATCTCCGGCTATGGTGAATCAAAGCATGGTCCACCCTAGCTTGGCAAGGGCCGAGGGCTGGAACAATGAGCGCATCGGTGTGCACAGTTTGTCGGCAAGGACGACCGAGCAAAACTACTTTGTTTGCAAAGTTCCAGGAAAAGATGGCTCCACAAAGGGAGAGTAGGCGGAGTGCGATACCTGGACTTCATGGGCCAGGAAGCAGCCCTGGCCTCGCCAAGGACCATTTGGTCTAAGGGGACCCCCCATATATGAGCATGTTGTTGTGTTTCTTTCTTCATATCCCAAGTATATAAGACTCCAAGGACATCCGTTCTTTTACCTCTTTTCTTTCTTTTGTCTTCATGCCTCTCGACTTTTTGGCTTTGTCTTCCCATTTCCTTCCTTAACTCTCACTTTTTTTTTCTTATTTCCCTTGTTCACTGTTTACTTTTGGCTCTATCAAAGTAACTTGAACATCTCGCCAGTGGTGATTCTTTTCTTCACCCCTTCTTTGATATTTTCTTCTTTTAACGACACGGAACGGCGTCTCGTCCACCTGGTGTGGTTTGTTTTCTCATACACCTGGGTACGCTCATTATCCAAATATTTTTCTTTCTCACTCTTTACATTTCCTATTCACTTTTCCACCATGCGTTCGGCCGTGAGTGTGATCTGCCTCCTGGGGCTTCTCATATCCTTCGTGTGCGCGGCTCCGGCCCCGAATACAATCCAGAAACGGTCTTTTAAGGTTGAGCGTGTTCGCAACGCAGCGTATGCTGGCCACAACACCCCTAAGCAGCTGATGAAAGCTCATTTAAAGTACGGAGTCCGGCCGCCACAGAACCTGGTCGCGCGCCTCAACGCACAGGAGGTCACCCGCCTAGAAGCTATCACCCAAAGCAAGAGAATAAGGGGTCACAAGCATGGCAATGGCAGTGGCAAGGCTGTCGGCAACGGCAACGGAAACGGAAACGGAAACAACAATGCCAATGCCAACGGCAAAGCCAATAGCAGCAGCACAGCTACCATTGACAACGGCAACAGTACCACTGGCGCCACCACCTCTACGACGTCTACCAACTCGACATCTACCAACACGGCCGTCGCCGCTGCTGTCGGAAGCGGTGTTGGTATTGTGACCAACACGCCAACTTCCGGAGATGTCGAATACCTTTCTCCCGTCAGCATTGGTGGCCAGACGCTCAATATGGATTTTGACACCGGCTCATCGGATCTCTGGGTCTTTAACACCGGCCTGTCTGCTGCTCAATCCAGGGGTCACACCCTTTTTGACTCTACCAAGTCGACCACTTTTACCGAGCTGACTGGCCAGACCTTCTCCATCTCCTACGGTGATGGTTCTGCTGTCTCTGGCACGGTGGGTACCGATGTTGTCAACATTGGCGGGGCATCGGTGGCCAAGCAGGCCGTCGAGCTGGCTACTCAAGTGTCGAGCTCGTTTGTTTCGGATACTGCAAGCAACGGACTTGTCGGTCTGGCCTTCAGCAAGCTGAACACGGTGAAGCCGACGCAGCAGAAGACCTTTTTCGACAACGTCCAGGAAAGCCTGGCGTCGCCCGTGTTTACAGCCAATCTGCGCCACGGTGCGGCTGGATCGTACGAGTTTGGTACCATCGACTCTACCCAGTTCAATGGCACTATGCATTTTGCCGCTGTCAACACGTCACAGGGCTTCTGGCAGTTTAGCAGTAGCAAGTTTGCTATTGGCAATGGTGCTGTGCAGACCAGCGGGGCAGGCCAGGCCATTGCCGACACCGGCACCACGCTGCTCCTGGCCAGCGACAAAATTGTTACTGCCTACTACTCAAGCGTGACGGGCGCCCAGAACAACCAGATGGCAGGTGGTATCACTGTCCCCTGTAATGCTGACCTGCCGGACCTGCACCTCGACGTCGGCGGCAACATGGCCACGGTCAGGGGCACGGACATTATGTTCGAGCAGGTTACAGGCAACACCTGCTTCGGTGGTCTGCAGGCCATCGACAGTGACCTGATGATCTTTGGTGACGTCTTCTTCAAGTCCAACTTCGTTGCCTTTAACCTTGGTAACAACACTGTTGGGTTTGCGAGCCACGCTTAAATGAGCCACAGAGCATTTGCAACCTTTATCTTTTCTATTTCTCCTCACCTTACTTCCTTTTCTATTTCTCCTTGCCTTCTTTCTGCCTTGCCCACATACAACTTGGCTGGCACATACTTTTATCTTTTGCATGGAACTGGTTCCCAATGAAGCTGGAATGTTCCCATTTGCACCTTGTACATATAAAAAGTCCATAAACATATCATACATACATCACCTGTAGCCAAAAATTTTGGCTTGTTCTAACACCGGGAGCTCACCCTGTATCTGTTCCATCCTATGTAAAACACGTAGTTCTCTATGAATTTCTGCATACTATTATTCTCCTGTGACCAGTTTTCTAACTAAACAGCTGAAGTGAGAGAAACCAAAACACGATGCTGGGGCATCGGTAAACAGTTACGCAAGTCTTTCCGATGTGTGGGACTATTGCAGCATGCTACTAAAGTACTGCCTCAGCGATGGTTCAACGTGGTTTTAGCAATACGTAAATTCAGAGGAAGCAGAGTTGCGATATGGACACATTCACTGAAAATATGCTGAAATTACAATTTGGTACAGGTGCAGCTTTGGACAACCCCAAACCATCTCGCTCGGTGCGTCTTCGCCCGTCAACTAGGACTTCATTTCTTGCATGCATATCCTCTCAAATGTTTAACGCCTTTTTGTTTTCTTGTTATGTTACAATTATGCCGCAGCGGGGTCAGCTGCAGCCGGTGCGGCGGCGTCTGAAGCCTCTTCGTCGTCCAGCCGGATCACGTACTTGCCGTCGACTTTGCCCCGGCCGACGTCGTTTACCAATTGGTCAATGGCAGAGAACCTGGCCGGCTTCGTCAGCGGCTTCACCAGTCCACGCTTCACAAAGTCGAGCGCCTCGAGGATGTCGCCGCGCTTGCCCACGGCCGAGCCGAGCACCCGCCAGCCGTTGGCAATGAACGCCGTAGGGTGGAACAGCACGGGCTTGTCAATGGGCGGCAGGCCCACGCACATGAGGGCGCCAAAGGGAGCGAGCATGCCGAATGCCGACTGGTATGCAGCCGGGGCGCCCGAGGCCACGAGCACGGCGTGCACGCCCACCTCGCCTGGCGTCAGCTTCTTGACAGCGTCACCGACGGACGACCAGAACGGATTGGCGCTGGGTGCGCCGTCGGGGAGCTTGGGCAGGGACGACAGGTCCACGTAGTGGTCAACGTGCGCGTGCGCCTTGGCAAGCACGCCCTTTTCGGCATTGACGTCGATGCCAATGGTACGGAAGCCCATGGCCTTGGCGTACATGAGCGCCAGCAGACCGACGCCGCCCGCACCCACAACGGCAATAATCTGGCCCGGCAGCAGGCCGCACTCCTTGATGGCCTTGTAGGCCGTGACGCCGCCGCACATGATGGGCACAATGTCTTCGTCCGATACGTCGTCCAGCTCGGCCGGCAGGCGCAGGAGGTAGCGCACAGGCACGACAGCATACTCGGCAAACGTGCCGTCGGCGGCCACACCAGACACGAGCCGGGCTTTGCAGCGGGTCTCGGCATCGTTGTTGGGGTCCATGCAGAAGACGCAGAGGCCGCAGGCATCGCGGTTCCAGGCAAGGCCGACGCGCTGGCCGATCGTCAAGGTGCTGTCGAGGGTGGTGGCGTTGGAGCCAAACGCAACGATGCGGCCAACGCCCTCATGGCCGAGAATGTCGCGGGAGGGGCCCAGGTGGCCGACAGCGAGGCTGTAGTCGGAGCCGCAGACACTGGTGACGGACAGGCGAACCAGGACGTCATTGGGACCGACGGTGGGTACGGGAACGGTGCGCACCTCAAACTTGGGGTTGGGGCCCCGTTCCTAGACGATGCAAGCACGGTGTAAGCGAGGTGGTATTTGGCGGTTGACCCCGGTTCTCACTTTCCGCTTGTCCTCATGACGAGAAGAGACGGGGATAGGTTATTAACTTACTACAAGCACTGCAGCCCTCTGCGTACGAGTTTCCGTCATTTTGGTCGGGACTTGGCAAAGCAGGCAGAGGTTTTGTGTATCGAAGGCGCAAAGCGACGTGAGTTGACGTCTAGAGTTTCGGTGTAGCGTCTTTTTGTCAATGATGCTTTGAGCTGTCTACGAGACAGATAACGCAATAGGTAAGATTGATGCGAATACAAAATGAAGGAAAACAGACAAACCGGAAAGGGGAAAGAAGGAGAGGAGAGGGCACGAGTAGTACACAATAGGAAAGAGCACTGCGTCCTGGTCGTGGCAATTTACCATCTTTGATCGGCCGGTTGTGCCTTCCTCCTCACCCCTTCCCGTCCCCCATATCTCCAACCTTCGAAACTACCGGTGCGTGCATGAAATCATCGGCTACGACGTATAGTGGCACATAGGGGCCAGTCCCGCATGTAGCATCCCGCATCCTACACCCGCGGCTTTATTTTTGTTTCTAGACATTGGGGAAGGACGACGTACCATCACCGTCTTGAGGTGGTCACCCCTCTTTGCAGCGCGACTTCTTTCCAGATCGGGCCGCCGCCCATTGCATTTATCTTGTTCGTTATCCTCATCACCTGCTATATTTCTGGGGAGAGAAAGAATGACGGCCTTCAATCGTGTTCTGTCCCTCGGTTCCCCGCACAGAAAGGGCGGAGTAAATTCGACAAAGCACAGCCAAGCAACCGCGCGCGTCAGCTAGAGGCAAAAGGACGAGAACCGTTCAAAGAGTCGACTTCAAAGCGCCTCGGCTCGATGCGCCCGACTCCACGATCACAGATAGTTTGTCTAAAAACGACCGGACATACATACACAAACGGTTACAAACGAAACAAAAAGATGTGCGGGGAAATACAAATTACAACCATAATCCTTGGTGGCGAACACCATCAAGCACTGGTGCAACATAACGATCGTGTCTGTAATGATGCGTTTTACCATTGGCGTTAGAGGCATAGCTTGTAAAGATTGGAGGAGAAAAGGCGCGGGTTTTTGTTGAAAAAAAAAACATAAAAAGGAGGCCGGCGAAAAAGCTACAGGAAGAGAAAGAGGAAGAACAAAAACTTTCCAAAAAACCGCGTTTTTCCAATTTATTCTTTTCTTCAAGAACATGTCAACACTACACCCTTAAGGCCTCGTCTTATTGTAACTCTCTCAGGATGTCGAGGAAATAAATAGACTTATCTGGGTTCGGCATAAGTGCGTGCGCATTGCCACGTGGAGCGGCTCTGGAGGCTGACGGAGGCTGGGCCGCACGAATTATCAACGTCTTTCTTGAAAACTGTTAGGGAAGTACGGTTGAACTTGTCTCGGACGTCCAGCTTCTAATATACGACTCCCGGTGATGGTTGCCACATCAAAGCTCTGGGACTTAGGTTCGGGCCGTTCCCGGCCTCGATAACGCGACTCATGAAAAACGCGAGACTCTAGCCAATGGCGCACCAAACAAACCAAAAGCTCACTGGATACCAAAATGCCCCCCGAGAAGTAATAAAGCATGACCAGGAGACATGATACCATTCTCACCATCAACAATACAGATTATGTAGCGGCTTTTAGAGAAAGTAGTGCACATGAAAAAAAAAGGGCACGTGCTCAACCTCCAACTAATGATGCACCCTTTCCTTGTTCCATTGCAAATAAAAAGGTGCCGCCTAGATCGTACGTTGAGATCAAACGCCAGCTAGGAAAACAGATTGCTAGCTGTACACGGTGACCAGTGTGCTGCCCGACAAAAGTAACCAGAAACGCCAAACCCACAGCAGGCCGGGACAAGATAAGTAGGTCTATGAAAGTCGAAATCATAGCCCATTCTTTCCTGCCAGGCCGCTTATGCTAAACGTGCCATATATCGAAGTACCATCGTAAATGCGAGTGACAGCACTCCCGAAAGTACCATGAGATAGGAGACAAAATTGGAAGAAAAAGAAGAAGAAAGTAACACCGACAGATACCACAAAGGGACATAGGTGCCAGTGAAAAAAATGTTGCGTAAACCGAAAACAAGGCGCCATGTACCAAAGAAGTCCTATGTGGAAATAAATAAGGCTCCCAATACAAAAAAATAAAAAAAGACGACACCAGATGCTGCAAGGCCCAAGGGAGTCACAAGTCACTATTATCTGGATCCCTATTTAAACACCAAGATGGGTTGTCCGGCGGGCAGGAATCAAAATCTCGCTCTCCGAGTCAGAGGAATCGTCGGCGGAAGCAGCGGCAGCACGATCTAGCATCTTTTCGATGTCGTCCTCGTCCAAGACAGGTCGTGGTTTTGATGTGGAGCTCAGGCCAGACGGCATGGACAGCGGCACCTTCATGCGAGGGCTCAACACGTTCGTACCATCAAACGCCCCATTAGCGCGCCGTTTTGGTGTGCCCTTGTTAGATCGTGAGTACGGTGTTTCATACGACTCGTCGAGGTCCATCTCGCTGGGACTCCGGTGGTGACCACCACGACGACCGAGGGCAGGCTGTGAGCCATACGTTGGGGCGTTCGGCCGACCTGTGGGTAGGCTCTTGCGCGGGGCAGAGCCAGGGAGACCGTGCCGTTGAGGGCTCATCACGTTGTTGTACTGCTGGGGGTCGTGGTGGCCGGCCGGAAGAGGTTGCGAGGAAGAGATGGGGGGGAAGTGCTTCATGTTGGACGAGTTGCCGGGGCTGCTCATGAAAAGGAGCGTTTCAATAGCATCCTGCTCGCGAACGTTTTGGTGGGGTGTATAGAGAATAGGGTCGGCGGTCGGCGTGCGCACATGTCCCGAATCGAGAGTAGACGGCGTGTGCGGGCTACCCTGGTGTGAGTAGAATGTTGGAAGAGCCGGCGGCGCATAACCTGGATTCGAATTTCGGCGTCCCAGCGCAGACGGCCGAGATGGCTGGATAGAGACTGGTGGGGCGAGGGATCTTGTTGGCGCGGTCGATCCGCTTCGCGACGTCCCGAGAGGCGAAGGCAGGGGAGGTGTGGAGTGGTTGCTACGGGAGCTTTGTTGTGATGACCATGGCGACGTATCGAGGGTGGACAGGCCGCGATCAGCTGGGGCAATGGTCGTGCTTATAGTAGAGACGCTCGTTTGGCTCTGATGGCGATCGTGGAAAGGGCGGCCAGGAATGCGCGGGCTGAGTGACGAACCGTGGCGGCCGTGGATTGTCGACGTACTAGATGCCGGTGATGCGGCATGAGAGGCAAGGTTCTCGACCTGGTCGATCGAATGTGCCTGCCAACCATGGCTCACCTTTACCATCGCGTATGACAGACGCGTTTTTAATTCGGCGGAGAGCTAATTGCGCTCATCGTTAGCCACTTCGGCGCGTGCATGTAATCGACGAAATCAACAGGTGCGAAGCCTACCTCGCCAATGCGGCCACCGGTCGTGGATGCAACGCTCACAGTACTCGTATCTCTGGAATGACCGCCCATGTAGATCGGTGACGTACTGGATGCATTCCGCGTGTGCTTGACAGAACCATCGGCGGCCCGCTTGCGTGATAGCGCGCCGCCGTCAAACGCATCAGATCCCGTTATGTCGGTCATTCTTTCGCGGGATGCGGCAAGCCTTGACAGTTGGTGCAGCTGGGACTCTTGGCTTGAGATGTCGTGTTCGAGATTGTAGGCGCTTGAGCTTCCGTTGACGCTGCCGCCACCACCCCCGAAACTCAATTCGCCTTCGCTGATCGGTGGCGTAAAGAGCTGATCGGTATCCGTGCTGGCGCTACTCGTCGTATCTTGCGAATCGCTACTGTTGGCGGTGTGGCTGAAGGACGGCGGTTGTTGCTGCTGGAAGTAATGACGGCTGCTGCTTTGGAAGGAGGTGGATGAGGACGCAGAAAGGGGAATGGGCAGTTCGCTTGCTTGGTGGGACGGTGAGTGTGTGGGTGATTGTGTCCGGTGTTGCGCCTGCTGGTGCTGGTTCTGGTCCTGGTGCAGGAGTCGTTGTTGGGCGTGTATTGAGTAGGACGGCAGTTTTTGCGCGTTGGCAAACACATCTAAAGCGAGACTAGCACGAGAAGCAGGCGCGTCGGACTTGTCGGAGAGACGCGGAAGAACGGCTCGGACGTCTCGAGCGTCACGGCTGTCGTGGACGTGGGCGTCTCGATCCATTTTAACCGAGACCCAGACCCCTTTTGCGAGGGAGAGGGCCCGTGGCGGGACAGACAAGGAAACCAGGAGGAATAAGGCGAGGCGAGGCGACGCGACGCAAAGGAGTAATGCCGTCTGCGTCAGCGCGCACGCGTGTTTGGCCCCCAAAAGATGCTAAATGAGTGCAAATTGGAGGCTCGACTCCAAAAAAAGAACCAGGCGAGCACGCAAAGCTGAGGACCGCACGGGTTGCTGTCCGTCCACGATTGCCCACCCCCTTGTCGTCTGTTTTCGGTCAGTGCGAACGGGCGGAGCGTGGGCGGAAACCAGAAGAGCAGCCAGTCTGGTTCTAATGTAGATTGCAAGGATGCTGGTCATGCGGCTGCGAGGGCGAAGACGTGTCTGATTGAGCGACGATGGTGTAGATCAACAAGATGGTAAGGAAGAGAAGAACAGTGTGGTATGGCGTGCAAAGACAAGTCGAGAGAAAAGAGAAAAAAGGAAAAGGCGACAGCCAAATACGACGCCAAAGGAGGCAAAAGTCGGTGGATGACGACGCTAGCATGCGTTAGGCGGGACGACAGCGCTGAGTCCAGTCACGACGGCGGCGGCGCGTGTTCACGGACCAGGCAACACGATAACAAAGGGCGCTGGATCTGGGACAATGGCACAGTCATCCTCATCCAGAGAGTGAAGCGCTGTTGGGTCGCAGTGTACGGAGCAGATGATGGAAAGTATACTCTCAGCACGCGAGGTAATTACATTGGAGGCAAGAGGCAACGAAAAAATTGTAGCATAAACAAAAGCATCCGAGGAAAAGAAAATGAAGAGGTTGAAAAGTAGCGGTAAGAGGAAGATGTGTCCAAGGACGAAAAGAACATCGAGAAACACGAATGTAGGCGAGACGGTGTCGCAGTAAGACTACCAAGGGAAAGAGCAGGGCCAAACCTGTTTTCCTCTAGGCCTTTGTTGATTTTTCAACTGCATGTCATCACGGTCGCTGTTTCTCTGCCTGTCATTGCATCCGTAATGGGGTAACAAGCGCCGGCGTTTTTCTTTTCTGTTAATTTTTTTCTACGTCGCTTTCGAGGTCTTGCGGAAAGAGCGGCCGGCTAGACCAGACCATACCCAGTTGCGCTTGGCCAGCCACAAGTGGATACATTTGTATTTCGTAGGTTGCAACGCGGTTCGCAACAAAGTTCACTAGCGGGAACTTATACAGGGGAGGACGATAACCGGAACGATCGCAGTCTGAAAGTAAGCGTGGCATAGCCTGTGTTACGGCGGACAGAGCGTCTTGGTGGCATAGTTTACGAGGTATCCTGAGTAGTAGCGGGCGAATTGTACTTTCTAAAGTGTAAATTGATTGCCTTTCCCTCCTCTCTGCTTCGCTGCTTCCGAATTTGTCTCATATACTGCTTAATGTGGATGGCGACTGCCTTGTTTGGCGACAATCAACACTAGATTGCTCCTTCCGTCAAATGCGAACGTATCACGGTTGGGAACGTCGACCGCGTAGAAACGGAAACAGGGAAGTCACAGCCAGTCGCTATTGCCCCAGTCTGCATGTTCCTTCGACAGATTGGGGAGCAACAAAGTATCTCCGACGGACAACAGCTTTTAAATGTGCATGTCAAGACGATGAGATGAACAAGTATGGCGTATACGAAATCCGACGAGAGGCAGAAAAGCAGCGGGATTGTTTAACATTTTCTCTATTTTGTTCCTTTCTTTCTGGACCAGCACAATGCACATGGCAATCTAAACTGGGGCATTGTCGCAGATTATGGAAGCTAATCAAAGAGGGAAAGAACGAGGCAATAACGTAACAAGGTAAATAATAGAGAAATAGTGCAAAGAAGAAATAGTGGAAACTACGAAGAGAGGAAAAAGGAAGCAAAGATGAATGCGTATACTTTTCGACAGCAGCTGTCATGTCCACACGCACAGGTGGAGGCCCGCTGGAGAGTACCGCTGTGGCCACTGACACCGCCAAAAGTGCAAAGCCAGGCGTGAACCGTGTCTTCACTTTAGGCCGAGTCGTGACCCGCAGCTTTTCGCGTGTGGGTCCTCCAGGTTAAACGCGACATCACGTGATCGCATCTACGTGGCGCAGGACACTACGAGTGACACAAAATTACCTAAAAGGGAAGTAGTAACCCATGTCGCGACATCAACTGAGCAAAGCGTGCGCATGAGCCTCATACAAGAGCAAGAGTTAACGTTGGAACTGGATGTAAAATCACATTTGTTTTAGAAGCATGGTATCATGTTACCGTTTTGGGGATGTGATGGCATACGTTACCCATATACTTGTTGGAACTGTAGCCCGTGCAAAGGAAAGCTTTCAACAATGCATCTCAGTTCTGCGCCCGTTGATCGTGGAATACCGTGGTCCTTGAACTTTATTTATCTGTTTAAACAACATTGAATGCTCTTATAAAGACATGTCACTTCTTATATGACGTTCAGGATGGTCCTGCCGGTATAATGATGGTTCGTTTCGCTAGCTAGAGAGCCAGAACCTTATGTTTGCCTGCTCCTTCCTGGAGTCTAGTTTACAGGAGAATGATGTCTGGCCTGCCATTTCTTCCTTCTCCTATCCTTGCTCTTTCCCTTTCGCGTTGATTTATTTCCTCAGCTGCAAATCACAAATATCTGTTCGTCTCGTGCATCAAACAGTTCAAGATCAATCACCATCCCTCCCCAGGCTCTGTTTAACATTTCGTGTCGTTCATCTATTCATTTATAACGATCTTTATTAAACATCAGAGTCCCGCCCTCTAACCCTTTACAATGGCTCCAATTTTCAGCCCGCCTCGATCAGCCAAGCGCAGCAAGGATTCCCTGCGTCCTGTTGCGGCGGGAATTCCTGCCAAGCACGCGCTTGTCAGGCGTTCTGGTGTGTCCTCGAATCGAGTGTCAATGGATAAAGGCTCTCGGGTCTCTGAAGTGCCACTGCCGGCCTATGCAAACTATTACCGCGAACGATCGGCATCAGCATCACCTAAAATCCGCAGCAGTTCCTCCGCCTCTATATCTCCCTCGCGCCGCTTCTGGACTTCCTCCGATTCCGAGACCAATTCGCATCCCATATCAGCAGCCTCATCACCACCACCTTGTGAGAAAGCGGCCACAACCACGTCCTTCAAGGCGCTCGAGTCCGATCGACAGAACCTGGCTCGGTTCACAGAATACGTGGAGCTCGGCTACGTGGCCAAGAGGTTCTCGGACACCAGCGAGCAATGGGGCTACAGTCCCGAGCAGCATATTGTGACAAGCAAGCGCCACTTTGAGCTGAACGAGCTTGAGAAGGGCTTCATTGAGGGTATGACGCAACAGGACGCTGACAGGCTGTTCGCTGCCCACGCTCTCCTTGACTTGAGCCGAGGAAGCTAAGACGTAACTTTTTGCGGGTAAGTTTATCACCTCCGTTTTCGTTGTTGGTTCGTGTCTCGTTTCTCAGAAATTTCTTACATTTTTTTTTAGTCTTCCAACAAGCCTTTACACCAAAGACAGAGTGATTGCTATGTCTAACATGGACAGATTTGCAAACCTTTCTTTGGTTCCTTTAAACACTACTTTTTCATGTATGTATTTGGATGGTTTTTTTTTTTTTTTTTGGTTATTGGATAGTTCATTTCTGGCTCGTGCTCTGTCAGCGTCGGGCGTCGTACATATCGTGGGACTTGATTTTATTTTTAAAACCTAAAGGCAAGGAGGGGGCCGGGGGGGGGGGTAGCCGTTTGGTTATTGCGCACTCGCTAGTTTGGAGTAGATATACTTTGTTATATCAATTGTCTTCACCTTTCATATTTTGTGCTATTCCGGTCTCTTCATATCAATCAAATCGCTCCCAATAACTCCGGGCCATATCATGATGTCGTTACAAATCAAAACGCGAGCTCAATCCACTGCTACACAGTATTTTCACCTTGAACAATCGCAGCCACCCTTTTCTCCTCTCTCTCCTTGGCTTCCCGCTTCTCGGCCTTGCACTGCTTCCGCCGGTCATCTTTGGCCTTTTTCTCGCGCCGGTACCGGATGCCGTTGCGCATCAACAAAAACATGAGTGGTAGGAACGCGGCGTACAGCAGTCCCAGCAGCACGAAAGCCCAACCAATACCCAGCTTGTTGATCATGGGCACAATGACAGCACTGAAGAGCGCACCCAGTAGACACCGCGCAAGGTTGTTGGCGGCCACGGCGGCGCCCGCATGACCGGGCGACACATCAATCAGCAAGACGCTGGTGGCATTGTTGAAGCCAATCATGCCCACACCATAGAAGAAGTTGAGCACACAGGGAATGGCGACAGAGACCCGTTTCTCGAGCACCCAGCCCCAGCACAGGATCACGACTGTGGCTAGAATGGCAAGCGGTATGCCGACCTCGAGGCGAGCACGTTCAATGGGGAAATCGGCGAGGTCGGCCTGCCGGGACTTATCGACGGGCAGGCCGAGGCGGCGGGCGTGACGGCGGTAGTTGTAGTTCATCAGGGGTCCCATGACGAAGGCTGTGAGTGCCGATCCAGCTGCCATTGGTCTATAAGGTTAGCACATCGCCACCTTGTCTCTCATTGAAACGTGGGGGGGGGGGGGGGGGGGGGGGCGGCGGCTATAACTGAACATACATGTACATGAGGCCAATAACGAGGTCGTTGTAGCCGTAAATCAGTGCGTACTGCGACGGCATTGCCACCGATATCGAGTAGAAGCCGGCAAAGATAATGGCATTGTAGCCGACGAGAATGCCGATTTGCTTTTCAAACAGCATCAATAGCGACCGCAGCGGGTTGGGAAACTTGACTCGGAGTGGTGGCCGGACGGAGCTGGCGCGTGTTGCGGTCAGCGCCAGCGAAGTGCTATGCAGCAGACCGCCGTCCCCAATTTCGTTCTTGTTGCTATTCGTGTTGGTGCCTGCAAGCTCTTTTCTCTGTTTCTTGTGGCGTTGATGCTGCGCCCGTTTCTGGTTCCAGTCCTGAAATAGCTGCCTGAATGTGCGGTACATGGGATGTGGCCGAATGGAGCCATCTCCTACAATGTTGCGGCACGTTTCGGGCAAAAAGAGCAGCAGCACGACAAACATGACGGCCGACGAGATGACCAGGAACCAGAAGATGGACCGCCAGCCGAGGTACTGGGAGAGCACACCGCCCAAGATCGGGCCCACTGTCGGTGCCAGCACTGTCGGCAGCACCGTGAAGCCAATATACTGGCCGCGCTCGGCACTGGTCACAATGTCGGCGACGACGGCCTGGCACAGCGCGATCGTGCTGCTGGAGCCGGCCGACTGGATGCAGCGCACCACGAGAAGCGAGGCGTAGTTCTTGCACACGGCCAGGCCCACATTGGCCAAGATGTACACGATGAAGCAGACCATGTACGCCGGGCGCCGACCGGCACCATCGGCGAGGCCACCCACGAACATGGGTGTGACGCCCTGGAGGATCATGTACGTGGTCATGGTGAGGTTGACCTGCGTTGCCGTAATGCGGAAATCGGCCGCGATGAGATTCAGCGCCGGCAAGTAAATCTGTGCAGTCACAGGCGAGAAGAAGGCGGCGGCAGACACGGCCAGCACAATCCATCGCTTCTCCCACAGGCTGTACACGGAGTAGCGTTCCGGAACAGAAGACTGCACAGCGTCGAGGGGCAGTCCATCCGCAGGTCGGCCGGTTTCGATCCCGCCTTCGTCATCGCCGCTGCTGTGCACGCTACCGGCCGGCGCATGGCGAATTCCCATGGTTTTCTCTTCTATGGCGACGCTATCAGGGACAGGCTCCTCGCTGTGTGGTTCAACTGGCCATTCCGACGGCGACCGAAGGCTGTTGGGGTCTCCTAGCCATTTCTCGGTTTCATCCTGTCCGTGTAAGATATTCTGAGGATTATGTGCGTTCGTGTTGTTAATCGTTTTTGAATCCACATTCTCTTGGCATTGCGGTCTTGTTTCCGCTTGCTGTTGATGTGCTACCATTGGTATCAGTGTGTCTGAGTTGCGTGTGTGTAATGGTAATTGTGGTTGGTCAGTTTGAGCCTCTACTCATAGTGTCCTCCTTTTCCAGCTATTTGAGTGGGCTTTGCTGCAGATATAAACGAAGTTGAAAACGAATAAAAACCAGGTGCCAGTTGACAAGATGACTTTACGATTGCATCACAAGTGCAGTGTTTTGCCGCCTTCAACATGGTAAAGAAAAGCATCCACTAGCGTTGCCGATTGCCGGCCCGGCCATATGTAGGCGATAAGCCTGCCCTGTAGACGCTTTTGTATGCCGGGCTCGCGTCTTGCGCCACTGGTTGAAGGCCGAAGGCGAACAGTCTCCCAGTTTAGGAACGAAAAGGCCCTTACCTGCACGGAGAATTAGTCGTGACGTTGCCACATTGGGCCTGGCTTGATGCGCGATCCCGAACCCGGATACTCAACGCAACAGCGGGCATCATATACGTTGGATGGTTGGATGTTTGTATTGGTCTTTGTTTATCATTTTGTTGAAGCGTGTGGTCATCGGATTCAAGGCTCACAGAAGCTGGTTGGAAATGAACCGTCGTGAATCATCCGAAATGCCCTCTAAAGAAGGCGTGGCCTATTGCATCAGAGTTGGCCTTGACGGCAGAGACAAGGACAAAGGGAAGCATGTGAATGACGGACGTTCTGGTGCGTGTTTTTTATCTTGCCGAATCACCGAAATTCGCCATTGCGGGATCGCTTAAATCCAGTCAACAATTGAGGCGACGATAACCGTCTTACGCCGCCCAAACTTAATTGACTGCACCCCCCCGGTACAGGTGTCCATCCCACGCTGTAGTGGCCCACGCGGTCTGGCCCAAGCTCCAACCATAACACAAGCGTCCAATCGCCCGGGCCAGGCTACGCTCCCGGTGTTCCCTCCGCATCACCATCTGTAGCCGGCTTGGCCCGTTACTGTGGCCGTCGCTAAGACAGACCAATGCGATCATTTTCATGTGACAACTTGGGATAGCATCACCACCTGTAGAGTGGCATTCGTATCCGGCGAGCATACATCTGTAGCCTTGGACAAGGATGTTGGCCACCGTTGTCGGATGGTTATTTTCGCACTGCGATGTCGGTTTACAAATTTCGAGGTGACCATAGGACCAGGTGGATGAGCCGTTGAGTGAAGATTGCTTTCTTCGAGCCCGCGAGACAGCGAAGTCGTACTCACCACCGAAGGCCGGATAACAGTGCTCTCCGCCGTTGCACCCCGGAGGAGAGTGAGCAGCAGCGACGTTCCGTCACAGCCGTCATGAAAGCCACGGCAAATACCTTCTTCATCGTTTTGATTGTGATCGGAGGGTATCCTCGCTTGCGCCAGGTCGTGAAGGGGCTCAAGCTCTGCGTGGAATTCTTTTGCGGTATCGTCGGCCATCTTGCCATGTTTCGCGGCGGAAGCCGTGCAATTGTTTCTGTGCGATGAAAATGGAGAACATTGCATGCCACGTAGGTTTGGAGTCTTTCAAATCAAAAGTGAGCCATTTAGCTTTAGGAAACATGTTGGTCGGGCCTGACACATACATCACAACCCAGCATCGCCTGGACATGGCATCATCCTGCAATAAAGACGAGCAGATCCCCGCGGACGCCCTCGCTGCGTCGAAAATCTGCTTTAACCGTGCAACCATTTAGGCCAAATTCAAGGCATTTCTCGGAGCTTCAACTCAGATCGTGAGGCATTCTCTCTGTAGCTCTCTGGCCATCCTGGTGGTTGGGCCGGGCAATGCGCGAACTCTTGTCATATGCTTAGCTTATCTCTCCCAGCACGACAGATCTAACTGATATTTTCCTTCGCTTTTTGGAAGGAATTTTTTTTTTTTTTTTTTTTTTTTTTTTTCCTATTTGCTTCGCTAGGTCAAGCGGCCGACTATCCCCATATGTCTACTTGAACTCGCTCGGCAGAATCTTGGCCGCCCGCATGTGGTCAAACACGCGGCCCCAGGCCTTTGTCGTGTCGCGCTCCTCCTGGAAGCCAGCTACGTCGTACATCTTGGTCATGTCGTACTGACGGTCCTGGTCAAACTGCGTGATCAAGAAGTACTCGAACCCAGGGTGGATGCGCGGGCTGTCGGCGTGACCCGACTGCAGGCCATACTTGACCTCCATGCCGTTCCACACGTCCATGTTCTGCCGGATGTACGTGCGCACCTCGATCGGGTTGTCCTCGGCCTTCTTGACGCCCTTGAGGCCAAAGTATGCACACAGGTCCGGCCAGCGGGTCTCCCAGGTGCGCGGCGTGCGCGCGTCGGCCACGTTGAACGACTCACCCTTGGCGAACCGGTACCTGTCCGACAGCTGGACGTGCAGCGTCTGGCGCGCAATCATCTCGGCGCTCGAGTCGATGCTCTTCGTCGCCCAGCTCTTGGCGGTGCCGGGGAACGGGCACTCGGCGCCGGCGCCGTTGATCTCGCGGTACAGGCTGAGGAAGAAGCCAATCGACGAGCCGAGCGAGAAGAAGTTTTGGTTGGGCACGAAGCCGATGATAATGTCCGGGCGGGTGTCGATCCAACCCCACTTCTTGTCCTTTGCATACGCGCGGACGAAGTCCATCTGCGGCAGGTAAAAGAGGCCGTCGCTGGCAGGCGGTTCAAGGAAGGGCAGATCCTCTTTGAAGGGTGGCACGAAGCGTGCTGGGCGGTTCGAGAGCAGGTGGCAGCCATATTGCTTGGCGCCGGTCTGCAGGACGACGGTCTCAAGGTTGGGACACAGGTGGTCGGTCGCCAAGACGGCGCGCTTGAACATGTCGGTATTCTCCTCGTTCTGCACCTTATCGTCGGTGTTGGCCTTGTATGCAAAGAAAAGGTGGTCGGTGACCTTGTCGAGGTTGGGAATCTTGGCCTTCATCGTCTTCTCGAGGTCCTCCTGGGACCCCTGCAGCAGGTCAATACCCGTCACGATGGTGAGACGGTCATCTTTGGGCCAGCGGGACTGCTCGAGAGTCAGGGGCCGGTTGGCCAAGGCAATGACGCCGCCAAAGGTACCCTTCTTTGGGTAGTCGTTCAGGACTTCGTTGACAAAGGCCCAGCCAGTGACACCGCTGGCGCCAAAGACGAGAGCGTACTTGGGAGCAGCCATTTCGAAGTATTTGTACGTGTGTGGTATTGGAGATTCCTCGTCCGTTGCGTGTTTCCACCACTACTATGCTCTGTCGAGGCCTTTCATTGATGAGGTACCAAGACCGTAAACAAGAGACGGGAGAGGCGTCGAAAGGGGAGGGACGATGGCTCTCCTTTTTATAGCTATACTACGAAAACAAAACCAGACAACAGGGTAACACCTGTACGACGCCGTTCCCTGACGTCCTCTTGTTGATTACCCCTCAACGACTGCGCCCTCCCGCGACGACTGAATAGCTGTTGTGCACATCAAGGATGAAGCGGCGTGGGTAGAGAGCACCGAAATACGCGGTGCGTTTTCCATGATTCCCCGCACATCGCAAGCTCAGATCGCTTCGTGTGGGGTTTCATGGCTCCATGGTCTCTTTGTTAGGCAGATGTTTTCCGAGCCATAATAAAAGAGGGGAGAAGTCAGTAGGATGTTGTGTAAGTAACACCACGACGTAGGCTAAGCGATGCAGCATGAATAAAAGAGAAAGTGTACGTCACGTTTTATTATCCTTACAGACAGGCACTTGCATGCCGTTTTCAGAGAAGTTTGGCCAAACATAGCTTATGGTATCCCAGGCTATCATGTCGCTGTACAGTGATATGGCGAATGTCCCTGAGATACTCCGAGATTCATATGAATTACCCCGTCAGGGACCCAGGTACGTGATGTCATGTCATGCTAGATTGGAGAGGGAATGGGCGTGACCGTCCACGTGAAAATTTATGTACACGGTCGCGTTAAGAACAGCCCAAATAAGTTAGGCTTCCGGTGTGCATCGACGTCGTCAGTGGCTGGCTCGCTTTCGTTCTCGCTACCGTCGTTTTCGCTGCATCGTTTTGCTGGCATCGTTGAAGCTCTTCGCAATTCATGCTGTTGGAGACGGCTTTCCTCGTTTCATATTCTGCCGTCGTTTTCGGGTTATGAATGGTGGGTATAAATACCGCTATATTAGTAAATCTAGCCGCCAGATTCCCAGTCAAAAGAGGGAAAATAGAGAAGGCATAGGAACGACACGCTTGGCAACGCTCCTCTGGCGATGTGCACGAATTTTGAGTTGGACTGCATCAGATACGCCGTATTTTGTGGCTGCCATTGCCGGGATTTGGAATGATGCATGGAACCAGTGCCTGAAGCGGTCGCCGTGGTGCAGTCAAATTGCCCACGCGCCAATCTGAACACCGGCGGGTATTCGATGCCACCGTGATCAACGATGACGACTACACAAACTCTCTTCCGCGTATTACAGTTACCGTTCTGTTGGTCGTCCTAAATGTTTTAGCCCCATTCTTTTCAGTGTCCAGCCATTCTAACCCTTCCCGCTGTCAGACGGAACGACCGAGCCACTAGCCACTCTTCTAAGCCCACCGAACCACGAGCCTCAAAGCTTAGCTACCCCAATAGGCCGCCCTACGGAGTAAGCCAAGTCTTTTTGCCAGCACCTAAGCGGGGGCAGAGCCACGTCGATCTCGCCCATTGTCGCCCAAAAAGGAAATTAGTTGGAGCAACCGGTGGACAGTGAGGGGCATGCACCTGCCCTGGGAGTCAAGGAGAGATGAGCATCAATGGCAAAATGCTACACGCGCATCTGAGCATAATTGTAAAGCCACTGGCGATCCCCTAGACACAGAAAGTATAAGAATTGACGACGCTCCCACTTCAGGACTTGGATCTCAAGCAATCGAAACTCTCTTCTGTTCTACTACCGTCCAACGTTTCTAATCTATCTCGACATTTCGAACGAAATTGAGGATATATAAGATACATTTATTTCACTCCCTCGTTTTGTTCAATCGCCCTTCCTCCTTTCCTCCCATTCGTGATCATCATGAGTGGTATAGTCAAGATTGTCGGTGCCGGCATCGGCCTGGCGTCCGAAGCCATCCACCACTCGCGTGCCAAGAGCAAGGCTGCCAGGGACGCCGAAGACAACAGCCGCAGCCGCAGCCAGAGTGGCCAGAACACACCCCTTGAGGAGACACGCAGTCCGTCTGACAGCCGCTCGGTCAGCCGACAAGTGAGCGGTCAGGACGGTTCGCCCGCTGCTGGCCCTTCTTCGTACGCCAGCAACAACACTACAGTGGCCGGCCCGTCGAGTGCAACCAACGCTCCCGGTGCCTCCAACGACCCCCCTGCCTACCTCACACCCGAAGAAGAGAAACGCCAGCTCGCCGAAAAGGAGCGACAACTTCTCGAGTCGGACAGCTTCGGCTACTACGATGACGAGGCCGTCTGGGAGCTCGACGACATGGCCGAGTACATGGACCCGCCTGCCTACTCAGAAGCCGCCGGCGAGACTCCTGGATCGCCTGTTTCGCCAGCCGATGACGGTTCGCGTCGGGGCTCTGGGGCCAATAACCTTGAAGAAGCAGCTGTTGGAGAAGCTGAGGGAGAGGGTGAGGAAAGGGAAGAGATCAAGAAGCAGCAGCGCATGGTTCGCGAGCTGGTCCGCATGGCCGGGCCTACGCCAACGCCCATGCGCCGCATCCCCTGCCCCGTCATTATTCCGCAGCGCCGCCCGCGTACAAAGGCCCGTGGTTTTGTGCGTGCCTATGCGCCCGTCCTCAGCGACTGCGGCATCAACCAGGACGTGTTTCTTCGCTTCCTCAAAGACTGGTACCTTGCCAGCAAGGCCAGCCCTTGGATTGATGTCGTCTATGTCGCCGCCGGCATCGTGGGCTTTGTGCCCGAAATGGGTGCCCAGATTGCCAGTGTCGTGGTGCAGGTCGTTGCTGGAACCGCTCGCGAGTTGCAGTCGCGCCACCGCAACAACACCTTCTTGGACCGCGCCAACCAGGAGCTCTTCATGCCGCGCGGCTTGTTTGCCATGGTGATGGCCTTCAAGGACGACATGCCCAACGCCTCGGGCGGCGGCTTACTCGGCGGCCTCAAGTCGGCCATTGGCAAGAGCCTCGTATCGACGGAGCGCCTCGACATCAACCAGACCACGGTGAAATACAGCCAGTTGGCCGCGCTCGGCAGCAACGGTGCCGCCAACAAGGGCAACAAAACCAAGGCTGCCATGCGCAACCTGCGGAAAAACAACGGCATGACCTACACCGAGCTCGAGCTGCCTCAGGCCGCCGAGCTCGTCTACCCAGACCTCGACAACGCCGCCGAGCGCGACCTGGCTGCGGTTGAAGGCGGAGGCGAAGTACCCAAGAACAGCAAGTGGCACAGGTCCGGAAAATTCGTGTCGAGCTACCTGGACCGCCGCGCCCAGGCCGAGTATGCAGGCACGCACCAGGGCTCGTCGATGGCCGTGCCAGCCGACGCCCGCAAGCCATTCATGTCGCGTTTTGCCGACCCCAACCACCCGGCCAACAGCGGGTCGTTGGTCGCACTGTTGTCCGGCGGCAAAATTGTGCCCGACAACAACAGACGCAGCCAAGGCCTGCTCGGACGTGGCGTTGCTGCCGGTCTGGGCGGTGGTCTCGGTGGTAGTCTTGTTGGTCGCGGCATGGGAGGCGGCAGTGGTTACCACGAGGACGGCTCCGAGAGCAACTCGTACTGGGATCGCCGCCGCCGCCAAGGCCCCATCGGCATAGGCATCAGTCTGATTGGCGCCGGCGTGTCAAAAATCATGGAGCAGCGGCAGCAGAGCCAAAATCGCGCCATTGACAGCGGAAACCCCAACGGCAACGGCAACGGCAACGGCTTCTTCGACGACCGTCGTGACAACGACCAGCACCAGCAGGGCCAGATGCAGTACGCTAATTCCTCAGCTCCGTACGGAGGCTCGTCGGCCTCGTCCAACCCGCCTGCTCCGTACGGTTCGTCGAACCCTCCGGCACCTTATGGTGGTTCAGCGAACTACCAGAACGAGCAGGACTACGGCTGCGATGAACAGCAGCGCGACAACGCTGGCTACAACGCTGGCGCCAACTACCAGGGTGGCAGCACCCAGTACAACAACATGTACAACCGTCCCAACAACCGCGGCGTGGGTGGTGGTGCAGGCCGCGGTATCAAGAAGATCATGCAGCAGGACGTTTTGTACCTTTTGATTGTCAATCTGCCGACTGACGAGGAGGTTCAAACCTCTATTGCACAGCTAGAGCGTCTAACGTCTCACTCGAGCCGTTAAGAGCGACTAAGTTGGACACTGGATTTTGAGATTGAGTTTTGTGGGAGCATTGAATACCATTGATGGACTTAGTGTATGGCTCGTGGTTTTCCTAATGGCATGGAACTAGATATCACTGCTTGTTAAATTATTTTACATTTTTATCAAAATATAACATTTCTACATGCGATGTCATCCGCCTAGCAGTGACCTTCGCTGCACGGTCAACCACTCTCGGGCTCTTCTCCGGCAGGCAGTGTCGATCTTGGCACACCCGCACCGTAGATACCACCGTCAAGAATCACGGCCTCATTGTTGTCGAGGTCGTCTTGGACACGCCGCCAGCGACTGGCTGCATTGGGGTTGTCTCGGCGGCCAGGCAGGGGAGATGCCTCGCTAGCATCCTTGCTGCTGCTAGCAGCTTCCTCCTGCTTGGCCTCAGCCTTTCCCTTGCCATTGCTTGCCTCTTTGTCCTTGGTCTTGCCCTTGCCCTTTCCATGTTCTTTCTCAGTCTTGTCCTTCTCTGCTGCCTTTACACGGCTCTGGGCATCGTAGACTGGTTTGATCAGGTGGCCGAGCAATGGGTTCCTGCTAAAGGCACCGCTGCCTGCCGTGCGCCTGCTGGCGGTCGTGTCCTTGTTGCCGTCTGCATCCGTAAGGATCGCTGCGCCCTTGCCGCCGTGTCCGTACTCGTCGTTTACGTTGTCATCGTCGTCGTCGCTCTTTGGCGTTGGCGGGCGGTCCATCACCACGGCCTTGCGGAACACTTTGCGACCCGTCACATCGATGCTCAGCACCTGCTGCCTCTTCTCGTACTCGGGCCGCGCGTTCCACTCCATCTCCCGCAGCAGCTTTTGCTGCCGCCGCAGCTCGCGCGCCCGCTCCTCGGGTGTTGCCCACAGGTTGCGCGACGTCGGTGTGTCGCCATCGCCGCCGCTCGCCATGGCGTCGCCCACATCAAAATCGGCCGCTTCGTCGCGCACCGTCGTCCGCTGCGCGTTCTGCGCCTGGAAGGCCAGCAACTTGTCGCGGTGTGCGCGCGCCTTGGCCTCGGCCGTCTGCATCTGCGTCTCCGCGGCCTTGGCCGCCTCCGCTAGACTGACAAACCCGTTGTCGTCGCCGCCCCATTTCGCCTGCCCAGCAACCATGTGCGGACCCGACGCGTGCTGTGCGTGCGTCATGGCCGCACCCATGCGGTTCTTTCCGCCGTAGCTCACGTCGATGCGCCGGTTTGCCTCGCGGTCTGCCGCCATCTTCTCGCGGCCCCGCTCCGCGCGCAGCTCCTTGATCATGGCCTGCACGTCCGCCGGCGACAGCAGCGGCGCGCCGCACGACGTGCACGGGCCCAAGCCCTCCTTCACACAAATGACCTTGCCGCACGACATGCAGTTGGGTGCGGCCTTTTGCAGCGCGTGGCGCGTGGCAACGCAGTTGCAGCGGCGAGCGGAAACGCTATCCTGGCCGGCCTTGCCGTTTCCACTGCCGTTGTTGGCCAGCGTGGGGTTCGTGCTCACCTCAAGCGAGCGGATGGCGGCGTCAAAGTCAGACAATGCCGTTGCGGCACCGTGCATGGCAGTGCCGCCCGTAATGTTGATCTTGGTGGAGGACGTATCCTTGTTGGACGCTCGATTCTTGGTCTTGGGGGCGAGTGCGTCTTGGATCAGCGAGCCGCCGGCGCCTGATCGTTGCTGTTTTTGTGATTGTGACGGCGCCGACGCTTGTGGCTGTGGCGATGGCTGCTTCTTAGGCGAGGGCTGCGGTGGTGGTGTCGTTGACGCAGATACTGGCGTCGCACCGCGCGCTATGCCTGCTGCCGCGACTGCCAGCGGCGTCGTGGTGCCCGATGACCGACCACCCATGTAGTCGCCCACAACGTCCTTCTTGTTGTACACCGCGCCTGGCGGTGGTGCCAGGTTCGTCACCTGGCGTGGCGGTGGTGTGTGTAGCGGTGCCTTCTTCTTCTTCTGTCTGTGGTGCTTGGGAACCGGCTCAATGGCTCCGGGGCTGCTCGTTCCGGGTGTGTTCGCACCGGAATGGCTCGCTGCTGCGACAGACGATGCGCTGCCCGCCGCAGGATCGTGCCGCCGTGCGTTGAAGGCCGCGACGAACTCGACGGCAGCAGGGTCGCTCCCCAACAGGTTTGAGAAGTGCTCGGCAGCCTCAGCCTTGGACAGCGTCGAGGCATAGTCGAGCACTTGCTGCAGAGCATCGTCCGGCAGCTCAATGAGCCGGCCGAGCTGGGCTTTGGACATGGTCTATGTCGGTAGCGGGTTGGTCGTATGTATGGTTGTTCTTCTGCGTATGGGTGTATGGTTCTCGTGATTCGGTTTGCCGTTGGCACTGTAGTAAGTAGAAGACGGGTTGAGTTAGATATAGCTACAGTCGAAGCTACGATGCATCTTCGTCACACCTAATTGCCTTTTGGCGGGGCAGCTCTTTTCAAGGTCATAGCCGTGCCACGAAGGCAGGCACGACTGGGGCAGTGCCTTGCGCTAAAGGATGCTTCACAGCACTTGCCGTTCGGTCTGTTTTGAGCGCTGATTTAGTGCGGTAATATTGCTACGACCAACTGTACTTCAGCTGTCGCTAGTCATTAAGCCCAACCTACACCGTAGAAGTCTTCATTTTATTTCTTTTCGAACGCGTCTATGAATGTATATGAGAGAGAACACATCGCAAACAAAATGACCGCAAATAACATCCACATGCCTTCAAATTCTATCATTGTTTCCATCTTCTGATGCTGTCCACCATCCGCTCTCTTCTTCTCCGTCTTCTCAACCACTTCTCGTCTTACTATACCACATCTTCTGCCGGATGACTCAGCCTGGCCGACTTTGAGTTTCCATCCTTCACGACGTCGGTGGAGACTTGGATGAGGATACCGCAGAAGTCAGGCTCATTGCTGTGCCCGTGTTTGTGCCGCCCGTCACGAAAACGATCGTCGGCGGCGGTGTGTTGGAGCCGTTCCCACTCAAGTCGGAGCTCGCACCGGTCGGCAAAGCCACTTCACTTGCTGAGTTGCCCGTCGCATTTCCATGCCCGTCGATGTTTCCGTTCCCAAGTTGACGGCTCCGCGCCAGGGCCAGTATGGCAAAGTGGCCACCGACGGCGGGCCGTGCCTGGAAGCGGATGTCCTGCGGCACCTGCGGATAGTAGCCCGACCCGACGACCTCGAACAAGTCGGAAAACGGATGCTCTGTGGTGGTGTAGTTGAGCCAATATGCTAGGCTCGTCACCAGCAGACGCCGCGTTTTGGGCGTGCATGTTGCAGCCACCCACATCATCCAGTCGCTCTTGGTGTAGTGGTGGCGGTTGTCGAGCGGCACGCCAAAGACCTGGGACACCTGCGGGTACCATTCCGACTGCATCGCGTATATATCGTCGCCGACCACGCCCAAGTCCAGCAGCTTGTCCATGAACACGTTGTACAGCAGGCCCCAGCTTGAGCGCCACTGATACGCAAGCAGCGTGTGCGAGTGGCCCGTCGGGTCGACGGCCAGGTACACCCACTTGCGGTAATAGTCGCGGGCAATGGTTTCAAAATGGTCGGCATCATGCGGCTGACCTGCGATACGCGCAATCTCGCCCATGGCGGCGATACCCAAGATGCCCTTGATGGCCAGGTTGGTTTGGTTGGCGAGCGTGCCGGCAAAGTCATCGGTGCTGAGCTGTGCGGCCGGTACCAGCGAGAAATCGACGAGATACTGCGCAAACTGCCGCAGCAAACGGTAGCGGCTGGCAAGCCAGGCGGTTGCGTTGCTGTCCGCGTTCCCTTTTGCAAAGCGGTAGTACGCAAGCGACAGCAAGATGAAATTTCCCGACTCTTCGACGGGCATGTACTCGTCGTTTCCGTCGACGTGGCCCGTGGCGTTGGGGAATTGTGCGCCAATGTCGTGGGCGCAGTAGCTGTTGGGGTAGAACGTGCCCTCCTGCATTTCATACACGGGCGTCAAAATGTACTTGAGCATCTCCGGGTTAGCCCACAGGAAGAAGGGCGCCGCAGGGAAGATGACATCGACGGAATTGAGGTTGCCGTCGCTGGAGATTTCCTTCTGGAACATGAGCGGCTCGACGGATGACGTCGACGAGAGTGCCGACGGAGGGATCGCATAAATATACGATCCCATGACCTGGCGCGCGGACAGGGCCACGATTGCATACAGCGCATCCGCTTCGGACACATCTGGAACGGCTACACCTGTGTTGTTATCACGAGTGCTGAGGAAGCCATACGCCGTGTCGGGGTCGAAGATGTAGTGTCCCTGGGCCGTGTTGGTGCTGGTGGCGTTCGGCTGTGCCGTCGCAGCTGTCGACGTCGATGTCACCGTTGTTGTCGTCAGGACCGTTGTGTTGGGGAAGAGAGCATGCCGTGTTGTGGCTTTGACTGTGCCGTTTGTGCTGTTGTTTGACGATGCCCAACCGTCGAACTCTTCCTTATAGTACTGCGCAATGTCGCTCTTCAACGACGCTGTCATCTCCGCTGCCAACCGGCTGACTGTCTCAAAGTCGTGCCAGTGAAAGCGCACCAGCGATGCTGTGTCCTCGCCATAGCACGTGTGCCACCACGGTCGGAGCTGGGCCACTCCGCCGTAATAGAGGTATCGTGCCGCCGGAGTCTGGATGGAGCCTATGCTGTACCGCACCGACACTTCCTTCCGACGGTCGCTGGCGCCACCGATACTGCCAAAGTCGTGCGCGAAGGCGAACACGGACTCTCTTCCGGTAAAGCTCGCAAAGTCGCGTTGCACAACGGAGGGAAGCTGCCTCTGAGTTATGAAGCCATATCGCACACCCACGGGATCGCCGTTCTCGTAGCTTAGGCGCGCACCAAACGGCGCGGTCGAGTATGTGAAGTTGCCCCACTGTGCCATGTCGCTGTCCTCGGCCATAAAATACGGCACGCTCTGCTGCAGTGTCCAGGTGTACGGAGCGGACGCGCTTCCGATCGTCTCATTGCCGCCTCCGCTCTGTTCTCCTGCTACGCTACCGTTGATCGCCGGCGTGGCCTTGTCCTGCGTCAGATCCCACACCAGAGGCGATCCCCTCTGCCGCCGGATCCATGCGTCATTGACGTCCGAGTACACACGGATGACATGAGGCTTGTCGTCCAACACGCGCACTCGCGTTGTCAGGTAGCTCATCGGGATCGCTGTGCGGCAGATGTCCTTGGGCGTCACAGGCGAGAAGAAGCTGGCCGTGATCTCGACCGGGCCCGCCAGAAAGGTAAAGTTGGAGTAGTGCGCATCGTAGTGCACCGACTGCGGCCGCGCCGGCTCTAGGCCCGTGATCCGCTGAAGCGACTGGGCGCCCGTGCCCAGATATTCGTACGTAACGTTGTCCACCGCCACCATGCCGTCCCACCCAAGTGGTATGCCGGACCAAAACGTGACTGAGTTGCTGTTGAGTGTGGTATTGCCGGCAGTTGTCACCCAGGCGCTCAAATAGGGGCTTCGGACCGCCAAGGGGATCGCCGGTGGCCGGCCGGGGGAGTACTCGGGCAGCGAATGGCCGTTGGCATCCTGGCCGTCCGAGTGAAGGTAATTGGCCCCTGCCACTCCGAAGTAGGCCGCCGTCAGAGCGAGGCTAGAAGCATGCCGAGGTCGCATAACGGGCAAGTCGCAACACGGTGAGTTTGGTATGAAGGGTCAGGAGAGACAGTCAACAGAAGATCACGAAAATAATAAAAGACCAACTGTGGGCCTGAAACAGCGAACTGCTCGACCTAATGGTGACATCAAGTATGAGAGAGGTGTAAACAATATGTCGTCACCGAAGTAATGCACAACCAAAAAGTCCCAAGCACACGTTTGAAAGGTTTAACGATGTAAGGTGAAGAAGGCTGTTTTATTTTGGAACAGAGACATAAAGCACAGCAGTAGGCCATGTCAATGGTTGACTGCATCAATCGTTGACTGAAATATGAGCGTAACTTAAACGGAGACATCAACTATCAGGTAAAATCAAGCTCAAAAATTAGTGCATGTGATGCTTGCGGCCTGATATTGCTTAGACGGGGAATGTATGAAAATAGAAAATACCAAACTCCAAGCAAGTATACCTTGCATTGCCAATATAGGTACGCTATCAATATCCTGATTTATATGTAAAGAACCTGAGAACAAAGCCCAACCCGCCCTACAGCGATCTACACTGCATACAACGTGAAATGCGGTCCATGCAAGGTACAGATTGAGGAAGGATAAACAGAAGGTATCTATTCTCGAGTTCGGTAACATTGACAACGAGTCAAAGATCTGCCACGAAAATGAGGCTGCGTAGAGTGTCAACAGAGTCCTTCGACAGCGTGGTCCAGGGTGTTCGGCATTATTTCTCTTACACTACACATTTACTTTGGGAGTTTGTTTATTTAATTCTATTTATTAAAAAAAAAACATTCATTTATTTTTTATGTTTTTCTCAGGGAGCCAAACGAAGACAGCAAAACCCTACAACACAAAATGAGACAATCAGTTCCATAGTAAGAAAAAGCTCCCATCACACGAAAATATAGCATACGATTCATACCGATAGTAATCAAGGACATCTCTTTCTCCTCGGGATGCTGTCAAGAGGGTCGTGCATCTCAAATCTCGATTGTCAAAATAGGGGTCTTCAAGAGCGTGTAAATCGTTGTCGTCAGGCTGGCTGCCTTGCCCTTTTTTGTGTGGCCAGCTGTCAGCGCGCTTCAGCAGCTGTCAGTCTACTAATATACGCTAAGATGCGCCACGAGCCCTCCGCGCTCCACAATGCCACGGGCCTGCCGGCCCCAAACAGGAAGCTCCTGCGCGTGGAACCTGCTAGACACCATTGAGGAAAGCGCGGTACCCCCAAATCTCGAAAACTCGCCGTTTCCTCAATCTTGCCACATTGAGGGTTCCCCCTTACTCTCCCCACGCACGATTTGCTGATATCACGGCCGACGCTTACTGGGGGGCGCCTTTTTGCTGTTCTTTTCTTATTCACGCCCTTCGACCACCTGCGTGCGCCCCAACCGCACACCCTCTTCTTCTTGCATCTCCTTTATCTATCCAGACGCTCATTTTCGAATCTTCGAGCCCGGGTGCGGTATTCTTGTTTTCTTTTCTCCGACTCTCGGCCGGCCGCTCTCTGCGTGCCTTTTTTGTTCCCTTTTATTCTTTCTTTTTTTGTTTTCACTCTCTTCGCCTTTTCCGTCTGTTTCCGTCGCTGATTCCATCGACGCCGCCATCGCCCATCATGGCGCCCCTCGTCGACAACTCCCAGATCAAGAGCGCCGAGCTGCTCGTTCCGCTGTCGGTGCACTACCACGCCTACGTCTGGCCCTTCGTGGTCGCTTGGCCCGTCTTCCTCTACTACTACCTGACCCCCGAGCTCTACGAAAAGCACATCGGTGCGCCCGAGTGGACCTTTGTCTGGGTCGGCACCATTCTGACCCTGCAGAGCTTGACCTGGTTGAGCACGAACTGGAGCGTCGATATCAAGGCCCTCTTCACTGCGACCAAGGCCAAGACCGTTGCCGATGCGAAGCTCATCAAGGTCGTCCCCGTCGCCAACGCCGGTGTCGCGGAGATCTGCAAGCTGGAGACCGATCAGGTGAGTGCGCTGGCGCTGCGACCGATCAACTTTTGCGTATATATAGGAACATATCCATATTTGCGGCCTACTGACCACTGCCCGTCCAGATTGCTGGCAAGAACACCACGTCTTTCCTCTTCCAGAAGCGCCGCTTCCTCTACTCGCCGGAGACCAATTCTTTTGCGACCATCGCCTACGAGATCGACAGCGACCCCAAGCCCCAGCTGGGCCAGTTCCAGCGCTCCAAAGGCATCGCCACCTCCGCCGAGCTCGACCGCCTCGAGCAGCACTACGGCTCCAACACCTTCGACATCCCTGTGCCCACGTTCACCGAGCTGTTCCGCGAGCATGCCGTCGCTCCGTTCTTCGTCTTCCAGGTTTTCTGCGTCGGTCTGTGGATGCTCGACGAGTACTGGTACTACTCGCTGTTCACCCTGTTCATGCTTGTCGTCTTCGAGAGCACCGTCGTGTGGCAGCGCCAGCGCACCCTGAACGAGTTCCGCAGCATGAGCATCAAGCCGTACGACATGTGGGTGTACCGTCTCGGCCGCTGGACTGAGGTCCTCAGCGACCACCTGCTCCCCGGCGATCTCGTCTCTGTGTCCCGCACCAAGGAAGATAGCGGTGTTGCTTGCGACATGCTGCTCGTTGAGGGCACGGCCATTGTCAACGAGGCCATGCTGTCTGGCGAGAGCACCCCGCTCCTGAAGGACTCTATCCAGCTGCGCCCCGCCGACGCGCCCATTGAGACCGAGGGCCTGGACAAGAATGCCTTCCTCTGGGGCGGCACGAAGGTCCTGCAGGTTACCCACGGCAACCCCGACGACGCCAAGCCCAAGCTTGCCAGCGGCGTGCCGACCCCGCCCGACAACGGCGTCATGGCCGTCGTCATCAAGACCGGTTTCGAGACCTCGCAGGGCAGCCTTGTCCGGACCATGATCTACTCCACCGAGCGCGTGTCCGCTAACAACGCAGAGGCGCTTTGGTTCATCCTGTTCCTGCTTGTCTTCGCCCTGGCCGCCTCGTGGTACGTCTGGGACGAGGGCGTCAAGAAGGACCGCAAGCGCTCCAAGCTGCTCCTCGACTGCATCCTTATCGTCACCAGCGTTGTCCCGCCCGAGCTGCCCATGGAGCTGAGTCTGGCCGTCAACACCAGCCTTGCTGCCCTCGCCAAGTTTGCCATCTTCTGTACCGAGCCCTTCCGTATCCCCTTCGCCGGTCGTATCGACGTCGCCTGCTTCGACAAGACCGGTACCTTGACGGGCGAGGACCTCGTTGTTGAGGGTGTTGCTGGCCTCGGCCTCGGTCAGACCGGTTCCTCGACCCCGCGCGAGGCTGACGGTGCCCACAGCCATATGACCCCTGTTAGCGAAATCGGCCTCGAGACGACGCTTGTCCTCGCCAGTGCCCACGCGCTCGTCAAGCTTGACGAGGGCGAGGTCGTCGGTGACCCCATGGAGAAGGCGACCCTGGAGGCCCTCGGCTGGACCCTCGGCCGCAACGACATCCTGACCAACAAGCAAGCGACCGCCGCCGCGACCTCCATCTCCGGCACTGTCCAGGTCAAGCGGCGTTTCCAGTTCTCATCCGCTCTCAAGCGTCAGAGCTCTGTCGCGACTGTTCATGCCAAGGACCCCAAGACCGGCAACCGCATCCAGGGCTCGTTTGTCGCCGTCAAGGGTGCGCCCGAGACCATTCTGAAGATGCTTGTCACCGTGCCCGCCGACTACGAGGAGACCTTCAAGTATTTTACGCGCAGAGGCTCGCGTGTGCTTGCTCTTGCCTACAAGCAGCTGACCACCGACAACGAGCTGGGCGCCAGCAAGATCAACGACCTCAAACGCGAGAATGTCGAGGCGAGCCTGACTTTTGCCGGCTTCCTGGTCCTGCACTGCCCGCTCAAGGACGACGCCAAGGAAGCCGTGCAGATGCTCAACGAAAGCAGCCACCGTGTTGTCATGATCACCGGCGACAACCCGCTGACTGCCGTCCACGTCGCCCGCGAGGTGGAGATTGTTGACCGCGATGTTCTCATTCTCGACGTGCCCGACCACAGCGACGGCGGCAAGGATCTCGTCTGGCACAGCGTCGACGACAAGGTGCACATCAAGGTGGACGCAACCAAGCCTCTGGACCGCGAAATTCTCAAGACCAAAGACCTTTGCGTGACGGGCTACGCCTTGTCCCAGTTCAAGGACCAGGTGGGCTGGAACGACATCCTGCGCCACGCCTGGGTGTACGCTCGCGTGTCGCCCAAGCAGAAGGAGGAGATTCTCTTGGGCCTCAAGGACATGGGCTACTACACCCTGATGGCTGGCGATGGCACCAACGACGTGGGCGCTCTCAAGCAGGCGCACATTGGCGTTGCGCTCCTCAACGGTACCCAGGAGGACCTGACGCGCATCGCCGAGCACTCACGCAACACCAAGATGAAGGATATGTACCAGAAGCAGGTCGAACTGCTGAAGCGCTGGAACCAGCCTGCCCCGCCTGTCCCTGTCTTGATTGCCCACCTGTACCCGCCTGGCCCGAGCAACCCAAACCTGCCCAAAGCGATCGAGCGCGAGGCCAAGCGCAAGAACATGACCCCCGACGACTATGCCAAGGCCTACGTGCCGAAGGCCACCGCCCTCGAGACTGTGACCAGCCCCGCGGCCCAGCAGCTGATCAACCAGCGCGACCCCCGAAACCAGAACAATGTGCAGGCGAAGGCCGCCAGCCTGGCCGACCAGTTCACGGCCAGCATGATGGACGCCGAGCTCGACGACAGCGAGCCGCCGACCCTCAAGCTGGGCGATGCTTCAGTAGCCGCCCCCTTCACGTCCAAGCTGCGCAACGTTATCGCCATCCCCAATATCATTCGCCAGGGCCGGTGCACGCTGGTCGCCACGATCCAGATGTACAAGATTCTCGCGCTCAACTGTCTGATTTCGGCCTACAGCTTGAGTGTTCTGTACCTGGAGGGCATCAAGTTTGGCGACGGCCAGTACACAATCAGCGGCATGCTCATGAGCGTCTGCTTCCTGTCCATCTCTCGCGCGCGCTCGGTTGAGGGCCTCTCCAAGGAGCGCCCGCAGCCCAACATCTTCAACGTCTACATCATTGGTTCTATTCTTGGCCAGTTCGCCGTCCACGTCGTCACCCTTATCTACGTTGCTCGCCTGTGCGACCGTCTTGACCCGTAAGTAGTCGCCTTTCATAAGCCACTCCTCGAGATACCGTGCAGTCACTAACAAACACAGCCGGAGCGGTGACATCGACCTGGAGGCCGAGTTTTCGCCGTCGCTGCTGAACAGCGCCGTCTACCTTTTGCAGCTGATCCAGCAGATCTCCACGTTCGCCGTCAACTACCAGGGCCGCCCCTTCCGCGAGTCGCTGTCGGAGAACCGCGGCATGTTCTACGGTATTGTCGGTGTGACGGGCATTGCCTTTGCGTGCAGCACCGAGTTCATCCCGGAGCTCAACGTGGCCATGAAGCTCGTGCCGTTCAGCAGCGAGTTCAAGACCACCATGACGACGGTCATGGTTGTCGACTACGTCGCCTGCTACCTCATCGAGATTGTCCTCAAGTACCTCTTCTCCGACCTGGCCGCGCGCGACATTGCCGAGCGCCGCCCCGACCAGCTGGCACGTGAAAAGGTCCGCAAGGAGGCCGCTGCCAAGGCCAAGATTGAGGAGGAGAACCGGGCGCAGGCCGAGAAGGTGGCCGAGTTTGAGCGCAAGCAGCAGGAGAAGATTGCCGAGCTGGAGCGCAAGCAGGCGGAGCGGGAGCAGCGGCTGCGGCAAGTCCAGCAGCGGTAAAGGAGAACATGTCGAGCTTGTACGAAATGGCGGAGGTGGTAGTATTGGGGGGTGGGTGGGTGAAGACGGAAGAAAAGGAGGGGAGCGGACTGGGTGCGTCTGGCGCACGCAGCGGGATTGGATGCATTGCATGGTGGGATTCATTCCCCCCTCCCCAGCAACGGTGTTTTGTCATATGCTGGGGAAAGGCTTTGATTATTGTAAGCCCAAAAAAATAATAATGGCGGGCAAGATGTAGTTGCCCGCTGGGTGGGATTTTTTGTTAGGGACTCGGGACTGTTATATTGTGTCTGTTATCGATTTGCTTTTCTCTTGGTATTACTTGGGTTTTATTTTGGAAAAAAACCCGACGCACTCACCTCGCTATACAATAATAAATAAACTATAGACAGTTTACATACCACTTACAATGTTCTTTGTTTTTTTGTCACACATCATCTGTAGAAAGAAGGTGCATTTAGATAAATATTCAGGTTGAAAGAGGGGGGTTCTGTCATTCTCGCTTATATTGTACAGTCAGCCTTTGCTGTTCGTTTCCATCATGTGTCTAGGAGACTTTTTGATATTTAAAGTTTTCGTTTTATTTTCGTGTCGTATGATTTTTATAGTTTTTGGTTGTAGTTTACTGTCTTTTTTAAGGTCTCGTCCCGGCCCATGGTATCACTTCTACTTCTTTTCTTTTGCGAAAAAAATCACAAAGGCTACCAAAAAATCAGGCGATCCGCTCAACTCCAGCTCAGCTTAACAATGGTGTGACGCAGGTGCGACACGCTTATTTGCCGGGGTTGGAGGCGACAAACTCGACGCCTTTGGCAATGTTCTTCTTCAGGTCAGTGAAGCAAGCCTCGAGCAGGCCCTGCTCAACGGAGTCAACCTCGCCGACAGGCAGGATCTTCTCAACACCCTCGGGGCCGAGCTCGACCTTGGAGGAGAAGAACTCGATGCCCTGGTCCTTGTACAGGGGGCTCTCAACAAAGGAGGGCTCAACGACGCCCTTCTCGCCCTGGGAGGCGCGCAGGACGGAGTCGGCCATGCGGGCACCGGCCATGGCCATGGACAGCGTGGCGGAACCGGCACCGTCCTTGGCCTGGACGACCTCGTCACCACCGAACTGGACACGCTTGACCAGGTCAGCGTTGGAGGACAGCTCGGGGTGCGAGCTCTGGCTGAAGAGGGGGACAATGGTCACACCGGAGTGGCCGCCGACGACGGTGATGTTCTCGTCCTTGGGGTCGCTGCCCTTGATCTCCGAGACGAAGCGGCTGGCACGGACGACATCGAGGGTGGTGACACCGAACAGGCGCTTGGGGTTGTAGACACCGCGGGCCTTGAAGACCTCCTTGACGATGGGGACGGTGGAGTTGACGGGGTTGGAAATGACCAGGATGTTGGCGTTCGGGGCCGACTCGGCGACAGCCTTGGCCAGGTCGCGGACGATGCTGGCGTTGGTGTTGAACAGGTCGTCACGAGACATGCCGGGCTTGCGGGGAACACCGGCGGGGATCAGGACGACCTCGGAGCCTTTGAGGGCAGCCGACAGGCCGCTGGCGGTCGGCTCGTAGCCCTTGACGGTCGACTTGGTGTTGACATGGGAGATGTCGGCAGCGACACCTGAGGGGAAGGGAAAAGAGAAAGAATGTTAGTTATTTGTGCGCGCCAGGCGTGCACGTTAACAATGGAAGACAAGACAACGTACCGGGGCCACCGCGGATGTCGTACAGAGCAAGCTCGGTAACACGGGGGTTGAGCTTCAGCAGCAGGGAAAGCGGCTGGCCAATGCCACCGGCAGCGCCGAGGACGGTGACCTTGGAGAGCTATCGGTTGCAGACAGACGGGTCAGTACGAGATTACGCTTGGCGAGGGCCGTCGACCGTGAAGCCATGGCGACCGCCGGCGCAACGGAAGCCCGGCCGAGGCACAAGACCGACGAAGTCGGTTGATGTTCGTTTCTATTTCCTTCTTTAAAAAACAAAACAACAAAATACTCACATCACGGGCAGAGGCCGAGAAGGCACGTCTCTGGATTCTGGCAGCGAACATGGTTGCGGTTGGGAGGAGTGGAGGTAGTGAGGAAGAAGAAGAGCAATTGAGGAACAAGCAGGTGGAGAGAAGAGAAAAAGGAGACGAAAAGGAGGAAAAGGAAGGCCGCGGAAAACGACGAAATTCTTTATTGTGTGGATGGAGCGCTGCGCCATATTTTGCGCCATTAGCTGGGGCACCGGCGTCCCACGTCCCTCCAATACCATGTGCCAGCTGTTGCTTGTGGATACGCTTTCCCCCAGGTGGGCTTCCCTAAGGGACCGATGGATTTCTACGCTGGCACAAGGACGTGGGCTGCGCTTTCCTACAGCGCGGCTTCGAGGTTGCCCGTAGTTGCGGGTAAATGCTAGCCAGCGACAGAAGAAAGCTGTATAAATTTGTAGGGGCAGCCACCAGCCAACCCCCCAAAAGTACCCCTCTAACACCTCGACTTGCCCCGAGACGTTCACCGCTAATCTTTTAAGGGATTAGCCCTTCTGTCTGATGATCGGCAATTCGGAGGAGAACGGCCCCGCTTTACTGGAGACGAAAAGCATGTTCCGACGTCCGCTGCAGAGAGGGCTGCGCGCAACGCCGAACTGGGCGTGAAAAATCTCGCGCGCTCGCAGTGCGCAAAAAAAGCAGCAATCTGTTGTTTGGTGTACAGTGCAATACAGTACAAAGGCGACAGCTGTTCGCGTTGTTGTAAGATATTTTCGTATACGTTGGGCTCGCGTAGGATCTTTGAGAAAAGGCCTGCTGGCGGTGTAAACCGGCAGAATCGACGGACTCCTTTTGGGGCGCGCTTAGAAAAAACAGTGCACAACAGGCGCTGTATTTATATGCACTGTATGATGGCCCCCAGTTTACTTTTGTTGACTGTGGTTGACACTCGGACGCACACAGCCCGGTCAAAACTCAAACCACACAAAGGCTGAGATATTTCGCGGTTCAAGATCTTACGAAACTTGCAAGGCCCGACTCAAGCAACGTTTTCTTTTAAAAAAAATAGTGTGGTGGTCTGTTTCCACGAGTTAATGCTCCCAAACAGGGATTTCCTAACGCGCTCAATCTGCGTCTAGATAAAACCTACACGTTTTGTCGGTTTTTTAAGACACCGTCTTCACTTACCGTCCATACGGACAGCTGAAATGATGTACAGAGTATGGTTCCCTTACAATTCAACCCCTTGTCAAGGATAAGTGGGACCGCCGCCGTGCCAATCGGTGGACGAAAGGCGATATCTCCGTTTCCAAATCCAGGGCAACATCCATTCTTGACCGTTTTGTGTATGATCCGACTAACATCCTGGTATAGAATTGCTGAAGGCCGGAGTGCCCAGAGTGCCCGGGTGCCCGGATACCAGAATGCCCGATTGACGTCGTGCCATGGAGATGAGGAGAGGATGAAGGAATAAAAGGGCCTTCGGCGCCCATGTCGAGCCATGACGGGACGTCTACCTGTCCCTCATCTAGATCGTGTTTGACATTCCAAGCTGTAGATATCTATAGCTCCACAGCCCTGCGATCCATACTACGATCCGTTCTTCTTACTGCAGACCCTGCCCAACTGCCGACATCTCGCCTTCGCATAACATGGCGGGCCCTTCCAATTTCTCTCGCGCATGGACGCAATTCTTCCCACCCAAACCAACATTCGTCGAGGCGACCGTACCTGATCAGTCGGGTCGCGTCCACCTGGTCACCGGCGCAAACTCCGGCCTGGGCAAGGAGACGGCGCGCATCCTGTACGCGCGCAACGCCAAAGTCTACATGGCCGGCCGGTCTCTGGAGCGCGTCCAACCCGCCATTGACGACATCAAGACATCACGGCCCAATTCCAAAGGCGAGCTCATCTTCCTCGAGCTCGACCTCAGCGACCTGGTCAAGGTCAAAAAGTCCGCCCAGACGTTCCTCGCCCAAGAGACCAAGGCGCTGCACGTCCTCTACAACAACGCCGGCGCCATGGGGTCCGACCCGCTGCGCCGCACCGCCCAAGGCCATGAATTGACCATGGGCGTCAACTGCGTCGGCACCTTTTTGTTCACCGAGCTGCTCACCCCGCTGCTGCAGGCCACCGCCAAGCGCAGCCTGCCCGCCACCGACGCCGTGCGCGTCGTCTGGCTGTCATCGTACGGCCTCGAGTCATTCGGCGTCGAGGGCGAGGGCGTCGCACTGGACAATATTGCCTACGACCCGGCCGGCAAGGGCGGCGTGCCCAAGGCCATAGACCGCTACGCCATCAGCAAGACCGGTGTCTGGGCCCTGGGCGTCGAGTACGCCCGCCGCCACCGCCAGGACAACATTGTCAGTCTGCCCGTGAACCCAGGCAATCTGAAAACGGAGCTGGCACGCGACATGGGCGCTGTCTTTCGTTTCATCGTGTCGCCGCTCTGCTACCCACCTGTTCTGGGTGCGTCCACCTTGGTCTTCGCGTCGACGTCGTCCGAGGTGACTCTCAAGGAGAGCGGCGGTTGGATCATTCCCTTCGGCCGCCTCTACCCTCTCAAGCCGTCTCTGGTCTCGTCCACCAAGCCGGAGTCCGAGGGTGGCACGGGTGGTGTTGCCCGGTTCTGGAAGTGGAACGAAGAGCAGGTCAAGAAGTTCTTGTAAAGTGAAGATGCGTTCTAGACAAGCTGCTCATAAAGAGTTGCTTTTGAGACCGTTCGGTGATACCAGGTGCCTTGCTTTCTTCCTTTTGAAATTTTAATTTTCAGCTACCAATTATACCTTGTCCTCGCCAATATCATGATTGCATATCAATCTACTTCAATTTGGACACCCTTACTTTTGCTTGTCGCCTCCGTCGATAAGTTGATTTTTCAAATTTCCACTGTAAGAGACGCTCCTCTTGTCCTCTTCCACTTTGTTCGTTTATACCCTCACCTTGTCGTCCACTCTCTTGCGTAATCACTATCGCTTTATTAACCCTCTTCTTCTTCTTTCCATTTCTCGGCGCTCGATTCTATTTTTAAAACTACGATGCCGCTTCAATACGGCAGTTCATTTGGAGCCGCCAACATAAACTCGCTTCCCAGTATCTCTTGAGCCGCGGCACGACGTCGTAAATGGCTGTGGCCAGCTGCCCAGCTGGCCAAGGCATCTGGCCCGCTCTTCTTTTTCGATATATGTCGGCTGAATGCCACGTTCTGGCTCGTGACCGTCTCCGTGTCGATCGACTCTTGCTGTTTGCTTGCTGTGCTACTTCCATCGCCTTAGCTGAGCCTCTTAATGCTCTTTAATATGTATGGTATTTCCGTCAGCGGCCATTTCTCACGTTTTATTGTCATTTGGTTCACTTATCGCTTACCATAGTAGGTAGCGTCTATGCTTTATCTAATTGCTTGCGTTTTCAGCTAATTGGCGCCGGAACTGGACGGACATTGTCCGATGCCCGTTTGTCTCTTTCCTGTCTTGATTGCACAACCCTCGCCCTCCCTCCTTCCTTCCTTTCCCTATACGCTCCTTCCGTGTCATACGCGGCTTGATGCCAATTTTGTAAATGCGAAAGTGCTTAAAAGGAAAGAGCAAGGAGACAGCTGGTTGTTGGCTGCTCTCCACAGCATTGGTAACACGGCCCCCAAATCCGCTTCTAAACTATTTTTTGTAGGAAGGAGCCGAGTGTGTCAACATCGCGACTTCCCATCGGACCATTTTCTTCTCTCCTGCCACTTTTATTTGCATGTCGCGTTTGGGCCTTCATCTCCGGCTCCATCTGCAACCTCGCCTCTCGTGCTTCACATGAACGCAATTCTGGGGAATGTGATGTGTTTTCGACAAACCCTCCTCCAGATTACCGCCAAGCACCGTTGCTTGCGCCGCACGCGTATCTACTCACCAGCTCCTGAGACAACGCTCTTCGCTCATTGACTATTATTTCTAACATAATTTTTATTCCTATTTATTTTCTCTGTTATTTGGTCCGCTTTCCTCGTCATTCCATTGCGAACCTCTTGTCATACAGAATGCCTCATTTCCTCTTTTTTGTACCTTAAAGCCAAAAGTGAGAGCATGCGCGTTTCTCTCTTAGCTGCCCTCGTCGGGTCCCTTCTCACGCCGTTCGCACGCGGGCGAGCCACCGTCGTCCTTGAACACAAACAGACGCTTCCAGACGGATGGCGGATCGAAGCCGACGCACCATTACAAGAGACGCTCAGTGTTTCCATTGCACTTGCGCAGCCCAAGTTGGGCGAACTCGAGGCGTACATGCTACAACAGATCGGCCGTCCAACCTCATCGTCTACACACCTTTCACTCGCACAACTTGCAGCCTACCAAGCACCACACAAAGACGCTGTCAACCACGTCCTGGGCTGGCTAGCCGACAGCGGTGTCAATGACACAACTGTAGAAGGGGCGTGGGTGAGGTTCAATGCCACCGTCGACACCATACAAGTATTATTCGAGGCCGACATATCCTACTATGCCTACAGGAACAGCACAACGCCCGTTCTGCGCGCACAGTCGTACTCCATCCCAAAGGCACTGGCCGATTATGTGGACTTCGTCTTTCCACTGGCCCAGTTCATGCCGCCAGCAGACGCTCGTCGACTTCCTATGACGCGACTGGCACAAGATGCACGGCCTGGTAAGAGGCTCACAAGGATGGAAAGGAGACAAGCAAAAGGCCCAGGCAGTGGGGGAGGAGGCGGCCCTGGAAACAATGGTGGTAGCGGCCCCGGAGGTGCCCCCGGTGGCGGAAACGCCGGTGGTCCTTGGGGAGGTCGGGGTAACCCAGGATGGGATGGCCCTGGACCAGGCCTCGGCCATTGGAACGGGACCTATCCACTTTGGTCACCGTTCATGGCCTGTATACCCAACCTGGTGACGCCAGCTTGCATTCGCCAAATGTACAACTGGTCGCTGCCCGGCCATCCTGGACCTACGAAATTCAACTTTACCATTCCACCAGCACCGTGGATAATACCCACTACTCGTTCAATTCCCGCACCAACGGGCCGGTTCGTCAGAGCTGCAAGAACTGCAGCATCTGGAGTCTCCCCCGACTCGGAAACTACAACGTCAGCATTGAACATAGGAGTATCATTGGAACCTGGGAAGCCGGTTCCATTTGATCCGTTTCAGTTGTCTTCCAAAACGGTAACATCGGCATTTATACAGTCATCTTCGCCTACCAAGCCGCCCACCACATTTTCACCAACGTCAACGCCGTCAACGTCAACACCGTCACCGACGTCAACACCGTCAACATCGTCAACATCCGACGCACGCTCGCTAGTGCGATTTGGCATCGCCGGCTTCTTATCCGAATACGTCAACCACCAAGATGTTGCCGAGTTTCTCCAGTTTTCCTCCCCAAGTATTGGCTTTCCGGGCCCTGGCAACCCGGTTTACAACTTCACCACAGTGAATGTAAACAACGGGGCGAACATTCAGATGCCGAGATTTCTCGCTGGCATGGAGGCATCGTTGGATGTCGAGTACGCTATGGCACTGGGCTACCCGTCACAAATCACATTCTACAGCACCGGTGGCGTCGCCGATAAGATCAATCCGGCTGGCAGCCGGCGAGACCCAAGGCATTCGAACAACGAACCGTACCTCGACTTGCTCGAATTCCTAATTACCCAACCGGCGGACACCATACCACACGTGCTGTCCATATCTTACAGTGACGATGAGCAAACTGTGCCGCAGCCATACGCAACGCGTGTATGCCAGCTATTCATGCAGCTGGCGGCCCGCGGAACTACCGTTCTTGTGGCCACGGGCGATGGCGGCAGCCATGGAATCAGCGATTCTTGCATTCATGGCGACGGCTCTAACAAACATCCGCTGCAGCCAACGTTTCCCGCGTCCTGTCCGTGGGTTACGGCAGTGGGCTCGACCGAGATTGGCATTTGGGGGCCTGGCACCGTGCCACCGGCGATTGGCGCCGAATACAGCTCCGGTGGCTTTAGCAACTATTTTCCCCGTCCGGCATGGCAGAACGACACTGTCAATACGTATCTAGGCCGCTTCGGTGATAGCAAAGCCGGGCTCTTCAACCGTTACGGGCGAGGTGTACCCGACATTTCTGTCATCGGGTCAAACTTTGCCGTCACATGGGGCGGCGTGCCATCAATGGCAACCGGCACCAGTGCAAGCACACCTGTTGTGGCGGCGATGGTAGCTTTGGCCAATGATCGGAGGCTGAAAGCGGGAAAGTCGGCGCTGGGCTGGCTTAATGGAGCATTGTATTCGCCTCGGGTGCAGAGTATACTGGAGGATGTTACCTTTGGTATTAGCAAGGGATGCATGCCGTTCAACCGGACCGTGTGGCCGACTGGTTGGCCAGCTGCAACCGGGTGGGACGCAGTGACCGGCCTCGGTGTGCCAAACGATTTTGACAAGTTCTCGGCTGCACTTTTGGAAGTCTGAACGAATAGTGAAAGAAGCGCGGCAGACGCTATGCCAATGTGGCGCCACCATGTCTTGTCTGTATTTTTTAACGCTCCATGTACGGGGCACATAAGAAGCCTTTTGTTCAATTCTTCTTTTTTTCCATTGGTTTTTTTTACGTATTTACTACGCTTATAATCATCTGATCAGCGAGAAGGATATCCCAAAGAGGGCTCGGTTCTACTTCGACGGGGAGTAATTACAACAATGTCACCGTTTTACAAATCTATCCCTATGTAACTTGCCACATAAGCCTATGGAGAGAGGCTGATACAACCTGTTGAGCTATCCTCCTCGAAAATGCCGCCGAAGATGACGCCCTCGTTGATGCCGGGCTCCTGTGTGCCGCTGTGCACAATATCTGCACCCGGGTTCACAGGCTTCTTGAGCACGCCAAAGTGGAACTGGCCCTGGCCACTGACGTCGTTGGCCAGCGCTTGCGTGACCGACTTGAGTGCCGTCGTACCCGTCGAGAAAAAGACTTGCGACGTCAGCTTGTTGAAGTCGAGCGTCACGGCAAAGTTGTGGAAGACGCCGGGCGTGAATGGCGTGCTGAAGAGCACCTGCGGCGGGTTGGAGTTGACGTTTCCAAATAGCTGAAGGGTGTTGGGATCCACGTTGCCGGCCTGGCCCAGCACAGTGCCCGCCTTGAGCACGAGCTGGTTGGTGCTAAAGTCGTTGCTCTCGAGGAAGACGAGCTGGTACTCGTGCGTCAGGTTGAGGGGCCGCTGGGCGTCCTGCATCACGCTAAAGTGCAGAGTCTTGATCCCCTGAGTGGACGGATCGGTGCCGGAGTTGCTGGCCGGGAGGAGTTCAGCGCGGCGAAAGCCGGTCTGGACGTTGTCGGCGCTGGGGGCGAAGATGGACTTGTCGCTGCGAGTTGTGGATCAGCGATGACGTCCACGAGAGTAGAGTGGGAACGAATCAGAGGAGGAGGAGAAGATGAAGAGGTTGCTGGCGGGGTCGCCAGGACAGGCATGTAGGCGAACGGGGTGGACGGGAAGGAAGAAGCAAGAGACTGGGCGGACCTAATGGTGACCTCGGCCGGGACGGTGTTGACGTCAAACTGGAGTTGTTAGCAAAAAAGAAAAAGAAAAAGAAAATCTTTTGTAAGAAAAGAAGAGGTAAGAGACATACGAGCGAACCCGTCACAGCAGGCAGTTGGATGAGCTGGCTGAACTTGAGGCCTGCGCGTAATTTTGTTAGAAGCTATATCGCATCGCTGAGAGGAGAGTCACCTCTCGATGGTGCTCACCTTGGCCAAATACATTGCTCGGGTTGAACAGGTTGTTGTTCGTGTCGAAGGAAGCTGCCGTGAAAGTCGAAGGTACGCGGCCATCAAACTGAATTGTGCATTTCTGTGCAGATGCCAGTAGGGGCAAGGCCAGGAAGGCGATTGAAAGGGGATACATCATTTTGTCGTTTATTTTCTTGTTTCTTTTTCAGATATAAATTAAAGGGCGTGTGAAATAAAACAGTTGGACCAGCCGAAACAGAAACGGAAAAAAAAGAGGGTATCAAAAGGACGTAATCAACCAGTGATGGAAGGGGAGGAGAAGAGAAGGAGGCGTAACAGAGAAAGAGAATATTCGTGTCCCCTTCTACATTATATATGTTCGATCTTACCACGGCGAGGCAGAATCATCGTGAGCCGTTCGGAGGTCAACTGGGACTAAATTTCTTAGGCTCTTATTTCCCCTTTCCTTCGGGTCCTTTGTTCGCTTGCCCTGCGTCCTGTCTGTTATTTCTACAGAGCGGAGACGTTTGAGGTCGTCGTTGGAAACGGTAGTGTTCTGCTTCATGCAAAGCTTGGCACTCGCTCAAACAAAACCACGATCCTGGGGACCGACATCCATCCGACCACCTGACCGCGAGTCAGGCGTGTTTCCATGCTCACGATCTTTGTATGAAATGCGAGAAGAATACAAATCGAAAGAGTCTTTTCGGTACACATGCTGCATGGGTAAGAACCTTTGAGGTTGGTTTCAGTAGGTGTGTCGTTCTTCACCTTTTCGTTTCTTTTCCTTTCTGTTTTTATTTGTTTATTCTTATTCTTTTATATTTTTAAATACGCACGTATTATTTTTGAGAACGAGGGAATTACAGTGACGTAAAAAATCTGAGAAAGGCATTTTTGCACTCAGGTCAGATGCGCACTTCCAACGATAATTGGGGCCAATGTTAATAATGTCTGAATCGCAAGCACGACGTTACGACGTCGACTTGGTTGGTAGAACACGGACAGTTGCGCAGTTAACAAGGGGTTGTTGAACGCACATCAAACACAATCGTCTCAAACAGCGCGGCTACTGACAGGGCGGCACGGTCCTTTGGGATAATACGGGGTATTGAGATGCAAACTTTGCCGAAAATCCCGAAGAGAGTGAGGGGGAGAGATAAAGTGATACGGGATTGATAAAAAAAGAGAGAAAAAGAAGGTGGGCAAAAACCCGAAATAATAAAAAGTTGTGAGCGCTTTTGTTGACTTTGTTTGGCTATAGTAACACCTGATTGGTCAGAAACTAGCTGGCTAACAGCCCACTAAACATGGCATCGTCAGCATCGCCATGCCACTGAGACTGATTCTTCTATTAAAGGATATCTTTGATGAAATATTAAGTGTTCTCAATAAATAAAAGCCTTACGACGGATGGCAGCTGAAGGTTACCTCCTAAAGTCGTATAATACATGAGCAAATGCCAACAACCCCAGGTACCATATCTCGCCTTGGTGTCCTCGCACCGAAACTCACACGAGTCATTTTACGCGAACCGGTGCCAAATTCTAACGTCACTTTAGGATCTTAGTTTGCTCCATCATCATATACATACAAATAAGTTTCTTCTGTTGCTAGCTCTGCACACTGTCAAAGGCACACTGTCCTGCCTTTTTCGGAACGAGGCGCCGTCATTGGCCCGCGTATGTGGAGTCGGCGAAGCTGTCCAAGCTTCCCCGTCCATGACTGTCCATGAAAGGCAAGCGCGACTGGTGAAGCGAACGCTGAGTGTTGATAGTCGCTGATTTAGCACCTCGCTCCTTCTCCATTGGATTGAATGCCGCTGTCCTTTTTCTTCTTGTCTAAATTACCAACTGCAATTCCGCCTCTTAATTCTCACGATTCTTTTCTTTTCTTCGTTGCCTCATTTGGTGCACCTGAACGCTTGCACATGCGCCCCAACGTCAGTGGTTGCCGTCACCCCTGCACGCGCCGCTGATCGCTGCCCTTATCCCTGACAAGCAAGCTAGACGCGCTCTGGCTAAGCTGTAACTCCCGCCATACTTTCCTTTATTGACATTGCGAAGTCGTGCAATTGTCCAACAGCCACGACCATTACAGACGACACAGAAGCGACGGAAGATACACAACTTGGCGCGTGTTTGGATAGTCTGCAAACGACATAACATATCTCCAAGGCCCTGCGACTGACTGGAGAGATTGCTATTACCCTCGTCTACAAGGTTCCGGTCAATACACGCGCGAGACTGTACATACGGCGCGTCTCGGAGACTGAGCTTCGCGGAGGACTTTTTCGGCAGCGCGACAGTCACAAACTTCACCATACTTTTGGGCTCGACTAGATCTTCTGTCGGCGGATCTTTGGCTACCGATTTGTTTCTTCCTTCTCTCCATATCACTCATACCGCTCCAGCACATATCGCGTTTTTCTTGCCACGTCAAGCCTCGCGATGCTCGAATAAACGCGTTCAGTTTTCAGATCCTCAACTTTCTGACGCGCCCTGACTCCTCGGTATACTTACGACGCCAATATGCCGACCAGCCACGTGTTGCCGGAATCGACCGAGCTTCTGCAGGATATTGCAGATGCCCTCTGGAAGGCGAAGAAGGTGCTGGTGGTGACCGGTGCCGGGATCAGCACCAACTCGGGTATTCCAGTATGTTTTACGCCCCCAATTATATTGACTTGCATGTTTTTCTCGGCCACTGGCTAACTCGCCTGACTTAGGATTTCCGATCCAAAAATGGACTTTATTCATTGATCCAGGCCCAGTTCGACGCCGCATCGAAAGAGTTCAACGAACCTGGAATGGAAACGATTGAGGACGACGAGACTGAGGCGACGAACAAACGGCAGAGGCGGTCTGAGGACCGGCAGGATAGCAACGTGAAAGTTGAACAAGCATTGGCAATAAAAACCCCATACGCGTCTACGACGAGTAGACGGCGAGGCAGGCCGCGTGGACGGAAGAGCCAAAATGCCTCGCAGTCCGAACAAAACACGACAAACCGCACGCCACAGGAAGCGACTCATGGCGAGGAGGGGTCCATTGTGGTTCAGCTGCCGGCTCTCGACCCTAAGAAGCATTCACAGTCGCAGATGACACCGCAAAGAAGAGGCCGTGCTCACCCTGCAGCCGTCGGTGATTCCATTGAGTGTCTCGGTCCACTCCTGCAAAGCTCGTCACCACTCTCCTCCCCACCCTCGATACTTTTCGACCCCTCCGAGGACTTTCAGTCCCACTTGGCGAGATCGCCAGGCTCCTCGTCCAGCAACTCGTCAGTTGCTGCGTCTGCTTGTTCTTCAGATGCAGAGTCAGATTTTGAAGACACAGCCAGCTCCTCGCAGCCTACTCTCTCCAGCCAGTCATCATTTGCAAGCAACCGAAGCACTCTTCCCGTGATGAAGGGCCGTGACTTATTTGACGCCTCCATTTGGGCCGATCCCGTCAAGACCTCCGTTTTCTACACCTTTGCTACGACTCTCCGACAAAAAGTCAGAGAGGTTGTCCCGACCAGAAGCCACGAGTTCATTTCACACCTCCGCAACACAAACAAACTTGTCCGCTGTTACACTCAGAACATTGACGAGATCGAGGAAAAGGTAGGCCTGTCGACGAGCCTCGGCCTGGGCCCGGGTAAGAAGGGCCGCTTCTCGACGCGCTCTGCGCGAACCTCAGCTGGATCCACAATAGCAAGCAAAGACGAAGATTCCCAAGACTCCCTGACGGTCGGTAAGGAACAAGGGTCGCAAGAACCAACTAGCTCCCAGGATTCTCAGGGGTCCGAAGACTCGAGCGCGTCTCAATCACAGACCGACACAAAAGTTCCCAAGAATGGAGACCCATGTTTCCGTGGTGTGGAATGCGTTTTTCTCCACGGCTCTCTTCGGCTATTGCGCTGTTTTCGCTGCGGTCAAACGACACCGTGGGATGAGGCGGGCCGCGAACTTGAGACCATGTCCGGCCGCCAGCCGAGTTGTCCCAGGTGTGCAGGTGCCACGGCTGCCCGCGAGGGTCGTGGCAAGCGTGCGTTGGCTGTCGGAAAGCTTCGCCCAGACATTGTCCTGTACGGCGAAGAGCACCCCAACGCACACCTGATCTCTCCGATCGTCCAGCACGACATCTCTTTGACGCCCGATATGCTGCTGATTCTTGGTACGAGCCTTAAGGTCCACGGCCTGAAGGTCTTGGTTCGCGAATTCGCCAAGGCCGTCCATAGTCGGGGCGGCAAGGTCGTCTTTGTCAACTTCACCAAGCCTCCCGAGAGCGTCTGGTCCGATGTGATTGACTACTGGGTACAGTGGGACTGCGATGCATGGGTGGACGACCTAAAACAAAAGAAGCCCATAATGTGGTTGCCACCTGGTTCTGTGGTTGACGAGCCGAAAAAGAAGCGGAAGAGCATCTCTTCTGGTGCAACAAAAGGAAAGAGAAACAACGAAGGGACCCAAACAGACGTTTCAGCAGAGGCGACCACAACGTCAGACGACCAGCAAACAGACGGATGTCGGGGAAGTGGAACGGACGGACAGAAAGAGAAGAAGAGGAGGGGACAACCTCCAAAACAGAACAACGAAATAGATTGCAATCCGGAGCCGAAGTCCGCATCGGAAATTTCACTGACAACGGAACTTGCAACGCAGCCAATCACCGAAAAGGAAGCAACGGGGAAGAAACGCTCACGAACAGGACGACCTCTCAACCCAGATGCAAAGTGGCCTGCTGCTACGCGAGACGACCAGACTAACGGAGCAATCACCGTCTTCAAGATTGTTCAAACTCTGGGACAAATATCTGGTCGCCAAGCCGACGAGATGCCGGCGAAACCGACTAGTGCAGTATCCAGAAAGCGGAGGCCCAAGCAAAGGCACTCGGCTCCGGGAGAGCTGGAAATCGTCCTCTCGACTTGCCCTCCTCCGACAAGTACCTCGGCAGCATCCGAGCAGATCACGTTGTCGCTGCCCGAGCTCCTTCCAAGCACAACCGTTGAGCCGGCCGTTGCACAAACCGCGGCTCTTCCCAACGACCGGACCGAACTGGTTATGCCGCTTGCGGACATCTCTACAAATATATTGCCCAACCTTGCGATAACACCCCGACCATTGGCAGGTCCTGATAAGTACTCGATTCTGTCAGCTGTCAAGGCGAACCCACGGCGAAGACAGTCAAAGAAGATTTTCGAAGGTGGTAGCAGCGGCCCTGGAGGGCCTCTATGGACTGAGGTGCAGACCAAACAACAGCAACAGCAACAGCGGAAACAGGCCAACGCTCGGGGACGATCCAAGTCAATGGGTGTTCAGGCATCTTTAGACCCGCCCATAGCAGCAGCAACGCCAAGTCCCAACGCAAGTCCTGTCGACACAGCGTGGTCTGGTACGGACCGAATTGCTCAACAGCTCATGATGGACCTCAGTGGCTCGTCGTTTCCAGCGTACTCGGCACGAGAGCCTCCGATCAACTGTTCCAGCCCAGCACCTCTGCCATTACGAGAGACCATGCAGCTGCCTCTCCCGACAGGTCACCGCCAATCACTGCCAGTGGACAACTCTCAGGCGCCAACGATGCGATCATCTTCGAACCCTACAGTGTTACCGCCCATTCGAAAGATATTTCCAGAACTGCAGCCACGGTGGCCGCCCGAGAATACCTTTTTCTTCCAGGACCCGCTCGGCAGCCGTTACTCGTACCCGCCCCAGCGGCCACAGCAAGAGTGGAGCTGTACCGATCAGCTTGTGCGAGAAGCCGATGAACAGCTGAAGGCAGTGGTCATTCATAGACAGCAACAATGAATGGCGTAGAGGCATATTTTAGGCAGAGCCTCTCCTTTTGTCTATGTTCGAACAAATACCCCTTTTTGGTTCCGTACCCTAAGCTTCTGTATATATGCCTTTATTAGCAACGCCTTTTTTGGTTTTAAATGGAACACAGCATGCAAACGCTCGAAAACCGAGACCAATTTTGTGTTGTTGATTGTGATGTGGCTTGGTTAAGAAGTCTGTTAGTGCGGCCTGGCTGGCCCACACCGATTATCCCACCGCCCTTTTTAGCAAGACCAGCAGCACTCTCTTTTGCGATGATTTTCAAAGTCATGCTTCATTGCCACTGTCACCGCCCACACCAATTACGACCGTCCCACACCTTTCACGATGGACAGCCCATACAAGCGTGAGCTCCAGGTGGCCATTCGGGCCGTCGAGCAGGCGGCGCGTGTAAGCCAGGCCGTTCTACCGGACACAGACAAAGGTGCCGTCGAGAAGGACAACCTGGGCCCTGTCACAATTGGGGACTTTGCCATTCAGGCTTTGCTGACGGCATCGCTGCACGCGGCGTTCCCGGACGACATATTTGTCGGCGAAGAGGACGCCAGCGCGCTGCGTACTGATCCTGTGCTGTGCGAGCGCGTCTGGACGACACTCCAGCGGACGGTGGACACGAGCGCCGCACCCAGCACCGGCGCACAATGCGTGCTGCCGACGAGCGAAGCCGACCTGTGCGACACAATTGACCGGTGCCAGAACGCTCCCGGGCCCGGTCGCGTGTGGGTGTTTGACCCGATCGACGGGACCAAGACGTTTTTGCGGCGCGAGATGTATGCCATTAATGTGGCCCTGCTCGTCGACGGGCAGCAGACGGTGGCCGTCGTGGGATGCCCCCTGCTGTCGCCCGATGCAGAGACGGGCGACACGGCTGCAACGGCAACGATCCAGAACGACTCTATTGACCCAACGGGACGAGGCAGCCTTTTCTTTGCCGTCAAGGGTTACGGGGCCTATGCGCGGCCCCTGTTTGAGGCGTCGCGACAGAACAGAGGATCGGTTCTCGCTGTGGCCGCAACGGCAGTGCCGAGACGCCTGCCCCGCTACGCTGCACCCTCGCCGTCGTCACAAACAGTCCTACGGCCTGTTACGTGCTATTTTCTCCAAGAATCGGCCCTCGACGACGTGCACCGGGCCGTGGCAGACCGGCTAGGCGTCCCCTTTCCCGGCAGCGACCTGCTAGGATGGGTGCCTCGGTGGTCCGCGCTGGCGACGGGACGGGCCAACATGACCGTTTGGGTGTACCGGCGGCGCGACAGGCACGCCAAGATCTGGGACCACGCAGGTGCCATGCTGTTGTTTGGGGAGGTGGGTGGCAAGATCACCGACGTGGACGGCAAGCCGCTGGACCTGTTGGCCGGCCGGATCTTGGTCAACAACTTTGGATTTGTCGCAGCGCCGGTCGACGCGCACGAGGCGGTGCTGAAGGCGGTACATGCCGTGCTGCGTGATCAAGGACGGACCGATTTGTTGGGTCCGAATTGAAGGGGAAATGCGGTTCAAGCGCGACGTTTTGAATGGAAAGAAAATGAAAAGAAAAAAAAAGAAAAAAAGCCAGGGTTACAATAGCAGATGCGTCGACGAATCGCAACACTCGGCCAAATGGGCAATTTGGCTGAGACTCATTTGTATTCTTTTCATCTTCTTCTACGGTGGCATTGTCTTCTTTGTCGTCTTAATTTTCGTCAGTTAATTACAACGTACAGCAGAGAAAGTAACGGAAACCCTGCATTATTCGGCGAAGCAGCGCCGAGGTAAATTGATCGCCCACTTTTTTGTCTTAAGATGGAATAAGACGCTACAGGAACCAAGAACGGGTGAAAGCAAGACACGGTTACTAGAGGGTCAAGAGCTCTTCGGCAAAAGTGGAAGTTACTTCCCCTTCTTATATGAAGCTATGCTCAAGGTTCAGCAAAGGATAGGATGGGAGAAGAGAGAACAAGCATACGTCGTATATTGGCGGAGAATAAATGTCAGTTACCGGCCCGTTTTGCCTCATATGGTTGGCACTATCGAGGTGTTTTATACCGTGGGACGATGTACAAGCAAAAGATAAAGGGTATTGGGGATTGTGTCAACCTAAATAGGAAATGTACGGAGCAATCAGAACGGAGGCCATGATCCAGTATGTCCCATGTATCCCAGTCTGGCAGCGAGAACCAACCACAGAACTGGTAGGAAAGCAAGGCCAAGTATCCTTGGTACAGGCCACAAGAAAGAAAATCAATCTGCAAAGAGCGCTGCTTTGGAGAAACAAAAGACCCTCCCATAACGGAAATATGGATATTGTGTCTGCGATTATTGTGTCCAACGTATAGCCCCATCCACATAGTCTGTGAATATCAATTTACACACTCCATCATGTCTTCAACTTCTTCTTTAACCTACCGTCCCCGCAACATATACTACGGCTGGCTGTATATGTGGTCGAAGCCTGCCCGTTGGCTATACCCAATACCCTACTTAAGGCAAAAAGATATTTATGAAAAAAGAGTGTGACAAGACAAGCCCTAGAAGCGGAAGGAAAGAGCGAAAGACGCAATTACCTCTTGCCACGATCGGCACCTTCCCTCTTGTGAATGTTATTTGCTCTCAAGTGTGGGGATGGAAAGAATACCCGGCTCGTTTTGCACCAAGGCAGGCACGAGTCGGTCCGTCGCTTGCTCCTCTTTCCTCCATTTCATTGTGGCTCTGTTTACCATGCCCCGTTGTGATTTTAGTTCTGGTGTCGTATAAGAAGCAGCGGGCGTCTCGCGCTGTTAACATCTCCACGAGATTTCTGGGGCACCCAGGGACACGTCGCAGCAGCAAGTCGGGGCCATACAGTTGTTTGCCGCCCGTACCATCTTTACGTCTTTTTGGGGGCTTGGTCATCTTTTCCCTTTCATTGCTTGGAATAGGACGCTGTGCATTTTTTTTTTTTTTCATTATTGCCTGCAATTGCCACTGCGGAAACAATGACGGCTCTCGTTCGTGCAGCGTTGCTCCTTGCGGCGGCAGCCGTGATTTCGCCGGCCCAGGCGGACGTCTTGGCCAATGGCGGTTTGGACTGGGACGCTGCACACACCAAGGCCACGGCGGCGGTCGCCAAGCTCTCGCAGCAGGACAAGGTCAACATCGTGTCGGGCGTCGGCTGGAACAAGGGCCCCTGTGTCGGCAACACGCCGACCATCGGCTCCATTAACTACCCAGAGCTGTGCTTGCAAGATGGCCCACTTGGTATCCGGTACGGCACGGGCGTCACGGCCTTTACACCAGGCATTCAGGCCGCCTCCACATGGGACCGCGCGCTGATCAGCAAGCGCGGCCAATACATGGGCGAGGAGGCCAAGGGCTGCGGGATACATGTGCTGCTGGGCCCCGTGGGCGGCCCGCTCGGGAAAATACCGGTTGGTGGCCGTAACTGGGAAGGGTTTGGACCGGACCCGTACCTGACGGGCGTGGCCATGGCGGAGACGATCCAGGGGATGCAAGGCGCCGGTGTCCAGGCGTGCGCGAAACACTTTATCCTCAACGAGCAGGAGCTCAACCGTGAGACGATCAGCTCGACCGTCGACGACCGCACGATGCACGAGCTGTACCTGTGGCCGTTTGCGGACGCGGTGCGCGCCGGCGTCGCTTCCGTCATGTGCTCATACAACAAGGTCAACGGCACCTGGGCATGTGAGAACAAGAACATCCTCACCGACTTGCTCAAGGAGGAGTTGGGCTTCCGAGGCTACGTGGTGAGCGACTGGAACGCACAGCACACGACGACCGGCGCTGCGACGGGTGGCATGGACATGACGATGCCAGGCAGCGACTACGACGGCAAGACGATTCTGTGGGGCCCGCAACTGACGAGTGCGGTCAACAGCGGCCAGGTGGCCAAGGAACGGCTCGACGACATGGCGACGCGCATCCTGGCGTCATGGTACCTGGTCGGGCAGGACAAGGGCTACCCGGGCACCAACATCAAGGCGTCGGTGCAGTCGACGCACAAGGACAACGTGCGTGCCGTGGCACGCGACGGTATCGTGCTGCTACAAAATGAGGGCAACATCCTACCCCTGGGCAAGCCCAAGAAGTTGGCCGTCGTGGGCTCAGCAGCCATTGTCAACCCTAAGGGTATGAACTCGTGCGTCGACCATGGCTGCAACACAGGCGCGCTCGGCATGGGCTGGGGGTCTGGTACTGCCAGCTACCCCTATTTTGTGGCGCCGTACGACGCACTCAAGACACGTGCGGCCGCCGACGGCACGCAGATTTCGCTTTCCAGCAGCGATGCGACGAACTCTGTAGAAAGCACGGTGCAGGGCGCGGACGCGGCTATTGTGGTCATCACAGCGGATTCGGGCGAGGGCTACATCACCGTCGAGAAGGTCGCCGGTGATCGCAACGACCTGGACCCGTGGCACAACGGCAACGCACTCGTGGCGGCTGTCGCGGCGGCCAATCCCAACACGATCGTGGTCGTGCACAGCGTCGGTCCCATTGTCCTCGAGTCGATCCTCAAGAACACAGGCGTCAAGGCCGTTGTCTGGGCCGGCCTTCCTAGCCAGGAGAGCGGCAACGCGCTGGTCGATGTGCTGTACGGCCTGGTGTCGCCGTCGGGCAAGCTGCCATATACCATTGCCAAGAGTGCGGCCGACTACGGCACCGCTGTCTCGCACGGCAGCGACAACTTTGCCGAGGGCCTCTACATCGACTACCGCCACTTTGACGAGAAGAACATTGAGCCGCGGTTCCCCTTTGGCTTCGGCCTGTCCTACACCAACTTCACGTACGGCGACATCAAGGTCACATCGACTGCGAAGTCTGGCGCGGCATCTGGCGCCGTGGGCCCTGGTGGCAAGGCCGACCTGTTCGAGGACGTTGCGACCGTCACCATCAGCCTGACCAACAGCGGCAGTGTCACCGGTGCCGAGGCGGCACAGCTGTACCTGACGCTGCCCAGCGGTTCGCCGGCCGCCCCGCCCAAGCAGCTCCGCGGCTTCGACAAGCTCAAGCTGGAACCAGGCGCTGCAGGTACCGTGACGTTCAACTTGCGGCAGAAGGACCTGAGCTATTGGGACGCGGCAAAGGGGTGGGTGGTGCCGAGCGGAACGTTCACTGTCCATGTGGGCGCGAGCAGCCGTGATCTGCGTTTGACGGGAACATTCAACGTGGCGTAAGTACGATTGTTGCGAGGGTGTGGCGAGATTAGGAGAAATAGGATAGAAGTACAACATCAAGGTGTACAGATAGAAAAATACATTTTTATCAAGTTTAGTTGAGGTTGCTTCATATTACCGCTTGTTTTGGATGTGGACAGCGCTGGTGGAATTAGATAGCGAACTTAGTTCAGTGTTATAGGCGTGCAACCCAGCGCAAGCTCACAAGCAGACCACTTCGGTGTTAGCGACTTAGACTACCCCAAAGTTTCCAAACAACACAACCACCATAAACAACGATGGCAGATGTCGCAAACAACAGCGGCCGGGACCCCAGCACAGACACGCTGGCAACCCCGGCATCGACAACCAGTCTCTATGTGGTTGACGACCAGATGAACGACGGCGCTGAGGGTGCACACCCCGAGCCCGCTGTGCCTCGGCGGCCAGACGCTTACTATCGCGACCTCTACAAAGATCGCTTAGATTTTCGCGCCCTTGCACGCGACGACCCAGACCTCCAGGCGGTGTACGCTCCCTTCCTTACCACGCATGTCTTGCTACATGGTCAAGATGCTAACTGCTCTACAGCCTCCACAATGGCCAGCTCGACTTTCGGGACCCGGCTGCCGTCCGCCAATTGACAATCACGTTGCTCTGGCGCGACTTTGGTTTGAAGCTGGAACTACCTGAGAACCGCCTCTGTCCACCTATCCCCAACCGGCACAACTACGTCGTCTGGATTAAGGCGCTGATGGAGGACGATGGCCCTGCCGTCGGCCTCGACATTGGCACCGGTGCGAGCTGCATCTATCCGTTGCTAGCCTGCGCACAACGTCCCAAGTGGCAATTTCTTGCGACTGACATTGACGCCGAAAGCCTCACGTTTGCCCGCGGCAATGTGGCCCGCAACGGCCTCGAGGACCGGATACAAGTTGTCGCGCGATCTCCTGATGAACGGCTCATTTGTACGGGCGCCGATCCCTCCGCCACATCCCCCTCCTCTCCCTCCTACCCGTCACTCGACTTTACCATGTGCAACCCGCCGTTTTATGCGTCCGCGGACGAAATGACGGCGTCAGTTGCCGCGAAGAAGCAGCCGCCACACTCGGCCTGCACGGGTGCCCCTGTGGAGATGGTGTATGCAGCTCGAGACGGCCACGCTGGCGGCGAGATTGCCTTTGTCGGCCGCATCCTGGACGAGTCGGCCAAGCTCCGCAGCCGTGTCCGCTGGTACACGGCCATGCTCGGCAAGCTCGCGAGCCTCAACGTGCTCGTCGGCCAGCTGCGCGCCCGCGGTATTGACAACTACGCCGTCGCCGCGTTTGTGCAAGGGACCAAGACGCGTCGCTGGGCGCTGGGATGGAGCTACGGCGCACGACGGCCCACCATGGCGGCTGCACGAGGAGGCAGCGATGCGTCTGGTCTCGAGTCATACCGGCACCTGCTGCCGCCGATTTCTGAAGTGGACGTGCTGAGTGTGCCTCGGGGCAATCAGGCGACGTCCGCCACCAACACAGTCTCGCTGTCGACGGCGATTGACGCACTCATGCAGAGCCTGGCGCTCGCGGCCTGGGACTGGGACAAGGAGGCACTACTAGGCGTGGGCCGAGCGCGCGAGAACGTTTGGGGCCGGGCCTGGAGACGAAAGAAGCAGCGTGAAGAGCGAGCGGCAGCAGAAGGTGGCCCGCCACAGCCAACAGAAGATCCAGCAACCCTTCCTCTTGGCCGAGACGAAGATCCCGCGTTTGGCTTTGTGGTGACGGTCCGCGTGGGTGTGACAGAGACCATTGTCCACTGCCGCTGGCTCGAGGGCCACAACGAGGCGATGTACCAAAGCTTTTGTGGATTCCTCAAGGACAAGTTAAAAATATCACGACCAGAAGGAGAATAAGTTACAGGTTGAAGATCCGCCGTAATCGTTGGTACTTTGTTGTGCTACCTGTCAGGGATAGTAGACTCAACGGCTGACCTTTGTATTCTATTTAATGTAATTGTCTACAAGATGAAATAGAAACAAATTTAACAATAAATAAATTTAATTAGAAAAAGATGAAATAATATATGGATGATAGCTAGCGATACTGACAAAGGACATACAGTGTAGGGTGCGAATTACGCCTGTAGCACTGTGCTTTTGGTACTGCAATTCTCCACCTAAACTACGCTGTACGTCAGAGCTTCTCAGAAACGAAAGTCTATTTACAATTTTTAGGCAAGCTCTGCTTCCACAATACTAAACACGGGCAGGCACCACCACCGTTCTTCGACCAGCGCGATTGCGACGCTCTTTTTCCTCCCTATCGTCGTCCCGCAAAGCCAGAGCAGCAGTGGCCGCCATAATGTCTGGCTCCGGCAACAATTCGCGCTTCACTGCGCCGAACCAGACGACCGAGCAGCGACTGTCGACCAACGTCGTGGGTCTCGTTGAGCTGTCCGACTTCCGCAAGCGGCGCGCCGCGGTTCTTGAGCAGCAGGAACGTGAAGCGCGTGAGGCGGCCAAGGCGGGATCGACCGAAGATGCGAGTGACGGGAACGGAGGAACCGGGTCAGCGACCCCCGACGCCGGCCGCGATTCGCCAGCGGGAACAGGCGACGCAGCAGCCGGTACAGGCGGCAGCGAGGCGGAGGGTGGCCCGGCCAAGAAGAAGACGAAGACCAAGGACGGCAAGAGCAAGAAGAAAAAGGGTGGCAAGACGAGCAAACTATCCTTTTTGGAGGACGACGAAGGCGACGACGAAGACGGTCACGGTGACGACGACGTCGATCATAAGAAGAGCAAGGCCAGCGCGAAAGATTCGACCTCGTCCTCCCTGTCGCCCTCGCCGTCGAGCACGAGCGACCTGCCTCCCATCAAATCGTTCACGCAACAAGCACTGCGGCGGCAGGCAGCCGAGCGTGAAGCGCTGCGCAAAGAGTTTTTGGCGCTGCAGGCGGCCGTCAAGGCCAGCGAGGTGGCCATTCCCTTTGTCTTTTACGAGGGCGCCAACATCCCCGGCGGCACGGTGCGCGTCAAAAAGGGCGACCATGTGTGGCTGTTTCTGGACCGCAGCCGCAAAGTGGGTGCGCGCCTGGGTGTCGGCGAGAAGCGGTTGAGCAAGGCGCGGCTGCACTGGGCGCGCATCAACGTGGACGACCTGATGCTGGTCCGCGGCAATCTCATTATACCCCATGTATGTTCCCAGCGTGCCTCGTGTGTCTCTTGTGTATTTCCATGTACAAACAACCTATGGGCCCACGTACATACTGACCAAAACCCCAAACAGCACTATGACTTTTATTTTTTCGTCATCAACAAGACCCTTGGCCCTGGCGGCGAGCGGGTATTCAACTATACCAACGAGGCGCCGACAACGGCAGCACCGATGGCCCCTCTCACGACGCCGCGCAACAGCGTGAAAAAGGACGGCGGTGGTGATGGTGAGGCGGCGGCGGCGGCGGAGGACGAAGATTTTAGTCACCTCGAAGGGGCCGACGACGATCCGGGCCTCACAAAGGTTGTCGACCGCCGCTGGTACGAGCGCAACAAGCACATCTTCCCGGCGAGTCTCTGGCAGGAGTTTGACCCGGAGGAAGACTATGTCCACCAAGTGCGGCGCGACCAGGGCGGCAATGCCTTTTTCTTTACCCCCAAGTGAGGGACAAGCGGGCCATTTTGTTTTGTTTGTTATACCAATGTTCCCTCTACCATCTTTCAAGCTCCGGCCACGGCCGCTGGGGTCACGGCAACCGACAAGCCCCATATGGCCGCCGCGAGCACCAGCCAGCCAGGCCATAGCACCACCAGCAGCACCCCGTTACCGCTCGGGCCCATGAACAGCAGCGCCACCTCAAAGTACAGCTTTTTGCGGAGCCGCGTCGCGGGCTTGCACGCCCACAGGTGCCACCAGAAGGCCTGCCAGATGGCCTGCCCGCACCGCACCGCACACAGCTGCGCCGTTGCCACAAGGAACGTGCCGAGGATAATAAGGAGGCGGGCAGTATGGCGTGCCACCCATGCGGCAGGTTTGGCTGCTGTCGCCGCAAGTGCCCAGGCATAGACGGTATTGCTGTGGCATCGATAGATAATGTCGAGCGTGGACGAGCGAAGCGAGAGGGGAACGTGGGTGGTGGTTGTGGCGGCGGTTGTCGCTGGTGTTGGCGTTGCCGTAGCCTTGTTGATTGGCAGTGAGAAGGACTCCGGGTGAGCTGCGGGGGCGCCCGTTACTTGTGCTGCTACCTCTGGATGTGTCGAAGTCTTTTGAGTCTGGAGACCAGAGACGTCTGAAGCCGACGAGGCGGCCGTGAGGAAGGCCATGGGGCCTGTGAAGAGGGAGAGTGTTGTCATGATTCTTGATAGAAAGGTTTCCGACTCTTTTGCGTTGGCGATATCGAGGTCGATTAATCAAATTACTCGAGGCACAGGGGTGAATGTGAGTGTCGAGTGAGGACAAGTACGACGGTGATATCGAAGCTCAGTAATGTATGCCCAAATTCGTCGTAAAGAAGTGAAACCTAAGACTCGAAACAAAAAAGATAATGACAACAATAAAAAAGGAACAAAACGACGACCGAGACAGTAGCATTTATTTCTCGCGGAAGGTCTTTCATAGTATTTGATTCTAATCACCTACCCTTTCTCGTTTCACACAAATGCTGTGCCAATGTTTACTTTTGTTATCCGGCAGCAAGCTACTACGCCTATTGCTGACAAGAACAGCCCCCTCTTCTCTTCGCCCCCGCGTGCAATCCGCATCTTCCATGCCCGTCTTCTCAACCAATGTATTGGGCCGCCGTGCAGCACATGGGAGCAAATGGTGGCTCGAGGCTGTGGTGGTGGATGTAGGAGTTTAGTCACCTGGCTCTGATCCGCTCACATTCCGCAAACGCCCTAGCCAGACAATTTTCGGAGGAGCGACAAGTGCCCGGCGAGACGCCTGGGAATAGCACGAAACGGCCGTTTGCGACCATTCGAGTCCCGTCTTCTAAGATGTTCCGGACAATCTCGTCCTCGGAATCAGAGACGTGCTGGCGGTTATTTTGGTAACCCCCCTCTGGCTCCGCCTAGTGGGATTCTTCAAGAGTAGTAATAGATGAACGCTGTCGCCAACGGCGCCATTTGCAAATAAACACGCACACGTGGGGGAACATTAATACATTATTCATAAATCGGCCGAAGGGGCCGTTTCTCTTTCTCCTTTGTCTCAACGAACGGTCGCGGCGAATGTTTCCTCTATGGTTGAGGCCTGTTGTACTACCCGTCGTCGTTTCGGCGTCTCTATTAGAAATATCTTGGAAATACATACGTCGCGTAAGGAAAACGTCGTGTCATCCCCATATACAGAGCACGTCGTATATGCAGTGGTCGAATGTAGAACTGACCGGCATATCCATCCCCCAGCACAGACACAGATTAGGGAAAGCAATGACCTCTCTCACAACTTCCGCGGTTTGCTCATTGTGGCAAGCCGAACCGGTGGGCGAACGGGTACATTGAGACGTCAAATTTGCGTCTGTTTGCTGTGCCGTTCGATGTTCGCCAAGAACGACAAAGTAAATGTCTATATCCCTTGCTTGCCTTGACACTCTGAGCGTCGAAGCGGGCATTACTGCGGGGAAACAATGCACGTCGTAAGGAGGGTTGAAGACACAGCGTCAAAGGTGGCAAGTCTCTTCATGGCAAGGAACGGCAGATGCGGAGATGCCCGGCTTCGACTTTACTGATCATTCGCCTCTGCAGCATATTTCCTAGTATTCAACGTCTTCAGGAAGCGCAGCCTTGTGCCAGCAAAGTGCACAAGCATTGGCTGTTGGGAAAAGAGGTGGCATTGCTGGCCGGGTACCAATCACAGCATGGACCCTGTTCTTATACTTCAGATTCCAGAACTGATCAACCATCTGACATGTTTGCTATTATTGGTGGGACTAACTGGTTGACAAAAGAAAAAGACGAAAGAGAAGAGTAACGCGAAGAACGTGAACAAGACGGGCTTATGCTTTGGCGAGGTTGGCCACTAGCAAAACGTGGCGCGCGCCACTTTATGATTGGTCGGTGAAGACTCCTTCACAACAGCCACAGACGACGCGGAGCAGTGCTCGACAGAGGCAACACAGATCAAACAACGGAGAAGCGCAATGAAGAGAGAAGAGGATGGACGTTTCGTATTTTGTACCCTGTTCCAAGAACAGTACAGTAAAATGTCCAGACATATGGCAGCAATCGATATGGACTATCACGTAAGACGCGAAGTAAAACCTCTTGAGCTTTTCAGCCTCCAGATCAGCCCAGTGAAAACAAAAAGAACCACCTCTCCATGATAAAACCAATGCCAGTCCCTGTCCCGAAGGTAAAATAAACACCAACGCTACTCGTACACGCGTAACTGCATTTATTTTGTATAATATGCTGCTTTTGGTCGTCCATGGGCTTTGGTTTAATGCCAATATATGTATATATATGGACTCTCTCATCCGAATCGCTACATGGCTTTCTGTTCGTCATTCAGTATGTCGTTTTATCTATTTCGCTTGGCCTCTAGTCGATATGTTATTCGTTGTAAATCAAGGAACTGGTTCCTCCAGTCCCATCAGGCTTTCGGCCGAGAGGCGAATTTGATCTGATTGTTCGTTAGGATGTGTTGTATTGAGAAAGAGCACAGTTCACAACATACCTCGCATCGAACGCAACGCCTCAAACGCGGTCGCGTAGTTCTCCAGTGCCGCCAGGATCGACGTCAACCCCCGTTGCAGTTGCAGAAGCATGCTGACGAGGTAGCCGTTGCTCGATGTGCTTGGCTGCAGGATCTTGGTCTTCCGGTAGATGGACAGGAAGACATATGCACCCTGCATTGCGCAGCACACAAACGACGGCAGCATCCGTGGCGCTACAATGGGCGATGTTGGCGACAGGAAGCCGAGCTCCAGTCCGTACTGACCCGACGGGTTAGGGTATGGAAGACCGTCAAACCCGCGCGCAATGTTGAGCGCGGATCGTAAGCAGATTTTGGCGGAGTAGTGACTGCTGAAAGGTACCCTCGTGTTGCTGCCGTTGCTGCTGCCGTTGCTGTTGCCGTTGCCGTTGTTGACGCTGCTTGTGGTGCCGCTGTTGTGAGCGCCGCCGGCTTGGTTGCCTGCCATATCGACGTCGCTCATCGTTGCCACCATGATGGCGGCCTCAAGCTGTCCGAGCTGCGGTTGGTGGTTTGTCGTTGGCGGCGAGGCCGTACCAGTCTTTGGTGGCGAGCCAAGGGACGAGACATACGACGAGCTCTCCGGGCTCCCGGGAGTTTTCGTTGAGTTGGTCGTTGAGTGGCTGTGGGGGAGCGAGTTGCTTGCCGAATGAAGGCTGCTAAGAGGGGTGCAGCACAATGGCCACGGCAATGGCTCGTAGCCGTCCGGGGCCACCTCCGAGGTAGACTTGAGGTCACAGTGCTTGCCACTAAAGATGGGCATGTCGTAAAAGGCGCAGTATCGGTGCACCTTCACCCGGGCACTGTTTATTTTGATGCGTGCCATGCTCCGTAGCGTTCGTATCAAGCACGTCTCGGCGGGTTCGACAACCGGTGCCAGGCAACCGCTGAATGTCCAGCTCTCGGAGCGTTCTACCATGGGCGCTATGCGGCTCTCCAGGTCTGTCATTTTCTTATAGATTGGCTCCATGTCACCTTGCGTGGCCAGGGCCTTGTTCATTTGGATGACGAATTGCGTCGCTGCGAGTATTGCTTGCTGGGACTCGATGAAGACGGGCCATGCTTCTGGATCGACATCCAATGTCGGATACTTGGTCGTAAACGACGCGTTGTACAGCTCCAGCGGAGGAGGCGTGTTGCTCACGATCGAGCTCTGCGTCGCACAGACATAGGTCATCCACCACACCCGCCGCTTGGCCTCTGCAAAGAAATCGCTGTCGTCTGTCTGCGTGTGTAGCGAGAAGGACGTCATGGCCTCCATCAATGCTTGGCCTGCGCGCGTACGCATCTTCTTGATGTTGCCTCGCTGCGCATATTCGTAGATACTGAGCAAGTCGAGGGCGATGATGCTCTCAAGCTCGACAGGGACGCGGGGGTGGAAGGGCCGATGGTCGGCCGGTGGCGGTGATAATTCGAGTGCCTTGTGCGGCTCTGTTGCCGAGTGCGGAATTTCCGATTCGGCTTCGATGGATTCAATGGCAGACTGTGCAAAAAACTGCGCACACTTACGGCGGAACAGGACGGAGTCCGGTCCGGACGGGTTTGTGTCTTCGGCACATGGGATCAGAGCGAGCACGGCCGAGAGGGCAAGGGCAATGGGTGTTGACGGTTCGAAGGCCACATCCAGAGGCGGTTCATTTTGCGATAGCGGGATGGGCTCGTCGACGGGTGGGGATGTCTCAGGTGGTGGCAAAATCGGTACGTAAGGATGTATCCAGCAGTAGTAGGCCTGGAGCAGTGTACGGTCGCTGCGATAGGTACGGACCAGAGGTCCTGACGTTGCAGGCACCGGAAGGATGCCCTGTGGTACGGACACGCCGTCGAACACGCCGGTGGAGAAGGCCGTGGGGAAGAGGCTATCAAAAATGAAGTCGCTGTCTTGAGGCATGTCCGGCAACTGGCCGAGTCCGGCGCCAGGGTCGACATAGTTTTGCACGTCGACAGCTGAGGATACGCAGACCGTTAGAGGGAATAGTGGGCTGTTTATACGAGGGGATAGATGCACATACGCTGTTGGGATGCGTCGGGAAGCAGAAGGCTGTCAGCCTCTTGTGGACGAGCGTTCAATGAGGCGCGCGGCGGTGAGTTGGAAGCAGTCTTCTTGCGGATTCTGGGACCGCCGCGTCGGCTGGGACGATATACACATTCGTTACTCTTGGTCACGCACTAAACATCACCATGTCAGCCAAACCGCTCGTGGTCCGGATTCGCACAGGTCGGGGTGCCGAGAGAGTGGCATACTGATGTACAGGGTCGGCCCCCATCACATCGTGTCCTTGATGCACGACTGTCATGACGTTAGCTGCTTGATGTCCAGTCCATTAACGAAAGGCACGTGAACGCGCGTGCGTGGGGAGGTCGTCGCGTCGGCACGAGCAAAGACGTAATCCTTACCATGATAGACATGCGAGCTTGACCGGTGGCGTCGCAAACTTGCGCCGTACAACCCGGGGTTGATCATCCACTTCTGCCATGACTGACAATAAGATATGCGTCGCCGCAGTCGCACGCGGAGTGTGTCTGGGTGGGAGAGGAGGGGAGCGGAGTATGGAGATGAAGGAGAAAACAATGTGGGATGGGCGGTACGGGTTGGTGCAACCAGTGGTCTGTGACGGTCATACGAGTTGGCCGCCGCACCGATATGTTGACGGCAGGACAAGAAAAAGCCGAGCACCAGAACACAATACAACCAGTTTATCAAGATAGACAATACGCAAGAGAAACCCGAGCTAGACGAGTTTAAGAGTCAGAGCGGACGGTCGCGGAGAAGACAAAAACGAGGCCGCAGAAAATAGCCCCGACCGACGCCCTGTGGCAAAAAGCGAAGTGACAGGCGAGATGGTGACAAATATGACAAAACGAGGTGGGCTCAGGCCGAGCGTCGAGAAGTAGAAGCGAAGGTGAATAATTGTGCCACAAATGCGCGTCGATCAGCAGGAGAGATTATGATAGTGTTTGGTGGCTTGAATGGATTTGAGATGAGAGAGGAGAAAGGGCTTCGATGGCAGTAGCAGTAGAGCGGTCGAGAGTCGTCACGATAAGAAGCGGCTTGCTGGGCCAGGACGATGTCATTGTACAGGTTCAATGCCGAGTATGCGGTGGCCGCAAGGCGAGCGATAGGAAGGAACGGGGCGATTGCAATTGGAAGACGGCAAGCACGAAGACGACGGGGACAAAATAGTGTTGGCCGCCTGGATCGTGGTTGGACAAAACCAATGCCGCCACTGCCAGGTCTCAATTGTGCCGCTGAATTGTTCCTTCCCCATACGTTTCGACGCTACCGCGTGTCATAGCGAGCAGGAGCGAAACAGAGACGAGAGCGCAACGAACCACCAGACCAGACAGACGGCGGCGTACGTCTGCTAAAAGGGTGCCAATTGCGGGGTTTTTTACTGCGCGCGCTCACGTGCAGCGCAAAGTGTCAAACAAAAAAGTCGCAGCCGGACCTGCCGTCGGTGGACGGCGCTCCCAAAACAAAGGCGACCCACTTCCAATCGAGAAACCTGCTCACTTTGGAATGCGTGAAATGAGGCATGCCATGTGGAAGCACGCACCAGGACCACGGGCCCGATCCCCGACAAATCATATACGACACCACGCTGACTGAGCGGAGAAAAAGCGCTCCGAGAACACAAAGTCATCCCACCGGCAAAATGAAAGTAGGAGTGCGAAGTGCGAGGTGCGAGGACGCACGCCATTCGATAACACAAACAGAACGAGAAGTAAAAGTGCCGTTGGGAAGATGTCGGCACACAAGAAAATAGTCAGGCGTGAGAAAATATGGCATATATGCAGTACAACGTTTGGGTATTTCAGAAGAGAATTCCAAGCAATAGCCCAATTAGACAATGCCAGCTAAATGTACACGGTTCCGAGTCAACGACATGGCTACAGGATGCACGATCAAGTGTACAAGTACAAAATGTAAAGCCAGACACCGTCCAGAGTCACAAATAGAAAAGCAAGCAACTGATTCAAAAACCAAGCCGAAGGCAGATGATCCAACCTGTCGTCTATATTATACCAAAGACCAACCCAACACCTACGACCGACCCTGCCGACCAACACTCTCAACACGCAGACCGAGCTTCGCACCAGCCTTGGCGTCCAGGCAGCCGCGGCCGTCAAAGACCCAACGGGGCTTGCGCATGTGGTACGAGATCTTGGCCCAGTCGAGCTTCTCCTTGGGCTTGTACTCCTCGTTGAGCTTGTAGCCCTGCTTCTCGAGCTCGCAGTCAGGGCAGGTGGAGTCACAGGCAGGCTCCTGGTGGTAGCGCTGCAGGGGATCGGTGACCGCCTCGTCGCCGGCAGAGTTGATGAGGTACTTGTGCAGGGCTAGGATGTCGTTCTCGCTAGGCTCGGCGGTCGCGAAGGGGCGCGGGTCCGTCTTGCCCGTCTTCTTGACCGGCGCCGCGACAGCCGCAGCCGTAGGAGCGCCACTCGACTTGGCAGCAGCAGCCGCGGCCGCGGCAGCACCGCCGTTGATAGGAGGCTTGCTGCCGAACTCGTCAAAGTCGGTCGTGATCAGGACGGCATTGCTGTCCGCACAGGCCCCATACGCGTCTGTGTAGATTTCAATGGAGCCGCCCTCGCTGAGTAGGACACGGTCACCGCCCAGAAGCGTCTTGATCTCCTCTCGCATCACCACAGGGTTGCAGCAGGGGTCAAACACGGCAATCTCGCGGGGGCCTTCTTCCAGAAGGGTCTTGATGATCTCCAGAGCAGGCGACTCGCGGGTGTCGCTGGTATTCTTCTTGAAGGCGTAGCCCAGGACGGTGGCCTTCTTGCCACGAAGCGTGTTGTTGAGGCACTTGACAACACGGTGCGTGAAGCGATCACGAGCGTACTCGTTCATAGTCACGACCTGGCGCCAGTACGCCGCAACTTCGTCGAGGCCGAGAGACTCGGAAAGGTAGACCAAGCTGAGAATGTCCTTCTTGAAGCAACTGCCGCCGAAACCAATACCGGCCTTGAGGAACTTGTTGCCGATACGGGCATCATAGCCGACCGAGGCAGCGACCTCGTCGACGTCGGCGCCAGTGCGCTCGCAGATCGCGGCAATGCTGTTGATGCTGCTGATGCGCTGGGCCAGCATGGAGTTGGCAACCAACTTCGCAAGCTCGGACGACCAAACATTGGTGGTAAGGATGCGGTTGCGCGGGACCCAGGCGCCGTAGATGCCAGCGAGCGCCTCAGCGGCACGCTGGCCGGAGGCAGTCGGAAGGGAGCCGATCAGCACACGGTCGGGGTACAGCAGATCGTTGACAGCGGTGCCGGCAGCCAGGAACTCGGGGTTTGAAAGGATCTCGAAGTGGACACCAGGGCGGTGGACAGCCATCTAATAAAGCAGAACATAAACACGAGTCAGTAATTCAGTAATCACACCGTGGAAAATTGTGTCCGAGTTACAGAAGATTCAGGAGTGGGGCGACGTACCGTCTCTTGCATAAGCTGGGCCGTGCGGCACGGCACAGTCGACTTTTCCACTATGATGGCCCCGGGACGCGCATGCTGAGCAACCTCGCCCGTAACAGCCTCGAAAGCAGTCATGTCGGTTGCGCTGCCCGCACCAGCACCGCGGTACTTGGTAGGGGTGTTGACCGCAATGAGAACAATGTCAGCCTCGCCAATGTAACGCGAGATCTCCGTCGAGAAGAACAAGTTGGGCGTGCGCGAGGGGACCGTCTTCTTCTCGGTATCGTCCACAGAGCACTCGCGCGAGCCATCGCGGGCAATGCGCACAATGTCGGCCAAGCCGGGCTCGTAAATAGGAGGGTGGCGCGAGTTCCAACGACGAACACGGACCGGGTCTCTGTCAACGACCACAACACGGATATGGGGATTCTGGAAGGCAATCACCGCAGCAGTAGGGCCACCTAGATTACAGAAGAAGGCCAGTGTTAGGAGCAAACTCAACATGTGACATGCAAGGAGGCAACCGAAGGGTTCGAAGCGAACCGAACTGGGGTTAGATGCTCCTCTCCAGGCATGCTGGCAGACAGGCGGTGTAAAGCGTACCGACGTAACCGGCGCCCACACAGCAAATTGTGCGGATGACGGGGTTCTGGGAGGCCGAGGCCGTGCCGTTGGAGCGGGCACCGTTCGTGCGCGCATCCTCGGCGTCGACCGGGCGGACAAGGGGCCGCATCACAGGACTAAACTCCTGGTTGCTGCCGTCAGGCGTGGTCGGGGCGGTGGAGCCGTCCATGGTGCTTTCTTCGGTGTCGACAAGGTTCAGGCGGATGCCAGAGGCCATATCGATGAACGAACACAAAAAGATCTCGACCGGGGAAGGACGCGCCTATGTATGCGTGCCTTGACCAGGACGTGGAGAGGGAGGAAAGGAAAAGGAAAAAGGAAAAAGGCGGCGAGCAAAGGCTCAATAGGGGGTTGGGTGATTTTGAATGTGGACACGTGTGGAAGAGGGTTCTTTTTAATAGTGTGCAGCAGGGGTTTGGAGCACCGTCTGGCGCAGTATTAGATGCAACGAGGCCCCACTGACTCAAAAGCTGAATAAAGCTTCGATGCTCCGGAGAATCAACAACAGAAATCAAGGAACCCCAAGGCGGTCCAGGAGGGCAGAGACCTAGATTGCTGACAGCTGCGTTTAAGATGCGACGATATGACTTGAATGCTGTGAGAGACGGCCGAATTGGCACACGGCGCGTTAGAAGGAGGTAAAGACACAGGCAAAAGAACCGAGAAGCACCAACGACGAAGATAAGTGACAAGTCCTTACCCAGAACGGTGTTTGCGACTGGGGAAATTTGAGGGCAGCACAGCAGTGTCGATCGTATTCTTTAGACAACCTCCCTTCCTGCTGAAGAGCAGCAATCTTGCAAGAGTAAAGAGGGGGGGTGATGAAAGGGGCGGTGAAGGTGGGTGAGGCCAGAGGTAGGGAGGCTAGATGCTCAACAGCTCGAAAGGGGCGTACCTGATAGAGTTCCCTGCCGCCCTGGAGACAAAGAGCGAAATGCTTGGCGTATTGGGAGAGGGGGGGTGGCCTGGCAAGGGAGCCAGAAACTCAGGGGTCAGAAATGTGTAGAACTTTGGAGGCAAGCGACAACGTGAGCCGACGTGCTGCGCGCCGTCCGCGATTACGAGATTTGGATTACTGGCGCGTGGCGGCGCCGTCCAGAGGTAAGGAGTAATTGGATGCCGGAGTAACGCAACTCTGAAGATGACAATTCCGTCTGCTCCTTTGGATTTGGGCGGAATCTGGTACTTTTGGCATCCCTCCGTATTGTGTACGGAAAGAACACACCACAACGTCTGTTGTTGTTCGGATTAGCCGTTCTTTCCTTCCGTGGCGCATTTATCGAATTTCAATGTCGTACTTCTTCAGTCCTTCCTTCGCCCGGCGTTCGTTTGCCGGATTCGGAAGGCTCTGCGCTTAGGAGCACCGAATTTTATTGGTGGTGATTGCCTGTTGTTGGGACGGGATCCGACGGAATATTTTGCACAACAGTGGGGCAGTGACAGGCAAAAGTATTACTTTCGTACTTCGCATTGAGCTTTAGCAATGTTGGTACGCACTATGATTTTGGTTGAGCAAGTCACATTTTCCTAGGCTAGATGTGATGAAAATGCCCCTTTTGGTGGCGTCAACCGGGTTCTGGGTAAGGAAATATTAAAAGCGGCTGGACAAGCTGAGCAAGGCTGGACTCAAGGTACCTGTTATTTATGCCTGAAAAAGAAGCCCGAGACGAGGTCGTCCAAGATGTAACAATCAATCGTGAATTAAGAGATGGCAATATCGCCACAGCAAACATTACGGTTATTTTTCTTTTGGTAGAATTACGAGCTGCTCTGTCTTCCCCAACGGGAGTGAGATGCTGTCACGTCGCAACATTCGTCCAACGCCGTATCTGCAAGGTATCAGGCTGTGTGCCTTGGCAAGGGAACCTCTGGTGCCTTTGTGTGGCACCTTCCTGCGTTTCTTATTCTTAATCAAGCTTTGCACCTCCAACCCAGGTGCCTTGAATACGAAACACACCTTTAGAAATAACTTGGCTTTTGTGACGAGGAAACTCGAGAGCAGAACGACAAATGCAATCTTGTATTAGCCGGAGCAGCCAGGAGATGGAGAAATTCTGTGGTAATGTCATATTAGTGCCGCCAAAGGTTGCTAGCGCTGGGCTAGGGTCGTTTTCGATGGCATCCTTTTTGCGATCAACCCCCTGAAACTAAACGACGGTGCAAAGTGGGGTGAAAGCCCTGTGGTGTTGTTGAAAGTTTTTACAGCCTGGCAATTTCTGTTCTCTTGGCCAAAACAGTGCGATGACGACTTGAGCTTGATAGAAACGAAACAACAATCTAAACTAATAGCATCACGGTCCACAAACCCACTTCGGTTAGATGCAGTTGATCTCCAGAATCTCAAAATACATCTAATTTTTCGACATCCGACATGGAGCAAGATCTATATCGTATTAAGTGGGCATTTTGTTGTAGATAACCATCAGTCTACACGACATACTAAGTGACTTTACCAATCGCATTTTATAGCTCTCGAGTTGTTTGTCTACTTTATGTGGACTTGTAAGACACTTGCAAATCGGTTCCTACGACGTATGCCTAGGCACGCCTATCACCCGTCATGGCAGACGGAAGACATTAGGCGGATTGGTAGACATATAGACGAATACAATTTGCAAGACGCGTAACGCGCATCATTACAGGGTAAGGTTTATAAAGCATCGCGAGCGTTATGGATGACAATGATGCGGCCCCACAGTCACTCTTATCGATTATCCAACGCTCCCGGGCGGAAGGTCCGCTTTCGCCCGGCATCCAACACAAGACCCTGATCACAGCCCTGTAGGAAAACGCGGTGGTAACAGAAAGGCGGGCACAAGACAAAATGGAGTGTGGCGGTAGCAGGCACTGGCTGCGTGGCTGAAAGAGATCCCGAGGACAGTCCGCAGGAGCAGACGAGACTGTCACGGGAGGCGAGAGTCGAAGACCAACGGAGCAGGCATCAACGCTGGCCAAAGGCGCGGACACGAGGGCCCAGGCGACACAGCCGATTCGATGCGCCTATTTGTGAGACACTTGACATTGCATTCCTCTGTCGCTTGCTCCTGCGCGTGGAACAGTGGCCTAAAGTGGCCAGTCACGCTGGCGGTTTTGCCGTCACAGAACCCAAAAATCCACATCAGCCACAGCCTTGGGGCCTGTGTGCAGGATCTGCGCTCTTTGATTGGCCACTTTCGACCGCCACGCCGACCGTCTTTCGCATCTGATTTGCCCTCCCATGCATACAGGTCCAGACCCAGCTTGACGAGATAGATAAGCCCGTCGCAACATTATACATTTTCTTGCAGCTTACCTGGTTTTAACGGTCGAAAAAGCCCATTGTGTCTTTGTTTCTTCCCTGAAGGCATTGCGAGACAATACGCCAGAAGGTGCGTTTCTGGCGTCCTGAACTCGGTCGCTGGCGCGGTCACACGCGCTCTTTCCTTGTCAGATGAGAGAGAAGGAGCAATCGAAGAGATTCCTGGCAAATTATTCGGCAGTCGCGCAAAAGAACGCTCGCTTCCGCATCTTGAGCTCTTGCTGCACCACTCTTTTCTTTTCAGGGATCGACGCGGACTCCGCCGCGAGGTATTCCGACTGACATGCGGCCGTCCACGGCCTAGCACGCCTAAATGGCCGAAAAGGGAGGCAAGTAGCTCAGCGTATCTGCAGTCATGCTCTTCCAATCATTCTGGGCTCAGCTGTCACGATGTCGTACGCACCGCTCTATTTCGCACATATGCGCTTCGCATGTTGCCCCTCCCCCATACCTCGTGCCTTTGTGCTTCCCTCCTGTCCTTCCCCATCCTGGTTGTAGAACCCCACTAGATGTTTTTTGGCAGCTTCGTTCCTTCCAGATCAGTACGTCTGTAGTCTTGACAGTCTGCATCATATTTGTATTTGTATTTCCCATATCCCCCCTTTGCGCGTGCCCCGCCAGGGTCCTCGACTCTGTCCTGACCTTTCAATCTCACCACCTAGTCGTCGCTTCAGTCACTTCGCTTCCCCCATCCTATTGCCTCCTGGCTGCTATGACGTCGGTCCTGTCCTGATCGATCTCGCTTACCTTGCAACGACCATAAACATTTACATCGCACCACACTGACGAATCCTCCGGCCCAACAAAATTACCTGGTCACATTCGTGTGCGGCAGCGTCCTAGTATTGCCATTCACATTCCTTTATTCTTTCTTGCACCATAACGCACCAGCCATTACTGTGGTCTCTGAGGGGTACGTACAAGGAGAGCAATAAAGACGTGGCCAGCCGCCAACGAGCGGGCCACCGACTGACGTTGCAAAACTACCAGTCAGCGCATCTTGTTCGACCAATTATCTGACGGATCGCCAGTCTAGGCCTGCAGATATATACCAACGCTTTCACCATTTGGACGACCTGTCCAGCGCAAGGATAGATAATCTGGACCACGAGATATGGCGAATAAAGGCGGTCCATCGGTGACGATGGTCGAAGATACAGCCACAACATTGAGTGCAGCGGCTCAAGGCCCTGCCCACGATCTTTCAATGTTTCCCGAACGCCTGCGTGGAAAGCGCATTCTCCTTTGCACAGAGTCCTTTGGCCCCGTCAACGGCGTATCACGCACGACATTGATGCTCGTGAACCACCTGCGTGCACATGGCGCAAATGTGGGTGTTGTCGCTCCGCACAACCACACGAAAGTTAACACCTTTGTTCCGACCGTCGTCCCCGAGGTTACGTCAACAGACGACGTGCCAGTGAACCCCGAAATCCGGATCCATGGTTATCCCTTGCCTTTTAACCCGGAGCTCTCGATTGTCTACCCCGTCCGCCTCTCCGCCCTCTGCGCACGCACTTTCAACGGCCAGAAGCCGGACCTCATCTACCTGGCAAGCCCAGCCTCGCTGGGCTTTCAAGTCATGCTACAGGTGCGCCAGCAGCCGACCGAGAACCAAATCCCTGTCTTGGCCAACTTCCAAACCGACTTGTCTGGCTACTGCGCCATTCTCTTCCCCGCACCATTCAGCGACTTCGCTGTGTACTGCTTCGCCCAGGTCGAGGGCTTCTTGTTCCGCCACCCATCCGTCAAGACCATCTTCTACCCGAGCCGTTTCGTACGTCGCTACCTGGAAAAGAACCGCGTGGCCCCCGAAAAGATGCAGCTGCTGCGCCGTGGCGTCAACACGGACATGTTCAACCCCACCCGCCGCAACGAGGTGCTTCGGCAAACGCTAGCTCCCAACGGCGAGATCATTCTCGTGTGTGTGGCCCGCATCGCTGGCGAAAAGGGTTTCGACTTCTTGGCCGCCGTTGCCACAGAACTGGACCGGCGAGGAATGGCATTCAAGCTATACATTGTGGGCGGCAACCGGAACACGGCCGTCGAGGACGAGGTCAAGGATCTATTTTCCGAGCTGATCCAAAAGGGCAAGGTTGTTTTCGCGGGCTTCCAGGTCGGCGAGACGCTGGCTGAGTCCTATGCTTCGGCTGATATGTTCCTCCACTGCTCCATCACCGAGACGTTCGGTCTGGTGGTTCTCGAGTCGATGGCGAGTGGCGTGCCGGTCATTGCTCGTGACGAGGGTGGCCCGAGCGATATTGTTGACCATGGCAACACGGGCTTCCTGGTGCCGCCCGCCGACCTCGAGAGCTTCGTTAGCAAGGTGCTTTTGCTGGCGGGCGACTCGGACCTGCGCTGGAAGATGGGCGGTGATGCTCGGCGGCAGGCATGTGACGCGACGTGGGATAAGATCAACAACACGGTTGCATGGCGCATGCTCGATGCCATTGAACAGCGCGACGCGGCCTTGAAGGAGGCGCAATTCGAGGGCTTTGAGGACGACCCACAGGAGTCGGCCCGCGAGAGAGAGCCACTGTTGGGCTATCCCTCTGGCACAAAACTGACAGCCGCTGAGATGGCGGCTGCCCGGAAGAAGCTGCAGCCTCCGTCGTCGTGGCAGGCGTGGGCCCAGAGCATCGACACTAGCTTGGTGGATGCGCGGCTGACGGCTGGATTGGGCATCATCCTCGGGTTCTGGGGCATCGTTGGCGTCTACCTCATTTTCATCAAAGCGGCGCTGTGGTTCAAGGGCCGGGTGCGGGTGGGCGTGTGAGGTGCTCATTCTTTAATTTTTGGGCTGGTCCAGGATAGGTATGCGTAATGGTTGATGACCGCAATTGCATTGGAGGGAGGGTCAGCTTGTCACGCCCATTTCCATTTTGTTTATCTTTTCTTTTCTTGGTGTTCCGCCGCCCGGTTCCTCTTTCATTCGCAGTTTTTCTTTGTCAGTGTGATATTGGCCCTCTTCGTTTCATTTCTTTCCTCCAGTTTTATGAAAGGTCGGCGACTCGTTATAATACCCTACGTTGGTTTCTCTTGTTATAGCATCAATCATGCTTGATTCAGTTTTGGTTCTCCTGTTTTTTATTGTTCAGACGAGCAATTTTTTTTTTTTTTTAATATTTGTTATGGATGTCCTTCATAGTCCTGCCGCCATTCGTGTCATCCATGGTACACAACCACTTCTTGATAGGCCATGCGAATAAGACCTATCCTCTCGCTGAATTCATTTGTTCCATTTGACCAGCTGCACGGTTTTGTTTCCCAAACGTACCCTTCTCGGTGTGGCTTGGCTCTCCGCCATTGTCAACAATAACGCACAGTAATACAATGCAGCATAAACAAAATCCCGAACCAGGCTCCCGGGGAAAGATAAGGCGGGTGTCATACGAAGCCATCAATGGTGGCTTGCGTGGGTAGTGAGTGCATTTCGTCGCGGGTTTCTGTGGTCTATTTTTAATTATTACAACCAGCATCTGCTTCACATATGTGATGACGAGCGAGCTCTCAACGAGGCGGTCTCTTCCCCATGACCACTCTAACAAAGCAAGTAGCGACCTCGATCCCACTTCCCTTTTTGACTTGATTTCTTCACATCTCACTCCGTAGTTCTCTACGAGGTACGACGTGGGAGTGGTGCACTGCATGTTCCTGTTTGATTAAGGGAGATTGTGTTACAGCAGACATGCTAGCCCCGGAGCCTGGTCATTCCATCTAGCCTCGAGTATAAGCGCCCTCTGCTTTCTTTCCGTTGTCTCCTTTGATCGCGATGTTTTGGGTGGCGTTTCCGGCCTTACTTTTAACGCGGCCAGGAGAACAGCACCTTGAGTTCTCTCTCGTAGCCCAGATTAACACAGATCTGCCGTGAAAGGCCTTTGCTCGCAGCCACTGTGGCTAAAATATAAGGGCCGGCAGATGCTTTAGTGGTTGTGTTCCTGCAGCGCGCGTCACAACGTTCCATCGGAATACGGAAAGTTTCAGACAAGGTTTGCGCCAGCAGGAGCTTTTATCGCCAGTCCAAAGTACCATACACGTCGATGTTCTTGTCGCCCATGATGTAAATAGTAAAGGGTCGAGAATTCAGATATTTGGTCGAGAGAGCGACGCGACTTGCACACGTCACCATCAAAACGTGACTCGATTCGGCACCTTTCCGAACTTCTATCCTGCCATTTCTCGTGACTTGTCTCCCAATTTGTTGGTGCATCGCTCTTTCCCTTTGCCTTGTCGTCCCTTCTCTACTTTATCCCCCTGCGTTCCTTACTTGTGCACAGACTATGAGACAAATCTACACAGCCACGTATACTACCAAACTTATGCGTTCAAGCCACGAAGCGGTCGTTCGTGCTTTCCTCTGTCGTCGTTCGAAGAGCCTCTGTTTTGACGTACGAATTTACTGAACTCCTAATGCAAACACTACGGGGCTGTTTCGTGCAATTATGGCCAATCACAGGTTGTAGTTTCGACGGACAGGGCTCCGATGCGCATTGTGATTCACTTTGAGGGCTGGCCGACACCTGAGGCTTGGCGGCGGTTCTGGTGGTCTGGGCCCCCCTAATTTGATGTTTTTGCCTTGTCCCACATCCACCCCAAGCTCAGACTCGTGCTGTTACATCGTCGGTCGATCCGACACGCCCCGTTTCCACCAGGTACATTACCCCTTACGAAGTACTCTCTCTGACATCTCCGACATCACAAATTTTATCTCTGTCACCCTCATGTTTTCTCACAATGACGAAGCTGAAGCACTCGCTTTACTCTCTTTGCCTCTGAAGCGAAACCCCTTCTAGTCACAACGCGCTCGACCGGTGGCAGCACGTCTGCGCTCGCCGCACTCTCTGCCCTGGTCTGTAAGTTGTTCTAGCAGTGTCCAATTTGTATCTTGACCGTCACCAGTCCTTGCTGCAAACAGCTGGGCGCTCCATTGGCCCTGGCCGCTCTTGCATTGCTCCCACACCCAAAGGCAAGGCCCGCGGCAGTCAGTCTCCTTTCTCGATTCTGAACCGAAACTCTCTTTGTCTTGCATGTTTGGAACGTTCTGTGCCAACGCTGGTCCACTCATGGCCCCATTCCCCATCACCCTGAAGCAAATGCTCTGCAGCCCGACACATCATGGCGGGTGGCTAGCGGCTTCTCATTTGTATTGAGGTGAACCCCGGCTCTCTCTCACGATGCATAACAATCATTGTTTCCATGCACCTGTCGACGTTGTATTGCACACCGTGACGCTTACCCTGTGTATGGCGTACTCCGTATCCTGCTGCTTCTCTCACACGACCCCCTGTGCCTGTCAATCTTTTTTTTAAGTCTTATCGTGCTTTGGTCTTCTCTTCGTACTTCGTCCTGCGGACATCCTCTTCTTCGCGCTCTCTTCCTAGCACTTCTCTTTATTATCCCGACTGGTATCGGACTCCGTGCTGTTTACGTATGACAATCCGAAACGCACTCGTCTTTCTTTTCGTGCTTATGCCATTCGTTTCTTGAACTCCCTTATGTTCTCTTTATCCAGCAGAACGGTCCATCATACCCAGATGGAAAGCAGAAACGTTCGCTAACGCAGGTCTGTTCGGCTTTTCTCCCTCTTCACTCCTTTGTAATCTGTGTCTTCCATTCTTCCTTTCACTCTCTGCCTCTTTCTTCCCTCTTCTTCTTTTTACTCCTGTATCCACATACCGCTCTATTCGACGACACTGCGTGTTTGTTCTTACTCTCTGCGACCACCGGCCCCAAAGGCAAGCGGAGAGTCCGCCGGTATCAAACGACGACAACGAAAGCCATATACAGTTCTTACAACTACGCAATCTGTCTCTTCGTGCGAGACACATCGCACGCCAGAAATAGTCGCCGCCGGACGGACTCGACACGACTCGATCAAACTTTTAATATACGTTTTTATACAACCGGTTGTCAACAGACCGATACAAACACAAGCAGCAGCCATGCTCTGGAAGCCAATTGTCGTGGCGTCGGTGCTGGCCAGACAGGCCCACGCCGGTTTTCGGGGAGTCGTCGCTGGTGAGGCCCTGGCCGGACGCACGACGCATGATTGGGAACGAAGGATGGCCGCTGCACTTGCTGAAGAGGCAAACTATGTACCGCGCGTTGTGGTCAAGCGCGCTGAGACAAATGCCACGGCGGGCACGACGATGACGACGACGACGGCCGGCACTGGTGTCGTCCTAAACGCCGACGGCACGATCAACATGACGGCATGGGACAACACCGCCACTGCCGCCTGCAACGCGGCACTCACCAAGCTCCCCGAATCGTCTAACCCGTCGGGCACTTGCATTTGCTACAATCTTCCCGCACTGGACAACACCACTGGCACCTTCGAAGCCGATCTGCGGCTGTTCCAGCTGTCGACCCCTTCGGGCGAGTTCGAGGGCATCCCGCCAGAAAACATCCAGGTCGGCCTCAGCTACGCCAGTGCTTCGGTGTCACCTGTGTCGGTGGCGTCTGCGTCGAAGCTGGTCGTAGGACGTGCCGACACGTCGGCCAACGGCAGCCTGCGTCTTTTGCAGCAGTACCTCTTTGTCGGCCAGATCAAAAAGGACACAATGACGCCCAACATGAACACGTAAGTGAACTTGTCGAAAATAGGTTTGTAGTTTGTTTTGCCTTGCGAGTACTAACTCTGAACAGGGCTCAGCTTGAGGCTCTCGTCATGCCTGTCTTGACACTCACCGGCACCAACAGCAACGGCAAGACAGTGTCCACCAACGTGTCGTCCAACGAAGCTGCCTTTGTGGCCGGCGTGTTCAGCTCGACCGTGGTCATGTCCACCACTGCGATTGCCCAGGCAGCCGTTAACGAGTTGCTCAATGGCCTTCATAACGGCACGGTCGCCTTTGTGCTGCCGGGTGTCCAAATTATTACATTTCCCATCGGCCTCGTCATCATCAGCGTTTGGCTCTCCGTTGCCCTTGCATTCATCGGCTTCGGCATGGCCGAGCGCATCTCCTACCGCGAAACATATAAGCGGCGCACCGTCATGTCGACCAAGCCCTCGACGAGCAGAATATAGACGACCCCGGAAGCCATTTTTTCACGAACAAACAGGGGGGAAACTGAAGGAACCTCCAAACCAATTACAAATGGTATATACCACACATTGTGCGAGCGATCCGTTTTTTTATTTGCTTTTTTTCTCTCACGGAGGAGGTGCAGTATCCGACAAAAGGGTAGCAAAACCTGCAAGATGAGCACTGTCACGGGCATGTGCTATGAAATCAACGGCCGATGGTGGTGCAATTGGCTCTCCTCTTGCTGTTCAGAAACAGTTTTGTCCGCCATAGGAGCCCAGGGCCTTTATCTCCCTCACTTGTCTTCCTTGCTGATTCAAGTTCTTTTTGTTGCGCTCCTCATTGAACTTCCACCCGCTCTCTACTTAGAATATATATTTCTCTTCTTCTGTCTATACATTAGGCGGCGATTGATTCCCGTCCACACCCTTCCTCTTCTGGCGTTTTTCTACTGTCTTTGCAAGCGTCTTCAATTCTTCGTACATTGTACATATAACTTAAATTCAAAGACTGTCATCTTTTAGAGAGAACAAAAACTGGTCATTAGTAGCTGCCACTGGTGATGGCCGAAATTGAGACCTGTTTAAAACCTAAAATAAAAACTTGCGAGTTTTACAAATGAGCGGCCTTCAATGGGCCCTGAAGCTGTTTCTCGTATAGAGCTCGTTGCTATTCGTTTTTATCAACGCAGCCAGTCAAGGCCATTGCCAACACAGCCAATCTTTTGGTCTGAAACTGCTCAAGAAACAGTTTCTACTTTCACGCCCGCCAACGCCATTCATGCGGCTTTCCAAGGTCTACTTCAAAGGCATGCCAAACAGAATGCCCGGGCTTTGTTATTGCACCTTTTCTTTTTTCCAACTGTAGAGCCGCATAAAGACACAACGTGAAAACCCTTGAGCTACCAGACATGGCGAGCCTTTGCTTGCCGTCCCTCGTACCATCCGGCCCCTGATTGGTTATGTGCTGCTGCCGGAAACTCGAGATGTTCGAGATCGAGCCTGGCCCCATTATTTTTTCATCACCCTTGACAGCTCTATTTTTACGTTTTCAGAGGGGGATGCACTACCAACAACAAACCTGTTGTCATTTTACATAAGCTGTATCTTTCAGATGAAAATGTTCACTTTGGCCGGATGGAATAAATCGAAATAAAAGGTCTCAAAAAAACAGAAATTTTGACACCCTGAATAGATGTTGTGTTCTCAGAGAAACGTTGAAAATAAAGAGACAAAAAACAATCTCAATGAGAATGAAACTTTCGGTACTGCATTTCAACCCCACCCTGGGCCTCTTTGCGAATAAGCCCTTCAAGGATTCCGCATAAACAGGAGTAACCAGGCCTGCCGACCAAGCTCGGCCTCGATCACTCGATGGTCCCCTCCCCGTGTATAAGTTCCTCTCACAAAAGCACACCCTAATACTGGAAAGCTTTAACCCATCTGGCTTTCATTACAGTTCAGGTTACCCTGATCTACTCGTTGGCTATATCAATAACCATGTTGTATGAACTCTATTTATTCTGTAACTTTGGATTTGTTTCTTCTCCCCCGTCTCGCCCTTCCTTTATATATTCTACAACAAACTAGACAGCTCAGTTTGTCGCACATATTTTGGAGATAGTACATTTTGGCATTATTCCGGAGAACGCATTCTGAAATGCACCTTCCCCAAAAGACGCACTCGTATTTCCCACTTTATTTATTTTAACAAAGAGGGAAAGAACCCCCCTTCTTTCCCAAGATGGTCGACGTCTCCCAGCTCGTCTCGCAGATGCACGAGACGCTATCGAGCATCCACAGCACCATCTCGTCTCTCTCTGCGCTTGACCACCAATCACGCCTTGACGAACTCGAGCAGAGTCGTGCAGCTGCTCTTGAAGCTTTGCAATCTAGCTTTCTCCTTGAATCGGATGATCTTGCTCGCAAACGCAAAGCCCAACGCGATGCTTTGGCTGAGCAGCGACGCCGCGAAGATGAAGAGCGCGAGGCTCGACGCCGCCAAGAGGACGAAGCGCTTCTCGCACAAGTTGCCGACGAAGACCGTGACCGACATGGAAAGCTGGACGTAGACGCGCGTGAGGTTGAAGAGTCGACGGAGACAATGATGGGACGTGTCGAAGAGGAGGCCAAGCAGGTGCTCGACGAGGGCAAAGCGAAGCTGGTAGCATTGGAAGAAAGACGGAAGGTAGGAGAAAGTCCTCAACCAGCCCCAAAAAGAAGAAAACAGACGACAAGTACTAACCTCTCGCAGGAACTCAACCGCTTAATTGATGAGCAGCTCGAGCTTCCGCTACCATCTGCACCATCACGCCGCAAGTCGCGAGAACGGTCGCTTCCTGAAATAGTGGCCCCCAGCAGTAGGTCTCTCCCCACAAATACCCGTTTGGCGGGCCATATCAATAACAACCTTGCTCTACGATGTATAAAAGGCGCCTAACCTGGATGTGAACCATTGTGTTGTTTTCTTGTTCAGACCCAGTGGACACCTTTGACAACCGCGATGACCACGGTGATGGTGACCGACATGGCCTTCCAACGGCGACGCCCACCACGACCGAGGCTATCACAGCGAAGAAACTGGTGCAAGAAACCAACGTCGTCCAACAAGGTTCCGAACTGGTCTCTTCTACTGTCCAGACGGAGTCCATCTCCGAGAACGAAACACCGTTCTATGAGAATCAAAATTACACTCCCAATGCGACACCATACATTATACCGGGAGAATTTCCATCCTCCGCACTCCAGTCACCCGTCGGTGACAATATAGCCATCAGCACTGTTGAAAAAGTCCTCACGGAACTACAACAAACCACAAAAGATGTTGTCTCGGAGGAAAAGGTCGAATCAGTTGTCTCACTGATAGCACCAACCGAGGACGTTCCCGAGCAGCGGCTTGAAAATTACGATCAGCAATCAGAACAACAACAAGAGCACTCACTTAGCGAAAGCAACGAAACTCGACATGAGGGACCACCGGTTTCCATCACTGCAGAGAGCATAGGAGATAGTGAGCAATCATCTCAGATCGAGACCGAGGAACAGCCCGCGGTTGGTGATGCCACAGAAGTGCAGGGCGCCGAAAACACCCTTAGCGACCACAACCTAGAAACAGATAACGTACACCTCGAAGAAAATACAAGTAACGACGATGGACACAGAGATGGCGATGCCACACGTTTAATCCAGTCCCACGAAAGCATCCAACAAGGAGAAGTACGGAACGTTGATGGGACGGAGTCACCTGTATCTGCTGCCGTGCATTCCAACATCCCAAGCATTTCTATTCACACAGCAGACATGACCGAGGAGTCTCTTCGTGAGGTCTCTGACGTTGGGAAAGATGAGGACAAAGAAATCGCCGACAAATCACCTGTCGAAAGGGAGCCTGGAAAAGAAGGTGCACAGGCGTCTCGTATTGAACTTGTTCAAGAACCAAAGGAAAAGCATGGGAACGCGCACTTCGATCTTCCGAACATCGTCCCATCTGCATCTTCAGATGCCCAAAGTCCAGATGAGGAACCTATCCACCAAGGCGCCGTTGAAGCCTCGGAAACCCAGATCTTCGTTGAGTCGGCTTCTTTTACTCCTGGCGAATTAGAAGCATCGTCAGCCAACGATATGTCGGGTGAGAGGCCTTTGGACCATAATCCAGATAAGAGTGTACACGAAGAGAGAGTTCCAGAAATTCCCTATGATATTGCGCACGAATTTCTCCAAGGCGAAGCCGTCCATTCCAAATTTTCGCATCCAGAAGGCACCACAGAGGAATTTACCACTGGGCAAGAAATTGAAGACCAAAACACCCCTTCATTGGTGAATACTGAACAAAGTATCAATGTTGACTCTCCAACCTCTCCTCATGGTGTTGTCTCGGAAATGCTACCGGTTTCCAAAGATGCCGTTTTAGAGTCACAAGAACAGGCTGAGCCAGAACCCCTATTGCCATCTGTCCTCAGCCCAACAGGAAAGCCTAACATAGGCCCACCAAATGACCAACAACAAGATCTTGCGGTTTTCATACAGGACGCAGCCGCCCGCGAGATCATTGATGATGAGATCGTACACAATGATGCTATCGACAGCGAGACTATCGAACAGGATCCGGAGCCAACTTCAGAAGCAACCGAGCAGAAAGAGGTTCAAGAAGAGGCGCAGAAGGATATGGCAAATGACGCCGTTGCTTTAAATGATGTGTCTCTACCTGACAATACGATTGCTTCTGCGTGGCACTCCCAGGAGCGATACGTCTCTCAAGATGTGTACGCTGACCCACACGCAGCAGCTCAAGAGTATGTCGACTACGGAAGAAACTACTATGCATCGGCTCAGAAAAGCCTCGATCCGTCTCCCGTCCTCCAAGAGGTCCACGAGACTCCTGATGCTGTCGAAGATCCTGTCGTCAGCGAAATCACGGTCTTCGTTGGAGATGAGGATATGCACACTGGCCACAGTACCCTGAGTCTCCACAAAGAGCTTGAGGAGCTTCACGGAGAAGAACATGACCAAGGTATGGAAGAGGAAACCGGAATACCGTCCTCTCCCAACACATTCCATGAAGTAGATAAGGACATTGTCCCGGAGGCAGAAAATGCAGCAACGATGCACGGCCAAGATGACCTCTTTGACGATGACAGCGAAGAGTCGGCTGGATCTATAGACTCTTCCGACTCAGCAAACCCAGAAGAGTTAGTGGGCCAAGATCAGGATACCAGCCAAGAGTATGAGCTTGTGCATGAATCCTTGCCACATCAAGGACATGACAACAGGCTTTTCAAACAACTCGATGAGGAACCGTATGAGGTTTCCCAGGACACCGAAGTACTCCAGACGCCAACTACGATTGTTGGCGACTCCCACAGTGTTAACACGGTGACTTCTCCGGAATATGAGCGCCCCGTCACACCAGACGCTTCTACGCCGCGGGCATCTTATTTCAAGGGACTTGCCAATAGCCGTCATGCACCCAAACAACAACAACAACAACAATATGAACCTGTAACACCTCCTCGTCAGACAGCCGTGCACAACGACAAGGGATTTGATGGCATTGATTTTTTGCCCCGTGATGTCACACATGTTCCGTGGCAAAAGCGTGACGGCAGCATCGACGTCACTCCTGGTTCGGTTCGCAGTCAAGCAACACTATCAACATCTGCTTCTTCATCCTTCGGCACCCCATCACCGTGGTCTGCTGGAACTGTGACGACAATGACGCCTGGAACAAGCGCCATCATTAGTGGAAATTCGGTTCCTCAGGACGATCCGTTTATCCGCGCCAGCTGGTCCAGCTCGCCAGAAGGTGGTCATGGCAGTGGCTATAGTCAAGGTGACGACCATGATATCATTCCAAGCCGCGGAAAGTCCATTGGTCAGCTCAATTACAGCTACAACGGTCAAACTGTCAACGACCCCGAGATGAAGGATCTCGTTCTAGCTGTCAGTCAAACGCCGCAATCAAACAACAGCCGGCCAAGCTCGGTCGTCGCGACGTCGTCACCTACTAGTCTTTTCCAGCGCATGAGAAACATTTTTGAGCCGCCACAAAATGGTACCGCACAAGGCACACCAGTTAAGCCAACAACACCAGCAGCCAGCTCAAGTGATGCGTTTCCGGCCATAGGTAATGCAACCAACCGGCCCGTAGACCGAGATTTCCGTCGCGGCACCCAGGCGACGGATAGCCGCCAACTGGCTGATGACGCGGGCGTTGACGATCTGGACGCGGACGATTTGTTCAATGAGAAAAGCTCCCTCCTGCAAGCCTCTGCCATTGACATGCCGTTGCATTGACCACGCTCGGGTCAATTGGAGAAGTCAGAGGCCCCGGTGCAAACCAAAATTATGCGGATTGTCCAGGAAGTAAGCATCGATGAAGATGCTGCCTTTGTTGACGATTGTGAAAGAGCCGGCAATAGTACAGGTAAGAGGGCAAAGAGTCCTTTCCATCTCGCGTGGTACCGCGCCGAGGGCTGGCGTCTTCAGCTCCGGATGAGCGGTGACATTGTTGAGTCCTGCCGCTGGACCTGGCGTGTTGATGACCAATTGCTGATGCGAGCCGGAGAAGAGGCAGGAGAGACAGGTGGTGAAAGGGGCGGTATCAGTAGAGGGGGACGTGTCAACCGCGTCCCCCAGATCGTCGCCACAGTACCATCAGCTATGCGTCGGCAAGCAGCCACGAGAACAACTCAGATGGCCAGGACGGAAGTGGGAAGAGCGGACACATCAAAACCGCTACCGCCACTTCCAAGACCTCGTTGGCGTCCGCCGGGACGGGTCGTTCATTGGGAGGATTTGGGTTTCGGCCGTACGGGGAGAGGTCGACGTCAAAGGAGCAGATCACCACCATCGACGAACGCAGACCCAGTCGGGCCACAGCTGCGGCGCTCCAAGAACATGACGAGTAGGCCATTAAAATAGATGGGTGCTAGATAGTCGTTTAATAATATAAGTTTTAAGGCGTTGTATCGTTATTTTTTTTTTTTTTTTTTTTTTTTTTTCTTGCTTTAAAAAAATGACATTTTATTTCTTGCTTTTTTCTCAGAAAGGAAAAAAAAAAACCCCCAAAAAAACAAGCACCAAAGTCAAATTAATATTATTTGACTCGCTCTTCCAACGGAAAACATTCAATAAGACTGGCCTTCATAAACTTTTTCTCTTCTTTTACCCCGTTCCCGTCCCCTTATAAGGTTTGGCATAAAACAGCGCATCACAGCTTTTGTCGCTTATTCCCCATTCACTAAACAAACGTATTTAACCGGAAGGAAGGCCATTGGCTGTTCTGCCACTAATTCCCACCACCGCGTATTGTCTCCAAAGCTACTGACTGCTATTCCGCCCTCTATCCAGTGTATCGGTAGCCCGGTCCTGGAAGCCTCTGGATGCTCCGTCTTTCCCACAACACAATGGGACTCCAAGCCGGGTAAATTGTAACCTTTGTGACCTTCCGCGACTGGACCTTCCGGTACCGACCAAACTAATGGACTTACAGGCGGGAAGGCGTGGCATTGCATCCGATATCCAGCTCTAGAAGTTGGAGGCGCAACACTGCACTATCGTAAGATGCTATTTATGGTGATGAGGCGTACATTGGTTCCAGCATCGGGTGCATAACACCTGGGACTCGTGGAATAGCCAGTTTAGATACAATAAACCGCGAGAGATCTCCGTGTTTACGTCGCTCAGAATTGACTGTCCGGAACTCCCCTTGTCGACATACGTTGTCAATCACATCACCATTTCCTTACATCCAACGACATCAGCATCATGAAGCTTATCCCCTCCGTTCTCGGAGCATTGGTCGGCGTTCACACCGCCCTGGCCGGCCCAGCTCTCGGCACTACCGTTTACGACGACCTCTTGTCACCCGTTGCGCCCCTGAGTCATGCAACGGAGAGCCTTGTCCAGATCACCGACTTTGGCCCGAACCTGTCCAACACCGAGATGTACATCTACGTGCCCGCCAAGCTGGCAGATAAGCCCGCCATCATTGTCGCCATCCATTACTGCACCGGCACGGCGCAGGCCTACTACAAAAACTCGCCTTATGCGCAACTCGCAGACCAAAAGGGTTTCATCGTGATCTTCCCATCATCGCCATACAACGGCACATGCTGGGACGTTAGCTCGCCCTCCGCACTCATACACAACGGCGGCGGTGACAGCAATTCGATTGCCAACATGGTGACGTACACATTGGACAAATACAAAGCGGACCCGGCCAAGGTGTTTGTCACCGGAACGTCGTCGGGCGCCATGATGACGGTACGTCTCATTTGAACCTCGTTTTTGCATCGTTTGCCGCCGCATCTAACAACTCCTAGAACGTCATGGCTGCTGCGTACCCCGAAATGTTCGCTGCCGGCATCGTCTACTCTGGCGTACCAGCTGGTTGCTTCTACAGCCAAGCTGGCGGCGTCGACGCCTGGAATAGCTCGTGCGCCAATGGCGAGATCAACAGCACACCGGCCATCTGGGCAGGCATCGTCGACGCCATGGACCCGGATTTCTCGGCCAAACATCCGACGAGCGCCGAGGCCATTACGGCCCGTCCCAAGATGCAAATCTATCACGGGAGCGCCGACGACATTCTGTTCCCGCCCAATTACAACGAGACCATCAAAGAGTGGTGTGGCGTCTTCGGCTTCGATCCAAATGCGCCCGACACCACTCAGATTGACGTGCCTCAGGCCGGATACACAACGTACACATGGGGAGCTGGCAAGCTGGTCGGTGTGTATGCACAGGGTGTCGGCCACACGGTGCCTATTCGAGGCGCGGATGACATGACATACTTCGGACTGTAGTGCACAAAGGTTGGCAAAAGGTGTAAACTGAATGGGGCTGTTCAAAACGTATCAATAAAAGAGCAAATAACTTTAAGATGTCGACGAGATCTTGGTTGGTTCAGCAATGATCGACCGACACTCGATTGCCGGTCGTCAGAAGCGGAAAACCAATCAAGCCGAGCGCCCAGTGCGCAAGTGCAATAAAAGAGGAATTAAAACCCGCGTGTGAAAATAAAACGAAAATCGACAGGGTGTGGTTTGACCGTCGAAATTGCAGGGCGGACGGCGCGGATGAACGACTATTAGTCAAAGACGTGAGATGAGCGGGTGTGGGACCGAGGCGCGTGCAAACAAGGGGCCGAAACGGTGAGGAATGGGCACGTTGTGTGTCGTAGAAAGAAAAATAAATACGGGAAGTAATTGCGTCGTAAACAAAAAGGGAATCCTGTGGTCCGCACGTGACAATGCCACGTTTTCGCAATACCGTCGTTTCAGCTTACTCATCTGTTGCCCTGACGACGCATCCACCCCTACAACACACAAAACGGTGGTAAACAACACAGGTTCGCTTCCCTCCACTTTGTGGCGCCCGCCGGTCGCTACCAAAGTAACTTGGCAGCATGATGAACCCGCCCACAGCCTGCTGATATCACTCACGCCCAGTCACATACTATTCGCTTTCCTTCCCATTAAAACCGAATACTATTGTGTCCACCCACACGTTTGCGACATTGCATTTCTCTCAAACGGTACGAGCGATCATCTTCTTTCATTCTCCACGTTCATCAACACGACCTCTTCCTTTGATTCTCCTCCTGCTTTCCTTTGTTTTGTACTTGACCGTACGTTTTCTTCCTCATCTCACGTCCTCCGTGCCAACTCGCTTCTGCCTGTCATCCTGAGATGCTCTGCTTCTGCAGGGCCTGCCGTCCCCGGCTTGATTGACAACCCCTCGATCGCCCTTTCCAAATTTGACTACGAAGCATCTTTCTCCATCAACGACTTTCCCCAGCTCAAAGCTGCGACGAGACAACCTCGACACCACTGGGGACACTACTTGGAACCCCCGTCCGATCGCCGCCAGATTGACATTATCGTCACCGAACACAACTGTGCAGCCCATCATGGACGCAAGCTACCTGTCCCAGCAGGTCAACGGCATTATCGACCAGCTCCACGGCCTCTTTGACGAGATTGGTGTATCGAATCATGAGCGGGAAACCCGCGAAGAGGAGGTGCGTTGTTGACTTCAAAATTGTACCTAATAATAGTGCTCACACAAGGAACGGTACTGACCTCCCAGCTCTTCAATGCTCTCTCCGAAGCCCTCCACAACCAGGTCCGCCTGGTGACCACCGAGAAGAAGAATATGGTTGAAGAAGCCCAGCGCACCATCAGCGCCATCCGCCAGATGGAAACATCCCTCGACGACTCCCGCTCTCGACGCGACTACGATGCCGACGAAGACATGCAGGTTACTTACCCACTGACCCGCTGTCTCCAGGTGCTCAAAGAAAAGCATCTCCAGATTAGCAAGATTCACCGCGAACGATTCGAACAAGTGCGGAGTATGTAGACTTCTTGCCCTGGCTGTGGAAGAGGAATTGACGCACAGGAGCACTAACAATTACAGAACTTGTCGAGGCTCTCGAGTCGTACTCATCGCACTTGGAGAGCTCGTTTGTGCGCATTGCCCTCCCTCCTACAGGACCTAACCAGTCCATCCCCATCAACTTTGACCTGTCACCGACGTACGTCGACAAGCTGGACGCCGAGTTCACGCGTGTTTACGAGGAATACACCCGCCGTGTGGCGACCGTCAAGGCTCTTTCCGAAAACATTATCCAGCTGTGGGCGGAACTTGGCACCCCACAAGCCCAGACCGACGCCGCCATCGTGAAGCACTATCGCGACTCGCCCGAGCAACTAGGTCTGCACGAGAATGATATTGCTCGCCTCCGCAGTCGACGTGATAAGCTGTCCGACGAAAAGAAGGCACGGGAGAAGCGCCTCAAAGACCTCAAGGCGGCGGTCGAAGATCTCTGGGACAAGCTCGGCGTCGAGGAGCACGAGAAGAAAGCGTTCCTGAACGGGAACCGCGGTTGTGGTATTCGCCAGATCAACGAGTTTGAAGACGAGCTGGCACGCCTCAATGAGCTCAAGCGCCAGAACCTGCCGACGTTTGTTGAAGATGCCCGCTGTCGTCTCCAGGAGCTGTGGGATGTACTGTATCTCTCAGAAGACGAGATGCTTGAGTTCACGCCTGCCTTTTCTGATGTCTACAGCGATGCTCTTCTCGAAGCGCACGAGCGCGAGATTGCGCGTCTCGAGGCCCTCAGAGAGCAGCGCGCCCCCACACTCGCCATGGTCGACCGCCACCAGACCTTGGTCAAGGAACGCGACGACTTGGCCGCGTCAAGTCAGGACGCTTCGCGCCTGATGATGCGTGGCCAAAAGGGCGAGAAGCGGGACCCCGGCAAGCTCCTGCGCGAAGAGAAGACCCGCAAGCGCATTGCCAAGGAGCTGCCCAAGGTGACTGCGGAATTGCGAAAGGTACTCGAGGCCTGGGAGGACGAATACGGACGTCCTTTCCTAGTGCACGGTGAGCGCTACCTCGACACAGTCTACGAAGGCTCTGCCCGGCCCTCTGCTGCCTCTTCGGCAGCCTCAGCACCGCGGTCCAAGACACCGGCCAATCCACCAGCGTCAGCCGCTGCATCTGCAGCCAAGAGTACAATAAAACGCGCTCCGGCCTCAGCGGTTGTCCCGGCTAGGAACATCCCGTCCAGAGCTGGTGCAAAGACGCCTGTCGCACCTGGAACAGCCAGCGGCCTGCCGAAGCGCACCGACACTGTGTCGTCCATCGCAACGGCAAATGGTAGAACGAGCCCATCACGCATCCCGGCGGCGACTTCAAAGGTTCGCGCGCCACTGGGTACACTTAAGCATGGAGGCAACTCGCCTGAGCGGCCACGGGCAGTCCCTGCAGCGGATACACGGTGTGCGAATAACGGTGGTGATCTGGTACGGCAAGCACCATCCCTGATGATGGCACCGCCACCAAAGATGCGCGAACTTGTGCGTGTACCCCAGCTTGAGACTCCGGCGAACCCATACCGGGGAACGAATCTGGGATCGAGCGTCAACGTGCGTCACATTGAACCAGAAGATGTTTACGACGAACGTTTTGACGACCGCTACGACGACCGCTACGTAGACCGCAGTCTGAGTAGCCAAGCGCATAGCGTGCGACCACAGTCACAACAATCTTACTCGTCTCAGCAGTACCGTCAACAACAACAGCAACTCCAGCATACCGGTTCAGTGAGGCATATTTCCAACACATCAACGGCCGTGTCTGGGTCTGAGAATTGGGAGACCTACGACGATTACTCGGAACCGGAACCGGATGCTTCAGAAGGCTACTACGCCAAGATGCGAGCGGCGCGCGGCAAGCGTATGACCCCAGAAGCTGGGTTCGGAAATGCTCGTCCTACATCGAGCATGGCGAACAAGCGGATGCGTGGCATTCCACCACCCTCGTCTACACCATATGCTGGCCATGTGATGATGGACGCGGAAGGAAATCGCATTGCGTCCGGTAGCGAATGGACCGACGAGGATGCCTTCTAAGACGGCCAAGACACGTTTCGCTTGTGCCCATTCACATTTTTTTATCCATTAACGACTTTCCGCCTTTCTCTTTTCTCTCGTTGTCTTTCGGATTTGCTTTCCTGCCACTTAACGAAGAACGAAGAAACGGCAACTTCCGTCCATTTTCCGGCCATCGCATTCACGGATTACGAAGAGCACCAGCTTGCGTCTCTCTCTCTCTCTCTTTTCTCTCTTGCTTCTATTCTCTATTGTTTGTCTCCTTATGACGAGACGACCATTTCCACGTGCCATTTTCTGTTCTCCTACTACATTTTTCTGTCTCTTTTTAGTCTCTCTGGCTTCCTTGTATGTCTCTTTTTACTTTTTGGCTCATTTCTTTTGTACGTTATTTTTTTTTTTTTTTGGAGCGGCTGGGATTCGACGTCTCCTGGAAGACGGATTTGGGCGGTTTGGGGTCGGCGGGAAAGCCGCAGATCGGATCTAATTCCGAAAAATTCTCCTAAAAACCATTTTCTACATCTTCTTCCTGCGTTAACAGCGTGACTACTCCTTTCTGGCTACACCTGCGAATCTCTTTCAACTTATCGCCACGTCTTGGTTGCTTTTCTGCGATGCGTTTCTGCTTTTGGTCGACTGAAAGCTACTCCGCTTCTACGATGCACATTGAGAAGTATCTGATATCAAGCCAGAGTTGGGAATAGCTAGAGTGACATAAAGTATCTGTAATCTGCACGGAAGTATGGTGTTGAGAACTATACGACGTAAATACTCTTTACATATGTTTGTGCATGTAAGTCGTAATTACTCTGCATTTGCAGTGTTCCACTGCAGCTTAGCACGGAGACTGCTAAGTGTTGGGGCATTGCGTCACTAGATTAAAACCGTTGCAGAACCAAACCATCCTGTTGTTTGGCACCTTTGGCGACCAATTTTAGTGGAGCACACTCCACCAATTTGCTCTTACTAAACGTGCCAGGCGAACTGACGACAGCTACCCACTAATACGGCTTAGCTTAAGACAAAATAGCGATCCTTGGGACCGTTTCGAGTGCAGCTGCCATTTGCCTCGACAGGAGTAATTGCCCCATATTAATTTCGACGACCACCACCGTATCACCTTCATACTCGCGTTCATTGTGCAAAGGGACACTTCGCCGGTCCTTAACACTGTCCTGCAAGGCCTGCATTCGCAAAACGCACGGAGAACGGCTTCGACTACTAACAAAACAGCGACACACGCTGTCGATAGGTCGCTCCCTCAAGAAACCGTCGCATCCTATTCGTCCAGTCAGCGTCGACTTCAAGACCACGCGACTCTTCCGGCTGCACGCCTCTCGTTTTCCCCCGACCACCTCTTTTCGCATTTGCGGACATAGAACATGCCATCGACACCCCTTCCGTCCCTACTTTGAACTCGACGACCTACATGTGCCACCCATCGAGCTTCCTGAGCGAGCCGGCGGCTTAGGTGCAGCCGATGTTACATTGCTTGTCGGGGTGAGCCTTCGTTTTATCTTCTTTGAAAGCTGCCTTTTCATCATGAGCGGCACGGCTGGGTCCAACGGAGCGTCTGATACTGCCGCTGCCACGGCGGCAGCCCTTCGCGGTGCCTCGCTTGCGTTTGGGCGGCAAAAGAAGGCGGAAGACAACTCTCGACAGCATCTTCAGTCACAACAGCACCTCCCTCTTCCTAAACAACAACAACGGCGACAACCCTCCGTCTCGCCCTCCCGCGATAGCACCATATCCAATACCCAAGCCGCTAATGCCCTCCTGGCGGCAACGTCGGCGGCAGCGTCATCACGGGATGCTTCGGTTAGTAGCATTGGAACGCGCTCTGGTGAACGGGCTGGATCGAGCTTACTGCGGCCGGTGTCGCCGGGCCAGCGGTCGACGGCAGCGAGAAGCAATAGTAGCAGTAGTCGGAGCCGGAGCCGGAGCCGGAGTCGAGGAGCAAACGCATCGAGAGCAGTCACAGTGTCGTCATCAGCACGCGATCTTGTGACGTCAACTTCACCGGGGATCGTACCATCACCGCATCCGGCCGTCAGCCGCACACGAACGGTTGGTGTTAACAACAATACTGCCGGCGGCAGATCGTTGGCAGTGCCCATATCAACTCCCAAACCTCTACGTCAACCACGGTCAACATCCTTTCTTGCCGCGACGCGAGCTGCCAGCCAAGCAGTGAGTCCAGGGATCACACCAAACCATACAGGGCAGCAGGGAGGGCGAGGGAGCAGCGTTGGGACTCTTTCAGCTACGAACACGGGCGGGCCTGGTCCGGTACCAGCACATTTGTCAGCTGCCCTTCTGGCATCAGCAGCGAGCGAAGAAAAGCGACGGGCAGCGGCCGCGACTGCCGCTGCCAATCTTGCGGCCGACGCCTCACGAGTCAACGATGATATGGCCCGCTACGGTATCCGACTTGGACAACGCGAAAATGAGGATTGGGCGGAGGCGGACGAGGAGAACGACCTAGACTCGTCAACCATACCAGCCACATCGGCTCTTGTCTCCATGTTTGAGAAGGGAAGCAGCCGGGGGAAAGAAAAGAAAGAACCGAGACGTGTCAAAGCGGACGACCTCAGTAGCGTCGGTAGCAGCCCTGTACGGCCGCCGAAACTGAAATCGTTTACGCCGCCACGATCGGTGAGTCCTGTAAGACGCGAGGAAGGTCTTCTTGCAAGGACACCCGCAAAGACACCCGCAAAGACACCAACGAAGACACCTACGCTGGCACGGAATCCGGCTACGCCAATAACCGTGGAGCCCACAAAGCCATCTCCACGGCGTCCTGCAAAGCCCCCTACTAAAGCAATCTCTGCGACGACAACAACAACAACAACAACAACAACAACAACAACAACAACAACAACAAATAAAGATCCGGTAGAACAAAAGGAGCTGCTCAAATCCGAGACAAAACCACTTCCAATGCCAGGGCCAAATCCCAAGGCAGATGCTTCATTACAGCCGCAGCAAACAAAACCAATACCGATAACGAAGCCCAAGCCACGGCTGAACGCAGCGCAAGAGACATCATCGCCTTTAGAGAAGGTGGAGAGGTTGGAAAGAGCGTCGCCTGGCACGTCACCTCTAAGAAAGCACCGCCTACCGTTGCGCGAACTGAACGACGACGACGATGTTATGGGACGGCCGAGTCCGCCCAATCCAAGTGTGCGCGACTCGAGCGCGGCGCGAAGTCGGTCGCTGACGAAGGCGTGGGAATCGCCGGCCCGTTCCTCATCTTTTTCTGGCCGTGGACCTCCTCCGCAGGCACCACCACGTCGTGCTGCCACTGGTCTTGTCGCCCAGCACTCTGCTGGATCCGCAACGCCACTTAGAAAGCCGGCAGCGACGGCGTCGTCAGTTGACGGGTTGGCCAGCGCCATCATGGCGGGGTCTCTTGCAGCGGCAAAACACCCGCCCTCGTCGCAGCAGTCTGTGCCATCGTCCATACCCGGGTCACGCTCCCGTACGCCGCCCGCGCCGCCGTCGCTGCGCTCGACGTCGCCCACCAAGCGCACAGGCATGTTGCAGACGTTGCGGCGGGAGCGGTCACACTCGGACGACGACGACTACGACCGCGACGGCAAGACGAGTGGCAACACGCACTACCGGCGCAGCCACTACCACCGCGACGGGCGGCTGCGGCAGGGCAAGCACCATTTGTCGCACGCGACACCGGCCGTGCTGGTGGGGGGCAGCCGACACAAGCACAAGCACCACGAGGGGTCGCGGCGGCGCTGGCGCGAAGCCGTTACTGAGCGGCAGAGGCGGCGGTACGAGGCCGTGTGGGCGTCCAACCGCGGCAACCGGGGCTTGGTCGGGATGGAAAACAACAGCAGCAGCAGCAGCAACAACGTGAACGACGGCGGTACAATTGTTGACGATGCCGCCGACGACGACGAGACGGTGCCCAACGTGGTCGTCCGCGACCTTTGGCGACGCAGCCGGCTGCCGCTGGACGAGCTAGCGGAGGTGTGGGACCTAGTGGACGAGACGGGGACAGGCCGGCTGGGCAAGGCCGGCTTCGTAGTGGGCCTGTGGCTGATCGACCAGCGGCTGCGCGGGCGCAAGATCCCGGCGCGGGTGAGTGAGAGCGTATGGAGCAGTGCGCGGGGGATGCAGGGGCCGACGATGCAGCGGAGGCGGTAGAGGTGAGATGGTGAATATACCATGGCATGTTTTGCCACTCGTTGTCTTTTCGACTTTCTGTTTTCATTTTCACTGGCATCATCGTTGCCATCGTTGCCATCGTTGCCATCGTCGCCATCGTCGCCAGCATCATACCATACCATAGATACCTTGCATGAACTGCATATAGAGGGAGGCCAGGACAGCGGCCAGCCCATTGAGCTTCAATCAAAACAACATCGAACAGCAAGTCATGGCGTGGTAAGATACGACGTACTCGCACGTTGTAAGATGCAGTCTCCAATCCAACAAACGAACGGGTTTCCATATTGGTCGTCATGGGTGGGTCAACTCTCAAATTGCCCACACGCCCCCCTGGCTCACCCCCATCCACAGTAGGACTTTCTGTTCTCGTCTTATTCTTTTTCTAACCGTGCCCATATTGTTGTTGATAGCTCCCTTGCTGGTAATGACTCGTCGTCTCGGCGCCCTGACTTCCTTTCGTAGTCTAGTCGCTGGCGTCGCATGAATCGCGACCATCGGAGACTGCCGCTTTGCAAATTAACAAATTCAAGCGGTTAGCGTGCGTCGACCAACTGGGGTTGCAGTGTGCATATCTTCGTGTGTTTAAAGGCACAGTCGGGACCTGACTACTTTGTATGCTGGTCGTTTCCGAAGCCAACAAAGGAAATCATATGTGGCACAACCGAGCTGCCTCGGCAAGAATTGAAACGCGGTGCATGTTATTAGTGGGAGCTGTTTTTAGTGCATTTCTCCCCTGGGAGAACGGTGGTCGGCCTGCACCGAAATGCGCTGTGGCGGCAAGCTACGGGCCACTTGACGCGGCGTAATGCAGGCGGACCCACACAGGGGCAAGACGGCCTGACGAGGCCTATTACCAATGCCGGGAGCGCGGGCCAGTACAAGCGACCCCAGGAAGGAGGAGCTAAGCTGGGCCAAGAACATAAGGAAGACGAAAAAGAAGCAGCGAATGTAAGGACAAGGGTTCTGCGCATCTGCCGTCCTGCCGCGAGTTGAAATTGGCTGGGCGAAGACCCCGGATTCTATTCTGACCTCTTCTCCCCGTCTATTCTCCCGACTTTCCCTCCTCTTTCTTCCTTACGACCTCTTTTTTGCTTTTTCGTCGTTTTGTGCCTTTAGCTGTTCTTTTTCTTTGGTCTTTGGCGTCTTCGCGCTCGAACTTTTTGGTATTATAGCCTTTTTCATTTTTCGACAACTGACGACGATCTTTGACGATACAACCGTACGCCTGCTCAACCGCACCCAACCGGACATCCCTCGGCAATCCCGACTTCCACCATGTCCGACTCTCCGGCCTCCCGTGCCAAGGCAGTGGCCTCTGCGGCCATCGACCCGGCCAATATCGATGCCTTCATCGTCAAGCTCAACAAGGTCATGCAGACGCCTGGCGGCATTGACGCCGTGCTGGGCGCTGTCTGCTACGGCGCCCGACTCGGCTCCGTCATCCTCAACACTGCCGGCGGCCGCGCCCTCTTCCACGAGCCCGTCCGCCAGCTCGCCGCCGTGCTGCTGGCCCTGCCCACGCGGGCATCTGCCTCGGCTCTCGTGCTGGTCACATCCAGCGGCAACAAGAACACGAACATCACGACGGCCGGCGCCGCCAAGGCCGCCGCGGGCGCCTCGGCGCTTGTCCTCGCGCAGCGCCTGCGCGCACTGGGCACACTTCTGACGGAGGCGCGCATGATGCTGCGCCTGTGGGGTCTGCTGTCCATGTATGTGTGGGCGCGCCAGCTGGTGGGCCAGCTGCTGGCTCGGCGGCGTGTGGCGGCAGCGGCCCAGAAGGAGAAGGCGGCGGCGGCGGCGGCGGCGGCTGCAGAGCCGTCCGATAAGACCAAGGAGGGCGAGGAGAAGGCCGCGGTGGCCGAGAAGGAGGCAGCCGCCAAGGTGGTCCCGCCGACGTCGACGGCCGAGGCCCTTGTCGGCTGGACGCAGCTGCTGTCGTGCATTGTGTACCAGGTGACGGAGAACGCTGCGTACCTGTCGGGCAAGGGCGTGCTGGGCGCGACGCCCGCACAGCAGGGCAAGCTGTACCGCTGGAGCAGCCGGGCCTTCTCTGTCTTTGTGGCCGCCGAGCTGGGCCGCTTGGCCGTGCAGTCCATGCACCAGACGACCGACACGCCCGCCAAGAAGGCCCAGGCCATCGAGCTGCACAAGAACATGGTGCGCTACGCATCGCTGGCGCCCGTCATGGCGCACTGGGGCATGGAGAAGGGCTTCCTGAGCGACGTCTCACTGACCATTCTGGGCTTCATTCCGGCGGCCATCCAGATCCACAAGACGTGGAAGGAGACGTGATGCTGCATTTGGTTGTCTAAGCAGCCTTTTGTCGCGTCTAGCTTTTTTCTTTACTTCATTCCGCGTTCTCTTATATAGTGTACATATATTTTTACTGTTTGGTGGGAGTTGGATTTGCTGGCCCAGAAATCCACTACCAGCAGGTGTTATTTACGATGGGCGCACACAGATATTAGAGCGTGCCCGTATCTTTGTAATTTGTTTTGCAAGAGAAATTATGACATATGATCCAACCCAAGAGTTGAAGCCATGAACATAGTATTTCATAGGCCGTCTCGCCAACCGCCCAAACTCCACACTAATTATATGAAAGGTTACCGTTTCCAACAAAACAAAAAGAAAAGGGGATGCGCGGGATATCGCCCCCGGAAAGACATATGAAACAGGAGAGAAAGGACTGTTTAAAACAAAAGAGACTGACAAAAAGCCGGGCGTCATACGACGCTCTTGCGATCAAATGGGAGCCGATGCGAAATAAAACAGATGGCAATACTGTGCCCAGGGCTAGTCAAACGGCGAGGGCACGAGCGACTCAAGTGGTCGTCATGGGCATTGCCTGGTCTAGAGACAAATGTCTCTCCTTTCCTGTTTTCCACCATGGTGCACTTCCTCCGCCTACCATCTCGCCAAAACGCCCCCAGCTGCGACGGCTGCTACTGCCGCACTCAGCATCATCCATGGCTGTGTCCATGGATCAGCGATGCGTCCCGCCCGCTCGGCTCCACTGTTGGCTGCCGCCTCGTCAAAGGGACTGCCACCGCCGCCAAATATATTGCGGTTGTTCGCGCCCGTCACAGGCTGCGACGTCAAAGTCGGGGATGACGTTGATGACGAACGTCTCGTTGCTGTCTCCGGCAGAGGGAGGGAACTCGTTGCAACGGTCGGCGATGGCGGCGCCGCATTGCCGTTTCCACCACCATTCCCGACCAGTGAGTTGGTGTTCTGAATAAACGACTCCGAAGGTGGTACCGATGTCGCCGGTGCGGCGGCTGCGGCCGGTGCCTGTGCGACGCCGTCGCTGGAGCCCGTCGGGACGGTTGTGAACCCTGCTGGAGGGTCGAGTGTTGAAAAGACAAAAGGCGGGTTGTCGTTATTGGTGGCGGAGGTGGTGGTGGTGGTGTCGCTCGTCGCCGCTGCAGTTGTTGCCGCCGTCTCCGTCGTTTCTGTTTGCAAGACTGCTGCCGGCGCTGTTGCCGTCGCCGTTTCGGGGTTGTCTTCGGTGCTGTCTCCCGATACGGATTCGGATCCTCCACACAGCAGGCCGACCAAGTCGCCCGACAATGCCACACCCAGCACCGTCGTCACCGACCCAGATGACTGGATTCCACCACATACATTCTGGATCGTCTCCTGTGCGCGCGCAATTCCTGCCTGGCATGTCACTGAGCAGGTATTTCTGTCTCGCCGGCGGCTATTGGACACTGTGAAGTCACTCAGCGTGCATCCAGTTAGTTGCTGGTTGTAGGCGAGGATGCAGTTGATGGGCACCGCTGTTGATGTGATGAGCTGAAAGTTGGACAGCGAAAGCGCAGAGACTGCATGTGGCGCGGCGAGCGCAAGAAGCAGCAAAGAGAAAAACTGGTCGCTGCTTGGCCGCCTCCTTGATGATGTTGTTTTTTGCATTGTGACGTTTGTCTGTGTGCTTCTCGCTATCAAACTGAGTAGTCTTCAATAGAGCGTAGTTGTCGTGCTTTGTAAATGTTCGCCTTGACGTCAATAGTATAAACTGATGATGGATAAAAGCAAAGTAAAGAACAGGCAATATTCACGACGGATCAAAGAAGAATAAAAAATACATCTATTCTTGTTCGCTTTCCGAGGACGTCCTTTTCTTGATTTTCTCATATCTATTTTGTATGAGTTTCCCGCTTCTTCCTTCGACTGCTTTTCTCCCGTTTGTCTCCAGAATACTGGTGCAGGTGAGCAATGGTGCTGATCAGGGGTCGAGACGGACCGTCTTTTCGAGAGATGATTGAAGTCGCCCACAGTGTCTTGCCTTGTAAGATGAAGCAAGCGAGTGGTGTCGAAACGCGGTGTGTCTCAAAACAACAGCGATGTGCACAGTACCCAAATCGGTACTCAGATGGTGCAGAGCCTCCTTGAACAGAGATCTATGAGTAAAGAAATAAGAAACGGACCCTGGAAAGGGCAAAACCGCACGACTGTTTCTCTTGGATTTATTTTTCTCTTTCATTCCATTCCCAGGCTATTTCCATCATTGACTGTATTCGTAAACATAAGGCAAGGCCAGGTCTGGATGCATTGGCACATAAAACACACCATGTAGCGATCCCGCTCCAGACGGCCGTGCGCCGACTATTATGCTGCACCCTATCTAATGCATTTTCCAACATTTTCTTTTTATAGCAGAGAAGTTGGATATTAAATTTAGGTCGTTGAAGCAATATAATAAAATCTTTCCACTTGGAGAAAACATCGGTATAAGAAGGTGCTCACTAATACCGTTTCCGGGTAACATACCATGGTTTCTGTCTCTTCCTCTCCGCCTAGTTGTCTGGTAGGTTTCTCGTCGAATATGCTCTTCTCCCAAAAATCGCAAAACACTTGATCGATTTCTTCCAAGTCTGGAAGGTGTGTGGGCCCCGGCTTTTGAGAGTTCTACCTGGTAGAAACAAAAGAAAGGTCCAGGTTGAGCTGCCAAGATGGCCGCGTCTTGATGTACTTACCTTTGAACCTTACGCGCAGTGGCAACTTATATGGATTCTTGAAGAGCAAGTAAAGTAAATACCACAAGGGACAGCGGTCGAATATAGTAGTAGAAAAAAGAGTTTCCTTCAAAACAAACCAAGTAAATATCGGCACTGTTGCACCGCGTATAGGCAGACCTTTTGTCACCCTTAGGGGGAAAACGAAGAAATTTAACGAAGATAAGACACAAAAGTAAGGAAAGAAGAACGCCCCCAAGATATCCGGTACCCAATAAAATGACAGTTGCGCTGTATCCCTATCCATATACTCTGGGGGCCTCCCCGAGAATGAGAAGAAAAAAAAGGTAAGAAAGAAAGACATGATAGTATCAAAATACATAACTCCGGCTTTGTCAAAAAAGACAGAATAGAAGAAGATGAAAACCAAAAAGCCTAGACTAGCGAGGCCGAAACGAAAAATACGATGGGAAAAAAACCAAAAATTAAAATGATATACGAAAGAAACCACAAGGGCGTTGGCGAGGAGGAGAGCAAAGGCAGCTGTCCTTTAGTCCTTCAACTGCTTCCGGCCCATCTCCTCCATGCCATATTCGTCATAACCATCGAGCATGTCACCAGACGACAGCGATCGTCCAATGTAGAGACCAACTACCGTAAGCATGCTGGCGAGCAAGAACCAGCCCTCAAACCAGCGATCCACAAAACCAGGAGACAGCGCACTCTCCAGTGCATCGCTCACGGCACTGCCCATCTCCTTGGGCAGGTTGGACCGCAGCAAGAGTGCGGAACTGATTACGTACGTGGCCGCAATCTGCCCGATAAGCAGCGCCATGTTGGCCTGTGCTTGGTACAGTAGCCCCGGTGTCCACTTGACAAAGATGTGGAACGTCTGCAGCACCGAGTTGGCAGACGCCGCCAGGATCACGCCGCTCAGCAGGAACGAAATCTGCCGTGCCCACGCGAGCTGGTCGAGCTTCGGGTCCCAGTGCTTGGCCAGCAGGCCCAAGAACCGGTTGATCGGGTCGGACGACGAGAAAGACGCCTCCGGGTAGTACACCCGATGCAGTGTGGTGAGTGTAGTCGCCAAGATGCGGTAAATGCAGTAAATGCCAAAAGCGTACTGGGGGATCGCAAGAAGCTTTCCTAGGAACGTGCCTGCGCGAGCCTCGGACGCGCGCTTCGAGCGCAGAGCCGAGAGGGACGCAGACAGGCCGGCCTCCATCGTCTCCAGCCCAGATATTTCCATCTCTAGGCTCTTGATCTCGATAGCTTCAGGGCCATCCGCTCCAACTATGCTCTTGATTGACCCAACTAGCTTGCCCAAGACGCTACCCTGTTGTTGCGGCACCGGCGTGCCACTTCCCGATGCTGACACCGGATTCGCCGTCATCTCCATCTTGCGCTGCAATGACCGGAGGCGGAGACGCTTCGTCGAGATCAGGTCAGTGGTCATGCTGAGGCTTGTTTCCTTACGAGCCAGATCCGTGTCCGAGACTGGCCGCCTCCGCGCGCTTCGCCGATCGTTGAACGTTTGCCAAGGGGATGAGACGCTGGCAAAGCCTGAGAGGAGCGCCATGAGCGAGATGCCAATCACGCCGACCCGCTCAAGACACGCGCGAGCTAATCCCCGTGAGCCGGCAGACCGTAGGCTCTGTAGGTCGAATGGGTCGTCGGAGGTCGCATCCCAACGCGATGCCATGGAGATGCCTGTGCTGTCGAACCCCGTCCGCGCATCGTTGGAGTACATGTAGTTCTGGACGGGGCCAGGCACGGCAATGCCCAGTGACCAGAACACAAACAGCCAGCTGCCAAAAGCGAGCATCTGCAAAGTCCATGCGACGCGGGGGATCTTGCCCGTGGCGGTGCGCTGGAACGACCAGCCAGACGCGCTGATGACCGACTGGAGCTCCAGGAAGGGAATGAGGATAATTAGGAGGAATAACAGTGCTGGAACCGTAAACCGGAGAGCCGCGTTGCGTGCGACTGGGTCGACAACTTCAGACAACTCGGCGAGAATCAACTCCGCCAGGACTGCAGCCAGGGCAGTAGTGGTTGCGAACGCGGCTGCGGCGAACCGGCGACGCAGGGAGCGAGCACCATGCGCGGCATGGACCAGCCGAAGGCCGGCAGGCGCTGATGCGGGAAGATAGTGGTCCTGGCCGTCGTCGGCCTGTTGTACTCGCGACAGCAACGGGAAGACCTTCTTGGACACGACCACAAACACAATGACGAACGAGGCGAGGAATGGCGTAAGCGAGAAGAGCATGGACAGCGAGACGCCCGGTGGCGTTGCTAAACAGCCGTCGTCATCACAGCCAGCGCCGAGGCCGAAGAGACCCATGATCGCCGGCACCGAGGCGCGGGTAGGTGGTGTCGGAGTAGTTGTGCGCAGTTATAACGTCGTGTAATCGAGGAGACGAGATGCGTACGTGTACGGTATCGATTATCGACCGGTGTCGATAGCTCGGACAGCAGAGCTCGGGCGCATCTCTCCCACCCCCTGGAGTGTTGAGATGGGGGAATCGCTGAAGAATAGGAAAGAGCAGGTGTATGTGGTTTTCGATAGCCGTAGTTTATTTACGTCTTAGGTGTAGTTATTGCCGGGAATGATCTGTGAATTGTCTCTGTGGTGGGCGATGCTCGTTTGGAAATGGCGAGTCGAACAAGATGGAGGAGACGAGATACGAAGCGTGGTGCAAGCGCCGTATTCGTGTTCTGTAGGAGTCCCCCAAACCGGAAAGAGCGCTGACGAAGGTGACGCCGCCAGGTGGACGGCACACTAATCCCATTGTGATCACACAGCTGAGCTCCTAGCGGGGTTTCGGTACTCCGTATCTGCGACTACAAGGCGGTAGCCGAGTTTGGCGTGCGCATGCTCTCGGATCGGCTATAGATTTATCCGTGTCTGTCCCTCCCCCGGACACTCCCTAGACATATTGGCCTCTGCCAAATGCCCCTGAAGCCCTAAGAAAACCACTGCAATACCTCGCTATTTACGCGGGACAGTGCCCAGACCAGTTGGCAAAATGACTAAGCTGGCAGGGAATGGCAGAGGACCCCACGAAAAATGCGTTAGCCCCGCTAACCAACGAATGCGGACAGCAAAAATTTGGCGGGCAGTTTTGTAGACAATTTTCGAACTGCACACTTCATCAATATTTTAGGGACCATTCCACGCCCCTGATCACGACGACCTTCCCCGCCCTCCTTTTCGACGAACTTTTCGATCGAGGGCCTGACTCGAAGACTCGAAAGACAAGCGCCGTAAACGCGAGATCCACACGCAAATCGCGACTATGAGCGGACTTCAGAACGGCGCAGCGCCGGCACGCGCCCTCGACGACGACAGCGATGTTGAGGAGGAGGCGCTTGTTGCCGACTACCGCGAGCAGGTTGAATACGAGGACGGCCTCGAGGATCTGGAGCAGGTTAACTCCCTGACCCTCGCCCAGCAGAATGACGACATTCAGTCAAGACTCGCTGCAGCCGCACAGCCGCTCGACTTCTCGGCACCGCTCGAGGTCAAGTTCCAGAGCTACGATGCCTACTGCAGCCTGTTTCACTTCATTCTCAACTCTGAGGGCCCCGTGGACCTGGAGCCCCCTTCGGTATGTCTGCTCCGGCGGAGAATGGCTCATCACGTTTCATGACTGCGGGCATACCAAGTATTGGTCGCATGCAGCTTTACTGACTTACATCTCCTTATCGCAGTACTACTGGGCTTGGGACGTCATCGACGAGTTCATCTACCAGTTCAACTCCTTTTCTTCTTACCGTATGCGCATTGCCCGCCAGAATAACAACGAGGAGGAGATCGCCATCCTGCGAGAGAACCCCAATACGTGGGGCTGCTACAGCGTGCTCAATGTGCTGTACTCTCTGATCCAGCGGTCACAGATCACCGAGCAGCTGGCCGCGCAGAAGCGCAACGAGGACCCTGCCGCTGTGGCCGGAGAGTACGGCTCAAAGAACCTGTACCGCATGCTGGGCTACTTCTCCATCATTGGCCTGCTGCGCGTGCACTGTCTGCTGGGCGACTTCAGCCTGGCCCTCAAGACGATGGACGACATTGAGCTCAACAAGAAGGCCATGTTTGCGCGCGTCATGGCTGCGCACTTCACCACGTACTACTACATCGGCTTCTCGTACATGATGATGCGCCGCTACTCCGACGCAATCCGCATGTTCAGCCACATCCTGGTGTACGTGTCGCGCACAAAGAACTTCCAGAAGAACGCGCAGTACGACTCCATCACCAAGAAGAACGACCAGATGTATGCACTCATTGCCATCTGCGTTGCTTTCAGCCCCACGCGTCTGGACGACGCTATCCACACCCAGATCCGCGAGAAGTACGGCGAGCAGCTGCTGAAGCTGCAGCGCGGTGGCCCCGAGTCGCTCCCCATCTTCGAGGAGCTGTTCCGCGCCGCATGCCCCAAGTTTATCTCGCCCGTGCCGCCAGACTTTGAGAACCCGGAGGCCAATGTCGATCCCATCGAGCACCACCTGGCCGTTTTCATGGACGAGGTCAAAAACAACATGTGGAGCCCGACTGTGAAGTCGTACCTGCGTCTGTACACGACAATGGACCTGAAGAAGCTGGCTGGCTTCTTGGAGGTGCGGCCCGAGGAGCTGCGTTCGTGGCTAATTGTCAACAAGGAGCGCACCAAGCAGCTGCGGTGGAACGACCAGAAGCTGCTGGACGGCGAGTGGGTCAACGTTAGCGACCTGGACTACGCTCTGCAGGGTGTACGTATTTGCCTGTTACCTATGCCTCTGATTTTTTTTTTTTTTTTTTTTTTTATGTCTGTATGCAATACGTTGCTAACCTCTACATTAGGACCTGATTCATGTGTCAGAGGCAAAGGTTGGCCGCAAGCTGGTCGACTGGTACCTGCGCAATCTCTCGCGGACCTATGCGTAAACGGATTAGTCCAGAGAAAGGACCAAGCCGCTAAGGGCGAAACACACCCCGAGCATACGGAAGGCAACCACTGTGCCTTTCTCTGTGTGTATGTGTGTGTGCAACCCTGTACATGTACACTTGCGGCACATTACACAAAACATCACAAATCTTACACGGAGTTCCATGTCCCTTTCAAACTTGGACGGCGTCTTGGCTTTGTAATATGCGGGACAAGATACGATGGGAACAACGACCAGGGGCACGAGTTAGACAAAAGGAAACGAGCCGGAAAGCGGCTAGATGAGGGACGAGGAGCAAAGAGAAAAGAATGGCTCCCGGGGATGTCAGACAGGAAATACTAGGAGGGTCGTCCCGCATTAGCATTTGACTTAGGATTTTTTATAATTGTTCTATTTTTTTTCTGCTTGTTTCGACCCGAGCCGTGATACCACCTCGCTTACTACACAGGAAGGTTGTCGTCGTATGACAATAACGTTTTCTGTGGTCTGTATATTATTTCGACTCCTTCTCTGTCATGTCCCCTGCATGTGAATACTCCGGCTCCAACGGACGGCAGAGGTGAAATAGCGAGATATACACCGATTGTGAACCTGCAACCAGGTCACCATCTGTATACGATTTTTTTCATTTTCTTTCACACACAAACAAAATATGCAGATTTGTTGGTCCCGTCCCACCCTTGTCTTTCCGTATCGGCGCGCGTTGTGTGCTGCAACCATTTCACACCACCTTCTTGGCACGTTGACACTTGATTCGATATCTAGAGTCTTGATGTCTGTTCTTGGCGTATTGTTACACAGAAAGGTGGGCAAGATAAGATTTTTTGGTTTCGTTTTTCTTTCTTCGCGTAGCTAAGTGAACCACAGCTGGGGTTAGAAATATCTGACATCAGACCAGGAGAACAGGGAAAAGAACAGGGCAAGGGCTGAGTCCTTTGCAACCCCACCAGTACACACGGCGAAGTTGCACACATCGTTTTTCCAACACCCGGGCCGTTCTTCGGAATACGACTTCTTGCCGAAACCAAAATACTTGGCATCCTAGGCTGCTTGCGAGCTTGCGTTGTTCAAGGCTTAAATGCCAGGGCGACAACACGTAGTGTACGTCGTACTTCGTGCATAGATATGGCCCAAGAAGATGAAACTGGAGAATGCCTTTTGTCCGTCTCGCCCAGTTTCTAAGTGGTTCTCCGGGAGGCGGACCGGAGACACTAGTCCAGTCAGACGTGTGGGGTGGACAGTAGATACGATAGTAAGGTCCAAGGCAAATATAACTGCTGCGTTTTTGCGCTTTGTAGCTTCTTGGTCAGACAGTCTTTGCTCTCACCGCCGTGTTCAGTTGTGGAGTTCCGAGGTCAAATGCCGGTGAGCGTTGACAGACCACGACCCTTGTTGCCTCCCACGTCGGCTTTAGCGTTCAGCCTCTGCTTGCGGCGTGCGTTGGACGAGGAAAAGTAAAGACGAGTGGGATCTGGTCCGTGGGTAGGTCGCCTCACACGGCGGCTGGCCGCCACCTCTGCAGCCCATTTCTGTTGGCACTAGCCACGGGATATTGTTTGATCTGTCGTCTGCTCGTTATACAAGCATGTTGTATAACAGGACGGTGTAGTAGTGGAAGCATTTGAGCAATGAAACCATGGGGCGCGCTATCTGCGCGCTTGCGTCGCCGCGTTCTAGACCGTGCCTTTACCTTGGTCGGCTCTGAGCTCTGCTTGCACCACCTCTCGACCCTCGGAATCTCACTGAGTTATTCGCACTGCAAGAACGTCGAGCGCTTGACAACTGTCGCCCATCCGTCGACGGTTTCATCGAGCGTACAGAGTCCCTCATTCAGAGCAGATTTGGGCCTGTAAATTGCAGTAATAAGGAGATCCTGGGAGGCCTCGTGCCAAGTCTGGGCAGAAGTGCTGGCCGACTCTCAGTGGACCTAGGTTAGCTGCATTGTATCTCATTACGTACCATATTGTGATGAGTATTACAACTGCGTCCGCTCCGAGCTTCAGGGCTTTCGCACATTCGTTTGTCAAGTAACTACGACGTATGCAGTAGATAAAGATCGCATGTTGTACACGTCCAAACGATGGGGCTGCAGGGGGGTCGGCCGAGTGGTGGCGCACTCTCGTGGAGGGAGGAGAGCATCTTGCTATGCCGGAGACGTTTGCCCCCTGTCGAGATGCAGGCAGTTTGCACTTAGCTCACAAGTACGTTGTAAGGCCCGTCCCTTCCTCTCCAAGTCACACTTCAATACATACACTCCCCTGTTGGTGGCCACTGGACGTTGGATGCACCTTCCTTGCGTTTGTATCTTACTTGTTTGCGCCTTCCCTCCGATTGCCCCCATTCTCTCGTCTGCCGCTCTCGTTCTCGCAGAAAGGCCGAGGATGTCAAAGTAACTATCCAAAGGTTGTGCCTTCCGTTATCGTATGGACTAGGTCCTCTGAGCAACTCATCCACCTGCCCACACCTTTTTGCAGTGCCAAGCCGCCGAAAGATGTGACGTGCTCTTTTGTTTGGTGGAAGCTCGCAAAGGAGCAAGATAGAAGAGGAAAAAGTGGGATAACAGTAGGTAGGCATGATGGAAACCCATTACTCTGTACATTATGGAATATGGCACATTACGCTCTGCAAAGCTGCAAATCAAAGCCTGCATCTAGACTGGTGGGGACGAATGTCGTTATTATCTGCTTGTCTCTATGCCTTTGTCTTTTGCGGTGCCGTCTGCGTGTCTTCTCGCTCCTCATAGTCTCGCCTGGCCATGTCGGCTGCTGTTCACGCAGATCTTTTGGTTGCCTGCCCAGCTTGTGATCTGATAATACGAAGAGAAGGCTTCTCCCCACCCGTGCGATCTCATTTGCCTTCACGGACATGGTCGAAAGCAATTTTCTCGTTATTTTTCCCGCTGTTGTTTTCTTTTAAACCCAGAGCAGCCCTTCGTGCGGTTCAGAATTTATTATACGAGCTGTGCCTATTCCTTTGGTCTTTTGTGGTTGTGTTTTGACCATCCAGTCCTGGTCCAGCCCACCTTTGCTCCTGCCGGCCCCGTAATAATTGCCATTGATTAATGGAGAAGGAACCACCCTGTCTCATTCCGGTGTCATTGTACAAGTATCTCGTTGCCCATCCTTTCCTCTTCATCTTTCTCGCCCAGAGTCGCTTGTGAATAGTTATTCCACCAAGCTCATAAAACCCCACAAGAAGTACCGAAAGCTTGCTCCGAAAATAACGAGCGCATTGCGAAAAGCTTTCCCTTCCAACTACGCCCTCCCAGTCACGAACCAAAACGCCACCGTTTTGGCTGGCCTTCATCCAGCTCGTTCATGAGCAGCTTCTCCCTTTTGTCTCTCTCAATGCGTCGCGCAGTTGAATAACCCGTGCTGGCCTCTCCTGAGGCCGTCGGAGCAGCGAGCGCGTACGCAGTTACCAGACAGACGAAAATAACTTGAGCAAAAGCTCAGCAAACGAACACGGAAAGAAACACATTCGCATAAGAGGCAGAGCCGCCCCAAGGCAAGCCAGGCCGAGGAGCACAGAGGCGTCAACCTAGGAGGCAGGCAGTCTTGACGAGCTGCGAATAGCTTGCAGCCAAGCTTGCCGCGTCAAAGCTGCTCGAAATCAAGCAACGAATGCGTCAAAAGAGCAAGTTTACCATGTCTCGGGCCCCGATATCCTCCCATCCGCCAGCAGCTAGCCCTGCGAGAACTGCGTCGGCCGCAGACATAAGCCCCGGCTCAGACGTGTCCCCCACGACCATCGTCCCTGGCAAGGCCGTCGGCGATGCTGTCGCCACGACACCAAAGTCAAACGTTGGTTACTTCACACCAGCAGTCACAACAGCAGCCCAAACGTCTACTCCTGGTACGTCTATCGCTAGTACCAGCATAGAGGGCCGACGCAGCGATGGTCTCACGGACGCGTCTGGGGAAACGGCGACAAGCAGCCCCGTGACTGTCGCAACATCCAGCCCAGCCCTGACGACGAGCACGCCGGTGCCAGATCGACGTCCCAGCTCGATCCTCGATCTCGCGAGTGAAGGCAGTGGGAGGGCGTCCAGGAAGCCGTCAACGGCATCTGTGACCTTCCTTCCAACACGACACCCTTCCTTGCCACAAGGCCAGCCCAAGCCGGGACGCATTCTGTCGCCTGCTCCCAAACGGTATGTTCGACCTCCACCACCCGAGCGCGCTTTGCCTTTGCAAAAGAAAACGTCATTTCAGAATCCCCCACGCTGCTTTACATTTATTCAATCCGTCCCACGTGCGGCATAACGGCCAGTTTTGGCGAGAAAACTCTTCTCAGAACACTGCACACCCATCTCGTTGAATGGTCTAGTTACCACTTTTGTTCCTAAACTACGCGTCCCCATATCTTTCTTCCCCAGCACAGACAAGGTTGCACGCGACTGGTGGAGAGCGGTAGGCCGTCTGCCTTCAAGGCTGGGGATGCGCCAGCCTTTTTCTAATGCTAGCTCCTCGTCGCTTTGCGGGCGCTTGCTTTGCCGGCTTTCGCTGTCCTGTCCCTGCCTTACTCACTTACCTCACGAGTCTTCTCCTCCCTACCCCACTGCACTAGGCCGCTGGGCCGCCCCCTCTGAATTTTGGCCCGCATAGACTGCCACACCTTGAAAGTTGTACTCATGGCACCAGTTGGAATACGCATGTGATGTTCACTCTCAGGACCACAGACCGCAATCAGAGCGCAAATCGTTAGGCCAAAGCGGATTTGCTAGACCTTTCCAAACAGAGCACAGGCGCGGTTACCTCACGGGCCTTATTTTGGCGCGCCCAGTAGTCTTTCCTCCAAAACCCACAAGTAAAAATGACACACCCAACGCCCTACTCCAGCGCACAGCCACAGCACTTACAACCTTTGTGTGGGCTCCAACACCTCATCATCTTCCCCTCTTCATACAATCTTTGCTCCTCTCCCGCGAACACGACAGATATTTGCTCCACCTCACCCCTCTATAAGTTTGCGATCGATCAAACAACGTGACACTCACATTTACCTCACTGCCAATTTATACGATTGATTGGAGGCATCGTCGTCATGACGACACTAATAGAAACCTCTTCTGCCACCAGGTTCCGGAAGCACGTCGGCTTTGACAACATCCCGATCGGAGAAGCGACAAAGTCAAACACGCTCGGCTACACACTGAGCATCAGCCATTATGGCTACCAACCCCGGCGCCGATCACGAACCATGATGGTCGGCATTGACCAGAACATATACTCCGACTTTGCGTTGCAATGGCTGTTGGACGAGTACGCAGACGATGGCGATGAGATAATCTGCGTCCATGTTGTAGACAAAGATGCGCGGACCGTCGAGGAAAAGAACTACAAGGCACGTGCCGAAAAAATGGTGGAAAGAATCAAGAGCAAGATCCCCGAAAGCTGCGCAATCAGCATAAAACTCGAGTACGCAGTGGGAAAACTGCATGCGACTTTCCAAAAGCTGGTATGTATCGACGTTCTCATGTCTCTTTTTTTGTCCTCCGTGCGACGCTGACGCGCGGTGTTTCCCGGTACAGATTCAAGTCTACGAACCTTCTATGCTTGTCGTTGGAACACGTGGTCGCTCTCTGGGAGGCTTCCAGGGCCTCGTGAACAAGAACTCATTCTCCAAGTACTGCCTACAATACTCGCCAGTACCGACTGTTGTCGTCCGTGACTATGAGAAGCGCAAGAAGAAGAAGGACAAGAGATCCAATGACCCGGCCCGTCATAGCTATGCCAACATGCTTGCAACGTCCAACGGCGTGCACGAGGCCAACAGCGAGAACAGCAGCGTGTACAACATGGAGGCGAAGATCTCTGCCGACGAGGAGGCGCATAAGGTCGCCGCCGCCATTGGTCTTCCGGCCGCTTTCGATCCCACTCTCAAGCCAATAGACATAGACCAGTATCTTGGACGCCGGTCACGCAACACATCGCCAGCCAGGCCAGAGGTAGAGAGCACCACGAGCGACAAGTCTACGATTCCGGGCAGCGTCGAAACTCCTGCAGCATCGGTCGATAGCGAAGACGACGACAGCGCCGACGACGACGACGAAGCCGAGTTTGAGGTGACCTCTGGCCAGCAGGCACTTCAAGAAGCCGCAGCCAAAGAATCCGAGAAGGAGCAGCGTAAGAAGCTGCATGAGATGGAGATGGGCGAGGCTCATGCATTAAAGCATGTCATAGAAAGCGATGAGGAGGATTAACAGCACTGCGAACTCGGCGGCCATGGCGAGTTCTGCTTCTTTTCAGATACACAAACGAATTTATGGCCAAGAAACATGGTTTAGGACGGGTAATGGGCAGACATGGGAGTATGGCGCTCAGTGGCGAGTCTCCTGCTTGCACTGCGTGCGGGCTGAGATGGTTCTTTTTTTCTTTTCTTTTTCTTTCTTTTTTTAATGATGCACGTTAAATTCTGCATCGTGACCTACTTGACAAAATAGGGCAAACGAGATCATCTCAAATGAATATCAAAGAAACATAGGTCGTGCAATAGAAGGAGTATATCACTGTGTCTTTGTTTTGTTTATTTTGTTATTTTGTTAGCTATGGCCTACTGACCCATGTCTGCACCCCACAGCTTTGTCTCGAATCCCTGCTAGAGATCACTTGCAGTCGCCCAACAACCAATATCGAGGGTGTGGTGACGCACATACTCCATAAAGAAAATGTCGCCGATTCAGATGCGCAACTGATCCTAATTTGAGACACAGGTTCGCCCTGCACCAGCAATAAGCCCAACTGACGTCGGCAATTCGGTGACAATGCGCTTCAGAGTAGTGCGAACCGCAGAAGAAGATCCGCTGTAACAGGGCGTCAACGGATAAGGCTGCTGTAAGTACAGTGGATCGGCAGGCGGAAAAAGAATACATCCGGCGGGGAAGCTACCGTAGACGAGCTCTTACAGTGCCGTACGTCGCTGTATTAGGAAACCTCGCCCCTCTATTTACGGTGCGTCATGGCTACTGCTTTAAAAAAAAAACGTTTGTCCCAGTTGGGCAGGCGGACAAAGAGCGAGAATGACGGCAATATGATTTATTCTGAGTAGTTCATTGCTACTGATATCGACGTCAGAGAACAACATTTGACCGCTCGACAGCATATCTCAGTGCAACGGCAAACCGGCCGCGATCTAACTAGCTGCAAAGGCTTCATAAGAAGCAGTCACTCTTTTCATATTGTTCTCATTTTAATGACGGCCGTTGCTGTTCCTGCTTTACGAAGGTGACCCATCGCTTTGCTGAGAAATCCCTTTGAATACAGCGGCATTGCGACTCGTCGTCTTGACATCTCACGACCGGCTGAGACGAACGCTTTATAATTTCACTTGAAGATACCCGCTTCGAAACACCATAATGCCTGTCGTCGGCCCAGAAAAGCTGGCTGCTCTGCAGCAGCATGGCGACAACGTTCGCAACATTTGCGTTTTGGCGCATGTCGACCATGGCAAAACCTCGTTGACAGACGCTCTCATTGCTACAAATGGCATCATATCCGCGAAGATGGCCGGCAAGATCCGGTATCTTGACTCTCGGCCCGACGAACAGCTTCGTGGCATCACCATGGAGTCCTCTGCGATCTCGCTCCTCTTCGCCATGATGCGGCGAGCCAATCCCGAAGCAGCCCCCGAAGCCAAGGAATACCTCGTCAACCTGATCGACTCTCCCGGCCACATCGACTTTAGCAGCGAAGTCTCGACCGCCTCGCGCCTATGCGATGGTGCCGTTGTTCTTGTCGATGCCGTCGAGGGCGTTTGCAGCCAAACTGTCACCGTTCTGCGTCAAACCTGGACGGAGAAGTTGAAGCCGCTTCTCGTCATCAATAAGATGGACCGGCTCGTTACCGAACTGCAGATGACGCCCGCGGATGCCTATGTGCACATAAGTAAACTGCTCGAGCAAGTAAATGCTGTCCTTGGCAGCTTCTTCCAGGGCGAGCGCATGGAGGAGGACCTCAACTGGCGGGAACGTGTTGACGAACGTGTCGCTGCTACGAAGGAGGCACAGGGCGGCAGCGGCGGTGACGAATCACAGACCGACGAATACCAGGAGCGGGACGACGAGGACATTTACTTTGCGCCTGAGAAGAACAATGTCATTTTCAGCAGTGCCATCGACGGCTGGGCGTTTACTGTTCGCCAGTTTGCGGTCTTGTACGAGCGCAAGCTCGGCATCAAGGCACAACTCCTTGAAAAGGTACTCTGGGGCAGCTTCTACCTGGACCCCAAGACCAAAAAGGTGCTCGGCGCACGACACCTCAAGGGCCGCTCGCTCAAGCCGATGTTCGTGCAGCTTGTCCTTGAACCGATTTGGGCCGTGTACAATGCGACCTTGGGCGGCAACAATGACCGTGGCGATCCCGAGGCCCTGGAGAAGATCACGAAATCGCTTAGCATCACGATTCCGGCGCACATCAAGCGGTCGCGGGATCCTCGCCAGCTGATGATGACCGTCTTCTCTTCCTGGCTGCCACTATCGACGGCTCTACTCGTTTCCGTCATCGAGTCTTTGCCTTCCCCGAAGGCGGCACAGGAGGAACGCATGGGTGAGCTTCTCGACCGCTCGCCCGATCCTGACCACATCGACTCTTCGGTCCGGTCGGCCATGGTCTCGTTCAACCAGTCCAAGGAACAACCAGTGGTCGTCTACGTCAGCAAGATGGTTTCGATACCTGAAAGCGAGTTGCCCGAAAATAAGCGGAAGAATACAAATTCCATGAGTGCAGAGGAGGCGCGCGAGTTGGCAAGACAGAAGCGGGCAGAGATTGCCCGCGCACAGCAGGCCGAGTCTGCCGCCGCTGGCCACTCCAACGACGGTGACTACCTCGCATTGTCTCTCGATGCTGTAACAATCCAAGACAGCCAGGACGATGCCGAGAAGGCCAAGATTGATCCCGAACACCTGATCGGCTTTGCACGAATCTACTCTGGCACGCTCTCTGTCGGCGACGAGATCTACGTCATTCCGCCCAAGTTCTCGCCCGCCCATCCTCACCACCAGCCTGAGCCCAAGAAGATCACAGTGGAAGCGCTCTATATGATCATGGGCCGCAACCTCGAAAGTCTCGACCAAGTACCGGCCGGTGTCGTCTTTGGTATTCGTGGCCTTGAGGGCACCGTTCTCAAGTCTGCAACTCTTTGTAGTCAAGTCGAAGGCGCATGCAACCTGGCGGGCATCGCCAGTACAATCGGCCGTCCCATCGTGCGCGTCGCACTCGAGCCGGAGAACCCGGCTGATCTCGACAAGATGATTGCCGGTCTGAAGCTGCTCGTCCAAAGCGATCCCTGTGCCGAGTACGAGCAGTTCTCCACAGGGGAGCACGTCCTGCTTACGGCAGGCGAACTTCATCTCGAGCGCTGCCTGACAGATCTGCGGGAGCGTTTTGCCCGCTGTGAGATCCAGGCCGGCGCACCGATTGTGCCGTATCGAGAGACCATTGTCCGTGCCGAGGAGATGCGTCCGCCCGCCAACAAAGAGCTGGGCCGTGGTGTTGTACAGAGCTTTACAAGCTCCAAGCAAGTGTCAATCACCGTGCGAGTCCGCCCTCTTCCGACTGAGGTCACTGATTTCTTGATCAAGAACTCAGGCAGCGTCCGGAATATTTCGTCTGAAACGAAGGCTTCCAATGGTTCACGGGACAAGACTGGAGAACGGGCAGACGACGTTGTTGCCGAAAATAGCTCTAATAAAAATGGAACCTCATCCTCTGACGATGAAGCGGCGGCAGGAGCTGAGACTGATGAAGTGTCGGGCGTGTCCGAGGTTCTCTCCCCAGAAGAATTCAAGGAGCAGCTGCAGACTCATTTTGATAGCAGCAAGGGTGGCTCGGCATGGAAGGGCGTTACCGACAGCATTGTTTCATTTGCACCTCGCCGTGTTGGCCCCAACATTCTTGTCGACAGTACCGAGTCACAGTGCCTTCAAAGGTTGTTTGCTGAGCACGAAGTTGATGCCGGCACAGCTGCCAGCGCCGATGACCGGGTCGACCCAAGCCACTTTGCCGACAAGATCGTCTACGCTTTCCAGCTGGCCACCCAACAGGGGCCTCTGTGCCACGAACCTGTCCAGGGCATTGCCGTAATCGTCGAAGATGTCAAGGTGTCGCCGGCCGGAAGCAATGTTGAGGACGGTGCAAACAGCACCCTGCTGGTGCGGGACAACCTTGGCCGGCTGACTGGCGAGGTCATTAAGACGGTCCAGCAGTCCATCCACAAGGGATTCCTAGACTGGTCACCCCGTCTCATGCTCGCCATGTACTCGTGTGAAATTCAAGCAAGCAGTAAGTTCCAGACCCCTTCACTTACTGTACTGTTGTATAAGAGTAGTAATACTAACTGCTGAACAGCCGAGGTTTTGGGACGTGTCTACGACGTGCTGACGCGCCGCCGTGGCCGTGTTCTATCCGAGACCATGAAGGAAGGCACACCTTTCTTCACCATCCTGTCGCTTCTGCCCGTAGCCGAGTCGTTTGGCTTCTCCGACGACATGCGCAAGCGGACAAGTGGCGCTGCCCAGCCGCAGCTTATCTTCACAGGTTTTGAGGTGTTGGATGAGGATCCTCTTTGGGTGCCGTTCACGGAGGACGATCTGGAGGATCTGGGTGAATTTGGCGACCGAGAGAACGTGGCCAAGCGGTACATGGACGGTGTCCGGCGCCGCAAGGGCCTGCTCGTGGAGGGCCGTAATGTTGCTCGGAGCGCCGAGAAGCAGAAGACACTTAAACGCTAAAAGCACGGGCAGCAAAGGTTGGATAACATACATAGGATGGCGTTTGCGTTCTAGATAAAATACATCACTGGGTTGGGTTTTCAGGATAAAGCTGGCGAAAAGACGAGACTATATTATATTTGGAAACATCTCAAATGTCGTATTTTGTATCGAGCCATGCACTCGGCATAGAAGAGATGTTAAAACGGAATGTAGGACACAGTCAGCTAAGTACAAAGCCATGGAAGGAAACATACAGTGATACTAAACAAATCCTCTTTTAAGTCTCATGTCTTCACTTGTAACACGAGGAAGAAATCAACTACAGCAGGATGCAAAGCCGAAATAAAGGAACGAAAGAAAGAAATCAAGTCCCAATGTCATACTTGTTGCTCATACGATGCAGTGAGATAAAGAGAAAATAGTTTTGACAGAGAAGAGAGAACAAAAAAAAAAAAAAAAAAGTAACAAAATGAACAGAAAAATCCCATTTCTTTTTTCCCGTAAAAATATAAAACGCGAAATAAATCAAAGGTACCGCTTTCTTTTTACAAAAAAAGTGTCTGGTTTCGTCAACCTTCTTCCAACACCATTTTTCTTCGTCCGTCATCCCAGTGACTCTGGACAAAGACATCAGCAGATCGAAGCTGCAAGCACATATGCACGATTGCCTCTCTGCAGGTATCACGAAAGACATCAACCTCTTTCTTTCCCAAGGCCCATTTCTCCTAACCCCGGACCCGAAACATGCACGTATACGCATCTCGCATATGCACACCCACTTAGGAGTACAGATACAGATACCTCTCTCCCAAGCAACAAAAACAGTCCGACACGCTTTTCTCGCTACCACCTTGCTCTTGTACTGGTCCACTCCATACATCCACGTCGATCTCACTCCCCAACAAGAGCAAAATGCACACCAAAGGTTTCCCTGTATCGGTGTGACTTGACCATGGAGCCCAACACCAATCACCTATCCAATGCGAAATACCTCGCTGCTTTACCACAGACGGCCGTAGCTCTAAAATACCGTTGCACGGGAAAAGAAGCTAAACCATGGGTGGGCAGGCAAGCGAACGAAGGAGAGAAAGACATTAACTGAAATCAAAATCGCTTGGGTAAAGAATCGGGTTGGGTCTATGGAACCACTGGCCATATGCTAGAGCAGAAAAATCTGGGATTCGGAGGAGAGACGAGAAAAGAGCTTTTTTTTGGTGGAGCACGAGGACTGCTCTGCCTGTCATGGCTTGCTGTTCCTCCTGTCGCGGCGGGGATGGGTGGGTTCAACCGCTCATTGGGCGCGCGGCTTCTGGCTGCGGCGACCCTTGTTCGGAACGGTCTCCCAGCCCTCCTCATCCGGGCCTGTGGGTGTGGCCGGGGCGGCACCCTCCTCCTGGGGGAGCTTGGGCGTCGACGGCTGCGACTGCTGGCCACCGTTGGCGGTACGCGGGGGGCGAGGGCCGTCATTGTTGCGGGGACCTCTGGGCGCACCACTGCCACGGCGCTGGCCATCGGCGCCACCACGGGGCTCACGCGGTGGGCGGGGACCGCGCTGCTCGCCAGACGGCTGTCTCCAGTTGCCGCTGTCGTTGGCGCGCGACTTGGCATTTTGGAGCTGGTCACCGCGGGGCTCGCGGGGCTCGCGAGGCTCGCGAGGCTCTCTTGAGCGGGGGCCTCTCTGATTCGGCACGGCCGAGCCGTTCTGTGGGCTGCCAGTCTTGGCAGCAGCTGCGTCACCTTTGGCGGACTCTTCAGTCTTCTCCTCCGAAGCATCAGTGGCGGCAGCGGCTTCGGTAGCGGGCGCTTCAGTAGCGGCGGCAGCAGCAGAAGCCTCCTCCTCCTTGGGGGCCTCCTCCTTGGGAGCCTCCTTTTCCGCCTTCTCAGCGGCAGCCTTTGCGGCAGCGGCCTCCTGTGCAGCGGCCTCCTTGGCCTTCTTGGCCTCCTCTTTGGCTTTCTCATCGGCCTCCTTCTTCTCCTTAATCGCGATCTGGCGCTTCTCCTCGACCTCCCGCTCGCGGGCGGCTGTGTCAATTGGGCGCGCAGCGCCGAAGGGGCTGGCCTTGGCGTCGCCGGCGGGAGTCGAAGCGGCATCTGGGGCCTCGGAAACAGTGCGCTTGGCCAGGTTCAGCTTTGGCCGGGACGCAAGGACGGCAGTAGCAGGTGCAGGAGAAGACGGGGCCTCGCTACCGCTACGAGAGGGCGCAGGCGACTTCACCGGCGCATCTGGGCGCATGTTGTTGCGCCACTGCATATCACGCTCCGCAGCAGTGGGAACGCGTTCCGGGCGCTCCGGGCGCTCCGGACGCTCAGTGAACTCGCGGTGGGGACGGGATCCATCAGCAGGACCGGCCGGGCCAGCGCCACCCTCAGGGCGGCCCTCGCCCCAAGTGGCAGGAGATGGCTTCCGGGGGCCACGGAAAGACTCGGACCGGCCACCTTCGCGGGCGAGGTCGACAGGGCGCTCCTGCTGGGGCAGAGGAGACAGAGGGCCCTTGCGCTCCCAAGTCAGGTCGCGCGGCTTCTCGTCGGTCGGCGCGTCCCGTGGGGGGCGGCGCTCGGAAAAGTCAGGGGCTGGGCGGCGGTCGTTGTTGCGCGCCGACGGCAGGTCCGGCAGAGGGCCCTTGCGGGTCCACTCGCTCAGGTCGCGAGAAGAGCCCTCACCACCACGCTGGTCACGCTCCTTGGCTGCAAGCAGGTTAGCAATTATGTAGGCGATCTATACGTATAGACAGGCCATTTTCGGTTAGATTACGTACGAGGATCTGCAATCTTGACCTTAATGTTCCGGCCACGGAAAGACGATCCATCGAGCTCGAGAGCGCGTTTCAAGCCATCGACATTGGAAAACTCGGCGTAACCGAAACCCTTGGGGCGGCGGGTCTCACGGTCCTCGATAAGGCGAATGCTAGTGACGTCGCAGCCGTCGAGGAGGTCGCGAATATCGGGCTCCGTAATCTCGTAGTCGAGGTTGCCGAGGTGGGCAAGGTAAGGCGGCTTGTCCGGGATGCGCTGAGGAACGGGATCGCGGTACGAGAAGCCTAGCAGGAGAGACAAGAGGTTAGCAATCGGAGACAACCGTCCTGTGCTGGTAGTTGTCGGAACATACCACGGTCATCCAAGCGGGGGCCGCTGTTGTTGTAGAAGCTGCTGCCGCCGCCACCGCCGCGGCGCTCCATAGGAGGAAGAGCCTGGGTGCCTGCATGTGGGTGTTAGTAAGTGTATGACTTTACATATTTGTCGATATGGCTCCGTGACACCGCCGTCGGCCGATGATCGGACAGCATGACGTCGCCGAACTCTGTTTTCAAGACCGGGGTGGCCACATACCGTAAGATTCTTCAACCTCATCCGCCCATGAACCACCACCGAAGGCTAGACAAGAAGTTAGTATATGCCACGAATGCACAGCACAGGATCGCTCACTCTGAGTCCGCTTCGGGATGTCGGAAATAGCTCACAGTCATTGGACATGAACTCTCCATAGGAGAGCTTCTGCACTTCCTTCTTCTTGGGAGCTAATGGAGTGTTAGCATATACAGCTGAAAACGTAGTTGCCCAGCCGATAGAGTAGGTCGTTGTCCAGGCCGGGGACACAGGCGCCGACGGAGCCGACACGGCGCTGTCACAATCTGACGACGAAAACAAGGCCGAGCAAGCAATGTGCATGCCAACGAGCAAATCCGTTGAGGGGGGCCGTAAACGTACCCATGATGAAAGACAGGTATGAAACGCTGACTACGCGCAACGAGCACTTGGCAACGGCACGTAGACAACGGGGGTTGACGCGGGGGCGGGCGTCGGTCGGCGAGTATCGGAGAAATTTCCCAAAGAATCGCGACGGGCAGGCGACGATGCTGAGGAAAAAAGGGGTCCGGTCGGAGGGTCGTTGAGACCGGCAAACAAACAAGCACTCTGCACGCAATCGAAAGCGACGATTGGTACAGTTGGTAACGCGACGTCTAGAGGTCGATTCGGAGAAAAGGGAGTCTCGGTTGTGGTGTGTACGTGGATGGTGATGTCGTTTGGAATTTTTAAAGAGGCCGGCTTGGAAGGGGAAAAAAATTGGGATGTGAGGATTGGCTGTGTGGGCTGGGCTATTTTTTTGCGTGGGCGGCGCGATTTCATAGTGGAGCCATTCCCGATTAGGATTAAACCCGCCAATTATCCTCTTATTTTGTAATTTTTTTAAAGGTCTGCGAGCAGCTGTTTCCCAGTACATTAAAGGAAAGGCCAATGGACACGGCTCATTGCCCTTTCTCATTGGCCTCGTCTCTACGGCACAGTGCGATAGACTTCGACTACGGTGCAAACGTGTGCAAACAGTGAATGCTGCTGCTATGACCTTGTTAAGTGGAAATGCACTGAACTCGTAAGTCTCAACTATCATCTGTAAGGCTTCGTAATAATAACGTTTAAGATCTTCAAGTTTGTCCCTGCCTGGTGTCGCAGGTTTCGAAAGTAGGTTTGTTTGCTGGCAACGAGAATGGTAGCCTTGCTCAATGCGCCCCGTTGTAGGCCTATTTTCGAGAATAACAGCGGGTGCATTTACCACCTCGCACTGTACAGAATTAGCGTGCGAATATCCCCTTCACTCATTGATCTGCACAAAGCAGAAAGTATGATACCTTCTGATTGAAGACAAGGCTGCAGCAACCACAAGTACGACGTACGGTGAGCGAGAATAAAAGGCATAGTCAACAGAGTGAGTGTGAAATTCACTTTCTCATGGATGCACTATACTTGACTCCCTTTTACTAATCTCGCAAACTTAGCCGCACACATTGGACTTGGCTATTTCCTATTGATGAGCATTTGATTCCGCGATCCGCAGCTGGAGTCTGTGGCCACCTGCACCGGATAACTTGGCTGCCCATACACCCCTTACAAACTCTGCAGAGGCGACTACTATCGACGTATACCATGTCACGTCCCGAGTCCACGCCGCCGGCCCGGCCCCCACCAGCGGCAAAGGCACAAATACCGCCGGAGGTGGCTGACATTCTCGTTCCAAGTCTGCAAGTGGGATTGGGAGCAGGTTTGTGGAACCGATGCTCATAACATATGTATTTGGAAGGCGTCGTTACTAACGGAAATGAAACCGAAGGAACGATAGGACTATTTGTTGGTGCAGCGTCTGGCATTGTGCGCTCGACCACGCCGGTGCTGTTCTCTCTTGTGACGGGAGCACAATGGTTTGCTCTTGGCAGCAGTTACTATGGTGAGACAAGCCCTACGTCTTTGTCCCATATCATAACGGATAACTAATTCTGCTTGTCAGGATCAAGAAGTGCCATCATCTCGGCATGGGGCGGCGAAAGTACACTGACGCCGTGGGACAACGTAAAGGCCAGCACGCTTGCTGGAGCCTCGGCGGGCTTCGTAGGCGGCTCGTTGCGTATGTTTTTATGCCCCTCGATTTTGCAAACAACTTCACATGGTACATGCCCATGCTGACAACTCTAGGTGGCCCACGAAATATTCTTCCCGCCGTCGCCATTTTCTCCATCTTTGGCGCAAGTGGTCAGGCAGTCTTGAACGCCATGTCGACGGGAGAGACCCCGGACGCGAAGTCAAAATCAAGCTGGCTCGGGTCCAAGTGGAGCCCAGTGACGCCGATGACCGATACCGAATATGCCACATTCATCCAGGACAAGATCCTCAAGCTCGATGTCGAGGTGTCGATGATTGACGACCAGCTGGCCACATTAAGGGCGCGAAAAGCACAGAGAGAAGCCGAAAACCCACAACGTGAAGATTCATAGCAATGGGACGCGTCCTGTAAGATATGATTTATTGAATAGACAGCGAATACTCAAGAAACAGCTCAATGCCCATCCAAGTACCTCATCGCACTCCCAAGTTCCTGGAAAGGTAAGGTTTCTCGAGAACATGACAGCGGTGCGATTTTGCGCTCAAGGAAATAGTGAGTGCGCATATAAAAACGCGATTAGGCCACCGCTCCACAACCGCCATAAAAAGCCCCGTCTGTGCTGTATTTCCAGGTTCGGGTTCGCGCCTGTAGATGATTGTATGGGAATGTTAAACATGCTGCACTTTTGGCTTTCAGATGGAAAAGTACGGACTTTCGTCACTGGGATATGCGTGATAACATCATGTTATTATTTATTACAGAGGTAGATCAAAGAAATTGACGTTTAATGTTGGGCCTGTTAAACCAGCTCTATCACTGCTAATTAGCGGCTGGTAGAGCTCGACGTTGATTGGCTGGATGACAGCTGTTGGGGGTTTGTGTCATCGCATGGGCGGGGCGCCCCAAATGCCAGCCGTTGCTGCCAAAGCCCAACATTTCACTGGAAAACAAGCACCTGACTAAGCCTTTGAAGCTACCCCGGAGCGGCGGACGCCAAAAGTGATGTGCAACGGGGCTCGCTTAAAGTCGTAATTTGGGGTTGTCGCACTATTGGGAATAACGATATTTGGGAAAGAGCAGCCGGCCACTGTACATCGACACCTCCCTCTCTTGTCACACAAGGCTTCTTGCTTCACTTGTCGAGCCGCGGTCGAGCTTCCAATTCCACACAACACCTCGACACACCCATACGGACCTGCGCGCGACGTCGGCAGCGCCTTGCGCCTCTCGTGCCTCTCTCCGCGACAACAGAACATTTTGTCGCCGTCTTTGTCTTCAGACCTTCCTCCCGGCCCCAACCGACCTCGACAGGCCACGGACCAAGCTCGACACTACGTCTGTGCCTTGCCATTGACGGGCTGGGACGCCAGCGCACGCTTTTGCGGACACACTCTCTTGATCCTGTGCTGCCCCTATCTCGTTGATCGATATGGCGCCCGTTGTGCCTGGCACAGATCGCGTGTAGAGACTGCAATGATATGACCCGGGTGGGTTCACAGCTGCACCCTTCTCCCTGACCGCTTTGTTTACTCTCCTTCTCGAGGCTGTCACTGACTCTCTGCGCTGTCGCTAGACGTCGCATACGATCCCAGCAGTCGCCGCGCCGTTATGGCGCTTTTCAGCCCCACCTTCATTCTCGGCGTCGTCGTCCTCCTCTACGTCCTCTCCTTTGTCCTATTCGCCATCATTCGCATTGTCACGGGCCTATCTATTCAGCGCATTGGCTATTTCTCCCTTCGCCGCCTTGCCTACGTGCCTCGCGACGGGCTCAAGATCGAAGTCCGTGGCCTGGGCCTCAACATTCACCGTCCGACTTTCGCACAGCCGACGTGGTTGAGCATTGTCGTCAGCGAGCTGGTTGTCACCGCCGATACCAACGAGTTGGAAGGCTTGCACCATGTCGACGACAAGGCTGCTTACAATGACACGACCAGCGAAACGCCGGGTGGCGACCCCACCGTGGGCAAGGAGGCCTGCAGCGAGCGGAGCGGAGATGACGACATAGACGAGAAAGCACCTGCATCTGCCGCATCACCACCCCCCAGCGAAAGCTCCGACAGCGAACGCCGCAAGGCTGCCGGCGCAGAAGAGCGCAGCAAAACCTGGCGCCAGCTTATGAAACTCAAAGAGCGCATCAAGCGTCTGCATCGCAATATCAAGTGGCTGCGGCTGGTGGATGTGGTTGCCACCAACTCGGCCGTCAACGTCGTCGGAGTCGGCAACGTTCAGTTTGGCAGCTTTACGATTGCGGTTGACACACGCCGCAAGATGGTTGACCGCGATCGCCGTCTGTTCCAAGACCAAGACGCCCCTCATGAGACGAGCCAGGCCGAGTGGATTATGACACTCCGCAGCGTTCTCTTTACCCCCGAAGATAGAGACTCCATGGAGATAGTGGACAATGTCACGCTCAATATCCACGGGTTCCTGTATGAAGCACTCGATGGTTTGCGTGACGCCGCAATCGCATTGAAGCTTGGTCGTGTCCACGTCCCGTACGACGACCTCCTCTACTGTGCCGAGCTGTACCGGCAGACCAAGAAGACGGTCTCGCCTCTTGCGCTGGCCCCTACTCATATCGCAGAGCCTCTGAGTCCCATGTCGCCTATCCTCGAGGACACCCCGTTTTTGACGAATATTCAGCCGGCGACATCCGACCCACAGCCGAATGATGCTGCAAAGGCGGCCACAGCCGACCAAGCTAGTAGCACTGAACCCACTGACGAAGATGAGCTCATGCAAACCGTAGCTGACTCGAAGGAGTTCGTGAGCTCTATTCTCCGAGGCATCAAAGAGGTCCAGTTCGCCGTCAGCTTCCTTGGCATTGCCAAGAAGGTGCAAACTGCCAAAGCAACAAGAGCTCCTGTTCTCCTCATGAATCTGTCCATGAAAGAGGTCGGTATCGATTTGCACCGTCTTGATCCCAAGTCGCCTGCCCACCGGATGTACTTTTCTTCCAAGGATATTGCGCATGAGGCACTCGCTGCCGCCCTGTCAATATCCCTCAGTGCAGACGACGGCCAGGGCAAGCCTCAGCGTCTGATGTATGTCCCAATGGCTACGACGACGGTCAAGACAACCTTGCCGTCCAAATCCGTGGAGATCACCAGGGGCATCAGTGCTGAGGAGAGAAATGCCAACATCCTTTTTGCCAACTTTGTTGTCACATCACCGTCCGTGGATCTTGATCCACGCCACCTTCCACTAATTCTTGCCATCCTGAACCGCCCAAAACCGCCACGGGCCCATGCATCGTCGCTGCCGAAAACACGCCGCCACATCCTCATCTCTCGTCTCCTCCCCAAATCAAATATCAAATTTTCAATGCACGAGCCCGTTGTCCGTATCACCCTCCCGCCTGTCAGCTCCTCTGCACATCCGGACGATTTCGATCTGATTATCTCGTCCATCTCGTCCATATCACTCGACATAGAGTCCTTCCATTCTCCTGTTGAGGAGCTTCATTACTCGCTTGCCTCGGCTCTGCGGCTACAGACGCACAACCTCTTCTACCAAACCTCAGCTGGCGATCGGTTTGACCTCCTCCAGACCGAATCATTCGACCTCAAGATTCAGTTGAATGCCTCCCCTGATGTGCATGTCGTTGCGAGTGGAAATCTTCAGACTTTTTCTGTCAAACTGGTCCGTCCCGAAATTATTGATGGCATTCGCCAGATCGTGAGGCAACTCCGCCCAAGCGTCATCCCAGAAAAGAGGTCCATTCAACGCTCTGAACCAAGAGAGCATGTCAACTTCATACGCAACATGCCGGCGTGGCTCATGCACTTCCACATGCAAGCCTACGATTTTAGCGTGGAGGCTGCGGGCGTCGACAAGCGTGTTTCTAGCGACTCCAGAGGCATTGCGGTACAACTTGATACATGGACAATGGAGTATCGAGCACAGCGCCTTGACGGTAATCAACGACGGCCAACAAGGCGGAGAACCGTGAGCCGTTCGGTTCTCCTTCCAGACACTGACTTCTTGACTCAAATTTCGACGACCCCAAGAAAGAAGCATTACCACAACGGCGACGGCCGCCGCATTGCCATTCACGGGAGGGGTCTGGAGGCTTTTATCGTCGAGTCATGCGAGAAGTGGGAGATGGATCCCTTTGTCAATTTGCCAAGGTTCGAAGTTGCGTTCTCAACTCTGAGCGACAACCAGGGCCCTGTTTTCCATGTCCACTCTCATGTCCGTACGCTGCTTTTGCACTACTCTCTTGAGAGGCACTACTCAGTCGGCATGGCTGTTATGGTCCTGAAGCAGGCGTTTGCGCATCCAAGCCTGGACGCTCCGACCAAAAAGCACGGTATCGCTGAAGTTCCTTCACCTGAGATAAAACAAGTCGGGACATCAGGAACTGCTCTGCACTTAGCGCCGCCGTCACCCATGGCAGCAAACGATCCAGCAGATGCTTCGGGTAGACCACAACGAGAGCTTATTGCCGTGGATGTTAAGGTCACCCTTGTGCAGATCAAAGCCGACCTCCCGTCCGATCCGTCTATTATGCTTCAGATTCACGGCCTAGAGACTGGCCGCCATCGCTGGTCACCACCCTTCGTTTACTGGAAGCTGATTAGACTGCATGCTGAAGCACCTCGCATGCCACGAGTCTGGGCACGGCTTCTGAGCATCAAAAACGGCCGTTTGGAGTGCAAAGAGACCCGGAAGAAACTTCCTACTCGTGGTTACAAGATCGTGCGAGCCTTTGATATTAGTACGGACGTCATCCGTATCGGCATTCCACACGAGCTTGTTCTGTACAAGATTGTTGACAATATTGTCAACACTTTCAAATCCGTTATACAGCTGCACCATCGTTTCAAGACGGGCACGGACGAATACATACTGGGGAAAGCACCAGAGGGGCCCAAAAATATCCCTCGGGTGGCCATCCGGAGCCGTACATTTGCATTTGAGCTGGAAGATGGTGCATTTGAATGGAAACTAGGTATGATCTACCGCGCGGGGCGCGTTGAGCAGATGCAACGACTTGCAAGAGAAGAAGCATTCCGTGTCAAGGTGAAGAAGATTCAGGAGGAAGAAGCCCGTCGGGAATCTAGCAAGTTCCGGGCACGGTCTGCGGCACCCCGTGGCCGAAATATCAATCTCGCCTCTTCCGGTGCCAACGCAAGGAGTCAGAGCGACGATCGACAGCCGACTGCACGCGGACCGGCAAGTTCCCACGGCTTCGGCAGAACCCCTCGGTACGATCCCGAGGGCAGCTCGTTGGGTATGACTGGTAGCGCTCACGTCACCATTGCCGATGCAAGGCATAAGCTGAACTTGCACAATGCGCGCGGCTGGAAACAGCGCATCGACCGAGCATATCTCATGGCGCACAATGGCATGAAGGAGATACGTAGCTTACTTTGGGGAGACCACGCGACAAATGAGGAGATGAACGAGTTCGAGAACATTCTCGGCGTGCCAAACCGACCCGCCCTCATGACGACTGTCATCGACGACTTGCACTTTATCATCGACAAACCTAGCTTCCCAATGAAAGAGTTACCCGATTTCCTCCACAAGGTCGGAAAGGGTATGCCAAAGGATATGCTGTATGCGCTTCTTATCCCCGTCAACCTCCAAATCAACATGGGCGAGGCCAGAGTAACACTACGCGACTATCCCCTCCCGTTACTGCATGTTCCCGGGATCGCGTCGAATCAGCCATCAAAGTTGCACGCGTTGTCACTTTCCTCCGATTTCGTCATTGCTGAAGAATTCCAAGGCCCAGAGTCCGTGCGGCACGTCAAAGTCGATATCTTACCCCCCAAGGACCCGGAGCCAGGTGCATCGAAAGCAGGCAACTTTGCCATCGATGTGCTGCGTACCACGAGCCAAGTCAAGACGTACTCCGATATGACAATCGACATCAACACCTCTCTGCCGACAAAAATTACGTGGGGCCCGTCATACCAGCCTGCCATTCAAGATATGATGATGGGATTCGAATCTTTCACGAAACCTCAGCTGGATCCCTCCGAGAGCGTAGGCTTCTGGGACAAGATCCGCCTGAGCTTCCACTCGCGCGTTCGCGTTGCTTGGAAACAAGATGGCGACGTCCATTTTGCCCTTAAAGGCACACGAGACCCGTATCAGGTGACAGGAAACGGCGCTGGGTTCCTTATGTGCTGGCGTAACGACGTGCGTTGGAACATCCATGCGGACGACGACCCGAAACAGTTCATGACTGTTAATAGCGGAGAGTACATCCTAGCTGTTCCCGACTACAGCCACCACGCACGTGAGGTGAATCGACAGAGCACAGACGACGATAGCGTTAGCAGTGATGATTCTCTCCGCTCTGGTGCAGCGTTCAAGAAGGTGGTCATGAAGCTATCTGGTAAGGTTCAGTGGCTAGCTGGCCTTGTTTTTGAGCGGGCCATTGACGATGGCATGAGAAACTTCAATTTCGCACCACACTACAGCATCTTCCTCAAGGCGCCTCAGCACGCCCGCTCCCAAGGTGGCCTGCCTTACGACGCTTTCCGGGGCTTCCGCAGTCAACATATTCATATGTCCATTGCTGTTCGTGCGCCGGTCGACCGAGAGTGGTCTGTATCTAATTCAGAGCCGTCACGCAGCTACAACACGGTCCACCTGTCACCCCGTTTCTTCACACATTTCTTTTCTTGGTGGTCCCTGTTTAGCGGGCCAATGTCGCTCCCAATCCGACAAGGCAAGCTCTGGCCCGGCTGTGAAAAGACCAGCAAGAAATTTGGACGGCACCTGGCCACGATCAAGTACAACCTTCTGCTTGCGCCCTTGTTCCTCAGCCACATATACAAACACAAGGATACAGACGACCCTACAGAGAATGCCGTTACTGCAACTGGCATCAAAGTTCGCTTTGACAGCTTTATGCTTGATATGCACCAGAGAAGAGAAGAGTTCAACACCCGTGACAAGGGCCGCAAAATGAAAAGTCGGACGACGGGCATGAAGATTCACGCGTGCCAGCTCGATCTTGCCTCTGCCGATATCCGGGCTGTTTCGGCCAGCATTCGAGGAACAACGGCGGAATCAATTCAAAATTCGCTGTCGCACTACATACACAATGAAGAGGAAAACGCGGACATCTCACGCTTCACAATCCCTGACGACGATTTCAGCTGGATCGATATGGATGACTTTGTGGAGCTGGATTGGATTCTACCCACGGAACCAAACCCTGACACCAAGATCTTCCCACTCGCGTTCGCGCCGAGGATTACTTACTTTCGACAGACCGATATTGGTGGCGTAATTTCTGGCGACCCGGACCGTACAAGTCCTTTTGGCCACGAATCCACCCATTTCTGTATCATGACGCCGGACGATGATCCTCGGACAGTTCAAATGCACCTCGTCCGGGCGCGCCTGCGACAGCTGGAGGATCAAATCGAAAACCACGTGCGTGACATCAATGAAGCAGTGAAGAGGATCAACAATGAGAACAATGCCTCCATTACAAACGAAATTGAAACGCTTTCTCGGCAAGCCAATGTTCTCCAAGAAAAGAAGTCGTTCCTCGAAAACTCCCTGCGACTCCTGGCAGAGGAGACGGCAGCCGCCTCCACAGCAAGGGCTGCCGCAGCGGCATCGGCAAAGGCCGCCACCGAGGCTCGAGAAGCTAAGCGGAGAGAGCGTGAGAAATCTAGAAGCGTGGGCCGTTCACCATCCAACGAAAACGGCCCCAGTGATGCGTCTGCTGCAGCGAATGCAGCGGCTTCGGCTGACGGCGACAAAGTAGGCGCAGACTCTGGTGCTGAGTTTGCCAGCGAATTCACAAACCGCTTCGTCGTCCACAACATTAAGCTCAAGTGGAACAATATGCTTCGAAACATCATCCTCCGCTACATCCACCAGGTCAGCCAGCGACGAGGCTTTGTTTATTACCTGTCCCGGCCAGCAGTGAAGTTCATCATCGACATTGTCGAAGAGCAAGTGAAGCTTAAAGCTGGTGCAACGCCGAACACTGGCGACTCATCGTCTGTCGCCACCGGAGCTACTGGCACTAGCCCCAGCGCGCAGCAATCAGCGGATGGAGCCTACAACGGGGACCAGACGTCTGGTAAAGATATCGAGGATAGGATCCGCAAAATCTTACAAGACGGCCGGAAGTTTGTGAGCACAGAGGAGTTCGCCAAGGACTGCGGCGGTAAAAACGAGGGCACCGTTTATTGCACCCCTATGGAGGAACTGTCCGGCGGCATTGCTACTGAGTTCACGCCTCAGAACAACTACCATGTCCATCTAATTGCTCCGCAGATCCAACTGCAGAGCGACAAGAATAAGAAACACGTGGTACTTGTGACGGCCAAGGGCATGGAGCTCAAGGTTGTCGAGGTGATGGATAAGGCTAGACTCTCTGACAACGTCAGCGGCCTAGTTCAGCGGCGTTTCCTTGTCGGCATGGACAGCACACAGTTCTTCGTCACCCACCGCAAGTGGTTTTCTACGCGCATTCTGTCCGCGTACTCGGGCAGCAGCTATGGTGCACCCAGTGGGTCTAGTTGGCCTCCGTGGGTGCCCATGGAAGCCATCTTTGATTTCCAGACCGATCCGTTCGGGTTTAAGCGTGTGGTGCAGAAAACATCAGCCATGCTGCGTTACGACAAGTACAATACGCTACGTCTGAAGTACAATGAGGGCGTCAGCACTGGCGAAGGTGCCGGAGCAACCACGTCTGACAACCTAGAAAACCGCATGGACAACCTGTGGGTCGAGTTTCCCCAAGCGCGCGCGCTCTGCAACTCGTCCCAGTACTACGCTATCTACGTGATCGTGCTTGATCTCCTCATGTACAACGAGCCTGCGGAGAAGACCCGAAGTGAACGCCTCGAGAAGATCATGCTGGCATCTGACTTCAGCGACTTGCGTGGCGCCCCCGAGATGGTTATCCGGCTCCAGGAACGTGTGCGCCAGTTGGAAGACATCAAGACCCACTTTCAAATCCATTCCAAGACTCTTGACAAGCGAGGCTGGGAAGAGCAACTGTTGCTGGAGCGTGACCTTGCGGCGTGCGAGGACGAGCTCTTTTTTATCATGAAAGCGATCACGACCTCGCAAGGCCGCAACGATGCGTCTCAGAGTAACGCACTCTTGAAGTGGAGCATTTCGGCCCGCGAGATTGTCTGGCACCTAATCCGCGATAACAACGAGCCGCTTGTCGAGCTTCAGCTAAAGGACGTTGAGTACGACAGAACGGACATTGCAGACGGATCACACATCAACCTGATCCAGGTGGGCAAGATCCTTGGCCTCAACCTGCTCCCAGATGCCATCTATCCCGAAATGATCGCCCCCTACCTGGACGAGCGCGGGCCGATGGAGACGGGCTCGGAGCCGATGGTGCGTGTCTACTGGTACATGCTAGAGGCCATTGCTGGCATTACGGTAATGGATCACTTTGAAGTGACGCTGTTCCCAATGAAGATCCAGCTCGAGCATGAAGTCGGTAAGAAGATATTCGAGTACATCTTCCCCGGTAGTGACGGCGACAAGCAGGCGGGCGGTAGCGATTTCCCCACTACAAACGATTCATTTGCGAAGCAGTCAGATGACGATACCGAGGAGGATGACTACACATATAACGTTCATACTGGGGGTCGCAACCGGCTGGGATCGGCCGTGTCGGAGTCGGCAGGTTTCAACACTCGACCAGGCTCTCTCGAGCTTCGCCTGCGGCCGACCTTGACGTCCAACCAGAACCACCGGTCGATGTCAGACAAACAAAGGGCTCTGAGTGTCCATTCTACAGATGCACATTCTTTCCGTTTCTTCCGGCAGTCCAATGCCAGCTCGTCGAAGAGTTTGTTGAAGAAGCCGTCACACGAATCGCTTCAGGGCAATGGCCCACTCCGAATCGGTGTTGGGCGGTCGTCCACTGGGTTCTCATCCATCACAGGCGGTAGCGAATCCTCCAAAAAAGGCAGCCGGTTTACTCTGCGCAGTACCAAGTCGGACGACAAGCAAAACAACAACCCCTCTGATGACCTGACCAAGATGATTACCCGTGCAAGCAACTACAAGACATTTGCGTACATTCGCCTACCATCCGTCGTCCTCTGCCTGAGCTACAAGGGAAAGGGAGAACACAACATTGAGGACGTACACGACTTTGTCTTCCGGTTGCCAACAATTGAATACCGCAACAAGACATGGTCAAACCTGGACCTGGCGCTAGCACTCAAGAGCCGAGTTATCAAGGCGCTTATTTCGCACACAGGCGCCATCATTGGCAACAAGCTCAGCAAGCACCGGCCTAATACTGCACAGCAGTCCAAACTGCGCGAGAAGATCACAAGCTCGGCCTTGTTGTCGACACCTGCGCTGAGCGAGTCACGGGATAACAGCGACGACTCATCGTCCATCTTTGGTACCTCCGCAGTCGACTTCTCACGCTCACCGCCACGGTCTCTTCGCGGATCGCAGACATCCATCCCCATTCCACGCTCTGCAAGTCGAAGCTCGAGCATTGCATCGTCCAACCGATCGTACATCGGTAGCACCAGTGGTGTTGGTGGTGGTGGTGGTGGTACTAACAACACCGGTGGCCTCGCGTCAATCAACACCCAAGCCACGCCAATACCCAAATTCTTGATGATGACACCACCAACACCGCAGCACGAGTTCTCGTCTGGTCAATCTTCGCTTCCTCCCAGCCGGGGCAGCAACATTGACTACCTATGGCCCGACAGCCGCAGCAGCAGCAAGATGTTTGGCGGTGGCAGCGAATCGGGCGAGCGCAAGAAATCTGCTTTTGGGGGTGTCCGCAACAAGCTGAGCGCTCTCGCATCCAGGGTCAAGGACCGCGACAATAGCAGCATCGGCAGCGGTGGAAGCAGCAACCACCTGTCGAGCCAAAACCTAGGCTACGCACAAAGATCTGGCGTGCACAGCAGTCACAGTGGAATAGAAGAAGGCGATCTCACACCAATGCGCCGGCGCGAGACCAGAATGGCCGGTGCTGACATCAACGACGATGATGCCGACGATGCCGATACGGACGTGCCCAAGCAGTTGCACCGCGGCCTACGGACAAAGACGACATGAGCAACGGCGCCTTTAACGCTTGTGACTTGTCGCATACTTGGGTGTCGATAAGGTTCGAATCAACAAAAGAAAAACAAGGGCTAATATATGCCCAAAAAAGAATAAAGTATAGAACGGTGTGGAGTAGGAGTCCGGGTTGCGGGATTTGCAAACTACTCTATGGGCACATTCCGGCATTTCACAGGGACCGAGGCTTTTCCCATCACGATTTTCTACTGTCCTCTGCCCTGGTTTCTTATGTGTTCCTTTGTGTTATTGTCTTTGTTTCTATTTCTGCGTTTGGTCATGCTGGCCATCTATATTGTCCATCATTTTCGTCTGCCCGCCATCTTCTTCTCCTGGGGCTGGTGTAATTTGTTGTATACATGTGGTCTCAGGTGGGTGTACAAAGGGTGTGGCGGTTTTGTTGTTTCTGTTTCTATTTTTGTAACTTGCTCATTCCTGTTTTGATATTATATACAGCTCACATATCATCCAATACATGTACAAGTTTTCCCTTTCTTTTCTTATCCACTAGTCGTTTGAAAGTAAATACAGCCCAACGTCTTTTCCGCATAGCCCGCCTCGTTTTTTTTTTTTTTTTTTTTGTATTATTTACGCAAATAGAACAGCGTGCATGCTAGGTCAGGGAAATTCATCGGCCAAGGACGGCGGCGATGAAAAAAGACTCATCTGTGCATAATAAGCTTGGACCTCATTCACAGCTTATTTTCTTCCTTTAATTGGAAAATGTAAACGGCGACATTTGTAGTGAAGAGCCTTTGGGGACTCATTAATGTGCGTGTGGGTTCCAGAAGTGGGAGGTAGATGAAAATTCAAGATCAAAAATCAAATTCAAAATCCCTCACATACCTGCCGTCCACCTAGAGCGTTACGTCGTTTTACAGCGCTCTGCATTTCTCGCCCCGTATTATTACCCACTCTGCGTTCTCACGATCATAGCCCAACAGCGGATACTATCGGTTCAGCTTCAGCTTCCCGCAAAGTAAAAGGGATACTCTTACGTGGTGGATACACCCGAAACAATTTGAAATAGAAAATATAATATCGATATTAATCCTCAAGAGATTGTCCGTATTTCTTTGAAGTTCCTCTACGATACAGAAACCGCCACAATAACACGTCGTTTGAGTATATTTGTTAAGGTTTTTACAAACATATGAATACACAAAGACCAAGTAATAGCAAATAGTTCGATTTGAAAGATGTGGCATTAATAGACAAAATATAAAAGCAAGGTAGGTATCACATGCTCATATCAAAAATGATGTTGGGGGGAATGGCATCGCTCCCCATCCGAAATGCTGCCCAGAACCAATAAAAAAGTCACAAAGTTGACAGATTTGTGACCTCAAATAATAATTTAACGCCAAATGCCGATGCAGGTATAATGATGACATAGGAAAAGAGTAGGGGAAGAAAAGGTCCGGTGATATTCATGGGGCTGTGATGCACTGTTGAACATAAATAAATGTCCCAGATTCGTTAGGCGCAGTTGAAAGAGCAAAGAAGTGAAACTTCAGTCGCTATCGCGAGACGCGGCGACCCATCGTGCAGGGACGCCGTCTGTGCCGACAACGTAGGGTTTGCCGCCCATCTTGCGAGGTGGCAGAGCCAAACGCGCGCGGCCTGGTTTGCGGTCATCCAGTTTGCCCATGCGGCGCATGGCCATTTCCATGACAGCGATGCGAATAAAGTCCGAGTTCTCGCGAAGTTCCCGTTGCCGAGGTCCTGGGGGAGGACGGTCGGATTCCTGCAAGGAGGTTGATGAGGCCGGCCGTCCGGACGGGTGCAATGGGAGACCCGAGGGGGTGGTGGCGCTGTTGTGGCCAGAAGGTGATGATTTCGGGCCCTTTGTGCGGTGCACACGGTACGTTTGCATTTGAATAGACGCAGTGAAAGGTGAGCGGGGTGGGGAGGATCCTGGCGAAGTAGCGCTGCCAGACGTCGAAGACGAAGGCCCGGACGATGTCGACGTGAGAGTGGCGGGTGAAAGAGACGCGGACGCCAGCGCCGGCGACAGCATCTGGGCGGCCGAGAGTCGCGGGTCAACGTGCGGCCCTTGGGTGGGGTTCAAGTAGCGACGGAGTGCGGCACTCGGTTCTTCCTCAAGTGGCGGGGGGCGGCGCTCGTCCGTGTATGGAATGTGGGGGTCGATGGTGAGAATAGAGCGTGTAAGAAAGTCTTCAGGTGGAATGGAGGTGAGGTTGAGGTTGGAGAAGGAGCGTGCCGCGTTTCGCAAGGCACGGAGGGAGGCCGTGAGGTTGGACTTGAAGGCTGAGCGAAGCGGTTGCAGAGGGAAGCGAGCCTCAGTCGTCTTGGCAAGGGGATCTGGAGGCGACTGGAAGACGCGAAAATCGAGGTTGTCGACATCCACTTCACTATCGCTTCCGCCGTCAAGACTAGACGCCGAAAGCGGGTCGGTATCGTGTTGGCCTGGGGGTGACGACACGGGTGTGAGCGACCGGCGCGTTGGGCGGGCTTTGTGAACACTGCCGTGGGCGCGGTTTGGGGTCTGAGGCGAGTCGTAGGAGGAAATGGTACCAGTTGCAAAGGAGTCGGCTAACGAGGGCATAGACTCGAGCGACACGGTGCGCGTGGAAAGGTTTGCGTCCAGAGTACTCTCGCTGATGGAGACCTCGTCGTCATCGTCTTCAAGATCCTCGGGAGCCGTCAAGAGGACATCGAGCGGGCTTTTACTGAGGGAAAGGCTGAACTCTTGCTCGGCCCCTTGAACTTGGTTGATAAAAGAGTTGACAGTCATACGCTTCTCGCTCAACCGGTCTCCGTTCAAAGTCCGTGGTTGCCGCAGGCTGCGCGAGGATCGTGACCGAGGAATATTGGTGACGGCTAAAAGAGCCGCTACGGATGGCGAGATACTATCCGGACTGTGGACGTCGCGCAAGCGGCGCCGGGATCCGGTGGTGCCCCATGCCTGGACCTGACCTCGGCGGAAACCGCGCCAGGCATCTTCGTCGTGTGGTAGGTGGTGGCGATGTTTGGTCGCGTGCGCGTGCGCGTGAGCATGCGGATGCGCGGTCTCGTGCCTAGTTGCTTTTACCGGAATTTGAACCGGACTCGTTGGCGTTGTTGGGCGCTCGTCGGGAATAAAAGCAGCGCTGGTTAGCGATGCGCCTTCTGACATTGTGGAAGCGCTGGGCATGGACGGCGCATCGCTCTTTGCGAGTCGGCGGGCGTCGGCAACAGCGCTACCTCGTGGTGCAGCGACGGTTGCACTCATATTCAAGGACGACGAAGAAGCACCGGAGAGGGAAGTCGAAGGAGCGGCGGTTGGGCGGGACGGTGGTACGGCGTTGTTAGACGGGATCGGGTCCCACGTTGTCGTGTCATTCCTTCGCCTGTTCAGAACAGCGAATGAGGAAGAAGTAGAAGAGGTTGCAGATGTTGGTGGTGATCGAGACGGCGAGTGTTGGGGCGAGTGTCGTGGGCTGTGCCGCGGCGATTGTGACGGAGACTGTGCTGGTGACGATGCTGAGGGTGAAGGTCGAGAGAACTGGTTCTGGCGGGAGACCAGAAAGGAGCGTGGGGACATCATCGCCACGAAACTCCTCTTCCAGTCCTGTTTTCCCCACGCGACAGATCAGACAAAGGAGTGTGTGGGCGGAGGGTAGGCGAAGGGACTAAAAAGGAAGTGCAAAAGAAAGCCTCCAGAATATAGTTGGCGCCGATATGGCGAAGTGCTCCGTAAATTAAGGGTGCCCCAATCTGATCAGCGGTATTACCATCCACTATTTTTCCAGCTTGCTGGGCAGGCCGCACCGCAAAAACATGGCAAGCCAACCGTGGAGAAAGTTGTTTGCTAAGGCCGCTGGGACGGGAGGACGGTTGACGCTGGCATGGGTGGAACGCTATTGTCCGTTCAGTGTGGGCACTGACGTAGTTGGGCGACGTTTGGCTGAAATTTGCGGCGGAACGGATGCCGTACTACGACATATTACAGCGTATGTCGTACCGGAAATCTCGTACGTAACAATAACTTTAAAGCGGGCGGAACTGGAAGTGTAAAGCCGATGAGCACTATATCGTCGCCTGGGTCGCCTATGGTAAGATAGCGCTGTGGAAGAGAAGCCGACGAAAATGCCTGCGCATCGACTTGCCAGAGTTGCCGGCCTGTCCGGCAGCTTTCCGCCCTTAGTTTTGAATAAGAAATGCGATTGTGGGCGTCCTCGCTTTCCGTATACCATACGAAGACAGTGGGCGCTCGGTGTCGGAGGTAGTTGCTGTCGAAGGGCATCAATAGTTCGGTCGTCGAATCCAGAGAGCGTATCGACCTGTGTCGTGTGCGCGGCGCATTTGTGCAGAGAAACGACGACTCGTGTGGGGGGGAAGAAGCAGCCGTTAGTTGCAAACGCAAAACGCGAAGAACAAACGCAGACAGACGGAAGAGGCTTAATACGAGAAGTGCGTTCTTTTATCAACTGTCTGTCCCTCCCTTCCTTTCAGTCGACTGCCAACCCCACGGCTTTTTCCAGATAGGAAAGTGCGCGACGATACGCCGAGCTGGGTGCGGGATGCCTGCCTGGATTAGACTTTCTGCAGCCCTTAGATAGTTCAGTTAGCTGACAGTTGGGTGTGATGGCACTGGCGGAGGAGGTCAAAGGGATTGAACTTTCAATTATGACTGACTGGGAAGGCGGCTTGCCTATCTCTGACGAAGACTTGCGAATCAGCGACGACGCACTCGTGTTCTCTTCAGCCCCAATCTGCGCCGCTCCATCATAGGTCTCTTATCGCCAGTCGGCAAAGCCCGATCACATGGAGTGGGTGTCTTGGCTAGGCCTGTCCTGTCGTAGGAGAGTATCGGGGATCACTGGACTGGACTCGCAGACCGCGTGTCACCAGAACAGAACAGACATTGAGACACGAGCTGTACAAATGGTCAAACGCCGAAATGCCCCGTTTTGCGTGTGCTACTGTGCTTGGCTGTTTCGTACCGTTTCGTAATTTTGTTGTTGGGAGTTGACAAGGAGTCAACTGGTCCGAGTTGAGTTCAGTCCTTAGCGTTATGCAAACGCAGTTTGAAAGTCCAAAGCAAGAGGGGACCGTTCGCACCTGCCATTGTGGACAGGAATATGGTCAATCTCTTACCTACCCTTGGCGTGCGGAGGGAGTACTTTCCTTCCCCCGAGAATCTCATTACGGCCGCGACGCAGCTTTGCCCGAATAGGAAGCAGCCAACAGCCAACTCACACGTTCCTTCCTTATGGAGGCATTCTACTACGCAGAATGAGACGGCAGGAACCTAGTTAGGCCCTTGTAGAGACGATTTGAAAGGGGATCATGGCATCCCCTCAAAGGCCTCGTCTACAGCCACGGTCAAGAAATTTCACCACCATCTTGCGCCTACAGTCAGTCTCGTTTCTGTATTTCACGCAGAGCCTGTGTCTACAAAAAAAAAAAATGAAAAGGCGCTTTCCGTTAGATCCTCGGCGCAATCACTGGGCCGCCACAACAAAACGCGCGCGCCGAAATGAGACAAAGAAAGAAAATTGGGGTGGGATCGGACGAGGGAATAAAAGAAACAGACAGCGTTGGGCCTAGCTTTTAGAGGATCCATTTCTTCCCGTTCCCACGACGAAACCCACTTGTCGCGCTTTTCCATTCGTTCCAGAAGGCCCACGTCATCCCACATCTCCTCTGTATTCACTACACCGTCATACATGGAAACGCAGGGACCTGAGAAAAGAGGATTACCAGGGAAGTATCTTACCAAAAGAGGGAAGAAATAGTGCCAGAGAGAAACCAACGGGGCAAAAACGATGAAAACAACGCCCCGCAAAGGAACACAGGCAAGATCCTACCGGCTGCCAAACCGGCGATTTCGGCAAGCCAAGATAAGGACACGGGAGGAGGAAAAGGAAATAATACCACAGACTTTTTCACAATAGCAGGCGGACCGGCTACCGCGGCGGGTCTCGCTGGTTTTGTCGGAGGCCAGCGCAAATAAATTTTACTCTGGGGTTGGCCATTGTACGACCTCCTTTTTCCGAACAGCTCGACACAAACGCTATCGGTGTTCAAACTTCCATATCCACGGACAACACAGCGGCTAGAACTGCACAGAGTTGTTGCCTCAACAAGACACGTGACGCCGCTTCATCGTAATGCTCACAGACCACATTGAGCACAAAGGTGGATGGACGACATTTCACTCTGACAGCGTACGTTACAAGATACTACGTCCCACTACGTACTCACGTACCTGCTATGTATGCCTTCGTCTGGCCTCGAACTCCTATAGCAAGTATGGCCGCTAGCACTTTCACTCTGTCTAGCAACTCCAAACCAGTCAAAGGACACATAAATCATTACAGTCACCCGCGAAGGGAGCGGCCAGTGAAAGACAGTCAACATTGGGCGTTAGTATCTCGACGGCTAAACAACCAAAAAGCACTAAAAATGTCCTCGTGATACCCTAATGTAGACACAGAAGCAGTGTGTACTAGAAAGGAATGACGAGAAGCAAGGAGGAAGAAAGTCAAAGAAAAGACATATCAAAAAACTGAAGAGAAGCTAGCGGGAAAGAAACGTATATATAAAAAAAAGTCGTGGCTTGCATCAACAGTTGCTGCCCAATAGCCGAGAAAACGAAAAATTAGAAATTCGCTGGTTTGCTTGTTTGTGCATTTCCCTTTGCTTTTCACGCCCCGAAGTCGCAGCTCGGCATGGTGGCCTATATGTCTTTTGTGATTTTTAATTGTGGGTATCAATTTATTTTGTTAACTAAGAACTTTCGTACACAAACTAACACGAAAAGAAGAGCTAAACATGGCAAAAATATGACAAGTGAGGGCTCGTGAAAGAGAGACAGAACGTAAGGCGGGAGAATAACACCAGAATGCCAAGTATAATGTTATGGTATTATTGTTCGAATGTTTGAACGCCGGGCAGATGCCACTGCCACTTACCCCAGAGGTGCCGTTCGTGGACATGATAGTGTACCGAGACGCAATGCAAAGACTGGAAAATACAAAAATATAAAAGGAGACAGGGGAAGAACAAATTGAAGAGGTGGCGTGTCAGGGGGAGTCACCTAAAAGGGCTGGCCTTCTTTGCGACCTCCGTTTTCAAAGTGACCGGGCCACTGTGGCGGAACGCCCTTGGGCGTTATGACGCCGAAGCGCCGCTCGCCGTATCGTGACAACCGCTCCTCGTTGAAGTCGCGTTCACGGGCATACTCGACATCCGGGTCGGCGCCTTCACTGTAGTACTGGTCGGCAAACCGCCGCCGACCAAAACCCGGAGCCGAGGATGACCGGGGCGGCTGTGGTGCTCCCTGGAGATTGTCGGCAGCGGGATCTGTATCCAGAAAATGGGTGTACCGAGAAGAAGAGTACGGTCCGGAAACGGCTGTCAGCTCGCGCGCCAGACCGTCAATCTCGCGCTGGATGTCGCTGACGCGCATAATGCCATTGCTTGTCATGGCCTCTTCCTCACTGCTTCGCGGGCTTTGGCTGCGTAGCTCCATTGGCTGCTGGCGCTCGGACGTCGTCCCGATGCGCAGAAGCTTTCCATTGGCGTCGCGGCCACGGCGGCTGCTCGACTTTTGTATCGTGGCCGTCTTTGTCGCCATGGTCGCAGCCGTCATGGTGGAGGCGCGCGAAAGGTAGGCGGCCGTGGCTGCCGTATTGCGGGCCATTTCGGTTGTGTTGTTGGCTGTCGTATTCGGTGCTCGGCCAAACCGAGGCAGCCACCCCCCGCGGTCGCGTGCTCTCAAGAACGGACGCAAGGCCGGGATCGAGGCTGTAATCAGTGCCAAATTCGTCTCGATATCAGACGTCATAAAGCCAATGTTGAATGTCGGATCCGGCGACACGACTAGACCAAAGAGACCCTGGACAAAGATGACCATGCGGGCAATAGATGTTATTGTGACCCTGTGCCTTTTGTTAGTAATGTGTGCCATGCGTATTCCGGCTTGGAGACGGGGAGAGTGTGAATAACTTACAATATGCCCAACAGGAAAATAAATATCAAACCAAATTTAGTTCGCCGGCGGATCTTGAGGTCGGCCAGAATGTATAAGGGCAGGCCAAGCACGATAATATCCGTCAGAATGTTGAAGGCTGAAGTCGATACAAACAGAAGCCGCTGGTCGACGCAGTGGCCTCCCTTGATGGTTTTGTCCCAGTTAAACGCAATCGGTGTGCACTGAAAGATGAGGGCAACAAAGACACCAATCATCTGCATCAAGTTGATTGTGTTGAGCACAATGATAAAGCGACGGATGCCGGTCTTTTGGCCAAAGAGCCGGAGCAGGAAAATGAGCACCGAGGACTTGGCGAGAGAGAGGATAGGGTTGTAAAGAAATTCAACGGCAAAATTCCAGATAGCACCCTGGATTGGGTCGTGCGGTGGAATGTCGTTGAAGTGGATGCCGACAAAGTTTGTTTTTATAACTGAACATATTTGTTAAAGCCGGCCGAAAATGTCGATAAAAAATATTCAATATAGTTGGGAGGAACTTACACATGTAGCTAATTGCTGTCTGTATCAGAGAAAAGATCATGGCAATCGAAATGAGCCAGTCGTCTAGTTCTGTCAGTATGACTGTTGCTTTCCCTTCTTCACATCGTGGAATGGACAAACCAGACCTGTGCCAAACTGCCTTGAGGTCGCCCGTCCTACCACTCGTGCTGCCACAACTAGCAGGGCAGCCGATGGAAAGATGAAGTTGATTGCAATGGCGAAGTCTTGAAGCCCACTAGTGGGACCATCCGGGACACGCAGCGCGGACGCCATATCTGTTGTGTTGGGCATTGTTGTCCGTCGTCTAGTGTATGTTTGTGAGAAGTTCGTTACTCCGCGATCAGAAAACCGCCGCCAACTGGTGAGGAAGTTGGGTCGAAAGCATCGAGTCAAAGATAGGATCTGTAGCCGAAGGAAAGCAAATAATATGATAATATTGCCTCGCTTTCGTATAAAATACGTGAGAAGAAATAAGAAAGAGAAATGGGAAAGGTAATGGGGGGAGAAATGAGAAGGAGAGGAAGAAAAATGAAAAGAGACAGAGCTCTGGCCGAGGGAGGGGGTGTAGAGGATACATAAAGCATTTCAACTATAGAACGGAAAGGATCTCAAAGGATCAAAGATGAGCAAAACAAGAAAAAGCGAGTGTCAGCGGGACGGGTGAGGATAGAATAGAGTCAAGGAGAGGGAGGCGACTAAAGAAAAATCACATCAGAAAAGAAAAGAACCGGATAATTCTGCAAGGGTCGCAAGGCTCAACACGATGATCAGAGAAGTGTCTATGCGTGCCGTCCTCACCGCAAATCTTCCTTCTACGTAGAAAAAAGTCAAAAAAGAGAAACGCAAAACGAGAAGAAGTAATAAAGTCAAGAACTAAAACTTCGGCTCTACTTGTCTGTGCGTCTACAGGAAAGAGGCCGTGCGGGCTGGATGTCGAAGTGAGCGAAGGTGTGGTAATGCTATGCATGCCATAGACATCGCACAGAGGCCTTCAGTCCCACTTTCGGGAGTTCGTCTGGGGTAGCAAAAAGTAACGCTACGGGCCCCATCGGATGGACCGATATCCACGCCCTGTCTACTTACTGACCGGATAAATTGCTTGTCTCGTGTGTCATGATATGAGCTCATAGGTCGTGGGTTGTGTGCCACGCCCAGCCGGAACTCGGGCGAAATGACATAACTTCTCCTATGGCCTTAGATATAAAACTTTCAATTGCCCTCCATCCGGCAATTGGCCTACTTTTTGAACCGCACAACTTGATGGGTCATTATAGCATAAGACATTTGCTATAGTTTCGGAGAATTTTCAAGGTTGAATTTGGAATTTACAGACACAAGGATACAGTCACAAAATCTTAAAGAAGATTTTGGTAAGGCTTCTGTCTGCTTTCAATCTCAAACATACATTTCTTATGATTAAGAAAAACTTCCCGACTCCATCAAAACCTTTGTCAAAATACAGGAAAGACAGGTGCTTCTCGCAGATACTGGACGGCCTTGGACATTGGTTGAAATATGGAGAGCCCAAGATACAAGCGCTCTTCGACAAGACGCCTAATATAAAAACTTAGCATTCAGACATTTGGCGATTATTTTACTTCAGAGTATTCTCACGGCTGGCATCCAAGTCCGCCTTTAAATCATCAGACCCCACAAACGCTGATATCCTCAGGGATACCCGTACCAGTAAAGGTGAAGCTGATGATGACAGACGATAAGCTTGCTTTTGCAGGTTCTCTCATCCCATTCCTCCCCCGCCCGCGGAACAAGGTCTTGCGTGTAGATCACGCAAAGGGGCGTGGAGGTGGTGCATGGACATACTTGTGATGGACGGAAACTAACTTGCCTTGCAGAACAGGGCTCGCATTTCCTCTTGTTTTCTACATATACGCCTTCTCATCTGCTTTGTCTTGGCATACGATCACAAACCAGCCCATCCACTCTTTATTTTCTGAAGGGGTTCAGATGCTTTACAAGGACGGCATGATCAGACGACTCAATGGAAACGATGACAACGAAAACAATACTTACGGACAAATGAGCCCAGCTTTAACGATAAATAGAGCTGAAATTTAGAAATTTGAGTAAGTTGGTATCAGCTCAACCGCCAAATCTTCAAATACCGTTTGCAAGCCTTGCGGATAGTGATCACATAACGAAAATAAAATAATGAATGCGCAAGGGAAGATGTAAGATGGATTTCATTTATTCCGAGTAGACTTCAATGTGCGACCTAGACAAATAATCAAAAAAGAATAAAAAAGACCTTCAGAAGACTTTCTCGCAGTAGAGTAGACGAGGGGGATGTGCAAAACCTGAAACAAAAAGGCAGGGCTGGAACAAGGGGTGCGATGGCATGGCCCCACTTGTCGACAAAGTATGACACCTGATTGGTCCATAGTCCACTTTTTCCATGGCCGTCGCTCTCCAACCGTCACCTCAACTCCTCCCAGCTGCGAACTCATGCATAGTTTCCATGCTATTGCGACGGAAAATGCATCTAGCCGACTGCCACTCAGCCGTTTGTGTATGTTTCTCTATGTATCTTGCAACGGCCGGACTTTTTTTTGTTAAATTCAAAATCTCTACGCCGCTCAAACTTGTGTACGTTTTTTTCTGTGTGTCTTTGCAGAGGCCTGTGCGCTTGGACAAGGGCATAGAATATATTAGTCTGCCAGAGGGTAATATAGTTGCCGACACCGGAATGCATCGGAAGAGCAAGGCTCCAAATGAAAGCCACATGGCATAGCCAGGATTGTCGTGCCTTGTCTCGTGTTCTTTTCATAGCGACGAATCTGCGCCCAGCTTCGTCTTTCAGAGCCATTTTAGATTTTGTGGCCGATAAAGCTTTTTTTTTTTTTTCGGGTTGGGAAGGGAGGGAGAGAGAAAGGATTCGTACATTCCTTTCGATCTTAAAATCATGTACATTCTTCTTTCATCCAGCGTTCGCCTCCACGCTCCGCAACCCCTACGTGCTGCCAAGTCTGTGCTTGTCGACAAACCATTTTGCTGCCCCAGATCGCCCGTGTCGCCACTTCTTAAGGCCTGGCCCGCCCCCATAAGACACTTCCGTGTCTTGCCCTTCCGTCCTCCACTCGTTCTGGTGTCCGTTCTATCCATCTGCTTGGTACGGCTGTTTTCTGTTTCTTCATCAGAAACATATCGCCTCCGCGCATCCCACTGCCCGAAAGCATCATGTGTTCTCGATTTTGCAAAGGACCAAAAGAACCTACGTCTCGTCCTGAGACGGATACCAAATTGCGAAAATAAGACACATTCGGCTGCCGCCTTGCTTCATATGCATTTTCAAGTAGAGGCCAACTCTTTCGAGAACTTTCTGCCCCATAATCTCTGGACTAGGATGAATGGGCTGGAGAACACATGCGCTCGCGCGAAGAAAACAAAGTGTTGAAACAGTGTAATAGAATACAGTATGCATATCTAAAAGCAGGGAACAACAGCTAGACAAGCTAACAAACTATGCCAAAATCCATGGTAAAGACTACGTTTATTTACAAAGAAAATCGACTGTAAAAATCAAACGCAAATATGCCGGTTATGTCTCTTTTTGTCCGCCCTCTAAAATAAAGGCAAAAGCATAAACAAACGTTTTTATGCAAACGCGTCTTGGTTTTGCTCATGATTTTTCTCGCCTTACTCGCTCTCCTCGGCCTCAGCCTCGGCCTTCTTCTTCTCAGCTTCGGCTGCCCATTCCTTGGCCCGGGCTGACACCTTCTCGCGGCTCTTGGCGTCGCCGTGCTGCTCCTCCCACTTCGCCCACCGCTGGAACCACGTCTTAGCCCGCCGGGGCTTGATGCCAGGGACCTTGGCGCCGCGCTCAAACACATCTCTCACCACCGACGCGTCGGCCTTGCTGGCCTTGGTGCTCTTGCCACCCTTTGCAGCCTGCTTGGCCTTCTCCGCCGCATACACGGACGTCTCCAGGTCCAGCAGCTGGTCCCACAGGTCAAACTTCTTGGGCGACTTGGCCAGCAGGCTCTCAAACACAGTACGGCCGCGTTCTTGACTGCCCACGGGCGACCGGAACTCGAGCGCGGCCACGCGCGCCATCAAGTTGACGTGTGCGTGCTTGTCGAGCATCTGCATGGCGCGCGGTAGCAGAGCACGTGCCCGCTCGGCATCCTGAAGGCTGTGGTGCAAGAAATGTGCGTAGTTGATCCAGATCTGCGGTGCCTGGGCACCAAACTTCTTGGTCATGGTCTGGAAAACCTCATCCGCTTTCTGCAAGGCGGTTGGTTAGCAAAAGAGCGTACTTGAGGAAAGCCAGAAAATGGACAGTTCATGACCGGAAAACTGCCAAAACATACCTCGTGCTTGCCAGACTGGATGTAGATGCTCGCCGTGCGCTCAAACACCTCACGCTGGTCGTTGTACTGGCACGCCCGCTTGAACACCTCCTCGGCCGTCTCGTCTGTGCCGTACACGACCTCCAAGTTGAGGTACGCAATCCACACGTTGAGACGCTCCGTCTCTTCGCGTACGTTGATCGTCTTGATCGCACGCTCGGCCGTCTCACGGGCCTTGGCCAGCTCGCTGACCTGCAGCTGGAACGCCATGTATGCGACCCAAAGCGCTGACGAGTCCGGTTGACCGAGCAGCAGACGTTCAAAGTCGCTTGCCGTCTGCGGACCGCTAATGTCCAGCTCGGCCGTCCGGTCAATATCCATTTGCGCCGCGGCAGCCGCCTTCTTGCGCTTCGCGCTGGTCTTGGCCTTCTTGGCGGCGGCAGCATCGGCATCATCCTCGTCGTCGTCCGAGGAAGCCGTGTCCTTGTCCAGGTCGGCACCCGACCAGTCAAAGCCACCGGCCGAGAGACCCCCCGTCGCGCCCCGCGCAACACCGCCCTCCTCATCATCCTCGTCCTCATCCTCGCTGTCTTCGGCATCCTTGTCCGACGAACCGTTCAGGATGTCGATGTCGTTGTCCGTGCCGGTAATCTGAAGGGCTTCCCGAACGTCCAGCATGTCGTCATTCGAGTCGTCGTCGTCCGAGTCATCGTCATCGTCCGAGTCATCCAGGCGCGCACCATCGTCCTCATCGTCGACGCTCATCGCATCTTCGTCATCGTCCTCGTTGTCAAAGTAGGCCGGCTTTAGGCCCAAGTTGACACGGCCGTTCTCGTGGTTGATGCTCAGAATCTTCGCCTTGACCACATCGCCCTCCTTGTACAGCTTCCGCGCATCCCGCACGGCCTTGTCGGCCATCTCGCTGCGGTGACACAGACCACTAACATTGGCGGTGTTGTCCAGGACAATGAAGGCACCAAATTCCTCCACCTTGCGCACGCGACCGCTGACAATCTGGTCCTTGTGGAAGTCGGCAAGCGTCGACAGCGGCACGTAGTTGTCGTCCACAACCGACGCCTTGAGCGTCAGCTGCACCTGCTTCTGCTCCAGGTTGACCGCGACTACGCGGCCGCGCACCAGCTGGTCGACCTGGAAGTGCGCCTTCCAGTCCTTGAGGTAGCGGTCTGAAAGGTCTGCAATGCGCACCATAGCCACGACATCGCCACCCAGGTTCACAAAAAGGCCCTTGTCTGAGACGCTGCGCACAAAACCGCGGATGATCTTGCCGACCACAACGTCGGCCACGCTCGTAATCTCGCGATCCTCGACCTTAAGCGACGAGTTCAGCACACGCGACGGCCGCGTCGAGAGCCGCATTTTCTTGTTGTTGCTGTCCACCGACACGACCGAGACACGCACAATGTCGTTCCTAAAATGCGGTGTCGTCACGGCCTGGTCGTAGTCGTCGGCCAGGTCGATCAAGTGGATCGGGCCCGACACCGTCTTGCTAATCTGCACCACCACCTGCCGGTCGTCGACTCTCGTCACCTTGGCCGGAAGCACCATGTTCTTGTCAATCGACGACCAGTCAATCTCGTCCTTGGCGTCAGCGGGCCGTGCCGACAGGTCCAGGCGGCCCTGCTCTGCATCCACGTGCAGCACGCGTACCTGCAGTGCCGTGCCGATGGGGAAGTTCTCCGCCAGATCCTTGACGAGCGACAGGTCGTTGGACGCCTCCATGCCGTACATACGGCCGCGCACGTTGGGCGACAGGCTGACCCACAGGCAGTTGGACTTGCGGTTGTTGACGAAACCGATCCATGACGACTCGGGCTCGATCTTGTCCATGGTCAGGGCGGGCGGTGCCGAAGCAGCCTTGACGTTGCTCGGCTTCGCAGACAGCTCAAAAACGCTGCGGCTGCTGCGTTGCGTAATGGGAAGGTATGTGCGCTTGCGCGCATCGTGAACACCCAGAACGCGCACGTCAATGACCTGATTTTCCTTAAAGTTGCGCAGCGGGTCCTTGGAGTCGGGCACGTCCTCCCACTTGTCAAAGACTTCGGTAATGTCTACACGGCCCAGCACGTTGTCGGCCAACTGAACGTTCAGCTGCGTCGCCTTGATGCTGGTGATCTTTGCCTTGGTCACAACTCCAACTCTCACGTCGCCAAGGGTCTTGAGGGCCGTGTCGGCCGGCTTGATCAGCTTCGTGTCAATGGCATCGTCATCTGCGTTAGTCGTCGTTCTAGCCTCGGTCTGAAGAGATACGACAATGCGGTCGTTCTCAACAGAAATGACGCGCGTTTCCAGGCTCTGGGAGATATGCATGCCGAAATCGGGCTGGTTTTGGATGCCACTAGGCATTAGCTGCTTCGGCAGCAGAGCCACAATGTTTGCGGCAAACTGGACAAAGACAGCCGTCGGCGTAATGTTGCGGACAAAGCCAGCAATCACGTCGCCAGCGTTTACGCCTTCCATGCTGGTCAAAAGGGTCTTGGCTTTGCTCGCCGCGATGAGGCTGGGCTTCTGAGAGACAGTCACTGTCCGGCGGTTTTCGTGCTTGTCAAGAACAAGGAGCTCGGAAAGGACCTCGCCGACGTGCAGGCGCTGGAGCGCAGCCGCGTTCTTGGCTGCCGAACGGTCGGAAAGGTGGCCAACCGGGAGGGTGGCCTTCAGGCCAGTGTTGGTCAGCTCAACCTCAGCGCTGTCAGCATTTTTGACCATCACCGTGGCAGACACAATCTCGCCAGGAGCGAGGTCCTTCAGTGCCAGCTTCTTCTCGACGCCGAATGAGGTGGGATCCTTGCAGGTGACAACGAGACGGTTACGATCGCGGTTGAACTTATGCACACGGACACTGACGACCTGGCCCAGGCGGAAGTGCTGCTCGGGGTTGGTGATGGGCGCCTCACTCATCTCGGAGACGGGGAGGAAGCCGCGGAGGTCACCGTAGAACTGCACAAAGGCACCGGCGGGGATGATGTTGACAATTGTACCAAGGCACTGCAGACCGAACGTCAGGTCGGCAAACGAAGAAATGGGAGGCAGGTCCGAGTTGACGAGCGTCTTCTTCAACGTCAGGCGGATCTGGTGCTTTTCCGGGTCTGTGGACAGCACGCGTGCTTTGACCTTCATGCCCTCACGGAACTTCTTCTCCGGATGTTGTAGCTTGACATCAGCCAGGTGCAACTCGGGGACGAGACCAGTGACACCATCGGCAATCTCGACAATCAGACCAGACACACCGGACGGGCTGATGAGCATTTTCTTGACCGTACCGGGGACAACTTTACCAACGGGTACGTCGTCAACACGGAGGTATGCCTGCTCCAAGACAGACTTCTCAAAGGAAACGAGAAATGTGCCATCCATGGGGTTGTAGCCAACAACGCGGCCAGGGTGGGAAGAGCCAGCTTTGTAGGGGCCGGAAGACTCGAAAAGAGCGTCGATCTTGCCGTCCTTGACGCGGGAGATGTGTACGAAACCAGGAACGCCGCTGATGCCAACATCTACCCACAGGCCGACATTGGGCTCAACCCGACGCACGACACAGCGCTCGACCGTCGAGGACAATGGGAGGGCCTCGAGGGGAAGTTTGGCCGCCTGCTCGTGGTCCTGCTCCTGCTCCTGCTCCTGCTTCTTCCTCTTCTTCTTGTCGGGGCTGCTTTCGACAGTCTGTCGCGTGAGGGCGGCGATGTGAGGGAGGATAGACACACCAACCTTGGGCGACTCAGAGGTAGGAAAGTTGCAGATGACGCGTGCGCGCACCCGGGAAGCGATCTTGTACGTGTCCTCAAGGTCGGCGTCGCTGGCACCAGCACCAGAATGGATGACATCGGCAGTAGCATCGAGGTGGCCCAGGACTTTGCCGACAAAACCACGGCCGCTAACGTCCGACAGAAGAATGTCGACGACCGTACCGGGCAAAAAGGTGTTGATTGTGACAGCGTCGGTGGCGGCGCTCTTGAGGCTGCCCAGCTGCTTCTTCTGGGTGGTAAGCTGAGCCACCTTTCCGTTGGGTGACTTGCTGGTGACGAGACAAAGAAGAACCGCACCTGGCTGCACGCGCGCCTCGGAGATCGAAGGGTCGAGCTCTTTCTTAGCGAGGAAACCACGAAGATCCGAGCCGCCAATGCCCAGGTCCATCACATAACCACGATCTTCCACACTGACAACAGAGGCCATGACAGTGCAGTTGCGGACGACATCCTGCTCAGAAAGTCCCGCATTGGCATGCTCTGGCCGCACGGACAGCTCTATGCGCCTCTTGTTCTTGGAGTTGGATGTGTCGTCCTCGGTGGAGACAACCGACACCCGGATGTATTCGCCGACAGTGAACAGCTCCTGCAGGTCCACCTCATCGTTTTCTGAGTCGTCAATCTCATCTTCGGCGTCGCTTTTATCGGCCGCCTCAGCTTCGGCTTCGATGCGTTCGTTCAAGGTCTGGGAAATGGAGGTAAGGGGAAGGTGCCCAACGAGGTTGTTTGGCAGGGCGACCGAGACTTCGAGGGGGTTGATGGTCGAAACTTGGCCCAGAACGAGGGAGCCCTTGACAAGGCGCTGTAGAAGAGTAGGTGTTAGCAGATAGCGTATATGTCGACTCAGCTCTGGCTGGAGAAGTCTCAACATACCTTGTAGTTCAAGCTCTCAATTCTGGGGCCGTCGTCGGCGGCCTTCGCGGTGGCGGCGTCGAGCTTCCGCCTGCCCTTCTGCTTCTTCTTCTTTTCCGGGCCGTCGGCCTTGTCGGCGTCTCCATTCGCCTGGTCGAAAAGGGCATCGCTCTTGGCCTGCACCTGAATTTGCTTGTATTCCAGGGGCGTCAGGACGCTGCCGCCGCCACGAGGGAAAAGAGGCTCGTCCTCCTTGAGACGGGAAACGAGGGTCGAAGCACCCGCCGTGGTTGGGACAGAGTTCGATTCCGAGTCGGGCTTGTCGTTCGTCTTCTTGAAGTCTCCCGACTTGTTGGCCTTGGCCCGCTTCGAGGGTCGGCCACCATCACCGCCGCCGTTAGTTTTGGCTGCTTTGGACGGCACACCGCCCGTAGATGCCTCTTTGCGCTTAAGTGAGCTCATCGTGCGGCCAACAGACAGCTCTAAGGCTGTGAATTGGATCGTGGGTTGAGCTTGTGCTGATGCGCTGCTTGTTCGCGTGAAGTCGTACGGCGACTGTTAGAAAAGAGCGGATCGCCAAAATCTCCGGCAGAAAAAAACTGCCCTTCAAAAAAAAATCTTAGTGGAGCGATAAGATCGTATCGTTCTCTTATCGATAAGCGGACGCTGCCTGTACCGACGAGGCACGGGGACCGGTATAAAAGTGGGTCCGCTATTCCAGAGGGGATTGGGTCATACACCCGCCCAGCCGCCCAGGGCTGTGGCGGATGAAGCCTCGGGAGCCAATAGTTACAGTGCGTGCAGGCTAGGCAGGGTCGAGACCAACCATACGACGCAGCACCTGTCCAGGCATGCCAGGTCTTTGTCCACTACGTAATGCCAGCGAGAGCAGGCTACCCTCTTTCCTATGTCTCGCACCATAGTGACCACACATAGCATTATCAAATAGAGCGGCGACGCAGCGACGATCTCGGCACAAACAAACAACAACCCCACGAATACCGGCTGCGAGGTATTCGTTGTTTTGTCTTTTCTTCACCGTCTGTCTCCTCGAACGACCTTGCTCGCCATTTCTTTCCGATCCTCTTCCCTTTCGCTCGGCCACTCGATCCCTCATCGATTATCACCACTCACCCAAATGAGTCCGCGGAAGCGCCCACGAGCAGCTCCTTCAGACGGCAATCCCCCTCCACCAACCGACTCGACATCCTCGTCCTCGTCCTCTCTGCCGACGCCAAGTCCTGCACAAGCCAACTCGGCCTCGCAGGCCAGCGATGCCTCCGCCGATTCGGTGATGGCGCGCAGCCCAACAGACGCAATGGCGCCCAGCGTCGCCGAGAGTACCAGCAATGCGAGTCGCTACGCTTCGTTCAAAGAATCGAACAACAAGAATCGCAGCCGGTACAGCTCGTGGCCGCGCAAGTCCACGGCGTCGACACAAGTTGCTCGCGAGACGATCCTGGGCGGCACGTTGAAGCCCAGTGCCACGTCCAACTTGAGTCGTTTTGACACTCGGAAGGCCGGCGACGATGGCCCGGACGACAACCTAAATTCCAGTGGACCTGCGTTATCTCGGACACCGTCAACGACGACGTCAACTGGGGCCAGCGGTGTTGCGAAAAGCAACGGAGCGGCGTCAATGCAGGGCAGCGGACGCGCCGAGGCTGCAATGACACATGCGACTGCCAAAGGCACGACAGGGAATGGTGCATCGAAGTTGGCATCCGATGTGTCGGCAAGCGCTCTGGACAGTACGGAACCTGTTGCGGCAGCAGACGTCATGGATACGACACAAGACGACGGCGCACCAACTGTCGATACTTCACAAACGCCAGCACAAGCCGCAGGCTGGTTCTCTTGGGGACGGAAGGAGGCAGCGCAAGCAAAGCTACCAGTGGCCGAAGATTCTTCTCGTCAAACACCAGAGATGCCAAAGAGCGAAGATTCCCAGGCTTCGTCGACTTCCCACGCCGAGGCTCCACAAGGCGCGCCGGCTCCACAGTCAGTCGAACGCCCAACAACGTCAGGAGGCATGTGGACCTACCTATGGCCGAACAGTGCACATGCTACCACACCAACCACGACGAAGACGCAAGAAGCTGGGAGAGTCGGCGAGAGCGACCAAAAGAGTACCACAGCGGAAAGTACGGATACCACACAGCCCCAAGACGTTGACATGGAAGATGCCCCGTCAGCACCTATCCCGGTCCCCACGGTTTCGTCAGCATCAAGCACCGTAGGCGCAAACAATGCATCTGGACCAGCGACGGCAACAGGATCGGTTGGTTCAACTTGGGCATTCTGGTCGCGAGATGCGAGAAAAACAACGGGGAAATCACCCGAGTCGACGGGCTCCAATGACCAGGGTGAGATTGCCATCATTGGCGAACGATCGGAGGCAAACCCTAAACCAGCTGTCTCGGGTCTCAAGGTGAGCAACGATAAGACCCCGTCCAAGGCGTCGTCCATGAAGGACGTGCCCGTGAAGGGTGCAGCAACGAAGGACGGGTTGAGCAAGGAGGCATCGGTCAAGGAAGCTGCTAGGAATGCCGCTTCGATCGCTGCTGCTGCTGCTGTTGCCGCCGCTTCCTCAAAGAAGAACAAACGATTGCGACCGAAATCGATGGAAATCGACGAAGCCTCCATCCCAGGATCCCCTGCGCAAGAAGTCCAGATTCATACTCCATCAAAGAGCAATGAGTCTCTGCCACTGCCCTCTAAACACCATCAGATTACTTCCAGCGCTGCCTCCACTTCTGGCTCCATGGCAAAGGGCCAGTTGGCACCCGCTAAACCGCCGCCACCGAATCTCCTGTTCCCATCGTTCCGGAGCACATACCGTCTCAAGGACAATCCGTCTATTCTCAAGCAACTTGCTCAGCTCCTGCTGCGGACGCAACAGGCACCGGCCAATCATGTTTTCTTGTCCAAGGATCTCCCCAAGGTGAAGAAGGCCGTCGCCATCGGCGTCCACGGCCTTTTCCCAGCGGCCTACTTGCGCCCCATGATCGGCCAACCAACGGGCACGTCGATTCGGTTTGTCAACCACGCCGCTGAGGCAGTGCGGCGCTGGGCTGATCGCAACGGGTGCGAAGACTGCGAGATTGAGAAGATTGCGCTCGAAGGCGAGGGCAAGATCGCCGATCGCGTGGACAACTTGTGGAAGCTGCTTCTCAACTGGATCGATCACATCCGGAACGCCGACCTGGTTGTCCTTGCCTGCCACTCGCAGGGCGTGCCGGTTAGTTTTATACTTCTAGAGAAGTTGATCGACATGGGTATCGTGACCAAAGCACGTATTGGTGTTTGTGCCATGGGTGAGTTTCTCCCACTGTTACCCAGATGATTTTGTGCTGTTTATAATTGCTAATACGTTCACTCTTCAGCGGGCGTCTCGCTTGGGCCATTCCCGGACTACAAGGCAGGCCTCGGCATCCTCATGGGCTCTGCAAGTGAGCTTTGGGACTTTGCCAACCCAGAAAGCGATGTATCAAAACGATACGAGCACTCGCTTAAGACGGCTCTGAATTACGGCGTACGGGTGACCTTTGTTGGAAGCATCGACGACCAGGTCGTGCCCCTAGAGGTTAGTATTCGGATCGCATTTGCAAGTTTTACCCGCCCAAATTGGTCTCTAACCAAGTTACAGTCTGCGATATACTCGCCCGTCCACCACCCGTACGTATATCGCGCGGTTTTTATTGACGGCCGAATTCATGCGCCCGACTTGTAAGCCACCACCTAACTCCGTCTTCGGTAAATACTTTATACTATTTTACTAACCATGTGATTGCAGCATTGCCCATCTTGTCGGTTTCGCCTGCAAGCTCCGTAACCTTGGCGTATCGGACCATGGCCTGATCCGAGAGTTGTCTGTCCCGTTGGCTGGCAGCCTTTACTCTGGGGAAGGTCATTCCCGTCTCTATGACGACTCGCAAGTTTACGAGTATGTCTTTATTCTACTCGAGTGTCTACTATGTTTAATGACTAACAGTGCGTCTGAATAGCCTCGCTGTCTCTCACTGTCTCGAGACCGCTAGTGTCAGCAAGCCCGTTTGTGAAATTGCCAAACATGGCAGCTTGACCAACCCGAACCCGTATCACTTGCCGTGGATTATGCGTGGCCTCCTCGAAGAAGACTTTGTCAAGACGGAACTGCACGCCGAGACGGCCGAGTTGGTCAAGCAGTTTGACGACTGGAAACCGGTAACTAAGGCACTCAAAGACGTCAAGTACAGACTAGAAGCGGTACGCTCCAGACTGTAGCGAAGACATGGTTGTGAAACTGCAAATGCAGTGCAGCCATACTTAGCCTGGGAGTTGTTCGTATGGTCCTTTTTGGTGTGTTGTTTTGTTAGACTTTGAACAGGAGTCACTCCCGCTCGACTTTTCTTCTGTCTTTCTTATAGCCCATTGGTTCCAAGTCTCTCAGGTGTGTTCCTATATTAGGCCTGAGAAGGTTGAGCCGACTGGATACGCTTGTTCTATTATTTGCGTAGATGGGAGGCTGGGCGTTCAACATTGAGAGATGCGTCGGTTTGTGTTTTATTATATCCCTATTCGAATTTATTTAGATTTTATTTTATTTCAGTTTACATTCGAACTTGAAAGGAGGCCGTCGACTTAAAATACGTAACAGAGATATAGTCAGAATAGGGGTAGTGATATTTTTTTATGTGTCATCAACTCTCTTTATATACATTACCTTAGAAGCCATCGCCAAACCAAATACATAGGGGAGTGTAAAATCCAAACGCCTATCGATGATAATGAATAGCACGAAAGCAGTTGCCGACCGAAAGCATCCATCGTCCATAAAGCATGACCCAAGGCAAGAAAATGAATACATCAAACACTTGCTTCTATGATTTCTTCACTCTGCAACATTTATGATCGTTCCTTTTTTCCCTCTCTTTTCTGTCAGTTTTGTCTGCCCTCAACATATCTCATCTCTTACCCAGCTGCCACCGGTAAATGATGTCTTGGATCTCCTCCCACTGCATCTGCTTCGCGCCGGTGCCGGCCACTTCGGCCTCCTGGAGCACGACTGTAGGGGCACCACTGCCACGGCCCGGGTTCTCGACCATGCCCTGGACGACGATCCGGGCCACGCGGCGCAGGTCCGCAACAGTGAGGCTGTTTATGCGGCGCACCATCTCGTGAACAGGGATTTTGTGGCCGTGAATCTGCACTTGGCGGCCCAGGTCCTCGAGCTCGACCATGCGGCTCTCGAGGTTCATCAAAAGGCTCGACCGCAGTTGGTTCTTGGCGCGGTTGACCTCGGCCTGGCCCAGGGCGCTGAAGCCATTGTCGAGAGAGAGCGAGCGGAGCTCGCGACACATGACCTCAAGCATCTGGGCAGTGCGGCCTGGGTAGCAGGAGGCGGCAATGCCAAAGAGGCCACTGTCGGCGTAGGAGTGGTTGAAGGCAATGCACGACTCGACCCAGCCATACTGGTTGAGCACGTTGGTGTACAAGCGGCTGTACATACCCTTGCCAGGTCCACCGGCCGAGAAGGAGCCGCCGCCACCAAGGAGTGTCTGCAGCGTGGCGAGGGCGTAGATATCGTCGGACGAGATCGGGAGGCCCTCAAAGGCAAGCTGGATGTGCGTAAATGTGGGCAAGTTGGGGTTCAGCGGTGGCGGCTGGGGTGGCAATGACAGGAAGCCGCCAGTGTAGTGTGCAGCGGAGACATTTAGGGAGGTCGTCGATGGGACGGAGGAGAGCACAGAGGCGTTTTGCGGTGCTGACGTGGAGATATTCTTGAAAAAGGGAATCTTGGAGAGGAGCTTAGAGGGTTGGCTGATGGCAGCAGAGCTGACGGACGATGTGGCGGTGGATGCGGATGTGGATGTGGACGAGGAAGAGGAGGAGGATATTATCGACGCGCGGTCGCTCTCGTCGACTGACGCAGTGGCATCAACTTCTGTGGAGATCGGCTCGGTAGGCTTCATGTCCCCAAAATGCTGCACAGCCAGGCGCACAGACTCCTCGTGTGAGATGCCTGCAAACGCAACGACCATGCGCTCAGGCTGGTAGAAAGCCTCGCGGTAGGCACGGATGACGTTGCCGTCAATGGCACCAAGACGCTCCTCTGGGCACAGCAGCGGGTTCCCGAGGGTGTTGTCCTTGAAGGCGGCCATGTGTACCAGCTCGGGCAGAATCAGCTCAGGCTTGGCCCAGATCTCCTTGACTTCGTACGCGGCCGTTTCTAGCTGCTGGGCCACCTCGTCGTTGGTCATGAGTGGGTTGCGAATTGTCTCGGCGAGGAGCTCAGTGGCGGTAGGGATGGCCGAGTTAAAGGTGGCAGCCTGGTACATCATGGATTCGCGAGACGACGCACACTGGATGTTGCCTCCGAGACTTTCGACAGCCTCGAGCATGTCGTCGGCAGAGCGCTTGTTGGTGGACTTGAAGGCAAGACGATCCATGATGTGGCTAGCACCGCGCAGATACTCGTTCTCATACCGCGAACCGGCATCAATGTAGACACCAACGCCCGAAAATGCGTCGGGCAGCGCCTCGGAGGCGACTCGGATACCATTGGGGAGGGTGGTAATCTCGTCAAGCTTCGTCGGATCCTGAGCCCGTGGCGGGACAACCGAGGCGAAAGACTGTCTCTGCTGTAAGGTGGGTGTGGTAGCAGCGATGCGTCTGACGGTTGCCCCAAAGACTGTGGTCTTGAGCGGCCGCCGCGCACGGCCGACGATGTGCGGTATTGACGAGCGCAACATTGTGAAGACCGTGATTTAAGAGTGAATGAAGATCGTCGAGGAGAAGGGGAAGGACGAACGGAGAATGTGGTTAGGCGGAAGGCATGCAATAGTGAGCAAGAGTGTGAAAGGGAATACGGCAGGCGACCATCACTGTCCTGGAGACATATGACAAGTTTCAAAAGCCCGCGAAGTGTCCTTGTATATCGCCACGGTCGGTCTCGTACTGACGGCGGGACCGGTCGGCAGCCACTTGTGAAATTTCCTCAATGGTAGGCGAGGTCATCGGCGATAAGCGATAACAGCCATCAGGCACATTAGCAGAAAACAGTCACGTGAGCGTTTAAACAAATGGTTAAAGATACCCTTTTACACGGGATTCCTGTAACGATTCAAAGTTTGAAACATTTCTTTTCTAATAAGACAAGAGTAAGCGATTACAGAATTTCGTCTTTAATAGGCCAAGTTCTACGAAGTACAACATATACGAATGTTAGCTTACAGCGGTTTGCTAAACCACATTTGATACATGGCATATACGGCTTTTTCTCAAACTCCTTCAGGCGATACTGCCTAGCAACATACTAGGGACGTTTTTTGTGTACCTTTCTCAATATGGGAATGTACAGTAATAGACAGCAGACAAGGCACAGTTCATAGTCCCCTTGCGGCCTGCCAGGTTGCGGGATGTCATGTGCCGTCCGTCACCATGCATAAGGCGTAGGATGGAGGGATGAAGCATACATCATTCTCTGCCCTGCGAAACACAATGGCAAATGTGCAATTCTGTGCAGATCATGTGTTTAGAGTCTGGCAAGATGACAAGCCCACGCGGTATCTTCGGCTTCAGCCTATTCCTACCTATTGCCAGGCTCCATCTTTAGCAGCGGCGACGGGCTTAGCGATTACTTTACCTTTGTCTCCATCGTCTGTCAGATTATTTTGTTCGTTCTCGCCGCTTTGCTAGTGCTTTCCATTTTTCACGGTAGCGATTTCGGTCTCTTGTCCGGCGTCTTCCACCTCAAATTTGCCTCCAAGTGCATAATATTCGGTGTCTCCTCAATACGGGACCTGGTTAGCCGCTATTGACTTCGCTAGTGGCATTGGCCCCAGCACCAATTGCCATGCCTGGCATGGGTTAATTACACATATTTGCGTCTAAAATCAGGCCAGGGCCTGGCCGCGAGAACTCCAACAGTGCTTGCTGCTGGTCAACCGTCGTGGGCAAACTGCGAGGAATGCGCGCGTGGCGACAGCTTGGCACGCACCCACACAAAGTCCTAAGGAGCCAAGACGCCCGGTGTTCGTTCTCCCAAAAAAGCTGAACGCTGAACGTTCCGCGTGACTTACCCCTCTGGTGCACTCGCCTTCCTTGCTTGCTCCGCACTTGTTACGTCGTAGGCACAAAGCCAGTTTTGACAGGACAGGACAGGAGAAAAACACTGGACATGCAAACGAGACCCTCCGGTGCGCGAGACACAGGCAACCAAGTGCCCAGAGTGCCGTACCATGCGGACGTTTCGTTTTTGCAATGCCATGCCCCGTAGTAGATATAGTCTGTTCCGCAGCCTGGGATCTTTCGTTTGTGTTGCAAACACCGATGTTGACAAACAACAACGACAAACGATGAACTTCGGGTCAAACCTCGACTTAAGCCTCGACAATCTGACACTCGACCCGGTGCATTGTCACTGCTTTGACAGCCGCCACAGCTGCATAACCAAGGCGGAACGCTAAAAACGACGTCCCCTGCGTTGGCGAGCCTGTGGCCCCTTTTCTTTCACGACTCGAACCGGCCCTCCTGTTCCTGACGTTGCCCTGTTCTTTTCTCCTCCTCATCGCGGCCATTTCAAAGCCTTTCTATTATCCCTGCCTCTCTTCCTCCTCCAGCTTTCCTCCTCTGTTGCACCCGACGTCGTTCATTTCGCAATAAATTGACTCGCAAAGTCACTACCACGTGAATAATCACGTGCACACCCTGACTTAACCACGACACTCGCAGCCTTTCCGAATTTGAAGGTGAACTATAGCATATTGGAGGGTTGGTAATTGCGCTGAGGCCTTTGCCTGTAATTACCGCCGCCGCCGCCGCCGTCGTTGCCGCCGTCCCTGGTTGTTTCTCAGCTTTGTCTCAGTCCTTTCTCAGCATTGTACTCGTTGACTGCTATTCGGCCACTACTACTTAGTCATTACAAGTGCCATCAGCCACCCCCGAAATCCAACCAGTCTGCAGTTGTGCCTATTGTCCCGCCTCCCCTCTCCCTCTTCCTTCCCCCTAAAGCCCACCACTGCCCATCTCTTTCCGCCGTCCCACCGTCAAGGCGTCCGCTCCTGCTTTGTCGTGGTGATCCCGTCTTGCTCACCTCCGCTTTTCCCCTTCTTCCCCTCCTTCCTTCTCCATGTTTACTCAATCAATACCAGCGCCTGCGCCTGCGCCCTCGCCCTCTTCTCCGGGTCTCCACGCTGTTTCAACAACGACGCCTGCGTCGCCGACCTCGCGAACCAGTCGGCTTCGCGGCCTCAGCTATCTGCGCAACTACACCCAGAGTCACTTGCTGAACCGCGAACACAGCTCTACAGGTGCTTCGAGCACGGGCAGTGGTAACACCACCGCTGGCACTGGCAACGCTGCCAACCACTTAAATCAGCCTTCGCCATCGTCACCATCGACTGCAAGCGGTGGCCTCGGGCACTCCGAGACGTATCCGCTCCGTCAGACCCAGTCTGCCGCGGCTGCACCGACCTCGTCCACCTCTTCGGCTACCGTGATAGCATCGGCGGTCGATCCTGGTCTGTGTCTCGCCCCTGCGGTCTTGCACCCGCTCAGCATCACATCGACCAACTCGTCGCAGTCAGTGGCCAGCGACGCCGCTGCACCCCAATCCGGGTCCCGGGCCCCGGCGGACAACCAACCCGGCGCGTCCACTACTGCATCTGCTACGGTTCCCACAAGTGCCGCTGTATCGTCCCTACAGGCTGCCTACTGTTCTGACCTTCAGTCTGCGTCTACGACCACCAACAGCCCCGCTGCCGCCTCGCTGTCTTCTGCCGCCGCCATGGCACCCTCTGTCGCCCCTCAAACGACACCGACTGCTAACGTCATGACTCGGTCACGTTCGGCTACCGAGCCCGGCGCTGCCAACGGCGTTAACATCGAAAGCCTGCCCTCGATCCGGTTCTCGACGTTTTACGATCCCCGTGCTACAAGACCGTCGCTTAAGTTTGCGCCTATGTCACGCACACTGCCGACAGGCAAGGAGCTGATTCGCGTCGGGCGTTATTCGGAGCGTGACAGCCAACCAAACGTCAGCGCCAATGTGCCCTCCGCTGCACACGTGGGCTTCAAGTCCAAGGTCGTCAGCCGGCGGCACTGCGAGTTTTGGTACGAAAACAACCGCTGGTACATCAAGGACGTGAAGAGCTCCAGCGGCACATTCCTGAACCATATCCGGCTTAGCCAGCCGGGCACCGAGAGCAAACCCTTTCCCGTCAACGACGGTGATATTGTCCAGCTGGGAATTGACTTCAAAGGCGGTGAAGAGATGATCTTCCGCTGCGTTAAGATGCGCGTGGAATTGAACCGCGGATGGCAAAACAAACTAAATGCCTTCAAGTATGACACCCCCTTCTCGTTCTTGTGGCTACAAAGTTAAACTAACGTCTTGCCCAGTGTCCAAACGCATAAACGCCTGCGGAACATGACCAAGCCCGAAGGAGACGGCTCGAAACAGTCATCGCAAGATTGTTCGATATGTTTGAACTCTATTGCTGTATGTTCCCTTCCCTTCCACCCGAATTGGTACATATTATGCGCTTCTTCTGCTGTCATATTCTAACACTGTTGTTACATATAGCCGTGTCAGAGCTTGTTCGTGGCACCATGCTCACATACCTGGCACTACAAGTGCATTCGCGCTCTTCTGGAATCACCACAGTATCCAAGCTTTATTTGCCCCAACTGCCGTGCCGCTGTCGATCTTGAGGCCGACGTAGAAGACCCGCCAGAGGAATGGGAGACGATGGACATCGAGGAAGAAGAGAGCGTTGTCGCCGGTGCGAACAACGCTCGTTCAAATGATGCCTCTGCCCACCATGTCAAGCCCCGAATGCCCAGCGATCAACGGGCTGGTGCGTTGTCCGCCAGCGCCGCGGCTGCTGACATTGGTGACACGACCATGCAGGTGGACTCGGTCATGGAAGATATTGACGAGACAACAAGCACCGGACCGGCGGCTCTTGCCCAGCAGCAGCAGCAGCAGCAACGGAACGAACGTCGGGAGCTCGATTCACGGCTACAGCGACAATTGCTGGTCGAGCAACAGCAACATGAGGACGAGCCAGAGCCCGTGACAGAGAGCCACGTCTCTCACGCCACATCTCACCCGGTGCCGATTCCTTCCGGGAGCCGATTTCCCTCGACCAGCAGCATCGCTAACGCGCCGCCGACAGTGTCTGTGAACGGCAACGGAATCAATAATGAACGAACGCCTTCTCCTACCGAGCGCCACATTGCACCTGTAGGCCACGAGGGCCCCATCACACCTCGGAACGACGCCGGGCCTTGGGTGTTCGATGGCAGCGGCATTAGGATAGGCAGCAGCCGCGCGAGTACCGACAGTCGGCGAGGTGAGATGCGCAGTCTGGACACAGCTGCAGCGGAGATCTCTGGCCAATTTCGCACCTAGTTTTTGTTCCTTTTTCTTCCATTTTTTTGTTAGCGAATACAGCATCCGCATTGTTCCTCGACCTCTTTCATTTTGGGTTTTTTTGGACGTGCTGCTTGGCAAATGACAGCACCAGATCAGGCCTCCAAGCACACCCCACGCTCGTCCTAGATTTTATCTTTGGCATCGCCTTATCCACCACCTACCCGTGCCTATATTTCTTTTTGTTATCCATATTTTGGCGTGTCTGTCTATCCCTTCGTTTACCTTTGAGACGCAGTCCAGAGAAATCGAGAGATTGGCATTGTGCTTGGATCCATGGGGATGATATCTCATTTCATTTTTTGTAACTGCACTTTTCATTCTCTTGCATTGGCGTTTTGAGAAATACCATTCGCTTTTTTCCGAAGACGGCACCCTATATATTATTGCCTTTATTAACCAACTTTGTGTCTACATACACCCATTCATGGAACATCATTACCTATCGCGCATGATATGACCTGGGAACGAACCTTTCATAGCCAAATGCTAATTCTCATGACACTTTTATACAATTGACAAGGCTTATAAAATATAAATACGTCCAAGGTCTCCAAATCAAATTAAAGAAACACAAAATCCAAGTCAGCTCAGAGCGTCTTCGGACTCGACCACTCCGCTACTCCTTAGAAACGCCCATGGCCCAATTGCTCGATCTCTTGTCCTTCCGCTGTTCCCCGGCCGGCTGATTCTAGAAGCCGTTTCCATGCTTCGGCATCCTTGGCCTTGACGGCCTCTTGGGCAGCCTTGACCTTCATACCGCACTTCTCGTACATGGAAATGGCGGCGCCAGGCTCCAGGCCAGCGCATTTGGGCACAAAGATGGCTGCTACACGAGCGTTGCCTGCCTGGAGGACAAGGTTATAGAATGGCTGCAATGGGACAAACTGTCAGCGATCGGTCGCGCATTGGACATCAGGATAGGACGCATCTATTCCCAGCAAAGTGTTCGGCTTACCTCCCAACCAATGGGGCTTTTCTTGGCCTTGGCTATGTCTTCGATCTCGTTCCAGTCACGTTTCGCCACAAGGGCACGAAGTCTAAAAAAAAAATGTTAGACACAGGGAACACAAAAAAATGCACAGCCGTCTGTGATGCGTACCGGATCCACCAGGCCACACGCTCGGGGACGTGAAACTCGCTCTGCAGCTTCTTGGCTCGGCCGTGATAACCCAGCCGAATCAGCTTGAACATTGTCTCGTTCACACTCAAGCCTGTGAAGGAATCTGTGAGATCGCGGTCAAAGGCCTCTTGCATCCTGAGCAGCGTTGTCGCTTCCTTGAGTGCGCCTAGCTCGAATGCGCTCTCCCTTTGGTTGTCGGCCAGTAACTTCGCCGCGAGCACGAGCTTGTCGGACGCAGTTCGGCTATCTGGCTGCCGAAGAGCCTCTCGAATGAAAACGGACGCGCCGCTTAGTCTCCTGTCGTCCTGGTAGTACATATCCTTCAGGAGCGTATTGTCGCCATCGCGGGTCGCTGCCGACTCGACCAAGGCCGTTGCAACCGGCCGGCTATTGATAGAATGGAAGAAAGCGGCGAGCGGCAGCTTGCGCCGCATCTGATCAATGACAAAGTACGTCAAGTCTGTATCGCCGGATTCAATAGCCTTGTCCAGTGCCAGCTCATCTTCTTCCATGCTCAACAGCAGCGGAACTTGCCGGCCGGCACGAGGTTCGTGGTTAAGCAACTTTGTTGCCAGGTGGCCCCGACCTTCATCGTAGGCCGCTCGCGCAATTTCTTCGAATGAAATGCCGGGTTTTCCAGCAAGACGATCGACTATAATTTGGCAAAGAGCCTCGTCAGGTTCTGACCCGGTGCGGACCTTGGCGCAAGCCCAGTGGACGTAGATTTTGTCGGTGGGCAGGTGAAGGTAGCCCGCAATGCGCAATGCTAATAGATACTCATGGCGACTCAGGAGGCGCGCAATTAGGCTGTCTGGGCCGAGGCGCTGGTACTGATCGTAGGAAAGCGGAAGGCCGATCTCGTAAAACCGCACGGCATTGAGAACGCGCAGCGTGTCGCACATGTCAACAAAGTCATCACTGTTGTAAATGTCAAGGACAGACTTGCCAAAAGAAGCAGCTTTCAGCAGCTGCTTCTGCCAGTACACGTTGTATTCTTGTCCCGAGGCATTGACACAGTTGTCCACAGCCTCTGTGAGATTTGGGCGGATGAGCTGGATGTTGTCATCTGCCTTGGGTGATTGCATCTCAAGCTGCTGAACAGCGTCAAGGAGGATGGACGCCGGTGACTCCGCGCCAAAGCGGAAGACCTCCTCTGTGACGTCCGGAACCTTTTGTAGAAATTCACAGACAGTATTTGTGACCACCCGTACGCCATCAATGTCTACGCCGGTCAGCAAATCAGGATTGGCAAGCTCACGCGGCAGAGTGTCCGTGTTCTGCGAAGTTTCGAGCACCTCAACTCACCCTGGATGACGTGGATTCTAGAATCGTAGTAGAACTTAGCGATCGAGCCACCTGGCCCGATAATGTGCACCTCGTCCTCCCATGCGATGACGACGGCATCATTGCCACACCACTGCAGATACTTAGGAGGGATCTTGGACTTTGAACGGTGCTCGCTTAGCCGCGTCTGGAAATCGCTTGTGACGACGTGCAAGGCACCCGTCTCCGTGTAGAGCCCGACAAACTTGCCGTTTGGCGAGACGCTGACGTGTGCAAATGGACCGACATCGAGAAAGCGGTCTTCACATTCGATGGGATCTACCACGTATATCGTCTGGTCGATGCTGAGCAGTGCTTCGACGGACCGGGAGAGCGTGTGGTTCGGAGGGATCAAGGCCCATGAATGCACCCTGCCCTCGGGGCACGAAGCAAGGACTTTTGGCCTAGGCTCGTCGTATGAGCCCACGGTGATGAGGGTGTTGTTTGAAAGTAAGGCAACCAGGCCCGAGTCGTAGAAGCTGGTGCATTCAATGTTAGCAACAAAAGAATGGCTCGTGGCTCGTGGAGAGCACCTAAAAAATTCGTAGCAACTTCACATACCGGCACGATTCTACACCGAATTCCTCGGCGCCATTTCCCAATGAGAACTGCGAGAACTCTCCTTGTAGGTCGACATAACACCGAACTGTTCCGTCTTTCGTGACGATAAGGAGCTTCTCGTCTTCGGACCAGCCTAGACCCCGGATCTCGGACACCTTATCCCAGCTGATGCTCCTGATGGGCTTGCCGGCCGAACTGTAGATGTCGATCGTCGGTTTAGCGGACTGGCCACCCCTGTAGACTACAACCTTGCTATCGTCACGGCAGAGTGCGATGGCTCCGGAATACGGTGCGCCGGATACTACATAGTTGTCGAGGTCCCGATCGCGGTCGAAGACGGCGGTGTAGAGCTGCACTTTTCGATAGAAGCTATCGCCGACCTGCTCCCAGCCTGCGGTGGGGTGTGTCGTATCCATCGCGGCTCATTGTCCCATGACGGGGTTCGGTGCTGTCGGTCGTTGGAGTTGTCGATGTTCGACGAATGCGATTGATTACGACAGCTGCCTGGTGCAACCGAAACTTGGTTGGACGAAGACACCAAGGCTGAGCAGGTACCTCACCCAACAGTGATCCACCCCTGGAGCTCGATCTTTAGTGGCACGTGCAGGCAAATCACAGGGGTGGGATTGCCCCAGCAGGCGTCAGTGAGGGGTATGACCATGTCGCAGCTCAGCCGTCCACTAATACGCTGCCACTAAGTCCATCCAATCTCTCAGCCTGCAACGACAACTTCATCGACGTTCCGATTTGGCCGCGAGGTTCGAAAACCAAACCGTTCTCTTATTGTCGGCATAGAGAATCGGTGTTCGCTACGGACCCCCTGATTCAACGTTTTCACTTCAGAAGAGAATAGCCGCCGCAATGCCAAACTGGCGCGACGAGTACCTGGCCTCGATCGAGGCTGCCGATGCGACGGATCCTGCAAACAGCTTGCTTATTGCAGCTTGTGAGTCGGGCCATGACAGCTCTATCGTGCCCTTTGCCTTGCTAACTATGTGAAACTTTGAATCGTACAGGCTCTTCGTTGCAAGACCAGGTGGCCACATTGCAGGCTGAGAACGAGCTCCTACGATCTTCCTCCGGCACTGCCCTTCCTTCGAAAGAACGTCGTGATGATCTGGACGTGGGTACCGGAACTCCCGACGCTCAGCTTCGAGTTGATCTTGCAGAGGCTTTGCGCTCGCAAGGGAAGTTTCAGTCACGCCTGAAAGCGGCAGAGGAGGAGCTTGAGAGTCTACGTACGAAATCTCGAAACGACACACGAAATATTCGAGCCCTCACGGCTGAACGCAACGCTCTTCAAATAAAAGTGCGAGACAGGGACGAGGAGCTACGCGGCAAGTCAAAGCTCGTCGAGGTAAGGTCACTCCGGCACTTTGTTTTTGCAAGGATGAGCCGTAGTTTCAGTGCTGACGGTGTCCACTCCAGGACGTGCAAGATGAACTGATTGCCCTAAACCTGCAGCTCAATATCGCGGAGCAGCAGCGGGATAAAATAAAAAAGGAAAACAAAGACCTTGTCGACCGCTGGATGCGGAGGATGGGCCAAGAAGCAGAGGCTATGAATCTTGCCAATGAGCCATTCATTGCTAAAAGCCCTTGACGAGAGTTGCCAAGGCCGTGTGTCCAGCTTCTACCTACAGTGTGTTGGTATTTCCCAATGGTGAGATATCCTGCGCCTTTGTGCTGTCTACCCTCAGCCCCCCAAAACGAAGTATCCTTCGTTTCCCTTTCATGGCCTTCAGCTCCCTGCCCAACCGATACCCAACGCTACCGAGAAAATAAATAATCCAATAATACATATATACCAAAAGCAACATTCTAATTCCGATGCACAGGAGTCACCCATCCAGATTTATGCATGGCGACATCATCACTGACGAGTCGATATGCAAAACGTGCCCGCCGCACCCGTCCAGCTGACAAACTCCTCAGGATATGTCAGTGTCTCGACCTCCAGAATGGCGCTTCCGACGTCGTTGATGTTATGCGAAGCACTCTTGTGATCGTGCACAAAGCTCTTAAGCGACACGATTTTGCAACCGGACTTGAAATCAAGAAACATCCGTACCAAGTCGTCGTTTAGCTGCGACGTGAACGCTTGGTTGTTGACAAGAACAACGTCAGCCCTCTTTAATGCTTCCAAGATGGCCGTATTTTGGCGGAAATCGCCTCGCTCGAGACGGACTTTGCCCGGCGCAATGCCCCACAGCCGACACCGCTCAGAAAACTCCTTCTTCTGTTCGTCGGCCAAATTGCAGGCGTTCTCCATCATCTCGCAACCCCAGCTCTCACAGCCGATCTCCAACGCAGCCTGCAGGACAACATTGCCCACACCGGATCCGAGATCGACAAACACCTGGCCCGAGGTCATCTGGAGTCTGTCCACGAGAATGTCGGTAATGAATGGGTGCAAGAGCTCGCCATACACGTTATCGGAACCGTTCTCGTATTTGCGGAGGAGTTCGACTTTTGGCGCAACGGTGCGATCATACACTTGATCGAGGACAAATGCAACAAAGTGTCTGGGGAGGTCGTGTCTCTTGGCGAGGTTGGCAGCTATTGAGCCGTCGTCGTGCAATGCGAGCAACCGTTTGTTGAAGTCATCCAGTGCAGACTTGAACATTTTAACGTCCTTGACCGCATCACTCGATGCCCGCTCAATCTGGCGGATGATTCCTGTCGTGCTGTCGGTGAACGGAGCGGCTTGTTCGTCTGTAAAATAGACTTCGGTAATGTGTTTGATAGTCGTCTTGATATCCTTCACCGCGTCGATCTTGTCTTTTCCCCAGACCAGCTCGTAACTATATAACCGAAAAAAAAAGTTAGCCATCATATGGAAGCGCAAATCATATCCTGCATGCCGTTGTCGGTCGAACAAGAAATCAATACCTTTCTCTGTGTCGCGACCCTGGGTATTGCAACTCCACCGAAACCTCGTCCTCCGAAGCGCCGAGAACCGGGACGCATTTCAACGCAATCGACGCGACATCTTTGGCGTGAATGATCTTCAGTCTCCTGAGATCGCGCCCACCTTCGACCTTCTCTGCCTTCTTTACGCTGTCTTTGGCCCCGGTTTCCTTGTCCAAGCCTTCTTCCGCGTCGGCCTTCGCCTTTTCATCCTCCTTGCTCTTCGGCAGTGTTTCCAAGAGGACTGGGTGTACCAGTTGGCGGTCAAGGTCTACCCGTTGGTTTGCGTCCACCCGTTTCCGTTTCCGGTGCTCCCGCTCGTGCAGTGTCGCTTCCCAGTCGTCATCGTCTGTGTCGGAGTCGTTACCAAACTCGATACGGTCACTGACGGCTGGTGAGGCCCGGTGCGCTGGTCGGCTCGCCAGCTTGCGTTTGCGGTCGCCGCCATTCCGGCTGCCGGAGCCCCGCAAGGGTGACTGGCTGGCGCGGTTACGGTTGGTTGGTGAGGTTGACGTGCGTGGTGACGCGGACAGGGTCTCGCTGCTCCGCGCGCTGCCGCCGCCAGCAACAACGGGTCGAGAGCTCTGGCTAGTACTGCTTCTGCTAATCGTTGGGGGTGCAGAACCTGTGCTGCGAGATGGCATCGCTGGCCTCGGTTCGACCGGTATCTGCTTAACAACACGACGGATTTTTGGCGCTGTGACCTTGAACCGGGGCTTCTGGTCAAGGATACCCATCGGAAACGGTATTTTCGATGTGCGTGCCTCGTGACTTCAATAGGAGGGGGAGGGGGTCGGTAGAGGTTCGACTGGCCGCGAAGGGGGTTCAGTGAAGCTGTTGAGTATCGGTCGTGTGCGGCGCAAACCGATGGTCTTCCAAGAAACGTGCTTCAAATAGACTCCAGATGCACGTCGTAAAATTGGCGTCCTAAAAGACTTCCAAAAGAATGCTATAATAGTTCAAAAGTGAAAATGAGTGAATATGCTATGCAAAACACGAATAATCCAAAAGACTGAAAGTGAGTTGAATCTGACAGGACGATGGATTTTCGGGACGAAGTGCGACTGTGGGTAGACGAGGAAAGGCAAACAAAAGGCGCTTTGCTTGGGGACTGGCAGGCAGTTGCTGCAGGGGCCTGAACGCGCGCACGCGCGCCATATTCCTAGTCTGCAGAAAAGCGAACGACGGCCAGTACCGGCGCAATTGCCACCCCACCCGCCAGGGAAAGTTCATCCCCGCTAATATGGGGCGCCACATCTAACGTCACCCAATTAACGGAGCGCTGGATGACAATTGGTAGCCGCTCTCAGTGGCAAAACATAAACGCACCCTGAGCCTGTTTATGATCAGTGTCTGAGTTGGGACAGGGACCACACCTAAGGCTGCGTTCCTGAACCAAGTCCAGATTGATTGAGCACGTGATGCTTCCTCCCCAAAAAACAACATCTCGAACAGCCGCACATACTATGACTGTACATACTATACGCCGTTTTCTTTGGTCGTTATCATGAACCGCTGGAATTAATATATATATAAATATATATATATATATATAAATATATATGTATGAATATATATGTATGAATATATATGTGTGTGAGAGAGAGTGGGTATTCTCTAGGCACAACTGTCTCACTCAATAAAGAAAACACCATAACGTCCTTTCCACGCAATATTGAATCGTATTCGTACATCCTGCGCTTTCCCTTTCATTTCCTGCTGTCCAGCAGCGCCTTCATCATCGCGTTGCCAACCTTGGTCGCCTCGGGAAACCGGGGTTTGAAGAAGTTCTGGGTGACCACAAACCGCTCCTTCCACGTCTCGAAATGGCCAAGGCTGACACATTCGGCCCAGCCGCGGGCAGCAAACGTGAACTCGAGGTCGTCCGAGCGGAATGTATTATCTTCGATGGCGACACGTAAAGTCTCGTCCAGTTTCGCAGTGTCGCGGAAGACGATCTCAGCTACACCCAACCGCAGCCGGAAGAGCGGCGTTGAGCAAAGCATATGGTCGTAGGGCACAATGCCGAGCTCGCTCCAACAGTCAACCATGGCCAGCAGACTCAGGTGGTTGTTCGGCAGGATGTGCTCCGGCCGCTCGCCGAGGCCGAAACCGTCCAGCAAGCCGTCGTCAAGCATCGGCTTCTCCTCCCACATGGGATGCCCGTCCGTACCAAAGACCTTGTCTCTGGCACGGTACACGCGCTTCCGTAGCTCGTCGGCGCGTCCCTCGAGCATCAGTTTGTAGAGTTCCGTTGTGCTCGCTGCGTACTGTGCGATCTGCCGGCGCGCTTCTGGGTTCATGATTGCGAGACCGGCATAGACGTGCCACTTTTGTGCGTAGATGCGCAGCATAAGGTTGATCTTGACGTTCTCGATGCCGCCGACGTAGCGAGCGCCCTCCCAGGGAAACTGTTGGGATGCATGCCATGCCTTGCCCATGGACAAAAAGGCGACGTGTGTAACAGCCTGCGTATCTGCTGTGATGCGATCGTGCATCTCCGCCGTCAGGTATACGTGTGTACTCCCCAGGCATCGTAGCACCGTCTCGACCTTTGCAAAGGCTTCGTCTGTCGCGCGGTGCTTGATCAGGACCTAATGTGCGAAAAAGAAGGCTCACGTCAGCATATATCCATGGCAGCGACAAATCAGATATCAACATACGAGTGGTTGGCCGTGAGTATCAACGCTTGGCCCATGTAGAGAGTGGCACGACACAATTTGGACATCCTCTGGGAGGAACGACTCGAGTGCCTTAATCTCGGGATCCTTGCACGATGTTTGGCCGCCGACTATGGCGCCCTGCTTCGTTGCTGTTTCGCTTCGTAAGAATAGGAGCTTTGAGACAAAGAATGCAGCAGAGTCGGCAAGACAAAGTACGAGGGCAGGAAACGAAACGAGTATAGGCAAAGTACGAAGCAAGAAACAACAGAATTGCAAAGAGAGTGGTCAAGCATACAGGGACCGTATTCTTTTACAACATGGCCGATGGCGGCAGCCTCGACGCTGTAAATGATATAGTCGCTTGCTCGAGAAACGAGGTGGCCATTCCGGAGGATGGTTATGTTCTCCTGAGACAATTCCTCAGCATGGGATCTCAACTTGGAATTCATAGTCGGGCCAAATTCGCAGACAAAAACATCACGTCGCCTTTTCCCTTGGCAGGCAAAGTGCAGAGGTAGAAGGACGAAAAAAGGTTGGGTAGCCGTACTTTTCCAGAAAATTCGTCTCGGAGACTTTCGTATTTGTCTTCTCTATCACAGGCCATAATCCTAAACGCCCAGAAATACAATTCGTACATACGTCAGTATGCTGACGAATCTTCTTCGTCCACTGGTCATAGTAGACTCTGCGACCACGAGTTCTGTCGAAGCTTTTCGAATCACTGTACGTTTCCGAAATGGTTAGAAAACGAAAACGAATAGACAAGAGAAAAGACACCGCAAGAGACAAAAGGATTGACGTTTGAATCCAGTGTGCGTGCATAAAGCATGTGGTATGGGTTTGCATCAGACAAAAAATTGTTAAGGTAGCTGAGAGTTTTCATCAAGGAAAGTAAACGGCCACATTCCCAGACAAGAATTGCCGGAGAAGGACCGAGAACAATACTCGAGCCAAATGCACTCAAGTCATCATAGCAAACCGGGGGAAGATCATAGGGTCAAGGGAGGGCATTGTGCAAAGAACTTTGCAGCAGAAGAAAGTGACTCACCTCGTGGAAGCAAATACTCGGTTTGCTGTTTTGTCGTAGAAAATAGCTTACCTCCAGCCCGCTGCAGCCAGTCGAATGGCATACATTCTTCCCATGTCGCCCATACCAATGAGGCCAACGGTGAATGTCTCCATGCCGGGTGGCACGACCGTTTGTGCTTCTTCTGCAGCCATGAAGTGCCTGTTAGGCGATTCACTTCGCCTTGTCCTTTTGCGGGATCCCAAAAGAAACTGCTGTTTAGAGCCCTCTCTCAATGTAGTGTACAAAACGGGGAAACAAATAAATGCTGTCTGTCGGGGAAAATACCCTCAAATCAGGTGCCCCTTCACATCGCACTGGAGGAAAAGTTCATGGAGAGGGAAAAAAAGCTTGGGGAGACACGAATGTTTAGAGAGTTTTAAGCAAAATTTTAAGTGGGGCACCTTGAAAAGTCAAGACAAGGGCGACTATCGGTGATAGGTTGATCCGCTGGGCCGCTGTACCGAATTTGGTTCTAAAATTGTGGGCTAGCGCCGTTGTCCCACTGCTGTGGTTTGACATGGCGCTGGAGCTTAGCTCTCTGCTCATACTCTCGTCATGTCACCTCACATCACAGTACTCGAGACCAATTTTTGTTCTTTCTCTATCCCTTTATCTCCTTCTTAAACAACGTCGATTCTCGGCCACCAGCTTTAATTTCATAACTCACTTTCAGCTGAACGCAATGGTCACGGTCTTCGCCCTCGGATCCAACGGGTCAGGACAGCTCGGTATTGGGCACTCAGAAGATGTCTCGATCCCGCGTAATATTCTCTGGGCCGACGAACCTTCACCGAATTCGGTCTCACGAATTGCTGCTGGTGGGAACCATTCTCTCCTATTGAGCGGCGACGGGGTACTGCACTGGAGCGGGGATGCAACGTGTGGTGCGTGTGGCGTTCTGTCTGGTGGCAAGCCGGCTGAGCCCAGCTTCACTAAGATGAACGTCGATGGGCCAGTGCAGTTGATTGCAGCCACATGGGAAGCGTCCATTTTCACTGTTCTTGACAGAAACGGTGAAAATACAAAGGTGTTCACCTGTGGACTGGGAGAAAAAGGCGAGCTCGGTCAAGGCCCGCTCGTTGTTCGTGACCCAAAAGCATCACAACTGAAAAACTTCCCCCCACCTGGAACCGAAATAGTCGACCTTGCCGCTTGTATGAGCCATGTCGTGGTTGTCTTAAATAATGGCGAGGTATATGGATGGGGCAACGGGCGGAAAGGCCAGCTGGGCAGTCCTGCGACAATTGCTTTTGAACCGCGCAAAATCGAAGGCATCGACTTTGCCGTGAAGAGGGCCGTTTGTGGAAAAGATTTCACGTGCGTTGTTGGTGAGAGCGGTAGCGGGAAAATCTCGGTAATCGGCCAGGAGAAATGGGAAATCAAAAGCAAGGCGCCTTCAGAAGCTCCTGCGTGGGCAGACATTGGAGCAGGTTGGGGGAACATATGCATCTTGAAATCTGACGGAAAGATATTGGCCTGGGGTCGCGACGACTATTCTCAGAGCACGCCACCGAACGACCGAAAAGCATCTAAAATTGCCGTTGGCAGCGAACATGTCCTTGCACTGCTCGAAACGGGCGACGTCCTTGCTTGGGGATGGGGCGAGCATGGCAATTGTGGCCCTCTCGTCAAACAGGAGGGAAGTAACACAAAGGGTCAACGAAGAGTCATAGCTTCGTCCAAGTTTTTGCCGCCTGGAACACGTATCTCGGATGTCGGTGCAGGCTGCGCAACAAGTTGGATCATAATAGAGAATAACAGCGAAAGTGGTGCATAGACAAGGGAAAACACACAAACCGGTTCACAATCAATCAAACAACCCAAATTTGCGAACCTGGCAACAGTTAGCAGTCACTCAAGGAACAAGCCGATACCTAAGTATAAACGAATGCGGTAGCATGATTCTTACCTGTGTAAGACGCTGTGTTGGCTCCAGTCCTCCAGGCACATCTGTGGGTGCTGGTTCATCCATATTGACACTTTGGTCGTTGGCAATAGGCACGAAAGCCAATTCCTTGAAAACAGAGAGTTAGTTCGGCGCTCAATATGGCCTTCCAAGTCGACACTGGTTGAGTATAAAACTGCGCTTTACATACCGGCCGTAGACTTTCATCCCATTCAATACGAACGAACCCGGGGTTTTCTTCCTCCGGGTTGACAGGTTCCCACTGGCTATCCTCATCATACAAGGCCTCCATTCGTATAGTAGACGGAGGGGCCAATGGTGGTCTCATCTCAAACCCGGAATGTGTAGTGGGTGCAGACAAAGGACCTGTCCTGCTGGTGGATGGCAGCCCGTCCGCTGGAGCCGAGTCCGGTTCTACCCGGCTGGACAGACGCTGGCCAGCCTCGGGTAGAGTTGCAGTCGTCGAAGCTGTACCTGCTGGAAACGACGGTCTTTTTGTGCGCGAGTTGCGGACTCTAGTGCCGTCTTTCTTGGCGTTCGAGCCTTCCTTCTCGCCCACTGTCATGAGTACAAACTGGCAATACAGCCCGTTTTCACTGTATGAAAACCTCAATGGTTTCCAAGGCTGTGAATATTGCGCAGTAAGCTTTCCGCTTGTCGTGCACGCGTGTTGGAGAATGGCTCGGAAGTCCTTCACATTGATAATAATGTGATGTTTGTGTTCAATGTCAATGTCGTCGAAATCATCCATCTTGACAGCGATTGATGTATGCACATTCATGTTCAAAAACCCTGAATTGACAAGGACCCCTGTTAGATGCGGCATCTTCCAAACGTTATCGAAGCATGAAAATATGCAACTTACCGTCTGTTTTTGTATACTGCTTTTCAGTAGAGCAGGTGAGATTCAGGACACCTTCACCCTCCGTGTTGATGTCGAGCAGCTCGACCTTGGGTCCAAAATGGTCCATCAAGCGCCGCAACGTATGTGCGGAAATAGACCATTGATTGTCAGCACCAGAGCTATCAAATCTGGCAAGAACAGGAGCCTGGGCTTCGAACGAAATAGCATGCGTGGCCGTGATACCTAATCAACAATCAGATCCGTTAGCCAGCACGAACCTCTCGCTGTTTTGTCGGAGACGATCAACTAACCATTCCTCCATGCAATCTTAGCCACAAAACGGCTGTTTCGGTCCGGCCCGTCCTCAATCGAGACGTCACATCTCTCGATACTCGAGTCACCACTTCCACCACGGCTGGTGTCACCGCTTGTTCTGCTACGGAAGATGGAGAGCAAAGCCTGTTCATCGCGTATGTTAGCCACAAAGACAGACTGGAGAGTGTAGGGGGAAAAGGAGAACCAAAACACGGTCCGCACGAACCCGGATGAGAATTAGGCATTGAAATTTGTCTGGTGATCGCTCGCTGCCTTCATATTTGTAACGAAAGAAGTGGGACGAAGCGAAGTTGAAAGACACAAACGCGGACTTGATAGCGTTCAGAGCGCTTAAGATGAGCTATCATTTAATCAGCATACCTAGCCCGCATGAAAATAAAGAGAATTGCGCTCTCACCTTGTCTCTTCGAGCGTCGAGCGAGACGTCTTCGCTAAACTTCAGGATGCACGCCAATGCATTCTGGAAGGCGGTCACGCCGTCATCTGTGAGCGTGAATGACACGATCGCCATGGCAAAAGTCGGTTATTCGCTTCGAATGGCCACTAGGCCTGCTAAACGGGGCGTCTGTGAAACAGTACAAGCTACGGCGCGCTGTGGACAGGCGGCGAGGTGTTCTTGTTAATAAAAGATGACGGGCTTTTCGGCCGTGATCGTGAGTGCAAGTCGCGATCCTCGGCGCGTAAGTTGGGAAGGTGCAGAAGGTTCGCCTTTGTCCGTCTTTTGATGGTGATACCAATCGTCTGTCTTTTGAAATATTGGGTCCTTACTACCCAACTTCTTGCCTTCTAACTTCTCGGCAACGGTCGATTTCTTATGCGTTGTGAACCGTCGATGTCCCATAAAAAAATTCACGGTGGCAGTTGCTGGTTCGTCTCAAAAATGGCGATGGTGAGCCGCGATAGCCTATTGACTAGCGACCTTTACAGCAGCTGTTGCCACTAACCAATAACGGTTTATTCGCGTTGTTGCCTCGTTTAAGTACCGCGCCCCTCGCGTCTCTCCTTCCCCGCCAAACCGTCCTGGACAGCATATTTAAGCAAGAACTGCATAAAAAGATTCAATTTACTGTAACGCAATCTGCAGAGGATGATATCCTTCATCAATCCCGTCTACTACTATTAAACAAACCTCTCTTTGCGGTTGCGCACAGTCGTACGAATAGAGCCTCCCAGGCCATCTTGGCAAAACACTTAGCTTCACTACACGTCGAGAAGCTGAACAGACGCGTTTGCGCCCGTTCGGCGACACAAGTCATAAACATGAGCGCATCACTCCCGCTCGATGTCTGGCTGCTCGTCTGTGAAGAGCTGACCGCCAGTCGCGATTTCGATGCTTTGTACAACTTCTCAAGAGTGAGCCGGACAATGGCGAACTTCGCGTTGCCCAGTCTCTACAGGTATGTCTGCATGAGATCTTGAGATCTGCACCTTACACTTCTTCTACGGACTTGAGCTGTTTCTCAGCTCGGCACCCTTACCATATTATAAGCTGTGTCTGACGGCGGGCGTCTGAGGTTCTCCATTTTAGCATATACGAGCTTGCTTCAGCCAGTGCAGATGATGCCTCGATTGTCGGCAAGCGAAAGCTTGCCATATTGTGGAGAGCGATCATTCTCTCCAGCAGCGGCAAGACGGCCTTTCCATATTGTCTTTGGATGCAAAACCTGAAGCTCGGCGACTTCAAGGAGCTACTGAGCGACATTGCACCGAACAGTAACCTTCGACAACATTTCTTTCAGGGCGATATGGCATCCTATGAGATGATGCTTCAAAGCACCACTGCAAATGTTGCCACACGTCGAAACCGGCCACGCCTTGACTTTCCGGGGATCATCACTAAGGTTGGGAATGCAATCACTCTCTACGTTAAAGAGGCGGCAGATCGCGACAATCGAACGGTGGCGTTGACCCACTTGGAGGGCCAGTCAATACCTCTCGATGTCCTTCCTCGCTGGACGTCGAGATTGGCGACGCTCATGTCACTACACATCCAGGACGGCTCAGTGATTGGGGAAGAGGTTGCAAAGTCCATCCGTGATAACTGCCCAAGGTTCCGGGAGCTAAGATGCTTCTACTGCAACGGGCCAACGGTAGACAAGGATCTAGCAGCATTTTTTCGGACGATACCTCCCAACTCCCTTAAGGTGTTCAGCGTCAGCAGCCAGAACCATATGGGCAAGGAATCTCTCGCTGCCTTGTCACTACACTCTTCATCTCTCCGGAAACTCGGGCTGTCCGGACTTCAAAGCAGTGCATTCGAGCACCTCGGTAGTCTTCGCGAGTGCGTGTCCTTGGAGAGTCTTGAACTCGAGGCCAACAGAGGGATAGCGATGGAATGGGAGTCGACATACTCTGAGTCGTTTGCCGACACAGTTGCGTGGCTCAGCGCATGTACGTCCCTGACGAGCCTCAAACTGTGGCATGTCGAATGTGCCTCGTCTTTGCTCAAGCTTGTGCTCAAAGCTCCCAAGCTTCGACTGGCATCACTCGACCTAAATCTCATCGATGACAATGATGAGTTTTATGCCTCACTCGGCAAGCAGACCACACTCGACGGCTTCTACTTGCGAAGCAATGATGTCATGCTTGATGCAGCGTCTCCACAGCATGCGCAGTTTATCCAGTCTGTGTGCAAGCTGGAGAATCTGCGGGTTCTGGACATCATGCAAACCACCATCACAGACAATGATCTTCACTCGTTGGCTGTTGCTCTGACGAACCTCGAAGAGCTCAGTTTCGATGGTGATGTCATGGGTGACTCAATCTTGAGCTCTATCCTCCTGATGCGTAACTTAAAGAACATCAACATCAACGCAAGCACAAACTTCACCGTGAAGGGTCTCCTCCAATTTATCGACACGGCAGGGGAGATGCACGGCTCCAACTACGGTTTGACTTTCTTCATCATGAACCAGGCATTGGACGCACAGATTTTCCCCGACGAGCTGCAGTACTTAACTAATCACGCCCATGCCACGTTCGGAGGACAAATTGACATTTCACATCCAGAGGAGGAACATGAGAGCGACTTTTCCGACTAAACTAGATAACTTGATATATCCTCCATCAGTTCGAGTTAAGGTTATAGTTGGACCAAGGTACAGAACGCCATACGATGCAATTTACGACATGATGAACAGAACGCAGCTCATAAACCACATAATAGAACAAAATCAGTATGCAGAAATTAGTTTTCACCCCGAGTGATGGTGAAGGCCAGAAACAATAAAATGATAACCGCCTATGGCAAATAATGCTTCTGCAGTCCCTCCATCTCGTATTCCGTCACAGGAACACCTTGTGCCGTCATCGGAGCGTGAGCTGGTTGGCCGGCAACCATTTTGTCGTTGAGTTCCGCCGTGATCTCGTCGACGCTGACACCGAGGTACTCTCGCAAGAACTTTCCTATGTCAGTATTCTCATGGTTGCCACGGATCTGCTCGGCTGCTGAGCCGCCCGAGCTGTAGATGTTTACATCCACAGCCGAGTGGCCATGTGTGCTCCAGCCGATGTGTGCCCGCAAGCTAAGGATAGCGGAAAGAACGGTTGTCGCGTCGTCGGTGTGCGCTGCAACCAAGTCGAGCTCCTCGTCGAGGGCATCGGTTATACCGAGGCCTTCAATGATCAGGCTTGTGTTGATCCAGTCCTTCAGCCGTTCCGCACTTTGCGCAGCAATATCTCCAGCCTCGGTGATAGATGCAACATGCGCGCGCAAGAGCAAGGCCAAATGCTCAGCAGAGGCTTGTACATTAGCCAGGAACGAGGGGAACCAGTTATAAACAGGCTCTTGGCCTGGCTCTTCTATAAGAACGCAACACCAATGGTCAGTAATGGGATAAAACATAACACTTTTATATCTGACGGCAGGTGGGGGATCCACCACTTACGGAGAGCAATGGCAAGACCACCAGTCTCATGGTCACTTGTGGAGACAAGTACACCCTCGACGTCGCTTTTCTCGAGGAAATCAAGGACCAACTGGAACGTCTTGTCGTATTCGAGCACCTCGCGGACATGGGCGGCCGGGTCGTTGAAATGGGCAGCGTGGTCGATACGGCTGCCCTCGATCATCAAGAAGAAACCCTTGTCGCTGTCCTTGGTCGCCGTTTCTAAAGCACGGAGCGCAGTCGCGGCCATCTCGCTCAAGCTGGGATAGATGTCGGCCATATTGCGGCGGTCGATCTCGAAAGGGATGTTATAGTGAGCGAAAAGACCCAGCGTCGGTAGCGAGACATTTTTACCCAGCTTCAGCGAGTCAAAGCCGGAGCGGTCGTCGAGGTACGTCCAGCCGTGCTTCTGCGCAATGCCGGCGACAAAGACATCATCTTGACGACAGCTGCCCTTGGACGAGTTAGCCAAGAAATGGCAGCGGCCGCCGCCAAGCATCAAGTCGACAACGTGGCCCAGCGGACCCTCGCCAATCTCATGCAGGGCGATCTCGTCGTTTTGCGTGCGGTAGTTGACGTGGCTGGCGAAGCACGCTGGTGTGGCGTCCGTGATGTCAGTGGTGACGACAAGGCCGGTGTGGTAGCCTGCTCTCTTGGCAGCCTCGAGGACTGTGCCGCAGGGTGTGAAGTCAGGCAGGGTGCTAATGGCGCCGTTGTACGACTTGCGGGCGCAGGAAAACGCAGTGGCACCGGCCGCCGAGTCGGTGACTAGGCTGTTGCTCGAACGGGTGCGGCTCGTGCCCCAGAAGTGACGATCCAGTGCTAGGGTATCATTGATGGGGATGTCCTCGACGAGCTGACGGAACGAACGAGTGAGCGAGAGGGATGCCGGGCCCATGCCGTCGGACACCATGAAGATAAGGTTCCGCTTGCCGGGCGGCGTTGTTCCGCCGGATGGCGCGTCGCCAGATTGCTTGTGTTGAACCCATGCAGCGAGGACAATGACAGCCGCCGTCGCCATCAGCGCCCAGGCAAACAAGAGCAGCTCACGCAGGCGGCTAGACCACGAGCTCCTCACGGACCGCTGGCCACGGTCATCTCTGCCTCGTCCTCCAAGCAGGGCAGCATCTTCTTCTTCGGCACGGTCGTCAGAACGTTGGGACTCGCCTGACGGCCGCGCTTCGGCAAGCAGTGGCGTTCTGGCGGAGGGCTGGTCGAGGTTAACAGTTAACAGGTAGATCAACGGGGCTGGGGCTGGCAATGCCACTTGCTGCATTTTAAACTCACCATCATCTGTCGAAGCAATCAGGGCCAGTGGATGCGTCAAGATTGTTGTCCGACGAAAGTGGCCGCCAGGGTGAAGAGAGGGTGGGGAAGAGATCAAGAGGAGATGATCGTGCAGAGCAGGTCATGTTGCGAGTCATGCGGCAGTTGCTGCAGGGCAAGGGGTGGAGGGGTGTGGAGAGCTCCTGCACAGCTATCGCTCGCCGATGCATTTAGGTGACAGCCAGGGATCCCGCCAAAGGCTAAATGCGGCCTGTGCCTGCTGGCGTGCTCCTTATTTGGTAGCCACTACGGAGTGTTACATGACATCACATGGACCCCCCTAGGCGCTTGCGACAAAACAACCATTTTCTATCGCTGTCGAGTCAGCCCTCCTTCCTCCTTCCGCCGAGGCATGGCCCGGCCAGCGAAAACGATAGCGGCAGCCCACTGAAAAGATCGCTAGAACCAATCGGTGATCGATGGTCGTCCCGAGTCCGTCTCACGTCGCGACCCTGGTGCGGGCTTTTGTCTCTCTCTCTCTTTTTTTTTTTTTCGTGCGAAAAACGGCCGAATAGCATGTTGATAAACCGTTGTCGCCCTCTGCAGGACTCTCTTTCGCAGCAAAACTAGACTAGAGCGCGACAGGACTTCTATCCACAGGTTTTTAAAAACGATTGTCACCACCTTTGCGGCTCTATGCTACTATTCCGTGTGTCGGTGGTCTTAAATAAAGCGCATCCATGACCCAATCTGTCCCAACGGCCATCATACGCCAAATACGCATTCGGACAACACAGAACCCATATCGCCATTGCAAGGCCACTACGAGTAGTCCCCTATTTTCAGCGTCCTACATCAGCCGGTACATATCACGCTCGTCCATTCTGAAGGCACGGTTTCCAACGCCAAACTCTGCGAATCTAGTGCATCGGCTGGATATAGGGCTTCGAGCAATGTCTTCTTCGTCTCAAACTCCGGCTGTTGCTGGCAGTGCAGGCGCTGAGGAACTCCCCGACAGTGGCAGCAAAGCCCCAGACAGGACAACAGAAGAGGAAGAGCCACAGCTTCCACCGCTTACGCCGGCACAGTTCCGCGAGTACAACCGGATGGCCGAGCATATGGACCACTTTGTAAGTGCGGCACGGCCTCCTATATGGGCAGTAGGCCGCCCCTGAAATAGTTTGTGGCCGTCGACTAATACCAAACAGCACAACCATTTCCGCCAGGTTTGGACCATGATATACGATGCGTGCGAGAAACGGAAACGGCCGGCGGGGATGTCAATACGGCAGTTCCTAGACGAGGGCCTGCAGTTTATCAACTTCCTGACCACCCACCACTCGATCGAAGAGTCGTATGTTTTCCCAATGCTTGCCAAGCGCATGCCCGAGTTCCAGCCTCCGACAAAGAAGAAGCCAGGCGCGGCAGCCAGCAATGGCAGCGCGAAGGCCGCCCTGCTGATCCAACAGCACCGGGAAATCCATGCGGGCATGGATGCCTTTGAGGACTACGTGCGGCGGTGCAAAAGCGGCGAGACGGAGCTAGAGATGACGGTGCTCAAGGCGCAGATGGACTCGTGGGGTAAAGTGCTCTGGCAACATCTCGACGAGGAGGTTGCGGCGCTCGGTGCCGAGAATATGCGCAAATACTGGTCCCTCGAAGACATGCGGCGGATGCGGATGTAAATAGTCGTCGGATGCGCATGCTTTTTGTTGGATGACGATCACGACGTAGTTAATGATAAATGATTGGGACAGGAACGAGACCCGTCTCTATTTTCGTAGCGATTTATTATTTGGCAAGAGGGTTCCAACGCTTTCAGTGACTAGAACAAACGAGCTGAAAGCAATGATGCCGAGCGCGAAGTGTGAACATAAGGTAAGTGTCGATGTCACCTTAATTGGCTCAGGTAAACTTCGTGGAAAGAAACTTGGGAAAGAAAGAAGAAGAAGATGTAACGAGTGATTCCCAGAACAAGAGTGGGGGCATGTTCCTACTTGGAAGTGTGCGCAATTGAAAAGGCCAAAGATGGCAAGAGTGCAAAACCAAATCAGGTCACGTGTCTATCCACGTGGGTGGATTGGACACGAGACAAAACATCGTGACATGCATTAGAACATGCCGAGGCAAATGGCGAGGCAAACGGCTTGGCACTAATCAGGTTTAGGCACAGCCTCACAGCGTCGCAACATGTTCTCAACGATACCTCATAGAAACTGCTCATGAAACACACCGTACGGGTGCACAGAATGAAAAAACCAAGACATACCGATGAAAGTACGACATACTACACCGTACGACGTAATTACGACGTTTGGTGTGAAAGAAAAGCAGCATCGTCAGGACAGAATGGCCTGCTCGCGGTCCACGATAAAAAAGAGTGGCCGTGCAATGCGTTGTCAATCTGTGATTGAGCTCTAGTTTGTTTACATATTGTATTTACAAGGAGTTTTAGTGCATGCAGGCGCCGCATTGCGCGTAGTTCCAGCTGCGACAGTGCAACCGCCAGCGGGGACAAACACACAGCGAAGGAACGTATCAAAGGTTGGACGACAGGGGTGCTAGGAAATCAGCCAATAAAAATGTATGACGCGCCCCGCCCACAGCTGCTTTTGTTGTGTACGATTACCAGCGCTGGGCGTGGCCCCGTTCCAGCCTCTCCGACCACCTCCTCCTCTCCGCGTTCCAGGTCCACTCCTCGTCTCTCCCCTCTCACAACCAGCCAACTTTGCTTTCCGACCTAATTACCCACCTTGGTAGCTCCCTCCTCTCGTCTCCCGGGCGCCCGGCTTGCTCAGCGCGACCAATTTCACAACACAAACAAAAACTCATCCGCTCCCACGCTTCTCCCACCTTTGCGGTTCACGGCGTCCAGTTTCTTCATCATCGCAGATTGTCGTCGCACGTTGTAAGTAACCCCCCAGGATACCCTCAGTTTACGATCACCTTGCATCCCTTCACTCGCGTGCTTGATTGTCGGGCACCATCGAATTCATCGCTACAGTACATTTGTTCTGTCTCTGTTTTCTTCCGTGGCGGACCTCGGTCCATCCATAATAAACAAAGCCATTGGCTGCATACCTCACTTTAAATTGGCCAGCGCATCCACTACATCTTACACCCGCATTCCTCTCTCCTGCCTGCTCTTGTTCGCTCTCGTCATCGGCCATTCCTTGTCCCGCTTCACTCAGCCTCGTCTCCGACACTGACAACGTCCGGCAACCAGGCCTAGACTTTTACCTCCCCCAGATGCCGATTTAGCTACTCGCCCACCATGTCGTTCAAGGTTGAGCGGGACACATTCCAGCAGCAAGGCGCTGCCGCCTTCCAGCAAGGTGCTTCTCAGTTCCAGACGCCACCGCCGCCGTCGTCTGCCCAGCAGCTGCTGCACCCTATTCGGACCGCCGAGCGCGCTCTCGCCGGCCCCCCGATTCCTGGCACCAGTGGCCATCATCCCATTGCCGAAGTCGTCGGCACGGCGCTGACCGGTGGCCGCCAGAATGCCGGCACCAAGGGTTACCTTGCTGTACGTGGAGCCTTGGCTTCTACCATTGCTGAAGCGGTGGCACGAACTGTCAATGTATGGTTGCGAAGAATAACGAGGCTGACAGCAGCGTTTTCGCTCGCGGATTTTATAGACCTACATCAAGCAACTGGAGGAGAATCCTCTGCGCACCAAGATGCTCACTGCTGGCACCCTCGCCGGTACTCAGGAACTCCTTGCCTCGTGGCTAGCTAAGGACCGCAACAAGCATGGCCACTACTTTACCTCGCGTGTGCCCAAGATGGCTGCCTACGGCGCCCTTGTGAGCGCTCCTCTTGGCCACTTCCTCATCTGGATCCTGCAGAAGACGTTCAAGGGCCGCACCAGCCTGAAGGCCAAGATCCTGCAGATCCTTGTGAGCAACCTGCTTGTAAGTGGCAAACAAAGCATATCTCCCACAGCAAATCACTCATATTGTGTTGTCGGCACCATATTAATGCGTGAAAATAGATTGCTCCCATCCAAAACACCGTCTACCTGACGGCCATGGCCCTGATCGCCGGTGCCCGGACGTACCACCAGGTCCGCGCTACTGTCCGCGTCGGCTTCTGGAAGGTCATGCGCGTGACCTGGATCACGAGCCCCATCTGCTTGGCCTTTGCCCAGAAGTTCCTTCCCGAGAACGCCTGGGTGCCCTTCTTCAACCTGGTGTCCTTCATCATTGGCACCTACATCAACACTGTCACTAAGAAGAGACGTCTTGCAGCCCTGCGCAAGAAGCACTTCGGTGACGGCTCTGGCCGCGCCGGCTCTGCCGGCGGCCGTGTTGATGACTACCCGCCGCCGCCCACGCTGGGCGGCCAGAACCCCCAGTACTAAACACTACGTCAACACACGAAGGCACTGGCTAGATGACTATAACTATCGGGCTTGGGGAGAAGTCGCCATGATCCAGTACTTATCGGCAAGTTGGAAAGTGCTCCCCACGCACATTTGTGTATATTTCAACTTTTATCAAAGGTCGGATTTGAGGGCTGTATGTGTAAGGGATGGAATTTTCTTGGGTATTTTCAGTCATTTCGTTTACGTATCCTATTTTACTATGGAAGGTGTTTGTTTCAGTCCCCGGGTTGACTTCTTCTATCCAGCTTCTGCTATACTTTCACGGCTCATTTCCTTTTCTTTTCAGTGTATGAACGCAAACCCTTGGTAGAGGAATAAAAATAGTTCCAAAACTAAGCATGTGTCCAGGACGACATGTATTATCGAGCACGAGCTTGACGCTCCGACAGTGTCTCTGCCGGTCGAAATTTTGGAATCTGGCCCTGCTGATCCCGGCTCATAACCGAGGCGCGGCATAAACTCTCGTGCTTGCGAGGCTGCGTGCTACTTGCCGCGACTGAAGGCAGATGGAAATCCGACGTCGCAATATCGGATTATGACGGTGCCCAGATTGGGCTACCATAGCCATATCTCGTTCCCTACAATGGTTCCATCGAGATAATAGCGAACGGGTCCGGGACACACGATATGATTGTGTCAAATCGACTTGTTGAACACATTCACACATCAAGAATAGCATCGTGGCCCTCAAGCATAAAGCCAGGGCTCCAGTACTCCCATTCGGCAGCCTGTTTGTCTACCCAAAGCATGCTCTCACCCACGAGGTCGTCGATGACCGTCTGGGCTCGTGCGCGAGCCCATTTCAGGTTGATCATCAGCATGGACACGCTGACGTAGCCGAGCATTTGTACAGCTTCAAGGACGGCGCTTTGGTCCGTGTTAAGCTCTCTTGGCACCGATCGAATGTACGGCTTGCTGCCGACTTTGATGACTGAGTAGGACGAACCCAGTGGCTCGAGAGTTCCTACGGCACGAAGAATATCGTCCCTGGTAATACTAGTCAGATACTACACGGTGGCGGCAATGTGGTCGCAATTCGACAATGGCCACTCACTCTGTAACCTCAGGCGCTCCGTCCATCCGTGCATGAGCGAGGCGGTCTCTCACCTTGCGAACTTCAATGAGACCCCCATTTTCAGCCCGCGTAGCCGCACACACCTCGACAACTCGGACAGCAAGCTCATAGTAGAAATCGTTCACTGTCCGGCCGAGAAGCTGTGCCCATATCGAGCCCCCCGAGGCGCTGTTGCTACTAGCCAGTGGATCGATGCCAATCGCCGTACACATGCGGGCGAACTGGGCACGGAACGTCGGATTTGACCGAATGTCCTTTCCGTGTGTCTGGGCAAACTGCTGGAGCACGGACCGGAACACGGCGAGCTGTGTCTCAAGCGCCTGTGCATTGGTAGACCGGAGGTTGGATCCGTGGGACGCATACTGAGCAGATGTGATCCGCGATCGATCGAACGCCGCCAAGCCGACACCCTTTCGCGACATTGTGGTCAGACCAAAATGCCAGCTTCTATCGCATAGTTCTTGCGAAAGCACACGATTGGCGACAGCCTTCTTCCTTGGCTTCGAGAATAAGACCCCGGAGGCATAGCCATGTACGAGGCGGCAGCATTTTAGTGGGGGGTCCGTTGACCAGTATGAAGTTACGTTATCATGTCCTTATCAATCACGTGCAGATAGAGTCAATTTTTGGAGGCCTAAAAATTTCACTCTCTAGTCTAGTCACATGACTGTAATTTGCCACACTGGGTTTAGCGCAGAAAATATCCCACAAACCCTAAGGTCGAAGAAAAGTTGTGCCGCCCGGCGTTTTTATTCCATCTTTTCCCTTTGCAGTGTGAAATCTTTTGCAAGAGACTCATTCCGCCCTCTCTCGACGACCTCGCGATCACCAACCTCACAACACAACCGCAAAGATGGCGACAAAGCAACGGACGATCTGCTTCGGCAAGAAGGCATGTTGATGCCCCCGATAAATAAACCCCATCCTGCGGCCTACGGAACTTTCGATCTTATGTCTCGTGGCCGACGGATGATATGCGGACCTTGGGACGACAGCTCGAATGAAGAACAGGATTGCTAACTTCTCGCCAACAGAAAACCGCGACTGCTGTCGCTCGCTGCGAGGCTGGCCAGGGCCTGGTGAGTTTCTTCCTTTTTCAAGAATCTAAACGGAAATCGACATGTTTGAACTTGGCTTTCCTAACCTGCTTTTCATATAGATCAAGGTCAACGGCCGCCCCCTTTCGCGTACGACTCCTCCCTCACTCCTCCTTCCGATGACTTTCGGATGCCAAGCTCAACGACAATATACTTTCCAAGCGAAACGAACAATAGCTAACAACCACTGCAGTCGTCCAGCCCGAGATCCTCCGCGCCAAGCTTTACGAGCCCGTACGTTAACCACATCCCCTGATCGAGCACGACAGGCCCGTGTTGAAGCAGACCGGTGTTCTACGTTTTCACATGAGCCTGCGAGAAGTCTGCTGTTACATGAAGGACAAACACTAAACGGGTTTTCTCTATAGGTCCTGGTTGTCGGTCTTGACAAGTTTGCCGGCCTCGACGTAAGTTCATCCAATCCTTTGGTCGCCTGTGGGAGGAGACCAAGGCCATGTAGTGTTGTAAACCAGCAAATGTGCTAACACCTGAACAGATCCGTGTCCGTGTCACCGGTGGTGGTCACACTTCGCAGATCTATGCCATTCGGCAAGCCATCAGCAAGAGCCTGATCGCTTTCTACCAGCGTGTACGTCCCGATCCCGGCCCTCCTTTCGATATTTTACCGTTGCCGCATTCGATCAGTCCGACCGAGCGAGAATTATTTTTGCTAACCCGACGAACAGTACAAGGATGAGCACTCCAAGGCTCAGCTGAAGCAGGCTCTCGTTGCTTGTAAGTTACATTCTACATCCGTGGAGGGACCCGCGCCGAAAATGTCCCGGGAGACGTTGCATTGATGACTCGATACTAACTACATTGTCTCTCAGACGACCGTACCCTCCTCGTTGCCGACAACCGTCGTTGCGAGCCCAAGAAGTTCGGCGGTCCAGGTGCCAGAGCCCGTTACCAGAAGTCGTACCGTTAAACACGGGACGACGGAAGGGTATCGGGGGAGCAGGGCAAGAAAGAGAGAAATCAGAACGTCAGGAAACGGCCGATTTTGGTGGTGCCCTGGATGTTACTGGCGCGGCCTCTTGTCAAACACAACAAGCAACACCAGCAACCGCCTGCGAGCATCATCATCGACGCATGGGCACGGACAGGATCAGGATGGAAAAAGCGTTTTACAAGGCTGTAGTAGCATGTACTACGTGGCTTTTTTTATTTTAAAGTACTTGTTGACCTGGAGTTCGGAACAGTGGCCAATCGACGGAGGATTTGCGCCACCGTCCTTTTTGTATCTTTTCGCTTTCATAAAAATCTGCGTCGTTGCGCCGTCGTTTCCAGGCTGGTGGGGGATGTTCATTCACAAGCATGGTTCGGGCAAAGAAAAAGAAAAGAAAAGAAAAAACGTTATAAGTCTAATCTGTATGATGCTCAACCCAAAGTGAATAAGTACAGGTTGTATCTGTCAAAATTTTGATATTACTACAAATTTTTCATACCATATGGGTAAGTAGTCTTAAAAACGTAAATGCAAACAAGCCACATGCAAACAAACAAGCTAAACGATGTAAAATTCTCAAGTCATAATCGTATATGTCTGCTACATGGCCCTCTTTATGTCATGTTTCACCCTTCAGTCCCAAGAGAGGAGGCCGACCTCTCGACCATCCGCGTCGAGATCAACCAAGACTGGTTGGTCAGAGTCCGAGTCAGTATCAGAAAGGCCCGTATGGTGTTTTCGGTGGGATTTCTCTCCAGAACCGGTCGTCTGCTTGATAGCCTCCTCGTAGTAGTCCATCTCTCCATCAGCGTCATCGTTGTCGGCAGGATCACCAAAGCGGCCGCCACGATTGTCGTCGTATTCCGTGCTATTGTTGCCACCATTGTCTGCAGCGTAGTCGCTGCGCAGGTCCCAGCCGTACTTCCACAGGGACGCCTCGAGGCTGGCAAAGGCTTCGCCAACGGCCGCCTCTTCAGGCGATGCGGCCTTCCCAAGGCCCAAGAGCGTTTCGTTAAGATGCCGCTTGAAATCTGTCAGTGAGGCCTGCAGGCGAGCAGCACCTTGCGGCTTGGCTTCGAAGATGCCGGCGCCACCAGCATCTGCGTCTACGGTGGTGATCGATTGTCCAGCAGTTCTTGCCAAAGTATACCCAAGGAAGCCGCCAGACACGTAGCGTTCAAGATACGAGAACTGGCTATGTAGGGTTTGTATGAAGGACCGGCAGAGGCTCGGACGGCGGGATACGAGGCCCTGTGCACGGAGGAAGATCTTGAGCACAAGATGCCACCACTGCTCCAGGCAAGACAGGTTGCTCAGGAGCGTTCCTGTGAGGAAGACAAACTGAAGCTCTCCAATCAGGTCGTTGTCGTCGAGATGTGTGACTGTTGTACTGTCGTCTGGGGAAGGGAAGGAGTGTTCTAGAACAGCAATAATGCGGTCCGTCGTATCGGATGCCCCAGTCCTGCGTTCCGACCGATTGGCGCCACTGCCTCCAAGTTCAGAAGACAATGCCGGTGTAGCCGGCCCGCTGTTTCTCAACTTGCTCTTGTCACGAGACGCAATAAGGTGGAACGGGTCGAGGTCGTCCTTGGCGAACAAAAAAGTAAACTCGGCAAAGCCTGCCCACAGCTGACTTGGTGCTGCCCTGGGCATGGCAATTTCGCCTTTTGCGGTATCGGTCGTGGACACCATCCATTCTGTGTGTGTCACCGCACTTGTTGGCCCCGCCGTTGCCGCCGCCACCACTGCACCTCTCTGCACCTTCCCTCCGGTCGTGGTAGCCGCCTTGCGTCCTGTGATGCGTCCGAGAACGGTCTCATTGATGCAGGAGGTGAGGCTCGACCAGATTCTGTCCTCGTGTACAACTGTCTCAGAGTCGCGCGGAGGTGGGCCTGGGTACGGTTGGCGAAGCGGTGTGGGTGTGGTCGTGGGCTGGCCGGGGGAGGTAGTCGCGCTGTGGCCTGCACTGTTGTAGGACACCAGTCTGGGAGAGACTGCCGCAATGTTGTCAGTCAGAGACCGAGCCTCGTACTGGCTGGCACTCTCGCCTAGGACCTCGTTGAAGCGGTCCCACTGCTTGACACGAACAGCACCGGATGGTTCTGGCTGTGTCACGAACCAGTACCCTTGTCGAGACATGGCGCCCGGTGCTGATAGCCATACAAAGTGGGTTCCGGGTGGCAGATCTCGAAAGCCGAGTAAAGCATCGTTGTCTCCATCATTACCCCCCGTCATCGTAGTGGCAGCAGTCTTCTTGACCGTCAGAGCCATAACATCGCACCCCACTTGCGACTCGAACGGGATGCTGAGGAGAACAAAAACATCGCCCTTGGACGGATGGCCCGTCGAGGCCGGTGGGTCCCCAGTGGTGGTTCCAGATATCCGTGAACTACCTCTTGTTGTGCCGCCACTGTCGCTCACGGCGGTACTGCCCTCGTCTCCTATGGTCTCGCCGCCTTCACATATGGGCTCTGCTGGCTGCACCACCTTGAGGTGGCCGATAGGGTAGGCACCGGTGAATGGTATGGACTTGTGCGAGAGGACCGAGTTGGACTTGGATAGAGGTTGGTTCTTGTTGAAGGCGGTACTATTATAGTTGCTTGAGGTGCTGGTGCTCCCAATGCTGTCTTCTCTGTCGAGGGAAGGAGTCGCAGAGCCTGCCGTGCGATCCGCCGCGGTAGGGGTCGGCGCCCCGGTCCCAGTCCGAACGTTTACCATGCCAGACGGTTGGGAGAGTCTATTCTAAGGGGACGTAGAACCGTGCACGCGCCGATACCTAAAACTCGTTGTTTGTAGTGAGGAACGATACTAGGGACACAAAATATCGAAAACAGAAAGCCCAGAAAATGTTGTCGAAAAAGGCAAGACTGCGGATCAGAGAACGTGGAAACAAAATAAGAAAGTCGACGAAAATCTTGCGAGGCTGGGCATTTTGTAGGCGAGGCCAATCTTGATGAGTTAAAGCGGTATTGCCTTTTCCGTTTGTTTTGGGTCAAGTTTTTGCGTATGACTTTCGAACCCGCTGCAAGGTCGAAAAGCCTTGCGATACTGTGTTGGGATGACGTAAGGTGCTAGTTTCGGCCAAATGCAAACAAGGCGCATTAAAACAGCCGGTGACGGCGACTGTTTCAATTTATTAATTACCTCAGCCCATTTGAGCGATGAACAGTAATAGTAAAGGGATAATAATAGATCTTGATTTTTCATGCTTTACTGAGTATATACCTGTTAATTATTTGAATACGAAAATTTTTACCTTTTGCATCGATTATCATGTTTTCTTCTCCCCAAAGGAAAATAAAATTACATTACCTCTGATCTATCTTGAATGTTCTAAAAAAAACACCAAAAAATTAAAACACCAAAAATAGAAATCGGATGTGTCCTACACAACTTCATAGCAGCAAGTTAAGGTCGGGAGCTTCTTGCTGTGTCACGTCGCTGAGCTTGATGACGATATTATATCTTAAACGGGACGATGGAGACGCCATAAATGCTGTGTGCGTCGAGCATTTTCGACCAATGTACTGGCACCACATACGCGCCAAATCAAGACGGGGTAGCGATATCTTAATGTGATCAGGCCTGAGATGCAAATAGAAATGGACTCTCAAAGGATTCGCATATAAATAGTTGTAGTACATCACACCTAGTAAGATGCCATTTATAACGTCTGGGGAAACAGAAAATATAGTGCTGAGCACGAACGGAAAAGTTAATAGGAAGCAGTTGTCGAAAGTGCCTTTTAACTAAGCAAGCGAATCTTTACCAACCGAGCTCTGCATTGTCAATGACGTGGCTCGTGAGCGACACAAAAGTTACGCGAAAGTAACTGACTTTATAAACTTGAGCGAGGCACACTGTAATATAATATCTCTATTGCCTGTCCTCACCCAGGGATGACAATATATTTAACAATTTCAGGAATTCCGGGACATTGGTTAGAATGTGCATAATGAGCGCAGAAAAGCACATTGTGTGCGCAAGTTGTAGACGAACTGGTACCGCGTATATGGAGTAGACGACAAACGTTCTAATTGTAGAACTCAAACATAGCACGGAGCATGTCAAAAGAGTGTGTCCCCAAGATGGACCGCAGAGCACTACTGCGTGCCGCGCCTGCATTAGTTTGTTTAGAAACAGAGTCGATAGATGATGGCGAGCGGAGGGATCGCCAAATCAGACCAGCGCTGCACGTCAGGCGGCACAGCAAGCGCCAGTTATGCATGGCAGGACAAGATCGGGTGGTAAGACCACGAGAGCCCTGGTGTTCTAGGGTCCCTGGGAGCCTGGGTCCTAAGCCAGACACCCCTCCCCCCAGGGCTTAGGGTAGTGACAGAAGGTCGGTGCCAGTGTCGCAACGGGCGGTCGCTGTTTGTCCGCGGATCGTTGCAGCGCTAGCAAAGCGGCTGTGCGCTACAGCCCGCAAGCACGAGAGAATTCAGCTCTGCGTTCGAGAAGAGGCTTGTGTTTCCCACTATCGAGTAGCGTGGACTGCCATTTCATTACCGAGCTCTTGGGCCTGACGCTCTGTTCTTTGGTGGCCCTAGCCAGGCCCCTCCCCTCCACTTCCACACCACACACCAGGCCTGCCACGCCAACGGGGGTGACTGAGTCGAGAAGCATTACTGCATGTCACAGCGCGCGCTCATCCCATTTACAGGGCCAGTTTAGCGAGCAAGCCCGGTTTTTCGGGAGCCAAATCTTGGTAGGCTAATTTAGAAGGGTGTGCCACAACGCCGACTTCACTGGCATTGTACTACCACCCACCAACACCCACAGCCCGATTATCATATGCCCGTCATAATAGTGTGACGATTTAAGCGTTGGTTTGCCGCCCGTTCTCCACACGCCAACTCACGGCTGTTGGCGTTGGTGTTGGTGCTGGTTGCTTGCCATTTACACTCCCCGACCGAGCCTCGCCTAGTTCGTAGGTAAATGCGTATTTCAACTTACAGGTATTAACGCTCTAGATCTTCATCTTAACGCGATGTTGACAAACGGACCACCTAGATGGTGTACCTTATGAGTACACAACAACACGGGACAAAAAATACGTAAGGCCTCTCAAGATGGATGGGAATGGCAAAAGACAATAATTTGTTATTTCGCGCCGTGACGTTCTATCCCGTATTGGTTACTCGGGCAGAGAAATTGTACCACCGTCATGCGTACTGTGTATATTGCAATGTGGAAGAGCAAGCATATTCGGGTGTCGCAGTGGATGTTTTGTACTTACGTCACCTCTCTCCCCTCCTTGAGTGCACGCACACCCCAATAGTGAATGATGTGCAGGGACTACATGGATATCAAGATGCATGTAAATCCCAGGTTTCTCGCTTCTGCAAGATTCAAAGCCTAGGTCATGGCGAGACTAGGCCGCGTGCTAGGCCAACCCAAACCAAACACTCGGGTCGCAGGCCGCAGTAGCCAGCCGGCGTGGCCCTCCGACAAGAATATGTACTCCGTACTGTGTGCTGCATGGAATTGCGCTTCTAGGCCCATTCTGTTTTCCTGCACGCAAGGATCTCCGCATCCCTGTTTTGTGCAACCACACCTTTTCCGTTGAAATGGGAAACGATAAAGGAGGGGCCGCGCAACTGCGTGAGCGATATCCGTTTGAGCATGCTTGGTTAGAGCCGATCCCATCGTATGAGCTGCCACATGATCTACTCATAAAATTTCCGGCTATGCTGTTGTTCAGCTTGTATTTGGCCACGTGCACTTTGCTTATTTACAGCCCTTTACTATTGGATGTATTTGTACAGTTTGGTTGTCGCCAGAATAAGTTAAAATTTCCTTTTTGCTTTTCATTGCCTACATACTACACCGCGTGAGCAGCATCGAGGTATGTTTGCTCGGCCGGCAATCGCACACGGCCGGCGGAACTCTAAAGACAAGTGTAAAAGAAGAAAAAAGGACGACAAGGACAAAAGGATAAGATGTGAAGGGGACATGTCAAAAACAGGGTCTTCTCTCCCGCTAGCCAAAGAAAACAGACATGAGCATATTTCTTCTGGTTGCAGTGATAATCTCGAGAAGTGGTCAACGAATGGGAGCCAGACAGGAGCGTTGGAAAAGATGATCTGCACGGCACCGTGTTTTCGTGAACAGACAATCAAAACATGTTCCAACTCCAAGTCTTGCAGACCATCCTACACTCCTCTTTTGATGCCCATGCAAAATATAGTTGAGAGAACCCATTTGACAAGGAGTTAGTGCAGTGACAAAACGAAATCAGAGCAGGACAAAAACGAGTATTGCAAACAGTACAAAACAAGTCTTCCCCCACCAGCCAAAAAAAACACCAGTCGTCCTACCGTAATGCGAGAATTGAGACGGCCACCCGGACTTGAGAGATCATGTACAAAGAAAACGTAGAAGACAATAATGTACCAGAAAGAGACAAAGACTGACAAGGGAGAAATAGACATAGTAACAATGCGAGAAACCCTGCAAGTATGTCTTATAAAAAAAACATGAAATCATAAACACGCGTTAAACAAGCGAAACAAACAAGGAGGAAACGAGAATGCCACCAATGAGCCCGACCATCGAGCTCCCCAAAACCGAAATGATTCGGCGTCTCACCACACGTCGGAAAAGGAAAATCGCGCGCGACTGGGCGATAGACAAAGTTGCCTATGCATCCATCACCCAGACCAGGTCGTGTCCCGAACCATCGGTGATGAGCGGCAAATATAGATCGGAGAGTATGAACGGTGCCGGAAACAAATGCTACAAAACATCTGTCAGGCAGGTTGTATAATGTGCAGAAGCAGATGTAGGTATGGATGGTCGAAGCACTCTTCTTTTCGATTTTTTAAGAGGACTTTTCATGTAAGATTTGTTGCTGTGTTCGAATGTTCGATCTCGACGCGGCGTGGCGTTCAACAGATTAAAAAATCTGTCTCTTTAACGGGGGCCATACATCTGCTGGTTGGATGGTGGTCCGTAAGGCGACGCTGGCGGGTAGTTCTGGTGCATGTAGTTGCTGTTGTAGTCGGCGGGAATCGACGAGGCTGCAACGCCGGATGCGGGCGGGGCGGGATATGAGTTTGGCTGGTAGCCCAGCGGAGGGAGCTGCCGGCTACCGGCGTATGAGGACGCACCCTGGCCGCCGTCACCAGGCTGGCCACTGGGGTCACCACCGGCAGGGCCACCAGAGGCGGCAGCCGCAGCCGCAGCCTGGCGCTGGCGCTCATCCTCGGCCTTGCGCTGTGCTTCCTCCTCCTTCTTGCGAGCCTTCCACTCCTTTCGAATTTCCTTGAACTCTATTGTTTTTTAGAAACAAGGTTAGCTGCCGAATCCTTTTCATAGTTAATTTATTTCGCGCCAATAGCTCAACCCAGTAATTCGGTTGGCCCTTGCCGGTTCTTAGCCTCGACACCAATGTTGTGGTTCATCCGCCGGTTAAAATGCGCGATTGCGATAGCGGACGCTAATACACGACATGGGATGAAACAGAACAATGGTGGCAAACTGGTTGGATGGGAACGCAAAATAGGCGCCCCAACCGACCAGCTGCACTGTAGCTGCTCAACACGGAACAACCGTATTTGTCGCAAGGCAACGACGCCTCGGCACTGCCACTGAGGCACGGAGGACACCAAAAGCAAAACACAAAACAATAGCGAAATGGCGACAAAACTTCTCTTTCGTGGTGAAAATTGTATTTACCTTCTGGGGTGCGCTTCTGGCCGTGAGACTGCATGGTCACATGTGCGTTCAAGTGGTTGAGAGTGCCGTAGGCCTTTTCACAGCCGTTCCAGCCGCACTTGTACATCCGCTCGATCTCCTCGTAACGGCGTCGAGGACGCTTGTGTTGCTGAGCGCCGGGGATGGGTACGAAAGAGTAAACCTGATAACGGTCGCGTTAGTCAACAAGGCATTCTATTCGGTTTGCCACGCGCGCACTCGGGCGATCTTGTGTAGCCGTTGCGATTACCAGCGCTAACCGCCTGTCGGCCGTCTCATCGGCAGGTCGACTGTCCTGCCGCGTACGAGCACAAACACCAATGACCGGACGCGCTGTGAGCAAACGTCCCCGCCAGGGAAAGTCCAATTCTTACCTGAGTTGGGCGCGGCTGGGGCGGGGCCGAGTTAGGTGCCTGTGGGAAGACATGGTGGCCAGGGGTGATCGGGGTCGGCTGGCCGCCGTAGCCGGTCCAATCCGGACGCGGCTGGGTATACAAGCCACCGCTGTGCGGGTAGCCGTGCTGCATGTCACCGGAAGCCGGCGCATAGGGCGAGTATTGGCCATGTGTCGCGTAAGTAGGGCTCTGCGCCGTAATGGACGGATCTATGGGTACATCATTGTCAGACCTCGCCGTGGGGGATTTGTAAGATGGGTAAGGCTCAATGGGGGATTCATGCTGCGGCGGCGGCTGCTGCTGCTGCTGCTGTTGCTGCTGCGGCTGCACAGGAAGAGACGGACTTGAAGGTGTTTGCGCCATGGCTCCACTACCACTGTGGTTGGGAGACGGGTGATACGGGCGTTGTTGAATGTGCTCAGGGAAAGAACCAGACCGCGCGGAGGGCGGGTAGACACCGTACTCGGACGTGGGAGTTGCGGTGGTAGAGTAGTTGCTCGGACGGACTTCTTGCTGGGTCACGTATTGCGCAGCAGACGCGTGATCTAAAGATGACGCCTCAGAACGCGTGTCCCCGGTGTGACTTGGATAGGGCGAAGGCAAACCTGTCTGCGAGTACTCAGGCGCACTGCGGTCCATAGAGTTTTATCGCGGGTGTCGAGGTGGAAGACGGACGAGGTGGGAAGATGGGCGCGCGAGAGGGCGAAGGGCGGAGGACGACGGGGTGGGAGAATAAAAAGAGATCTGGAGGACGGGGGGAGGCGAGGTCTCTTGAATATAGATGAAATAGAAAAGAAAGAAAAAAAGACAATTACGAATTGGTCTTTGACAGCAACTCGTTGATTGTGAGACAAAGAACAAGAATACAGGTAGGATGAAAGAGAAAAAAAGAGAAAAAAAAGAGAAAAAAGAAGGAAGTAGAAGAAGAGGGGGGGTTCTGTTTTGAGAAAGCCTCGACCACGATCACCAAACTATGGCTCAAATGGGAGGGCACAGCACAAAACAGTGACGGCTGCAGCGAACGCCAATAAGCAGTTCGGCGTAGGTCGCTTCTACTTGGTCGCTAGTCGCAATTGTATCTGTACCGGAGCTGGCCCAGATCAGTCGGCGTCGAATGCGATGACGGGGTGTGTAGTCTTGTGCCTGTTTCTCCGTAGTGCGAGAAGTAGCGCGTGGGTGTGTGTGTTTGCTGTTGGCGAGCAGAAGCCGAGCGGAGGAAGCGTCAAAGACTGGACTAGTCAAGGAGGGCGTGTGCGAACGGATCTGAGAAGGCAAAAATCGTGCTTTCCTTCTTTCGTCGTCGCTCTTGCGGTTTTGATCACCACTGTCTGTCTTTCTTGATGACCCCTTCCTGAACAAGTAACGAGCTTCGCGGCGTGTGGAGACGGCGAGCGAGACAGGCAATCAAAGAAAAAAACAAAAGAGGGTTTAAGGAAAGAGCGAGTCAGGTCGACGAAGAAGATTTGCGCCCACAGCGAGGGAAGGTGGTGGCGGCGAGTGTGTATTTGACCGCGGTACGAGCAGTTGAGTGCAGAGGGCGAGAGGCAGCAAAGTTGCGCGCAGGAGCCGGCCGAACAGTCCGCAGATACCCAGCGACGAGATTTTCTGGGTTCTTGTTTTTCCCTTTTTTTCTCGCCTTTATTATTATTATTTTTTGCGCAAGAGGAGGGGGTGGGATTTACGAGCAAGAGGCGGGGAGGGGGCGTGTACCTTAGTTTAGTGGACGTGTGCGGAGAATGTCTGGATCTCCTCTGAAGAGTGCCATACGAGTGCTCCGTAATGCCTCGCTCGGCTCACACAGTCACCCCAGAGCCATGGTGTGGGTTCCCCCGGGGTTTAGACCGGATACAGCGAGCATGCTTTGCCTCCTGGCCTGAGCTTCAGCGTCGGTTGAGTGGCCGACCGTGGCCAACCGAGTGCTTTTACAGCGAAGTAGAAACAAGCGACAAAAGTGGAAGGCGCAAAGGGCAGCAACAGTTTTGTTTATGAATGGTTTGTGCTTCGCAGCGTCCAGTCGACAACAGCGCCCCTGTGGGCAATCCGCAAGGGGAAAGAACGACCCAGGTGTTTTGGATGAGAAGAGAAAGAGACGGAAAGAGCGACGGCTGGCGAGTTGTGTGGGGGGGGGGGGCTGGAGCTTGTCGCGGCAATCAGAAAAGACTGCAGTTCGCAATAGTCGATCCGCCTATTTAAATGCCTGTGGTCACCAACGCGCTGAACAGGAATCAGAGGAAACATGATGCGTTCGGATACCGTGGAGCGACGAGTTATGTCACTTCAAAATTGATGTGTAAGGCAGCTAGGTGCGATGATTAGGACGTCTTCTTTAAGGCCAGTCACGTGAAGGCCGTTTGTTAGTCCGGGACATTCATGTCCTCTTTGTTCTACTATGAATGCCTGATGTTCGCTGTTGCCTCGTCTCTCCGCTCAGCCTGTGGCTATGTCTTTATTGCTCATTTATTCAATGAGATGCCTACAACACCTCGGTCTTCGGAAGACACTTGGTTGACCTGCCTGCCCAACTCGAGTCATACAAAGTGAATTGTCAGTGGGTTGTAGGCAGTGCTTGGCATGCCGTTTGTTCAAACGTCGTAAAGATGCGTTGTGCTACGAACGTAAAAAGTAAGAACAATGGATGGCCCCGATCGGACACTGCGATTTAGCATATTTGCTGAGATGGTGGAAGGTGTGGAGCTCGATGAAAGACGCACTGGCGGGACCACCTGTGCGACCTGATAGGAGGGATTTCCCCTGCAGAACGCGATATCACGACGCTGTAGCGTATGCGTGTGGTCTGCGTAGTGCGAGAGCCCTGTACCAGAGCAGTGATAGTGGTGGTGGTGGCGGCCGTGGTGGTTCAAGACAGCCGCTTTCCGCTGGCCGCCATCCGGCCTGGGCTACCGGCAATCGGCCAGGCCAGGATTAGCGAAAGACGCTGCTCTTGCTGTACAGCTTAACTTGGCTAGAACAAGGGCGCTGAACTTGCCATTGGCTCGGAGCCTTGACAACGGACACCAAAGTCGAGGTCCCCCATATCCTGTCCTCGAATTTACGAATCCAATTGTGTAGGTTCATTTTGCCCAAATTCCACTTGGGAAAGACGTGTCCTGATATGGGCAAAACGAGGATGTGGAAGAATGTGCTCCCCCCCGCATGCAGCTTGCACCACAAACACCGACGGCACGTTTTCAGAGAAAGTAAAGGAACACAGCGATCATAGCAGCTGAGGGAAGGATGGAGTCCGTTACAGAATCAAGAGAACGAGACCATCCACTCTGGGTCCCTAAAGGGCCATGTGAGGGCTCAGACCGGTTAACCAACCATCGAGCAATGACAAGATGAAGGAGATGGCTGTGGAACACCCACGCATGGGAAGACAGCATTGCAATCACTAGTGACCAGGTCAAGACGCACTGCTCTGCCTCCTTTTGCGACAGGTACCCCTGTCACTTTCTTTTTTGTCTTCTTCCAGAATGTCAAAATGGAGGTTCTTGATCTCTCCCAATCTGGTCAGCCGCTGCTTTCGACGTAATTACACCGTGCGCACGTCGCCCTTGCCGACCTACGAATACGGCGCGCGAATGAGCTACAAGGACGCAATTTCTCTGCTGTCTGTGCCAATTCCCTGCTCGGCACAGACAATTGACGCTTCTCAATGAGCGAGAAGGATGCCCAAGGCCCAGGAGGTGGGTGGGGTGTATGCAAAGGACTGGAAAGAGGGGGGGGGTGAGGTGACGGCGTTTAAGCAGAGAGGAAGCCAACAGACAGCATCAATGGAATGAGAATGTGTTTTGTCTTTCCTCGCAGAACTCAAAAGGACGAATTTGCACCCCACCGCTCTCGGAATATGCAAATAATTCGTCGGTGAAAAAGGTGAATGGCATCGCGAGGCAGGCGCTGAACGCTCGACGTGTGCCTTGTTCTTGCCCTGTGGAGGCAACGCATCACCCACAGAAAGAGACAGAAAATAATCTATAGACAAGCGGTTCAAAACCCACACCAACCAAAACCAAACTCAGCCATGAGTTGACAGGGTTGTCGAGACGTCGCTTTCCCACATTTAGAATAGCGCTGGCGTCGTTTTTTGTGCATTCGCTTCCAAAAACGAGAAGTGTGCCAGTGTGCCAGTGTGCCTCCAAGCAAGACATTTTATTTTCCCAATGCCATGCGTGAGGGACCCGTCGCTGAGAACACACCAAAGCAGGGGGCCTGTCCGTCCCCCCATCCACGAACGCCCTATCACGCGCAACAGGGGCTTGGCCTGGCTTGGGGGGGGGGGGGGGGGGGGGGGGGCGAGTGAGAGGAAGAACGCGCGGTTGTAACGACCGGAGAGGACTTGGCCACTGCACGAAGCCGATCACAGCGTGGACGAACGAACGAAAATCAGACGAGCCAGGCCCAAAAAGAAAGCAACAAAGTATCGACGGCGCCAATTGCCCAAACCTCGTGGCTTGCCAGGGCATGTTCCCACAAAGCGCCGCGCACTACGCACAAGCTCGACAAGCTCATCCAAAATGGAGTTCGCTTCATCGGCATGCCGTAGATAAGACTACTAAAGACTGTTACTTCTTACTTGGTCCGGGGGAAGCAATCGGGGCGGGAACCAGCGCCGGTTGCAAGTCGTGGCTTCTGGCGCCGCCCTCGTAGGTTGTGTGGGCAGAACCACGCCGTTTCCTCGACAAGTCGCTTGGGGAAGGATGCAATTTCACATATCCGACGAGAGAAGCACGGAGCTCGGAACACGGAATTCAAACTTTTAACGACAAAGGAAAGTGACACAGCACAAACTGTAAATTTGTGTACGTTGCAAACTGCTTCAGAAGTAATCTTACAACATACAAAAGACACGTAACCCTCTGGGGAAAGAAAGGGCCTTTGCTGGTTCCTTTTGAGAACCGAGGTATCACGCCCAGGATATTTGTCATGTCATCAGACCCGCGGGCATGTTCTCAATCACCGGTACGGACGGCTTCTCCGATAATGTCTGTCTTTCCCTTTGATCGCTCTCGCCAGAGTGACGGTTCAATCGGCTCCCAACTCCGCTTGTTCGCGTATCAATAGTCGCAAACTATCTTCCGTTCTTGTCACGAAACCTCAGCATGTAATTCGTAGAAAAGGACCAGAATAGGATTGCCAGACTCCGCTTAATTTTCGGATCGTACATATCTACGACATACGATCTTCTTTCTCCTAACGGAAAGCGACTGTTTGTCAGAGCAGAAAGAGAGACACGAAAGACAAATTTGAGACAAAAACTCAGCTACAGCTCTCCGCAACTACGCGCCAGATATTTCACAGCGCCACTGTCCCTGAAGGCACCTGTCACAGTGTACGTCGGACAGGGGGGGATGGCCCCAAAGTTG